CCCTCTCGAGCCTCTCGAGCCTCTCTTCAACTGAGAAGAGATGGGCGAGATGGGTTAGCTGCGCTGGGGTTTAGCGCACAAGTTCCTCCACCGTCTACGCCCACATCAACCTGCCTGTCCCACCACGCTGCCTGCCTTGAATCGCCACTCACGGAATTTTGGCTGCTTCGGTTGCGGCGGGTTGGCCAAGCTTCACTCCGGCGGCTATCTGAGAACACCCACGGGGCAATAGGTACCTAGGTAGGGATACCGTTCATCAGACCACTCTTATCTGCGTCAGATAGCGTCCTAACGCAACCGATACAACGGCAAGCCGAGAGCGGCACCCGCTGACCTGGGTAGGTACTTACTCTAAGTATCCTCCATGTCGATTGCCTCAATATCAAATATATGTAGCTTCTTCACGATCGAATGAAGCGCTTACCTCAGCTTGCCATTGCTCGTTCCGTCCAAGTGCATCACAGACTAGGTACCTATCACGCAGGGATGAGCTCAGCTGTTCAACCCGTCCCCATGATCCAGTCCGTGGGGGTAACACGAGCTTAATGTATCCCGACTTCTGCTAGTTTGCTCGATTACTGATTTACTTACTTGGTATATTTGTAGGTATACTTATGCCTGGGTTACGTAGGGATCTACCTACCTATTCAGTAGACGATTCGAGTTTGGGATATCTACTATTTGTGCTATTGTGAAGCTTTGGGCGTTTGTTGTGTCGAATTTTGAATCTGCCTTGCATTCAGCAACGTCATTCTATCCTGGCGCAAGATGTTAACATAGCCTAGGTGGTATTTCCCGAGTGCTTGTTACCGTTGCATCCGGCTAAAACTAGTGTGTGCAGTTCTTGAGATGTGGTATTCTGGACTCGTCAGATATCACACTCCACGGCTACAAAGAGCGAGTAGGGTATACTTGCAGTCACCCTACCGGTGCTACTCCCAACACATGCCCAAGGTCTTGGATGTTATGGGGTCCCTCGTCGGCTCCGAAGTCGACCGAGTCTTGCTTGGGTCTTGCGGTGATACCTATTCATACCTATTCTAGTTGGGTAGAAGTGCGACTATCGTTTCTCGTATTGTAGACACCATACTTACAACTATCGCCATCGACAAATCTACGATGGCATTTATTTCACGATGCAGGTTCATCTGCCGCGCCCCCCTTCCCCCCCCTTCCCCCACATTTCAAACTTATTTCTCTTTCCGTCCAACTACACCTATCCTTCTCTTATCCATTGGCTGGTCATGTAGTACGGTGCTATCCTCCCTTCAACCATTCAGAGTTGAGCGTCCAAACTCTCCTCCCCGGAGACAGATTGCTCGAAATAGATCGCGCTGATCCAATTGGATGCTACGAGCTAAGCTCGATCGTGAACCGGTGATCGTCGGGTTCGCCCTGTCTTAGGCAGATGGATCACCTAACCCAGATCCTAAAAGCCGGCCTGCTGTAGGTGCATATACATACAAGTATGTATGCCGAAAGTGGCCTACACTAGTATAACCTGTAAGCGGAAGACGGGATATCTGGTGCGACGATGAATCGAAAGATAGTACATACTGAGTATACAAGTACCTACCTGGTCTAGCATATAGATTTATTAGTCGATGCTACTATTTCATGCTAAAGACCTCCCACTAGGTACGAGGAGTTCTAGATGCTCAGTCAAGAAAGGCAGTAGTTGCTATCCCTGTATAGCCGGCTGCCTAGAATGTACTGTACTGGTAGCCCTTTCGGTAGGGCGTTTGGGGGGGTTTCGGTTGAAGTTCCCATTCGTTTAGGTAGCAAGTATTTGATTTTGCGGATCGAGCAAACCTCTCACCGAAGGGCTCACCATGCCCAAGTACCGACCCGGGTGCAGCCAAGGCACCTTCATGTCACAATGGAGCGGGACCCAGCGTTAGATTACCTACTATGCGACGATTCCAGTGTGTGAATGGGGCCCCGCCGCGTGGATCGCATCCGTCCGCGAGGAGGATCTCATGAGGATTGGGCTGCCTCGGATGGCTTGAGTCATCTCAAAAGGCATTTGTTCTCGGTGTTCCTCCCGCGTCCATAGTGTATGTACGAAGGAGGGGCTGGAAGACATCTCTGCCTAAAGGCAATTGTGGCCGCAACGGATTGCGAATATCTACCTACATGATGGAGGATGGACAGGAACGAGTGCGATTAACGGTCCGCCGCGGCGGGCGCGCGGACTTTGTAAAAATAAAGAGGGTGGCGGGATATCCAAGCAGTATCCAAGCATCCAGGCACCCCAGCATCCAAGCAGTTGATGCACGGCGATGCTAGTGCGCTCTACTAAGTGCATACAAGATGCTCTAACGATCGACGCCATCTTCAGGGTTACATGGCATGCAAGAGTGCCATCGGCCCACATGCATATGACCGGAAGCCCACACAGCAAGTTGGTAGTTGTGATGCTGTTGCCGGGGTCAGCTGTTCAAACATGATAAAATCCCGAATGCACCAACAATCATCTATCCCGTTAGGGCAGGCGATCGAGTTGTGTTGTTGTCTTCTACTACTACTATGAGGTGTTCTGGCGTGCAAAATCTGCACTGAAGGCGCTTATTCCGGGCGGCCAGGACTTCATACAGACAGCCAAGCTACATACATGTAACTCCTAGCTTGATTCCACTGATCCTAGCCACACCATGAGCAGAGCATGCATACTGTTCGACGAGGCAGAGAAATCAAGAAGTGGCCAATGACAGATATGTGCTTGGATCTTGAAGCAGAACCTCAAGTAGGGCTTTTATCTACGTAGTGCCAGTCTCATGCAACGTTCCAGGACTTCAGGTAAATCTGACACGGAAGATGAAGAATGCCAGACCTACACCATCTGCATCAACATCGCATTGCATACATATTAGGAATATAGGCACAGTGCAATGAGACTTCTCGATGTATGCACGCCTACCTAGCCATACACATCGAATTCGTCTTGGTATTTGTGTCTACTAACACAGCCTCTTCAGCTGGCGTATACAGGTCAGTGTTACGCGTAAGAAGAGGTAGTGACACTGTTGCGGGATACTCGTTGAGGCATCTCGGTGAAGTCAGGCGAATAGAACTTAAAACAGGCTGCCCACCTACCCAGGTAGTGTATGCCAATTTGAAGGCTCTTTGGGGATGGAGACAAACAACTCGCGGAAGACACTGCCTCTGTCTTTGCCTTCACACTCCACGGATCCTTCACCCTCTTCACCCTCTCGTTAGATGTGTCGTGTTAGGAAACATGTCACTTTCCATCATCGACAACCCTTCCCAACTCACCCTCCCACACCAACATGTCCGATCAGTTTCCACTTCTGGCATCCTCGATGTACTCGGCCCGTCTTGTTGCGCGTCTTAGTCTTAAACCAAGCAACCGGCTCGTATAGGCCACATCGTGCAAGTGCAAAAGTGACCTCTGCGCCCCTCCAGTTTTGCTAGCATGTATGTAGTTGACGCGCGTGAGTTGTATCCTGTTCACGGGCGAAAAGATACGCACTCGCGTTTCCGTCCCCGTCCTCTCCGTCATCGTTAGTCTCTTTCCCTTCCCTCCCACTACATTGAAAACCTGCAGAGACGTACATTACCCCGATTTGCCCCTGGTCGAGTCTAACCTGGGAATCCTTTGATATCCTTGATCCGCCACATGTGTTATCCACCCGGCCATTTATGACAAAAGGGCACGATATCCGCCATATGCATTTAGTCACTCCTCCATACCTTGTCAACTTTATCTTTATTTAACTTTCGTCTCCCCTGTTTAACTCTACTCTTAAGCTTGTGGCAGTTTGTCATTGGAAATAAGATAGCTGTCTTGGGAGCCAGCCAGCAGTTGAACATCTGATCAGCTATTGCCATTACTTGCTCTCCCACTGTTCAGCGGAACAGGAGCGGCTCTCCGATTACGTGCCACTCTCGCGGAACTTGACCACAGGGAAAGTCTACGGATGTAAGTAGACTAACAATAGACGGGGACGCGGTGTAAGCTGTCACCACTCTATATATCTGGTCGATGTTGCTGTCAGATACTCGAGATGCCAATGTATTTTTGACGAATAATAGCCAACTTGCTACCTGACGAGATCACCGCACCGCCAGTCTCGAGTCGAGTGCCCGCATAGCTTCCACTGGCGAGACTTACATGCCATACCGCCTACTGAAAGGTACCTACTAAGTACCTAGCGTTGTAGTACTGTGCAGTGGTGCAGAAGGACCTTGCCGCTGTAACTGGCCTACCAATGCGGGGGAGCAGAGGGTTACCAGATACCTAGAGACCTAAGTATCAAGACACCTAGGTACCTACCTACATAAGGTACCCTAGCAGCCAGGGCCTCAAGTACACTCCAGTGTCCTACCCCTCTTAAGATACTTGCCTTCCCCGCTACCCTTGGCGCCTGGAGGGCTGGAGGGCTGTTGTTACCTACCGCGATTACCTACCTACTACTACCTCTAGGTACCGAGCTACAAGTACCTACTTTATCTACCTGCATCTCTTTGTCAGCGCAAGGTAACATCACAGTGCAGCACCTGCAGAGGTAACGAGTAACGGCGGAACCTCCCTACCTGTATGTACCTTTAGGTAGGTACCTACATACCTACTCCCTGACAGACCCCTGGGCATCGAGGTACAGTACCTACAGTACCTGCCTACATACTGTAGGTACATACATACATTGCTCAGCTAGGTAGCTGCGATAGGCGATAGTGCAATAATCGGCCACCCGAAACCCCGTCTCCAGGCAGGGGATTATAGTGGGCGCGAGCCACCACCAGCCCAGCCAATGCTCTCGACAGCAGCGCCGACGGCCCCTCCTTCGTCGACCCTCCTTCTTCACCACCACCGCCGCCGCCGCCGCCGCTACCTCGATCCTCACCTCCACGTTCACTCCTCCCACTTGTCGCCCCAACGCCCTTCGTCGCAACACCCGAAATCCCACCCGCTGTCCCCCTCGTCGCCGCTGCGGTTCGACCGCGCAGTCTCTCCGAGCAGTCCGCCTGCCGCTACAATGGGTGACTATCGCCATATGAGGTCGGGCAGCCTCAATATTCCCTCGCAAGGCGGTGCTCCTCCCACAGCAGCTGCTCCCGCTCCTGGGCCAGCCCATGGCCGCTTCGACGGCCCGCGCAGCCCACCGAGTACGTTCCAGCACTCAGTCGTAATCCCACGGCCTACGTCCTCCATCTGGTCAAATACTAATCGTCGCCGGCCTTCAATTATAGACACCTCCCACGTCCCTTGCAAATTCTTCCGTCAAGGCGCCTGTCAGGCTGGCTCGGCTTGTCCCTTCAGCCATGATCTTGGTGCTGCCTCAGAAACCGTCTGCAAATACTTTGCCAAGGTATGCGATCCCGAAACTCGCTCGTAGCAGCCGCACATTCCTCTATCCTCTTCTATAATTCCTTTGGCGCTTGTTCGCCTCTACCTTAGGCTCCGACGCTAGCGCTGTCTTTGCTTCTTGCGTCTGCATCTGCGCCTGCCCTACCCTTGTCCCTGTTTGTTCATTGTACCTCGCCATCGCTGCGTTTTGTCGGTTGCGCTTCTCGCTTCAAGTCGTACAACAAAGTAGAGGCCGAGGCTAGCGGCCGAGCTCGGCTGAAACAATGGTGTTCACCATGCTGACGCAAGTGGAACAAAATATAGGGCAACTGCAAATTCGGTCCGAAATGTGCCAATGTCCATGTTCTTGCCGACGGCCGACGCATCAATTACAGCAAGAATGGTATCTCCATTGGACAGCCTCTTCATCTAGGCAATCGTATCAATCCTACCGCCTATAACAATTCCAACAGCGCTCTTACCAACTCCTTCATGCGTGCCGATGCCGCTGCTCCCTACAGTCCTTATGGCTATGCAATCCCGCCTGGGGATTCCTTCCAAACCCTCGATCGTCGCCCGAGTTTCGAAAACGTCCCCGTGATTGATACAACATACTCTCACACAAGCTCTGGTTATGGCTCGCCTCGAGACGAAGAGCCCACCCGGCTGGGTTTGGGCCTGTCACCAGTTGGAGGTCTATCCGTGCTTGATGCGCCCTTGCCAGCCTCATTCGACTCGAACGGTATCTCAAACGCAGCCAGGTTCCCCGCCGGTCCTTGGCCGTCCTCTGTGCCTTCCCAGTTTGGCCTCGACTCGCCCTCTCCATCACTAAATGCAGCTAAGGACGCCCGTACATCCGAAGCTCTCAAGCTGTTGCATCACTCTGCCTTTGGTAGTAATGATCGCCTTTCTTCTACCGTTACTGGTTCTTCGCCACCAACGCAGCCTTCTGATGAATACTTTGGTCGGAGACCGATGCACTCGAGTCGCTATGCTAGGACTAAAGTGCTCAGTAGCAGCGCCCCTCGCGTAATTTCTGGTGCAATTGATCGGGATTGGGAGTCCGAGTTCCCCTTCTCGGAGGAAGATTACGTGCCCGACAATCTGAAGGAGCTTTTGACACCTGCTGAGAAAGCTCGTCGCGGCTCCCGTGCCGCCGACGATGACATGAATGGCCACAGAGGCAATGGCTCGTCGCCCAGTATCATCGGTCTCAGTGGAACTGGAACGCCCAATGCAGAGCCGACCTCCAAGTTCGGTAGTCCGCTCGCATCAAGCCCAAGTCGATGGGGTCCTCTGTTCCAGCGCCAACACGAAGAACAAGAGGCTAAAAAGCACGCTATAGGAGCGAGTGCTGGGGCTTTCGGGCATATTGGAAGTCCTCTACGACAGTCCAGCTTGAGCGCTGACGTGATGAGGTCCCGTGTCGCCAGTCGATCCGGTAGTCTTGAGGGACTCAGCGATCAACTGCAACGTACCCGAATTGATGGCAATGGAAGCGGGGGAGAATCGCCCTTATTGCATCCACACTCACATATCCCGAGACCCGGGGGGCGCAATGGTGAGCGACATGTTAGCAGTGGTTCCATCAGTTCCAGTGCACGATATACGACACCTATCGGCGAGGAAGATGGGGAGTTTGTGTTTAAGATGGACGAAGATGGCGAAAGAGACAGCACTATCCGCGCCAGGAAGCGAACCTCTGGAGTCGGCAATATCATGTCATCTTGGAATCCCAATTATACGAGCGCAGGTTCAGTGGGTGGAAAGAAAGACGATAGCGCTTCGAGGGTTGTGGACAGTGTTGGTGGTCACTAAAATGAACTCAATCTTCTGAGTCATCAGAACCTTAAATGCCCAAACAGGCTACTGGATGCGACACCCGAAGCTTGCATTTGAATGTTGGAAAAATTAGCCTTGGTGATCGGCTTATGTTAAATTTATGAGCCATTCTTGACGCCTGGGCTGCGAAAATACTATATTGGATGTCTACGCCTCTGCATTCATTGGGGTCCAGCCTATCCTCACTGATGCCCGGATCATGCCAAGGATGGGAAATAGTAGCCAATCATAGAAGAAACGTTGACACGTGTGAAGATGCATTATCGGCACAGGAAAAGGCAGCATTATGGCAAGAGAAGACGAGGGGCTGTAAGAGGAACAGGAGTTAGTTGGCTGGCAAAAATCATTGTCATTTTTGAATCTTGTCTATACCACCATCTGCCCTGACTGGGCCTCTTTTCTATTAGGCCGGGGAGTTGAAAGGGGTTTTGGAGTTTCTGAGAGCCTTTTGTCTTTTTTTTTTTTGGCATTGAATATTGGCATCGTAGCATTATAGCAACACTGCGACCATGTTTACTAGATCGATGGATGGGACAGACACAATCTCTGCTTTGTACGTACCCCCGTCTGGCACGCCTTTCCGCACCGCACAGTCAGCATTATGTCAAAACAAATCATGTATGTACGTGGCTGGGCTACGCGAATAAGAAAATGAAAATAAACAAGTTGATAGACGAGTCATAAAACTCGACCAAATCATTATTTCAATATTTGACTTACGACATGTCTGATGAAGATAGTAGGGTACGCAAAATGGTCTCGGTAATTTTTTTGACATCCATACTAATCACAGCTCCTTGTTGCTCAAACAATTCGAACTACTCATGTTATCATATGAATACGTGCCTCATAGTTGTTGACATTAGCTGCGGGCCCCATAGGAACTATGATCAAGCCAACTATCACGAAGTGACTTCAAGATGTGAATCATAACCATATACAAGCACAATCGATCCCGAGAGACAACACGCCCTTCACTTATTTCTCCTGCCGCCACGTTCACGACACCCAGAGCCGGAGAACTACAATCCTTTACTCAATCTCCGTGCTCCCGCGTCGAAGTCGCGGCCGCCGCGGCCAGGTCAATGTCGGTGCGCGGCCAGAAACGGCTCAGGTCGCCCACGGGTAGATTCAACTGCGCGCGTGACTTCGCGTTAGTCGAGATCTGTAAAGTGTATATCGTATCGTGGGATTTGCGAAGTCCAAACCATACGACGTGAAGTGACTGAGGTCTCAGGCAAAAGGGCCGTTGTACATACCGTGATGCGCATCTCGCCTGCCATGATGATGAACGTCATGTACCAGCCCAATGCGGCGACGACGAAGAGGAGGGCGCCTCCGGCCTGGCGTTCATGATTAGTCAGGCAGTCGTGTCTTGGTGAATTTGTCTGGATGAAGGTAAAAGGGGAAGGGGAGAGGAGAGTGAAAGTGAAAGTGAAATTGTTGGCTTTTAGATACCTTTTGAAGTTTACCGGCTGTTTCGAAATCGCCGGCTGCTACCTTGAAATCTAACGATGAGGTATGTCAGTGTTTTGATGTATTATGAATGAGGAGTAGTGAATAGGTATCCTAGGAGATCCTGCTCTTGAGCTTTCCGCCGCCTGTCTGGGTACATATCTCTAGCTTTCATTCTTCTCAGGACGAGCACAACGGTCATCATTGCGCAATAACCCTTCTTTCAACCCATCGTTCCCGAGACAAACTTCCTTCAGGGCGCAGCCACTTTCATCTGAAATATCACAAATTCCATCTCATTCTCGAAATCATATCATTTCCCCTAAGGCCATGAATAAATGAAGCAGAGTGGGCAAACTCACAAGCAGCTGACAATATCCAGGCAGCCGCACTGACGAGCCCAAAGATAAGTGCGAACACGGTGTTGATCTTCAGCGTGAAAATGAAGAAGGTGAACAGCGCGAAGCCCCAGACGAGAAGATATAATCCTACGTCCGTGTTGAAAGCGGGCGATGTAGCGCCGGTAGGGTCGCCGCTCGTCGCATAGGGCAGTGATAGGTTCAAGGTCGGCAGCTGGATGACGCCAAAGGACAGCCAAAACACGGAGAAAAGGCCCATGACCATCACTAGTCTCACAGATATTAGCGCTCTGTGACATGGGAACTGATTTGGATCCTTCCCCGTCCCTCTTCTTCATCTATTACTCCTTCACTATTCTATTTTCCACCCGTTTCCCTCGTCTCCTTTGGCATCAAAAACCGATAACACATCTTCCTCCATGTGATTTCGACGAAGTATCGGCTTCTTGCGCGATACCATGATGAATCAGACTCACTCGGAAAGAAGTTCCCCATCACCCACTCGAAGACCATGGTGAACGTCAGGAGCAAGGGCCCCGTGAAGAAGAAGATGCCGACGACTGGCGAGAAGCCCTCGGAGCCGCCCCAGCCCATCAAGACCATGGAGAACGTGAAAGTTGAGATGACGAAACCGACGAAGCCGAGTGCGGTAGGGTTGGCGAACCGCAAGTTATAATCGCCTACTTTTGGGACTTTCGGGGTAAGATAAAGCTTTGGGTGCGATTGTTAGCTTAGAAGTAGGATAGCAGGTGGAAGTAGATAGAGGTAGCTCGTATTTAAGGGGAGAGAATCAGCTAGCAGTTTGAGGTGATGATAAAGTACGCGATTGAAGTTCGATCCTGTTCTCACCTTTTCGAAGAGCTCCGGAGGCATTGTGACGGCCGTATCCGTTCGATGAAGCCCTTTCTCGACATCGTGGTTATTCGTAACGTCGCTACCGCTACCTGCCATCTTGAACAATCCGATATCACAATGACTAACCGAATCCTGGATGAAATCAATTGAGGACAAGCAATTATGAGAACTGGTGACTGTGAGCTGACCGTCGAAGTGAAAAATGAAGTCTGCGATTCCTCCCGTCAGGGGGCACACCATCACCACAGTTATATATAATCACACACCGCACTGCATGGTCCTACGCAAGAGCATCAGCACATACACCCCTACCTCTGACAGTGAGCAAGGCGTATCTGCACGACGCAGGCAACTGGACGCACATATTCACAGCGGGATTCGTGGCACGCAAGGATTCAAGTGGCTGTATTGCATACTAACGACACAACCCTGGGGGAAACATTGACATTACCATACCACTTAAGACGGACGTACTATTCATTTCCTCCCGCCTTCCGGATCCTCCGCCCTACAGCATCCCTAATAACCGAGAGGGAAAGGTAGGTAGGTAGTTCAGTCAATAAACTCCACAAAATACCCGCGACAGGCCCCCCTCCACAATCCAGCCATATAATATAATATCTATCATTATTAACAAACCCTCCACCATCATGAACTCATGACAGGCAGAAAACACGACAAACAGCCAAATGCAGGTGTGTGTCCAGCTTTCTAATAATACAAAGGGAAGAAAGGGGATAATACAACTTTCCCCTCCATAGCGCAGAGACCATGGGGTCCTTCCGCCGCTCAAACGAGGGCAACGTCGTGTGAGGGAAACCCTACCTACCTACCTAGGTACCCAGGCGATTCAACCTCGAAGGACCATCCTTTTCACCTCTGCCGACGTTGCGCCAAGACCCAGCACGGCGGAACGTGCGAGCCCCGTATGTACTACATAAGTAAGGTCCCTTGTGTCCCATATGATATGCAAGCCCATGATGTTACAACGGGTATCTTATCATCCCCAATTTCGCCCGCGGGTACCACGCTTCTCTCCAATTGCGGGGTTGGGGGAAAACCGAATACCGTACTTACTTTCCTACCTACCTAGGTACCTACCTACCTACTCAGCATCGTATGGTGACTCTCGCAGAGGAAAAAAAAGGCGTTGTTGTGACCCTATAGTGTGTAGGTAGGTAAGCAGCGCCACTCTGTCCAATAGTTCCGTAAGCAAACCAAGGGGTTCGCTTGTCATCTGTCAGGGTTCGTTCTGGTTGGTCAATTGGCCCGCTTGCCTTGCGGGCGTCGAAAGAAAAGAGTGTGGTGGTGGTATAGTTGTCGCTGGTGACGGCGATGGAGGGGCAGACGGACACCTACTGCTCGTTCCGTCGAAGGGATTTATTTGCTTGGCGACAGGCTTTCTCGCTGGAGATTGTACATAGTATGTAAACGCTGTACCTGCCCGTGTATACATATGTGTGGTTTTGCTCGCAACCTTGGTCGTTGGAGGCGATGAGGCGATCAATGATCGAATACCTACAGTATAAATAGAAATGCAGAGAAAAGATTTCCCACGTCAAGTAGCATTCGCGTGCGATTCTTCCCGCATGCTGCATGTAGCTTGGGTCGTCTACGGTTGCATCTGGCCGGTAGTGAGGGTTGCGCACGATGATGAATCATGGATTAGCGAATATACTCTTTAGGAAAGCAAGATGGGCCGTATGGATCAAAACTGCAGGCCTCTCCCTCCCCGGCGCTCATAAAAGTAATTGATCTGCATCGTGAAGCATACGAGCGTTGAAGAGCAGGTAGGGAAGAACTGAGGTACGGGACTCACCTAGCACACATGCTAGGATAATCATTACATAACGAAGGTGTTGGAGTCAACAGAAGCAGGCCGCGCTTATAGATCCATGCTGAGAATCCAATGCCCTAGCTGAGGAACGGTGTACGGATGAATGTGTTGGGTCTGCGAATGCACGCATACATGCAGCCCACCGAATGGTGGTATATACCACACTTACCACTCGATAAACCCGATAACAACGAGGTTTCTTTAAGAGGCCATTTCGCCGTTGAAAGCCAAGACCGGTCTGCTTTGGAGGTTTGGTACAGTGCGTTGATACAGATATCTTATTGAGCGATGAAAAATCCCAGTCTCCTCCTGGTCCAGGTCCTGTAAGCCCTCAAACAATGTCAGCAACTCACCCGTCTCGAAGCATCAATCCATGTTGATAAGAATCTCTCCGTGAGAAAGGTCTTGATAGTGCACAAAGCAGTCGACATGACTACCGAGAACAAAATCACGCGCTTCACGCATCATCAAGAGCGCAGGTAAGAACATTAACATAGCTTTCCGGAGGTAGTCCGAATTTCGCAAAAGCTCGCGATGAAGAAATTTTGGAATCGATGAGATGATCGAGTATCTAGAATATAGGCAGGCTTATCTATAAGCTGGTCTTTCTTAGTGAGGCTGGGTAAAATATACTCATAATTATGTAATTCTCGATCTTCAATATACAAAATCCAGCTTATCGGCGCTCATGTTTGCCGACTAGCCACTGGCATTTTACCGCGAGACTAAGATATCGCATTCAGAGCTCGCCAAGGCCCCTCATGTAAAGCAAATCTAGTGCTGTTAGCGTCAAATATGCTTCCTTGCTGGCCGACTCAACGAATGTCACTGTTGCCGAGTGTTTTTTGTTGTCTAAACTTTAATTATATATCCTGTCTGCAAGCTTGGATTCCCTCAACAAAAGCGTTCGCTCGTCCAGTCAAGACAAGAGTCTATTTCTCGCCGATATTATTATGAAAGACCACCACTCTTACCCCTTACCCGAGTGACCCAATACAGGCCAAACATTGCGAGAATATTAAAAACAATAAAAACACTTAGGTACCCCGCATTATACCAAGGATTATCGCCCGAGACCTGGAGCGTCTCCTGGAAGAAAGGCTTGGTGTTTGCGAGCGGGCAGTACTCACAACTGCCCGTGGTCGTCGACGGATTCATAACGGCGCCGAAGTTCTGCTCTGCAAAATCCGCTAGATAATCGCCGCAGGTAGTCATCATCGAACCATTACCAGCAGTGCTAGGGGCGGGGATACGCAGAATCTGGGCCGGCGAACAGGTCAGATCCACATTCCACAGGCCCGCAAGAGAGAGCCCGTCAACGAAATAAGTCAGTGGTGATGCGCGCCAGACGAATACCCAGAAGTCAGGGAGGTCTCTTGGAAAAACTAAGACTCTAGTGGGCAAGCTCTATTAGTAAGTCGAACCACGGAAGAGGAGGTCTGGGGACTTGATTGATTATCTTACCCGCAAAACACCAATGAGAAATAGAACAGCAGCGTTGCGACTTGAACAGCGCTCTCTTCAAGCTCGATGACGGAGCCGAGGGCCTGCGAAAAGGTGATGATCCAGTAGCAGAAGAGGAGAATAGTGATGAAACTTAGCGCACCGCGGCTCGCCATGCCGAACGCTGCATCGCTTTCGCCGGTCCGCCACAGGCCTGTGGGATAGTACCAAATCACAAAGATGAGCGCCGAGGCCAGTAACTGCCACGTGAACTCGACAATGACATTGGACACCAGGAAGACGGTCCAGTGGTATGTCTTGGATCGCCGCTCGCGGCCCTCGAAGATGGCCCGCCCGTCCATCAGCCTTGGAATCACCTGTTGGTCCATTGTCCCGAAGATCTGCGTTAATAGGAACATAGAGAAGAGGAGGTTCTGGAAACCTTGGAGGTCGAGCCGGGTGTTTTGGAAAGAGAGCCCGTCAAAGAGAGCCTAGTATGACACATGAAGTCAGTCAGTTGCGGACGCAATTTACAGTCTTAGGTTAGGAAGAGTGGTGTGGATGCTGTTGTACTTACGATTCCGATGCATAACGCGTATTTCGAGTATATGTAGACTGGCCGTCTCCAGTACTCTTGGAATATCCTTTTCGTCACAGAAACCATCTGGAAGAGCCATGGCGTCGCGTACGACTTTTGCTCCGATACACCAACCACCTTTTCGGCTGCATCGCCATTCTTGAGTTCGACGAGGCGGCGGCTGACATCTTCTTTCTGCTTGCTAGTAGACCATTCCCGGGCCCAAAACTCACTTGGCGACAGTTCTTTAGATTCCTCCGTCGTTTCCCTGCTAGTTGTTTGCAGCATCCATTCGGCGGGATTAGCCCCGGCGGCGGGGGGTTTGGCACCACGCTCTTCAAAGTAGGACACTAGCGTCGAGGCGTCCTTGCCAATATCTCCGAAGTAGACGCACTGGCCTTTGTTGTTCAATAGGAGCAGCCGATCAAACAACATGAACAGCTGCGATGATGGTTGGTGTATCGTGCATAGGACTGCCTGTCCGTTGTCCGAAAGCTTCCGGAGTAGGGTGCAGATAGACCATGCTGTCTGGCTGTCTAAGCCTGAGGTCGGCTCGTCTGGTGTATCCGATCAGTATGACGATCATGATAAGTCAAGAATAAACGATAAACTTACCACAGAATATCAACAGCTCTGGCTTAGCCACCAGTTCGATGCCGATTGTAAGTCGCTTGCGCTGCTCAATATTAAGACCTAGCTAAGTGTTAGCGTCGACATCCCCACTGGGCATTGTCAGTATAGAAGCTCACCATCACCTGGTACACCAACAACAGCATTGGCATAGCTCTCCATATCAAGAATCTGGATGACATTGTCAACATAAGACAATTTCTCCTCTTTGCTGGCTTCGGGCTGTCTCATCAAGGCGCTAAACTCCAAAGCTTCGCGAACAGTGGCAGTGGACAAATGAATATCCTCCTGCTGGGCATACCCTATCTTTCTCTGGAAACTGTCATCCCTTTCTTGCCCGTCTATGCAGATCTCCCCCCGAGCAACTCCGAAATTGGCGCGGTTTGCCAACACATCTAGGAGTGTTGTTTTACCAGCTCCAGTTACCCCCTGAATGAGAGAGCTATATTAGTTTCAGAAATCGGCTGCTCCTGGAACGGCGGACTTACCATCAGCGCAGTCAAAGTTCCAGGCTTTACCCATCCCTGGATATCATCTAGGATCTTCTTGGTCTTGCCTTTCCCAACCTTGACTTCGTAAGTCAGACTATTCCAGTGGAATACGGAAGACTGCTTCAAAATGCTGGGTGCCACGATTTGTTGCGTGTTCTCACTCTTAACGTTGCGAACATGTTGCTCGCCAAAATATTGCGCGAACCTAGGCGATCCATGTTCCTCTCCGGAGTCTGGCTTGCGAAACTTCTTCCATTGGGAGTTTGGGCGTCGAAAACGACCTATGTCTCCTTTCGAAGACTGGGCAGGTACATATTGAGCAGCCAGTAGATATAAACCGAACACAATGAATATCATTGCTATAAGGATGCCAAGGTTGCTGAAACCGCGGAGAGCACGCTCATCTTAGCTCTCAATCGCACATACAGTGGGATGAATATGAATTGTAACATACCGCCATTTGTGACTGGGCAAATAGCCGTACTTCACAAGAAGATAAGCGTTTCCCTCAACATAATCTTGCCCCGTAACTGACCCAACAGTAGAGCAAATCTGATCTTGTAGACGGACATCCGCGTATGATGGACCACTAGGCAGTAGCTGAGAGCAAGGGAACCGGCGATGCCCAAACTAGAGGTCCATCAATGACCTGTTAGGCCCACATGTGTTTTGGAAAAGTGCAACATACCTCGTTAATCATCAAGCTCTCATAAGCATATGCGATAGGGTCAACGAAACGAAACCACTTTAGCCACCCTACCTGATAGGGAACAGGGACAACATAGCCCACATAGATGGCGGCGAGTAAAATCAGAATTGTCGTGGGGACGGTACTCTGTTCGAGTGTGCGAGAGATCGAACCCACAAAACGAAACCACATTGACATGTTCAACACTAGCACGAAATTGAATAGAAACCACGTAAAGAACGCCCCTGGCGTGCGCTGCAAGTTGGTGAAAAAATACAACACAGTCTGAAAGACCACGGCACTGAGGAGCTTGTTCGGAAGGTCGCTTATAATTGAAGCGACAGAATCGGCGACAGGGTGGTAAAGAGCATACCGATTATGTTTTTCAACTATAGGTCTCTGTTTCCACATGAGGAGGATCTATACCCCGGCCCTTAAGTCAGCAAGGCCAACTACATAGGTAAATTTTAAGTCAATGTTCGGAAAGGGTGGCACGGCACGTTACCTCGAATGAAGGAGCAAGTGCCGTATAGAGCAAAGAGAAGAATATTAGAACGGCACGTCGATCGACACTATTGGAATCCTGGGGCAGGTTGTAGAATGCACTGCCGATTACTAAAGAAAGAATGATATTGGCAACAATGGACCCAATCACCGGCCCGGGCTGGTTCTTGAGTCTCTGAAAAGCTCGCTGGAGGCAACGCAAGATCTGGAGATGAAGAGAGATGACGTATGTTGAAGTCCTTAGACTATGTGTCATTGCAAGACATCAGTGCACATGTCTAATGGGGTCAAGACGCGTTAGGACTTACGCGAGTTTATTCCGCCATCCCGCCTTGCTTTTATTATTTGTCTCCTCCTTCTCGAGAACTGGATGAGCCGCGTCAAAGCTTTCAATATCCGATATGAGTTGATCGTGAAGACTACTCTTATTCCAGGCCTTGACAAAGTCATCAGGAGAACGAGGTGTTCGACCCTCAAAGCCTTCACGGACGACACGCTCAGTGGGATTGGTCAGAGAGGTAAGAAAATCCGGCGTCGTCGCGTGGGGCGGCCTTTCAAAGCCAAGATCCTGAAAGTACTGGGCTGCAAGCTCAACTGGGCCGAAGTATATCTGACGGCCTTCATACAAGACGGTGACCTTATCGAATTTCTAGGAGTCAAATTGGTCAGACGAACCCGATTAGGTATGGTGCAAAGGTCTCTGCTCCAGACGAAAGATATTACCTGATACATGTTCTCAGAAGCTTGATAAACAGTCATCAAGACGGTAGAGTGGCTTTCGTCGGTAAGTCTGCGCAAGAGGCTGACAAACTCCAATGCCGTTGAGCTGTCGAGACCACGGGTACTGTTGTCCCAACATTGCAAGGGAGCCCCACCAACGAGAGCTTCAGCAATGCTCGTCCGTCTTTTCTCGCCGCCGCTGACACCCCTGATCAGCGCGTTTCCCATAAACGTATCATACGCGCCTTCAAGGCTAAAGAGGATAGAGATGTCGGCACTGATTTTGGGTGACTGGACTGGCTGTCCCCAGGTCGGCTCGCGAGTCGAAGCAGCGAAGGTCAGGGTGTTGCCCAGCGTAAGCTCAGGTAGATGTTCGTCAAGCTCGGCAAGGTAAACACTCTCGCCCTTGAAGAGCCTGTGCATCTCAGGATAGGGGATTCCTATCATGTGGTCTGTTAGAGAGATTTGAGGGAAGATTGAAGTATTCTCACCCTCATAATTGATCCGACTCTTTCGATCTACGAAAATGCCATGTGTGTCGCCAGCGATCGTCTTGAGCAAGGTTGTGCAGCCACTGCCGGGGCGGCCAAGAACAAGTAGCATTTCGCCATGGTTTACCAGACCGTCAAACTGGTCGAGAATCTCAACACGACTGCCGCGCCTTCGAAGAAGCTGGTCGACGACGTACCGTGGGAGGGAAAGAAGGTATGAGGAGACGGTATGTTGAAGCCCGTTCGATGCGATGAATCCATGCACGCAGAGGTTGCGGAAGGCCAGGCCGATACGCAACGCCGGGCGGGCCTGTCTAGAAGCAAGCCAGTCCCGAAAGGCCGAGTCTCGCTTGACCGACTCCGTGGCCATCTTTGAAGAGGATGGGGAAGTTCTCTAAGTCAATGACTAGCTCTCAGCCGAAAGCAATCAAACAACAACGGTGCGAGCAACTTCGGGCCCGCGATTGTCACCTGACGACGACGACGACTGAGAGGGTACAACGAAATGCCACGCGACATCAGGGACATAGCAACCGTGCATATACGCGTCTACAAGCATGTGCATTCAATCGCACTTCTATCTGACGATTCCAAATTTGACGAGCCAGTCATTAGATTGAACCGGAATGTCGCATCAACAGCGCCAACAAGTGCTTGTAGGTTAGGCAAGGGGTGGCTGGCTTTCAGCAGTAAAGTGGTAAGTAAGTATGCGCGCGTGCGGCACAGCGGCTCTTGCCTTACGAAGTAGGTATTCAACCCTTAGTCCTTAGTAAGAACTATTGATGCAGCCACCGATCTCACACTTCAGACATTGGTTCTACCGCATACACTCGAAAAACTCGAACAACACTAACACAAACTACCGGCCCTGTAGCCAATCATACAGCGTTATTCCCTGGGGAAGTGGGTATAAAGTGAAGATCATACCCACTTCCCCAGGAATTAACGCTGTATGATTGGCTACAGGCCGTTAGTGTCTTGTTAGTGTTGTTCGAGTTTTTCGAGTGTATGCGGTATGTACTTATGCCGAAGGATGCGGTAGGGAAAGCAGGGGTTTCATTCGCAACTTCTACGAAGTAGGCATTCGACGTCTGAAGGCCTAGGTACTGTAGGTAGGTATGTAGTCAAGTATTACTGGTACTTTTTGTATTACATCTGATACGCCAGTATAACGCTAAGTATTAAATTAGAGATACCTATTACTCCATTCCCCTAGCCTGCCCTAGCTGTCGGCAACTTACCTCTTTAAGTAGGGATAATGCTACAGTACTTAGATCTACGGTAGCTAGGTAGCCAGGCATCTGCATCTACTAGCTTCTGGGTACTACGTACCTAGGTACCTAGGTCAGAGTAGGTGCTCTGGAGCAGGTATGCATAGGCAGTACTGCATAGGTATATACGTACTCAGTACCTACTATGACCTAATGACAAGGATGGGTTATAACGAATGAAGTATCGGTATTTCACTCAGGAGTCAGCTGCAGAGTCCTTTGCTGTACACGGCCACACCTCATCTCGTCCCGAATGGAGTGGCAAGGGTGGGTAGCCAGAACAGGTAAAGCTGCCACTGCGAGATCGCTTCAGAATGCGACTCTGGAAACAATAGACGTGCAACGTGAGTTGAGATCAATAGTTACGTTAATCGGTATCTACTTATCTACGGAGATGTGCTATCGTCAGAAAATATAAGTATCTACCATAGACACGTCCCTTACTACATGTAAGCACTCGGCCAAGCACACACTTTAGGTATCGTGTAGGGCTGCTGGGTACTTTTCACATGGAGTACGGTACACTAGAGGCGGGAGGAGCAGTGGAGCACTAGCGCCATGGCATTTCGACAGAAATCCCCTACCGTAGTGCGCGCTTTCTAATCCTGAAAGGAACCCGGTTCTTGAGATCCGGTATTCCGAACCCATACCTTGTGTTGGTGAACTCCAGCGCCTCTTTGAACTCGAGGTCGTACTCTGACACTATGAGAGCGCTTGTGAAGACGATGATGGCCTTGGCGAGGAAGCGACCGGGACACATACCGTGTCCACCTACAAAAAAAGACGAGATGTGGTCAGATGCGATCCTGTAGATGGGGGTGGGAAAGATTATAGAACTTACCACCGTAGGGAAGCCAGGCGCCCTGGCAGCCTTCCAGCGAGAAATATGGCTTCTGTTCACCGCTTGGCTTTTCTTGCTGCGGTGTCTTGTTAAGTTCGGGATTGACTGGCCCACTGGTGGGATCACATGGGTCTACCATGAACCGATCAGCCCAGAATGTCTGCACAGGATGCTTGCCATTCCGAGTATTCCAAAACGAAGCGTCCATGTGGTTGGGGTGCGACATGACAAGAGCATGTGCGCCTTTGGGCAACACCCACTTCCCCAGATTGACATCTTCGTACGGCGAGCTGTACATTGAGTAGATGTTGATGTACATGCGCATCGTCTCTGCATAAATAGACGAGAGAATCGGTACCTCCTTTGCGAGATGCTGGGGGTCAACGTCGTGAATTGTCCCAGACTGCGTGCTAAGGTACTCCTGAAGGTCGTGTCTAACACGCCTCAAGAGCTCTTCACTCTGGAAGATGTGATAAACCGAGAGCATCGTGACAAGGACAACGTTGCCTATGCTCCTATGAAACAGTCAGCACAACGTGGTCTCCAATATGTTACCAAGGAGTGAACTTACGCCCAAGCAAGGCCAGTATCCAGATGCGCCAAGGTGTCATCGTCGTGGTGGTCAGCATTTAGAAGCGCTTGCCGATTACGCATCAACTCGGATCCCCATATCGGGTCACCGTCTCCATCGGGGTCACGCAGCGATGGATCAGCGTGTTTTCTCGCATACTTGTACCACGACTTGAAATGATCCGCGAGGCGCTCCCTAATACGATAAGCTTTTGGCAATAGGAAACGCGGCAGGCCCAAGGGGAAGTAGGGAAGGACCCTGTCGTATTCGAAAATATCATCGAGGAACGTTGGGTTTATGCGAAACATCGTGGGTCCCAAGATTGACCGGAGCGTGGGTTCACCAACGTGCTCTCTGAAGAATCGTACCAGGTCACCCGATTCTGTCCACTCCGTGGTTATGCCTTCGAATTTCAGAGGGACTCCTTTCATGTACCGGCGTGTAGTCGGTTTCAAGCCGGGTCCAGTAAGCCCGCGAAACGAAACGCCATGAGTCACGGCTTCAACCCGGTTGTGTGGAAGAACATTGCTAGCTGGATTTGGTTGGGGGAAAGGGCCAGAGTTATCGGCTCTGATAACGTCTGCTGCTTTCTTCGAGATCCCAATCACATTGTACTGGCTGTAGGCGTACATCTCGATAGCACTAGACATAGCCTTATGCTTGAATAATGTTTCAAGCGTCTCCCGGTCCTGGATGTAATAATAATCCTTGCCGGCTAACTGCACTCTGTTTGCTGTCAATTTGCCTCCATAATACCTGATCACAGACAGTCTCAGTAAGCGCGCTCATAATAATTCAACAAACACTTACGAGATTCTTCGAGCGAAGCTCTTATGATCCAGCGCCAACTCGAGAGCTGCACCCAAATAGGGGATAAGAGAAGGGTAGCGCGGTGGAACTTGGCCCGCGGCATTGCCTCGGCACCAATGAGTGTAATGGTATAGTAAGATATCAAGAAAGAACTTGATCAAAATAAGAGCGACAGCAGTTTTCAAAACAACTGCTATACTCAAGTCTTTGATCCATGGTGACAGGTTCTTCAGTATGAAGCCCCAAAGGGGCGCGATTCCACCTGCGCACATTGCAAAAGCGGGAATATGGAATGATCATATGAGAATACGGCAGCCTGGTTCATGATGGATCGCCGGAAAGGTCTTGATGGACTTGGCCAGAGGAAACCAAGAAACGATTTATGAATGATTTATCACTGCCCTCAGACTGCCCTCTTACTAGTGTCATTTATATTAATTGGGAGAAAGGTGGGTTCTATGTAACACAGATCTAGGCTGACCCCTTCGAGGCTCTCTCTACATACTACGTAGAGTGATCATGTTGGTACAGCCCTCTTCAAAGCCTTGGAACCTGCGGCAGCACTAAATCCTCCAGGCAGACTCTACCGGCATGGCGAGAACAAAACAAAACCCCCACCCTGGCCACGTACCTATCAGGTCCGGAGTCCTTTTGCCTACCCTTCCTGGGTACTGTACCGCTCTCACAGGATGCCGGGTACAAAGATACAGATACGCCGCGATCTGCGCGACGCTATACTCTGACTCATCCAAGGAAGGAAATTATCACCTATCTTCCTTATGAGCGGAGTGTCGTAATCATCTGGTGTCATCGAAGAAGGCTGCATACACATGTGAAGGGGTGACTTGCAGCCATGCAACATCGCTAAGACTGGCCGAGGATTCGTTGGTACTGTACGTAGTAGTAGCGCCGAGTTTGGACACATCTGGAGCACAGGGACCACTCGCCCTGCATGGTCCTTCGAGGTTCTGCATCAGTGCGGAATTACGATCTTTACCTAGGTATAGGTCTATTTTTGGCTTCAGTTACCACGACAAGAACGGCATCGTTACCGATCACTCATCGTCGTCGGCACCTGAACCTTGAAACAGTGAGTGACCATCGTTTTAGATTAACTTACTTACTAATGGACCATGACGATGTACCCGTGCTGTGCCCAGGATCAGACCATCGATGGGAAAGCCCGGTGGCTTACCTGGGGGCCGGAGGCGATGAGGTAGGTAGGCGAGTAGGTACCTACCCGATCAATCTGTACTCGGGTACTCGGGTGTGGGTGATCACGTGGTGTTGGATGGTGGCTTGCATGGCCAACAAGCTTAAAAGTTCCCTGCTAGTACAGTATACTCGGCATAGTATTCCGCCTTTTCTTAAAGGCACACTTGACAGGCAAGATGCAGACCACTAGTTTTGCTTGTACTAAATAGGGAATATATTCCTTGAAAAGATAGATAACACTCTCCCCCAGCCCTACATTAGCCACCTAATTATAAGCACCTGTTCAAGCAGAGTCTCGTTTGAAAAGGCGGACGATCAAGGTTGCAACATGAGGCACCTATCAACTTCACCTACCCTGGGCTCGGTATCATTGATCTGCCTTACTAGGTACCATTGCGCGAAAAGGTGGTTACAAGCCGTTCGTGATGGCACCTCGACTGGAGGCCAAACGCACGCGTGTGACATACCACGCATAGCTTGATAGCGGGCGCCCTTATTTGTATGTGTTTGGCATCATCCTCTCCGCTTGTTTCTCGGGCCATCTCGGAATCATTGGAATGATGCTTGATAGACATACAAAACTTTATAGGCAAGTACTTACTGTAGGTAGGTGGTATGAATCAGATGCCTGGATGTCAGGGGAGAGTGCGTTTCCCCAATGACTCGGGACCGGCGGAGACGGGAAACGCCGCAAGGCATGAAAAGTACCTTAGCGGGGGTCAATACCTTACCTAGGGATCCACAGGACTGTTGCAGGGATGACTATTTCTACAGGCAGATACAGGGCTACCATACGCAATAGCTGAAAGCCTACTTAGCCATCTATGCAACCCTTCCAATTCGCAAGCCTAGCCCCGTATGTAACCCTCACGAAAGCTTTCAAGTTGTTAATTAGCATCTTATTGTAGGACCTCAGCTAGGTCGTTATGTATTATGTAAGTCCTGGATATAATTACGGAGGACTGTGTATTTAGTCAATTTTGACACGAGAGGCACAGCGACTGAAAGGGGGATCCCGGCCTTCTTCTAGGCCCTCTAGGACCTTCAGCCTATTGCACGTGGCGAGGCTATACTTAAGTAGTGAGTCAGGTACTTGGACCATCTAGATAACCGGAAATTGCTGATGACAGAATAATAAGTTTATCTGAGACAAGGTGACAGATCTAGAAGTGCCACTGTCATGGGGGCACAACTACCGTTCGATGAAGAAAGATAAGGCAGGTACCAGGCACAGCAGAAGAGTCCCATTACCACGATTGTATCAGAATCTCTGCATCAGGATCTCTGTCAAATCCCCCGCACTACTTACTTAAGTAGGTACCTAGGTTACAACTTTCCCCTCCATGCCAATTCACATTATCTACATCTTTCGGAGTCTACCGCCTTGTCATACGTCGTACGGGAGTAGGAAGGCTCAGCACGCAACATAGTGTAAGCCTCTTTCTTGGCCACCAGGTAGTAGCACCGGTAATTCTTCCAAAGCCGGCTATATCTATTGCCGTTCGATGGACGGTAGTTGCCGAGTGTCGACTAGGTAGGTATCTTGGCTACCCAGGTAGGTAGGTATACTTACATATATAAGTATGACACTGAATAGTGTAAGTAGTGTCGAGAAGTGTCTCCCCTCTTCAGCCCGTAAGCTGGGTAGGACAGGACTTGCGTGTGTTGCTAATTTGGTCTCATTCCACTAACCCAGAGAAGTGTAGGTAGAGTAGTATTCGCTATACAACCTTGCTAGACACGCCTTGATGTAGGGGTGCAGAAGGTGAGGATAGGTCAGAGCTTCAGTTCTGCGCCGCACGCGTGCACGATAAGCACGAAGCGAGCCAACCAGATCCCCTCCAAGCGAGCAAGCCTCGTGCCATCACGAATCCTTCAGGAGCAGAGTTCGGGTGCATTCCCCTTCTTCTCCTGCCCGACTGGAAGGTTGGGACCGAGATGTTGCAGCGGATCTGATGTGCAACACTCCATTGAATGACCTGCATCGTAGTGCGTGCCATCCATTTCGTCTCGAGTGGTGAACAACTCGGCGATCATAGTCACCTTGGCTGCGTGGCAATTACTAAGAGATAAATTTACGCGTCGATTACAACCTTGTGTATGGCTCACGAGGGGTTCGCTCGTTATTATAGCAACACGTTCGTGTTCATGTATCAGTACAGAAAGAGATCCCTCTTCATATTCAACCCATCTTTCCCCTTGCTCCGTACCATCAAGTCCTAGGTTTCGTTGCTGTCTTCTGGTATCCATGTGAACTTGGACACTCTCTGCTTGATGCAACTAACAACCACCGCCCGTTTTCAAGCAGTCTTCTTTTCCAAGTCTTCGTGATGTCTCTCGCAGACCTTCCACCTGGAACCGATCTGTGCCAGATCCCCCTAGGGCCACCGCCGGCGGGACAGGATATTGATTTCAGCAACACAGATCTGAAAGCGCTTGGTATCGGCGTGACGATTCCGACAACTGTCTTGGCTACAGTTTTTGTTTTCGCTCGACTTTATACCAACTTCCGCAAGCCCCAATGGAGTGATCGTTAGTGTTGCCCCTGAACACTCTGTATCGATCTGATACTAAAGCATTTTAGTTCTTGTCTTCATTGCCTTCGGCGCGAACATTGCGCTGCAAGTGAGCTTAATTGTTGGTAAGTAACTTGGTTCCAGATATATTTCGGTGACTGGAGTTTTCAATTCAGCTAACCATGCCTGTCTTCCCAGATTCTCGGTACTTCCGGCACACGTGGCATTTGCCGTTATGCTGGATCAATGGTAAATACCAACAAGTAAGTAACTTGCATCTCGGGTAGATGCACCAAACCACCTTGCTGACCTTGACCACGAAGGCGATATATATCTGGACAATTCTGGCGAACATCAGCCTGCCATGTTCTAAGATCGCCACCTTCCTCCTCTTTTTGCAGATCTTCACGGTCTCGCGCGTAACGCGCATCGCAATTTACATCGGCATCGCAGCCATCTCTGCCCTTTATATAACTGCTATTATTGTTTCAACATACTTTCTCGTCCCCCATAGTGGCCAGACCTGGGACAGTGTTATCGCAAGTCAAGCTTCGGGGCATTTCTTCTCGCAGTACTGGGGTGTTGCGTCCGGCGCTGCAGCTGTGTTGATCGATCTATATATCTTTATTCTACCGCTCCCAATCCTGTGGAGACTAAATTTATCCTCCCGAAGAAAATTGCAGATAACAGCAGTCTTCTTAGTTGGTGTTCTGTATGATGCTTCCTAGACACATCAGCTCCGTCATACCCAAACTAACAAGGCTCTTTCCTTAGTGCTGTCATTGCGGGCGTCATCTCCCTTATCTATAGATCATTCAGCATCAATGGGGGCCCTCAGGGAAGCGACGTCTCCTATAACGCCGCGGTCATTTCAAATCTACTGTAAGTTGTCAAGCACCCCCTAACCCTGGCGATCTGATCTTGCTGTTTTGGACCATTCTCATGATTTTGTATAGCCTCATCGATATGAACGCATCTCTCGTCATTCCTTGTTCGACCGCTTTTGCACATATGTTACGTTCTCAATTCTTGCACTCAAAACTATTCTCATCTTTCCGGTCATCCCTTGGAACCAACAAAAGCGGAGGCGGGTCCTCTGGTGTCCCTGCCGGTCCTAATCGACCGCGGACGAAGAATGACAGCCGTTTTGATAACAGGCGCAAGAAGCCCGCAAAGGACAGCGATGGCTATATGGAGATGAGCGATACATGGCTTATGAATAGCAACGCAACGGTAGATATCGAGGCAGATGCCGGGAGTCAGAAAACAGGTGATGGTCGCGAAGATCTCAAGGTGACGAAGACTGTGCTTGTCGAACGGTCGCCAGCACAAATGGTGTAAAACGAATATCAACAAGAAGGTGGCTACACAAGATTAGCTTCTCACCTAATATACATACACGTAACACAACACATGCAGAGTAGGTGCCATTGGCGGCGTAGTATTGACACTGCTACACGTGCTAGGCGCGCCGTACATATTTCCACGTGTATGGCCTACAGGATTTGGTGAAACACGCCTTCGTACTCAAACGTGAGGCTATTTAGTCCTCGCGTATCTGAGACGTATTGGTGGACCTCGCAGGTCAGGAAGACTGATCCAATTGTGTGCTGCCACCAAGTCCATGAATATGCCCATATGGAACGCAACCGCCTTTTACAGCCAGATTATTGATTGTATCGCGAATAGAGCCGATTCCAGGCTCTCTTGCTAGCCCTTGTTGCAGACTGTAGGACCGTAATCGAGATAACGAGTCTTTCATTTCTCAATATAATGCCATAACGGCCTATCGTATAGCTCTAAGCATATCGATTATGGTAATTTGAAGCACCTATTTCAGCTCTATGCTTATAAATCGTCGCTATCACCGTCGCCATTGCCATTTCCATTTTCCATTACTACTTACCTAGCACCAGCAGCGGCAACATCAGCAAACGGATTGACGGACCGGGTCTCGCTTTCTTCAATAGGCGTGCTATGCTGTGTTACACTACGAAGTAGTACTGTGCGCGAGATGCGTCCCGATATTTCAAATTCCAACGACATCTGGGGTGACACAGCAGGATCAGGATTTGGACAGTGGCGAGAGTGGCTGAACAGAAGGGGCAGAGAAGGGGGGTTCGTTGCGTGACCAGGGTTTCATTGAGCCATCTGTGGTGCAGTGGAACACGGACCTGGAACCAATAGAAACGTACAGGAAGACTCTTGCAAACGGCCAATGTACTGGGTACTCTTTGAGTGAGCAGGTTGGTGGCATGGCGTCGATTACGACATTGTAACGCTGGGCGTACGTCTGAGGCACAGCACAGGTGCTGGCTCGGCGATATACAGCACACTTCTGGCTACAATACGCGATAAATGAGACACCGAGACGGTCGATGCAACAATCCTCTGAAGGATGCATTGCTCCAAGAGGATGGCGCAAGTTCTAAACTACTAAGTATCTTTCACTAGAGTAGGTACCTAAGTAAGTAGGTAGTCTAAGTAGCGGCCACAAAGATCTCGGCAGAGCGAAGTGCCTGGTGCGGGAAGGATGCCCGAATGAAGGCGGGATGCGGGGGATCTTTTAGGTAGGTACATCTTTTACATATAAAGTACTTACCTTGGTAGGTTGGCGAGTGTTGGTAGTATGAAGTACCTAGGTCTCAGCGAGCATTAGCGCAGTTCAGACGCTGTAGCGCTCGGGCTACCGAACCTCTAGAGAGCGATTTACCGTTAGAGGTCCACGGATATATTGCGCCGAAATGCACTAAGCAGGTGCCTAGCTCTAGCGCGATAGGGCGGCTGTTAGCGCACTGAGAATACCTACCTACCTAAAAACATTCCCATCAGTAGGTACGCCTTGGCATCGCCTGACCAATGACCACTACCATCCCACATCTGCTGGCGTCGGACATTTGTGGTGCAATGCATGTTGAAGGGGCTGTGTTATGTAGGTAGGTAGGTAACTGTTAGCTGGGCCTACATTCTCCTTGTTTGTTTCTCTGCGAAAGGTAGCGATGAATCTGAGGTACCGGTAGGCTTACTATGTAAGGTGTAATAACTAAGGTCACACTGAGATGATGATAATGATCCAGACAGCAAACAAGCCTGAGACAGACTCTTGGTGATGGGTTCGTGTTGAAAGCAACGCAAATCAGAACTGGTATGACGGCGGCCTGAATATTACGAGATTACCGCGAGTTTTGGGGGCCGATTGATTCACACCAACCATATTCAAATCTGTAGGTAAGGGATGCGGCACACGTATTAAGTAGCATCCTAACAAGGACCTGACATAAGTAAGGTATCTGACGTAGGTACCTTGCACTCATTGAGCCGAGAGCATGACCTTTCGTTTTGTGATGAATCGCCGTGAGGCTAAGATATCTCTCTAGCTACATTCTTCCCCTTCGTCGCCGTTGACGACGCTAGTGAACGCCCACCTGCTTCCAAGCTTCAAAATGCCGTCTACTTTGGCTCTGACAGCGACAGCGATCGCCGTCATCTATTCTTTCTTCCGGGCTCTTGTGTTCCTCAGGCATGATGCACGAGAACCCAAGGCCGTTATTGGCGCCATCCCCTATCTCAGTCCCCTCTTCGGTATGGTAGTCGGACAAGATAAGTTCTATCAGCGCTTAAGGTACAGCGCGACGTCTCTCGCCGTCTTATCCTCATCCTGAGACCCCGTAGTTCCCGATACTGATATTGTGGTATGACCAGAGACGAAACCCGTCTGCCCATTTACACGCTGAACATACCGTGGGTACCGGTCTACATCGTCAATTCTTTGGAGATACTGCAGCGCGTTGACCGTCACATCGACACGCTCCCTTTCGCTCCTATGAAAGCCCAGACGTGTAAGAAGGTCTGCAGCGTGAGCCAAGCTGGCATAAGCAAGATTTACGGCGATAACCTCTTGGCCCAAGATGGTTACCTGTACAGCCACCAGCGAGCCTCCGCACATGCTGGAGCACCCGGTGACAGCTTGAATTCTCTTTCACGCTCAGCAAGCAGGGTATTTGCTGCCTCTTTTGATCGAATTGAATCACAAGGCCGCACGACTGTTGATCTTTACGATTTCGTTCGTCAAGCAACGTTCGATGCTACAACCGACGCCATGTACGGCCCCCATAATCCATTCCGTACCTCCGAAAACCTCAAGGATTGGTCTATTTTTGAATCTGGACTACCTCTCATGTTCATCGGCCTTTTCCCGAACATCCTCGCGAGACGCGCCTGCCAGGCAAGAGACCGCTTGGTTTCAGCCTTTATTGATTATTTCGGCAAAAATAAGCACCTCGACGGCGGCTCTCTTTTTGTTCAACTCACGCAAAAAGTGAATGACAGCACTAGTCTGAGCTTGGAGGACAAGGCTCGGGTCGAAGTTGGCCAAGTGGCTGCGGCGACTTTCAACACCGCTCCGGGCGCCTATTGGTGCGTCTGGCAAGTTCTATCTGATCCCGTCGTGTTCAAAGATTGCAGAGAAGAGGTCATGCGACTCGTAAACGAAGTTGACGGATTTCATACTATCGACCTCGCGCGCATGAGGACAGAGTGCCCCTTGCTGGTGTCCACCCTTCAAGAGGTGATGAGGTTCTATGGCACGGCCACCTCGCTGCGTCTTATATACGAGGATACAATGCTAGGCGATCAGTATTTCCTGAAGAAGGGCGGTGCCGTATTGATGCCCAACAGTATGTTCCATACCGATGAAACACTCTGGGGACCAACGGTGCGCGAGTTCGACCATACGCGGTTCTTGAGAGCGGGCCAGCGCAAGTCCAACTTTAAACATCCAGCTGCCGCTTTCCGTGGTTTTGGTGGCGGTCATGTCCTATGCCCAGGTCGCCATCTGGCCAGCACAGAAATGCTAGCGCTGATGGCCCTGGTACTTGTGCGCGTCGATGTTGTTCCCCCTGGTGGTAAATGGCCGGCTACAAGGACGGGCCAGTCGGCTGGTAGAGCATTGCCTCTGCCGAAAGAACGTGTGCTCGTTGATTTCGTCCCCAGAGCTGCTGGTAAGTGGCGGGTGATATTCTCTGACGAGAACAACAGTGGTGTAAATCTCGTAGCGGAAGATATCGATAGCACGAAGGGCTAAGGGAGATAGTCAGTGTTTGATGAGTTTAATTGTAATATATTGACACATGAGTTACTACCTTACTCTCCCGAATGGCTGACCCCCTGTGTCCCCACCCGCGGTGATCAGAAGCAACAAATACATAACATATCTCCATCTGTAGCAAGCCTAGATCCTATGAAATTTCTCAGGCTCTCAGCCTACTTACACTGCGCGGATATGACTTGGTAATAGCATGCATGACGAGTTGAATTCGACCCATGAGGCGCGCAAGAACTCTGAGCATTCCTGCGAAGTTACTTGGCTCGGCCTGGTAAGGTTCCAACCTACTATATACGAAGTAATGGCATATCTACATATCACAACAGATCGCTACCACCCAAGCTACCAATTAAGTACAGAGTTTGACAAAGTTGTCGTACAAGCTGTATTGTCCTCCAATGGGCGGTGGTTCGGCGTGCGCTTATTTACCTAGGAGTGATTAGGATATCGACGGATGTTCATAGATGCATCGTCTCTAGCGAATCCTATGACAACCCCTAACAGATCACTGCGGGTTGAAATAGGAATCATCTTCGACGTTCGCTACTGAGACTTGGAGTAGCTTCCCATACTTGCCACCTGGGCGAAATCCAGAGGCTTTTAAGCGATCACTTCGAACCAGAGCAAGACCTTGGCCTCTTCAGACTGTCCCTATTGGCGGGACTCTCTGTCCCACTCTCCTTGGTAACAAGCATATCTAGAATGGTTATTGACTCGGGTAACGGGTAATCAAGACTGGCCGTAACTAAGTACGTTTCATAGCGTTCTACGTGAACCGCGCAAGCAAACGAACGCAATCATTTCTACCATCATGGCGAATGCTGACCTGAGCTTCAATTGGTCAACATTCGCGTCAAGTCTGGCCTCCGTATTTCTGGTCTTCTCTTTCACGATTCATAGTGGTGGAAGGTTGCCGCCGTATGCTCATCATTATCGTCAAAATGGTATTAGCTCATGTCCGTAATTGTGTTTTTAGCCCCTGTTCACATTGTAGCAGAGGCCATTCATCTGTGAATTTATAGTCAATTGAAGTTTGATTATCAAATGGCGTTCTACGTACTTTATCCGATAACCTCCCTCCACCTCCCTTCAACTTGCACACGATGACTCCGAGACATCATCCAGGCCGCCTCTAGTGACCACCAATCCTCTAGCCTACGGCCTCAATGAACATTATCAAACATTGTAAGATAGCGAAACATTAGCCTGCATACCCATATATGAATCGTCCTTCTACATTTGTCACTGTAGGAGCGCAGTAGGAAGCCCTCACGACTGTCTGGTTGGTTCAGTCATAATTTAAAACTATCATTTTTATCTAGTAGGATGACAGTTGACGTGAAAAACAAAAGATAATCAATCGTAACCATACGATCTAAGAACAACGTAGGATATGATAATAACCACATGGTGTCATGCTGGTACTGAAAACTGCTCCTATAACAACCAAGCTGTAAAATGGTCGAAACCAGGCCAATACCTCGGACATCCGCAGCCTCGTACCACACTCAACTAAAATGGGCTATCATCCCTTACCAACTTATTTAAGTGACGATGTGCTCCAATTCATCAGCGTTGGACTGCTCCCATGGGTACAACGCCTCGGCTTGGCGGATCAGTGCCTCATGTTGGGGGCTCCTAGGCTTAAAGGTCGCCTTAAATGGTTCCACACGATGGATAAGACCGGGGATAATCTTCATGGGTTCCTCAATCTCATGGCCATTCTCGTCTATGCCCCTACCAATATCGAAAACCGCCAAAGTCCGAGCAATAGTTACCCAAGTAGACGAAATGGCGAGATAACGCCCTGGACAGATGCGACGGCCATAACCCCAAATATGCCTGCTCGGATCTGGATTCGGATTTGGGCCAAGAAAGCGTGCTGGGTTGAACTCCGAGGGATTAGGGTAGACAGCTGGATCATTGGTGAACCACCATACATTGGGTAGAATTGTCGTTCCTTTTGGAATGTAATACCCATTGACGACGTCGTCAGCTTCTGTTGTATGGGGCGCAGCCATAGGGACTACTGTGTGCCACCGAAACGATTCTGATACTATGGCGCTAATGTAAGGGAGGCTGTCCTTATCACTATACTCGGGGAGTCGGCCATTCCCGATGACTCGATCGATCTCTTCTTGAGCCTTACGCTGGACTTCAGGAGCGTTCATAATGCAGTAAAAGAAAACACATAAAGTGTTGACGGTCTAGTTCACAAGTTAATTTAACCCGCATTCCAACTCAGTATATTTAGGACAGGCACGTTTGACATACGGTATCGGAGCCACCAAAATATGCAGTCGTCTGTTAGAATCTTCGTTAGCTCTCTGTAGCTATTCAAGTGGTGGAAGGATACAACTATCCAGGGACTTATAGATGGAGGGTTATTGACATCGTAGACTACTTACAGCGGCCGACTGAAAACAGTGCTGAACCTCCGCCGATACTTCATCGCCTCTACTGTCATAAAATTCTGAGACCATATTCGGTTCGAAATCACCACTAGCGTGTCGTTTCCGAGCGAACCGCAATGGCATCTCTACGGCTGCTGTTACCGTAGCGTGACATTTTTTGGCATATTGCTTCCATCCAGTACCGGGTACCCACTCAGGAACGTGTTGTACTGTGAAGGCTTAGCTTGGTAACCCTTGCGAACGTCTCGTAGTAGTATCACATGGGTTCTCAAAGGACTGAAGAAATCACATACAAGCGGGGATGAAATCCACGAGCCGCGCACCGATGGCAAAAGTCTCCGAAAAATAGGTCATGGCCTCATCGACAACTTGGACCAACGGATCTGGTTTGTGAGGCTCTACTGTATATCCATATACCATCTTGAGAATAATGGCGGCAGCCTCACTACCGGATGTCAGCATCCGTCGCATTGTGTAGCGAAGGATTATGTTTCACGTACACCTTAATGTGGTCGAAGAGTAAATCTGGCTTCTGTAAAACGCGGAAGAGAAAACGATGTGCTTCTTTTTCTTGTATATGTATATAGCGAGCAGCGAGCTTTTCCGTGCCAAGCGCCGTATGCAAGAGCTTTCGGGTCACCTGATGCTGTTTGTTGTACGGCAGGAGACTGAAAATGTCGTAGAAGCGGCACCTTGAAATTGCTAAGCCATACATACACGTTTGTTTGTCATACGGGGCGTGCAAAAACTATTACCTACAGTTTAGCAAATACTAGTTTCGGTCGCGACGAGTATATCGAGGATCTCTTTTCCAACATTTGGATGGCTAGCTCCGCCGAATGTAATATTACTTGAGTTGTTCCTAACGCAGTTACAGAGCTGATAGGTCCTGCCTCGTCATAGGTGTTAGTGGCTATTCGCTCTGGTATTTAAAATTCGTGGCACTGCATACCGTAGGTGTCTTTATGCTTCAACCAATGCTCATACTCGCGCTCACCAGCCTTCGGAAAGTCGTTGATATTTCCTAAAATCGGCCCTTCAAAATACATTTTAAGCATTGACGCATTGAGAGAATCGAATGAAGACATATGGGAAGTCTCGGGATATTACATACATCCTTTAGGTCCTGGAGGTAGGGGACCTGGCTTCTGTTTTACAGCGTCAAGGAAGATCTTGATACCAATGACCACCACAGTGGCCACAAGGAGGCTTATGACCAGATGTGTAGCCATGGTGTTCAATGCCAGTCGCAAGATTCGAAAGATTTGATGCGATGTTGCGAATTTGATGAATGGGTAAAGTTAAGAAGAGATCATTAATCCCTGGAAAAATAATTTTGGTGTCTTCTTATATCATCAAGCAAATACACCATGAATTCTTCCGTTCACTACCGTCTAAGTATGCGCAAACGCTGCCTAGACTCGAACATTTGGAACGCGGCATAGCCTGTGGAACAGACATCCAAGGCACCACACAAACCCACACCCGGCACGGCAATATTATATAAGACTTTTCGAAACGATAGGCTGGATGCATTGGATGTTGCATGATTACTTCTTGACTTACCTAGTAAACATAGAGAGTGCTACTCTGACGGCCTTGTAGATAACCCCATGACTGGTAAACGGGAGCATTGACGGCGATACACGTCAGATATAATGCTTCAATTGGTCCGACTGTTGCTGTAATACGTAAACGATCTATGATCGATTGTTTGCGCATGAATCCAACGCAGTCTGATTCGGCCGTCAATATGCCCAGGTTTCTTTTGTATCGTCACACAGCATTGGAGACTTATAACTACATTATTATATCGAGCACGGTGCGCACCACATGTGTCTCGTTTGGGTAGTGCCTGGTCGAGTGAAAGGGGCATATGATCGAATACGATAAAGATATAAACATATAGTAGGCTAATTCCACATGGCACTTGAACGGTGCGATATTTCAAAACTAGATATCCCCACGGCGGCCTCGGTCAACTATTTTGTCCGTTACCCGTTAGTCGTTTCAAAGAAATAGAAACATCGCAAACAATTGCCTTGGTTGTCCGGGCTTCAAACTCTATGGAAAGGAGTTCACACCATAAGTATACGAATCAGGCGGGAATAAGCTTAACTAAGTCAATGATTGGAAATCTAGTCAGCTTGTCTCATCCAGTGGCGAGGAAGATTTGCTCGGCTTATTTCAGAAGTGCAGCGTAGAACCCTTGTCAACAACCCCTTCTCACTGACATCCTTATGACGCGAGAGCATGTGATCCAACCTAGATCTATGTGCCAAGCTGGCCCGATGATACCCCCAGCTACTGAGTATCGGGAAGCCAATGCCTGGGGACTATAACCGCACAATCGGTATTCGGGTTTCCGTTTTTACCAAGAAGTAGCAATAGTAATCTAACACAACATAAGCTCTTTGGCAATTATGTCAGATCGCGACCGTTCGCCATTCGCAAGATACTAGTCTCGCAAGTCAAAATGATACATTGAGAAAGAAAAGAAAGAAATATAGTAAGCTTCATCAGGCATCCAATAGTAGAAAACCCCTCGGCAGTTGCCGACACCGGGACGGTAGGCGTACATGGTTATGTACGCACTTGGTAAATCGCCGCCCATACAAAAGATATAGGCAGCACCATTGACTAAAACCCTCGCATGAATCAGAAAGCACTTTTGAAGGCAAAACGAACCCTGTTCCCTATCTTGAGGTAGATATGTTACTCTGTAGTACCCTTGTGATGGTATCCCTGAGATTATAGAAACAAAGCGCCGTTGAGAAATTTGATGTGGCGCTTCCAATTCGGGGAGTATTTCCACTATTCTGTGCCCAAGCACCCAATAAAAGACTAGGGCGGGGTACAGACATAACGGCGCGTTGTTTCTGTAATCCTAGGAAATTCGGTATCTGCCGCTTCTAGCCTCACGAGGGTCTCATCGCTCGCCGCCAGATTCATGTTGGCGCCAAGACTTATGATTACCTAAACACTTATTTTAAGCACGCTTACATAATACTTACAGGAGAGTATGAATGCTTCATCAACCCATATACTACATAGTAGTTTACTTTGGACTTTAGCTATTTCATTGATACGATGCCATAGGGGTGGCCAGCTAGTTACGGCCTCGAGCAATCTGGGCTAGACGGATAGGTGTTGTTGTATTGATAATTTCTATAGTTGGTTGATGGTGTGGCTCACCGAACTGTACTTCATTTGTAACAATGATACCGAATGATCTTATAATTTCTTTAATCTGTCAGGCGGTATAAGGGCGTTTATTTGATAAGTCAATTGCAAGGCATGGGCTAATAGGTAGGTCATAGCTGGTAATAGGGACTCCATTTCCAAGAATTTTGAATCTTGCTGGTGTCATGGAACAGCTGCGCTTAATCTGTCCATCAGGTGCAGGCCTACTTCGTCGAGATTAGTGTTGCACCGTTCTGTATCTGACTCTATATGCAATAATTTCTGGCGCTAATAGAGATATTCATATATAAGAGCAGTGACTAGGTTCAAATCGACCGTGCCTATAACATGAGCTGATACAGAGGTTTCGAATTGAAGCTGTTCACGAGACAACACTCTTTTGGGTCTGTTAGGTCCTCGGCTGCCGGATTCCTTTTTGGCTCTGGTGGCTGAATTAGATACATACGGCCTTTGCAATTTCTCAGAGCCCGAAAGTGTCTCATGCTAGTAACCTTCGTGTCTCATTTGAAAGGGTCTTTTGCAATGCGCTCAGCCGGAGGCGACCTGTATTCAACCGTACGTACGCTTGAGACTTCCGACGAAAAGAATATATTAGACTACTAGGCTGGTCTGCCGAAACCGCTTGCTCAATATATGTACGGCGTGTGCGCGCGTATCCCAGTCCTGTGGCGCCGTGTTACAGGCAGGCTCGTTTGTCGGCAGACAGGGTATATTATGGAAGAGAGCAAGCGATATTTTGGGCGGCGGAGAGTTTCCATGACGATTACCTACCTACCAGGTACATATGTAGTTTCAAGGGGGGGCAGACATATAGCTATGTACTCAGGTACCCTCTCTCAATTTTAAGCCAATTAAAGAGATGGGACAGAGCTTCAGGGTTCCCCTATTTTACTAAATATCGACCGTACGACTTCAACACCAACGCGTTCAATAGCTTGAACACCTAACTTAATTATTGCTTAAAGATCTCTTAAATAAAATTAGAGTAGTTCAATAAAAGCATATATCCATTAAATCTATGTTAATGTGAAATGTAAATGATATGATATGAAAGATTGCAATTTTGGATATCAGTACCCGGTTTTGGAGACTTAGATACCAACTCTTCAACACTTGTATGCAAAAGCAAAAGCAAAAGCAAAAGCAAAAGCAAACGCAAACGCAAACGCAAACCTCAACTAGCATCACATAGTTCATATCGCAGCACGCAACTTCTCCTAATCAAATCTGTTCACCGCCATCTCACCTGAATACACACTCCAAGAGCGCCAGGAAGCCTGAAAATTCGCTAGCAACATGGTGTATGTCATGGAATTCTACGTTGATGGAGGCTGCCGTGGCAATGGCCAACCGTGGGCGATTGGCGCCGCCGCGTGCGTTCTCAAAACACGGAGCGGCCTATCCTTCCACAGAACGGTAGAATTGTCACAGTATCCGAATCTTCCCACCAACCAACGAGCGGAGATCGCAGCTATCATTGTAGCTCTCAAATGGGCTCTGGAGAAATACCAAGAATTGGATTCGTCTCCCCGACTTGATATCCGCATTCACTCCGACTCCAGATATGCTATCGGGTGTATGAACGAGTGGATCTTCAAGTGGGTGCGCAATGGATGGATGAACGCAGCTGGTAACGAGGTCGCCAACCGTGACTTGATTGAGAAGGCTTCCGATCTCGATGACGATGTCAAAGAACTGGGCTCGGTGGAGTATATCTGGGTTCCTCGGTCGCAGAATGAAGAGGCGGATGAAGCATGTAATGATAAATTGGACGAACTGGAGGATTAATTGCCTGGGACTTCATGGCACTACGAACCAGTCTGAGTGGTCCATCTGGAAGAAGGTAAGTTCATCACATCACACGATTAGCTAATTGTCACGAGAAGAGACGAATCCTTGGATTCGCTGCGAAGCTGTCTTCGTCGGCAGAGCCTCTAGCTTGCTTCTTTGAAGACATCGTGAAAGTACGGCTTCTAATCATTGCTCTCTTAGGCTTTCTCTAAAGAGGAGAAACGGCACACTGATACCCATGTCTTGTCTGTGTAATACCGATGCGATGAATCTTCGTTCAGCTTTCCAGCAGCTCATAAAACCATAGCTTATTCTGATTTCCCTCTTGATTCGACGAGTTACTGTTTTCTTTCTCCTTGTTTTCGACACGAAGCGCCCTGCCTTCCTCGCAGGCTTTTGGGCTCATGCAAAACCGCATACGGTCGGGGAAGGGGACACAGTCTTGTTACACGGTACAGACAAAGAAGTCTTGTACACCCCTATACCTGCCTAAGTAAGATTGCGACAAGTCTAAAGTCGCCCGATTCTTGGAGCTTTCGTTAAAGATTGAAGCAGGCTCATGTGCAGCTTTGCGCTCGCGGGGTGGGACATGCTTGGTTATCTATCCTGGCGGACAACCAATTTTTTGGCGCATTGCAAAACTCTATCGGCATAGGCCCGTGCACATACGCTTCGTTCGATTAATCGGATGGCCTCATTGATGGAATTTGTTGTCTCGGGGCTGGCTGTCGCGTTTGGATGGAGGAGAAGGAGCGTAATTTAGGCTGTACGAAGATGGAGGAGGATGGAGGAGTACGGAACCCCACTACGCTACCTCCTACCCACTGTCCTGGGGGTAGCGCCTGTACGATGTTGTAATTTCTCATACCGAATAAATTATGGCGTCTGTGAACTCTTGAAATGATGCTCTTCACTTCCTAGTATCTCATCTGCTGTATGCCACTGTAGGCCAAGGCTTTAGATAAGAGATGAATGCAATGAGAGGCATAACGCTGGGTGCGCTGTGGTCGCTATATCTGCTGTCAGCATATGCTGTCGCAGCGGCCCCCTCACCTGAGTCCCTTCACTCATCCATCACTACGCTCATTGTCAATGACCTACAAGGTAAAGATCCCACAACGCTCCGGTGAAATCTTTCGTTAACGGAATTTTCAGGTACGCGCAGTCCTTTCGCCGATTCAGGGCTGATCATCCTCGATGCGCGTTCGCACGCCGATGCTTCTAAATCATGCCAGGCGCTTGGCGAAGAACTTTGGGCTCCCGAGCTGGGAATATCTCGCATTCGAATGAACTTAGACTATTTGAAATACACGGGAAAATATGATAAATGGCGTAGGTTCTGGGTTAAGTCAGGACACTCGACTGCTAGGACCATAGACACAACTGGGCATGTGTCGAGCATATCCGAAGCTGTTGAACTACCCGTACTATGTACGCATTCTGCCCCCTTTTCCAATGAGACATACCAAGACAAGAACAAGAAATGGCAGGTGCAGATTCGCTCAAACAATGACTACATAACTGGGTAAGGTTTCCATCACTTCGAGTAGATCGTTAACTCTGATCATTCGCTGTATAGGTTCCGAGATCGTTTGAGCTTCCGATTCCTGGGGATCAGGTATGCTACCCAGCCAAAGCGATTTGCATATCCGGTGCCCTATACTGGCAATAACAGCCATATGTCTGCAACACAGTATGGATCTGCTTGTGTACAGGGCAGCTCTGGCAGCGAAGATTGCCACTTCCTCAACGTTTGGACCCCTTATCTTCCAGGGCCGAAATCCGGTAGACGATCTTTGAGACCTGTCATGGTATGCTGATATGTGCCGCATACCGTATATTGAAGCGGGGAATCATAAACAGGATACTAACGACACTTGACCTTTTATAGTTCTGGATACAGTGAGTTAGTTTTGTTTACCGTCTCAGTGGGCTTTATCCCAATCCTCCACACCAGCCTATGATGTAACTTGAGGATGTTGTTGCGGTTGGCACCAAGATGTTCTTGGTTAGTTAGAAGACACATGATCTTATTATGAATGTCATTTTCATCATCTCACCCAAGTGCTCTAGATCACTGCTAACTCGAACTCGAACAAAGCGGCGGGGGATTCGTTAGCGGTACTGGGAATGATAAGGACTTCGACGGTGGTAATTTGGCCTCTCGAAGCGATGTTGTTGTCGTCGCTATCAACTATCGTTTAGGAACCTTCGGCTTCCTTGCTCTCGATGACGGGATGACCAATGGCAACTTCGGCCTTGCGGATCGTAAGTAGCCTCTGAATGAGACCCTTAGTACTCTTCTCCTCCCAACTTCCCCCTATTACGAGTACCTAGTTCTTGCAAAGTAGCCTTTTGGAAATATTTGTCACACCTTGCCCCCCTCATACAATCATTTCCTCATGTCATCGGCCAAGACAAAAGTTGTTAACTATGAGCATTTCAAATAGAGATTGCAGCGCTCAACTGGGTGAGAAGTCACATTGGCAAATTCGGTGGTGATCCGGACAGAATCACTATTTTCGGCCAATCAGCTGGAGCTGCTAGCGTACGAGCCCTGGCTGCTTCGCCCAAGGCTCTTGGCAAATTCGCGGCAGCCATACCTCTCAGCAGCCCAGGAGGTGTAGGTGGTGCAAGCAGGTTCTCCAAGTACATGACAATAGATGAAGAGATGAAGGAAGTGGGAAATGCACTTCTTACATCGACCAACTGTACAGATGCAACTTCTCAGGTCAACTGCCTCCGTTCTATTCCATCATCCGACCTGAGCGCTATCGGAGCTATAGCATCATTTCTAGTAGTGGACGGTACTTATCTAGTGTCAGACGAACTCGACATATCCAAGGGGTCAAGGTATCCTTTTCATCTAATGATTGGCACCACCCGAGATGACGGTGCTGCCTTCATTGGCTATCCTAGAACCACGAACCAATCGGCCTATTTAGCATCCCTGGGACTCGAGGTGCCTTCTCCGAAACTATTTCCGGTTCCCAATATCGCAAATAAAACGCTAGGTTTATTCAATATGACCGCTCGACTCGCCACAGACGGTCAATTCCGATGTATCGACCAAGCGACTGCCTACGGGGCTCTGTTCAATAACCGACTGAGTTCCGCCTACTATTACGAATTCAACCGTACCTACCAGCTCACAAACTACCCACGGCTAGATGTATGTGAGCCGCCCAAATCGACGGCTTATCCACATGGGGATCCCGACGGGGAGTATTTCAAATGCCATTCTGGCGAACTGTACTATCTCTTCGGCAACCTCGCACGCGAGGGTCTGCCTATGCGAGACGAAAACGACTTGCCTTTCCAGCAATTCATTGTAGATTCGTTCAGCTCTTTTGCACGAACATACAATCCGAATCCCGACCCGGCATACCTCCGAGCAAGGGGCTATTCCAATACGCTTCGCGAGATCGAGCGGATTGGAAAATGGAAACCTGCTACAAAGCGGCGAACGACAAAGCGCGTGCTACAATGGCCCAGTTTCGACAGCTTGTTCACTGAGCTCGAGCAGTGTCAGGAGCTTAGAGTGCCTCTGGATCATTATGAGGCTAAATCGGTATCGTCGATATTTCATCAGGGATCGCGTAAATTTCGCTATGAAACTCGGGACTCCTTGGGAAGATAGCTTAGATTAGACCCGATTAGGATTGCCAATGTTCAAAGTCTTCAGCGGCGTGGATTTATCTCGACAGAAGAAGGCAAGGAATATCTTATGTGAGCTAAAATAAGAACACTCAGCAGCTCAGCTTGAACCATGTTGCTAGCGCGAAACCGGGACAATCCCCCAAAGGTTCGAGCAATATCGGGAGCTTAGAGCGCCTTTGGATCATTATACAGTTAAGTCGGTATCGTCGATATTTTGTCATGGATCACGTAGATTTCGCTATGGAATTCGGGACTATTTGGAAAGATAGCTTAGATTAGACCCGAATAGGAATTTCTACACTTAAAGTCTTCACCGGCAATATTCATAACGTGTATGTGTTACACGCGTACAAGCTGAACATGCGGTTCGCTTTTCGCTTCGGCCGTACCAAAGGCCAAGGCAGGCTGTTCATGATCTTCAGAAACAAGCAGGCAATATTGAAAATAAGATTGTACAGACTTCGCTTCATGGAACAAGCCAATCCACTAGGGCTGGCAGACCAGACGTATGATAGAGTCAGGTCAAGCCACCAAGGCCAAGAAGGAACTGACTAGCTAAGGACCATTGCAGCCTTGTTAAATCACTGTATCCTGAATATCATCAAGTTCCAAGCCCAGTTATCTGCCCTCGTTGTAGTATGATTCCTATAATATGAGTTAACCTAGGGAAAGAAGGAATGGAAATGTCAAAATGGAACGCCTGTACGGTTACTGATGCACGGGACATTCGTACATGAAACCTGTATGGGTATAATGGGAATGTTCGATAAAGGAAAGGTACCTACCTGATCGATGCCACGTCAAATGGCCACCTGACTGATCCCAAATGAGCCCGACGGGTCTAAAATTTGATTAGAGATCGCTATGTTCGTTTTCTTGTTGGATAGCGGATCACCATCCACAAGACCAGCCACTTCACTCTTCCTCTTGTGCGCTTGCATCTGCCTTGCATTTCTCAAAACGACCGACACGCTCTGCTTCAAGACACCAAGCAGTGTCTTCTCCGCGTAACCGACTAGTACATTCCGGATTAGATTGCAGATATGGTCCCTTTTGTACCCGTGCCCGTCGCAAATGTCGTCGTAGTAAAACTCCAACCCTTCGCCCTCCTCGACGGCCTGCGCCCGATGAACCCGGAGCGCGAACTCCTTGGCGTTGATGGCGATGGAGAATAGGCGTACGTCGGAGAAGAATGCGTCTTGGTGTCCGGCCGCGCTCATCCAAATATAGATGTTGAAGAGCGCCTGGCTAGCGCTGTGCATGTTGGCCATGAGTGCCGGCGTCAGGTCGTGGAACCCTTTCTTCGCCTCGATGAAAATGAAAGGGAAGCAGCGATTAATGGACCCGTCCGGGCTCATGCACGCCTTGAAGCCGTCCGGGATGGGCGTAGATTTCTGGTAGGGCCCCCGTCCGACGAGCGATTTGAAACGGAAGAAGATAGCAAGATCTGGCTTGGGGGCTGGAATGGTATTTTCTTCTGTCGATGGCAGCACGTAGTAATTACTTCGTAGTGACCACGCACCTTCGCAATTGAAGTCGAACTTGTCGCTGATCTGGTGGCGGTTGAGGATGGACATCATGACGGTTCGCTGAAATACGGCCGCGTTGGAGGGGTGCTTGCAATGTTCGAGGTCCCTTTCGAAATCTCGGTTTGTTATAGTCGCCATTTGGACTGTTGACTTCCACTCGTTTATAGCATCGGACAATTCTTCCACTGTGTCGTAGATATTGGCGTCATTTTGGTTGCTGAGGAATAACTCGATCTTATTGCGTAACAGCGTCGTCTGTTCCAATTGAATAGCACCAGCCTTTGTAATTATAACAACCTTAAGATCAGCCGTCTTCGGATCATCGACGCGCTCCTCAAACTCTACCAGGCGGGTTCGCAAGCCTTCCGCCAATGAGACCTTTTTGGCTTCCCTTCTTGCGCTCTCTGTTCTATCCGGGTTTACCGTAGATTGTCGCTCTGATGCAGCTGCAGATTCTTCTGTTGAATAGGAAGTAGAGCGCGCCATGTCACTACTACTACCGAGTCTTTTTAAATCTGAAAAGAACGGGTCGACGTCGGCTACCGGCGAAACGCGCACTTCTTCTAACCACGAGTCGAGACGCTATATTATCGTGAGTTTACAATCTCGATCTTGAGGGTTATGGTATGACGAACCGAACATAGCCGTAGCTTTTGAGGGTCGGGATCGTAATCAGCAAAATCTTGGAGGCGACAAAGTGCGCTCGTCTCTTGAATACTCTCCCTTGCTACCTCTTGCGTACGTCTCGTTTTGGTCTGGTCCTGCGCCGGTAAACTCGGAGCTGTGGCAGAGCTGCGGTCACGAGGCGTAACGACTTCGCGATTTGGCGAACGTTTTATCCCCCCAGAGTTTAACTTGCGCAGCTTTCTACGGCGTGCTTTCGTCTCACGAGTCGTTTCGCCCGGGCTTTTTGTAGTAGCAGGCTTGTGAACTGACAATTTATGAGCCTTAAGGAGCTCTTGGGCACGTATTCGCTCGCTTCGACGGCCTGTCGGTTTTGGAGCTGCTGTAGAAAGCTGCATTTGAGTAAGCGCCAGGAACTTCTTACTTAACTTGATATGTTTAGCTATACCTGCTCAGAGATTTCGTTATTATTGCCTTTCTGGAGGCCTGCTTGAGGCAGCGCTCCTTGCTTTCTTGTTGTAGGCATCAAAAGTGAGATGGAGATGGAGAACTTGCCCCTGCATGGAGCAGAACCGGACTAAGTGTATGACACAGCAGAAGCCTCCCTCGAGGCATGCAGCGCAAACCCTACATATCCAACGAGAAGTCAGTATAAGGATACACAAAAGCTAACAGCAAACAAATATCTAATCCACACCCTCTCGTCTTTACTCTTCCACCGCTGCACCATCCCTTTGAACGCTGCCAAGAACTTAGGAAGGCAAGGACACTAGACAGGGGATCATTAACGACATCCCTGTGCTGCGAAGTTAAAATGGCGTCTAAAGGGATACGTAGAACATCTAAGTCTAATTCAGCATTTCCTGGGCAGTAGATACATAAACCACCCAGAGCCTAAGAGAAGTGGCATCGAGACGGTATATTCCCGAGAGAGAACGGCCTCGCGTTCAAGAAGAATCGACAATCTTGACTTTGAGTCAATCGCGCTACTGTTATGATTAAAGAGAGTTGTCATTATTTTTCATATATGTTGGAACTGTGGTTGGTGGCTTGTTTGAAGGGTGGGGGCCGGGGGATGCTTTTCGGAAATCTTCTGTGCTTATTCAGGGATTATCTATCTCGTGTCATTGGGGGCGGACACAGCAGGAACAATTCAAGCAAAAGTTGTCTAGGTATTCTCAAGATCAAAAGTGAACCGGAAGACCTTAGCCATACATCAAGCCAATCTGGTCGTGCGCTACCAACACTTTACACAGCAACGTCCCACGTCTCGCGGACCAAATTTGGTGTTCTTCGCATCGACACAGATATTGACTCCGTCTCTCACTCCAGCCCACATACCCGTATTGAGCGCGTAATCGTCTTACTTGTACATCAATTCGAAGTCGTTATTGACTCCAGTCTTGTTTTTGGACTAGGTGAACTCGACCTACTTCTGGTTGACCGGGAAGCAGGTGGTGCACATAGCTAGTCCCCTAGTCGACCTAAGTATCAGATAAACAATTGCAAATGCAATCTTACTAGTGAAGACTTTCTTCTGTACCGAATCCTATCGGTAGAGCGTCAATAAAGCCCACTTGGACTATTGAGCCGAGTGCGACTTGGTTCCCTTGGTTCCCTCGAAACAGACACTACGTTCACGACGCTCTGTTCGTGAGTCAATCTTCCGCTGACTCGTGTTGCCCATCGCTATACTCTTCCTGTGTTGCCTCATTTATTTCAATTGAAAGGCATCCTTTTCGAGTGCCGTACGCCGACATCAAAGAAAGATGAGCTGACTACTCGGATTCGATTTCAAGAAGTAGTCCAGCTGATAGCAGCAATAGGAAATACCACCGTGAACAAATAGTGTGTTGAGTTCCTAATATTCGATCAGTGCCATCAGAAAGGAATAACTCAGTTCGTGATGTCGATCATCTTGTGCTCTATGTTCCTTGCTCCCGTAGCCGTGAACACTCTCCAGCCCTATTCGCAAAATTTAAGAAAACTTAGGCAGATTGACCACTCGGTGCTGGCAGTAAAGAACAATAGGGTATGAAGAAAATGGCGGCAACTGTTATGTAGTAATGATGCGAGTTTTAGCCTAGTTGTTTGCTCTCCATTGCAGCAACGGCTCCAGGTTAGGTGAGGCCTCATTGACAGAAGGATACGGGTTTAACCCCGCCGCTTCTAAGTCGCTTAGTGCATCTTCGTTAGAACAGTCATCATCGTCGTCGGCCTCGTCAGCCTCGGCTTCTACTGGCTGTCCAGTTGAAGGTATGCCGTTGGTCCTCACCATGGCATCGCGCTTGGCCCGATCAAGTTGTAGCCATCGTCTCACCCAGCTGGGGCTAATGGGCTGCCCAGGTGGACTTCTCAGCGACAGAAGTGCATCGGCAGCATCTTGTACCACGGTTCTGTTGACCGACCGTTTCCCACGTCGCAACATACTAGGAGCCTGATATCAATACCCCTGAGTTATACTAACCCGTCCGAAGGCTCACAGTTCACGGAAGGCGTTGTGTGGGGGAATGTAGAGTTACAGTGGACCAGAATGGCTGAGGGCCGGCAGATGCAACTTACAATATGTGGAAAGAGAGCATCTGCTCTTCGACATCGGTAAGGCGACTCGGACGGCCAATGCTCCGAGACGCAGCAGCAGGCTTTGGCTTGGGGTTCTTCAAGTTCACGAGCTGGCGAGCTACGGTGGACTTGGCAACGCCAAACCTCTCAGCGGCAATTCGCGTAGACGAGATGGTAGCGCGATGTCGATTGGGGTCCTCGAGGAGCTCGGCTTTCTGGGTTTCATACAACCAGCGCGCTGCTTCCAAGGCGCGATCATGTTGACGTTTCCGAATCTCGGCGTTGGACGACATGTCACCGCATTACGGCGTATACGTGCACTATGAAGGCCAGATTTGCCTCTGATGAATGTTGGCTATAAGACCTGTCCTTGCCGTCCTGGAAGGATATGTGGTTGAGACGGGCGGGTACTAGTCTAGGTACACGTAAGTACCTCCCTACCCTACTATAGGTGCCTACTTACTGCCTACTCAGCTTGTACAGCACTGGAGTAACCACTACAGCGCGCGCCCATCCGCATAGTCGTAGCGGTTTGATAGGTACCATCTCTGCATGTACCCACTCCGTACTGCATGTGTACCTAGTATGAACCATGAACCATCAAATGAATGGCTGATTTCTATCTACCACAATTTTGCCATGATGAAAATCAAACGGTACTCAATAAGAAAGTACTAGAGTCCCATTACGAAGAAGGCGAAGAAGGTGGTCATGTGGATCGTGTTTAACCCGCTAACATTCTTGTTTCCTTCTTCTTGAGGTTACCGCGACTAACCAAGTCAATGTTATCTTCTACGTATGATGTACTCGGTAGGTATACCTATCTAACTCCAAATTTGCAACGCCCATTGAAGTCACATCATGAAAAAATCGATGGACGACCAGCACCCTCTTACTTTTATCTTTTGACGAGGCCTCAGCTAGCTCGCCGGGGTATTCAATCGTAGGAAGTAGTGTGTACACACATAGGTTGGGCACTACTGTTATCATCTATTAGCCCTAGGCCTAGACGAACCTAACATACACGTGAGACAAAAAAAAAAAAAAAAAAAAAGACTGATCAGAGCGCCAGGAATGAAATCGGATATAGCCTCATCATGGCCACTGGACTGTTCTAGAAGGCTTTCTGGTACCTGGATGGGGCTGCAGGCGAGAACGGCTCCCCCCGACCCAGCACGCGCACGCTAACGCACGAATCACCGTTATCTCATATCCCGATGATTCGGTCTGTTGCCGGAGGCCCTCCCGGCTCTGGTCTTGGCTCTTGGCATACACGCCTACCTATCTGGATGAGGCAGGTCACGTTAGATAAGAACTGCTCCAACCATGTCCTTGGGCCCAGCTGGGAATGATGCTGCATCTGCCAAGTCCTCCGTGAGATTGCTTCTTTGCTCTTGATCAGCTATTACGAAATACACTACTGTAGGTATCTGAACTCGACCAGTCATTCACATCGCTTGGAACCAGGCATCCCACAGATTCTTGATGGCTACTCACGCCATGCGCGGCCAGGGATCACGAACAGCTCTAGCAAGAGCCAAGATGTAGTAGCTGCAACAAGCTCCTCGCCATATAGCTCGATCGCTAGTTACACATCTGGGTATATAATCATGGCCTCTGCCGCGCAGCTCTCTGTTTTGGGGCCTGGATATTCTCGTTCCAACCTGGATCTCGTCGCCCTTAGTCAATCCTGTACGTCGCTGGTTCAGGTGGATTGATAGGCCCAGGTTATTACCGTGGAACCATCCTCTTTTCACTCGTTCCTTGCCAATCATCATGAAGGGAATCAGTTCTGCTATGGCCATCACGGCCACTAGCATGCTTGCCTTGAACAGCAATGCTGAGCCCGCCCATTACCCCTCGAAGTGCAAGCTCCCTCTCGTGAAAGATGTGAGGCTCATTTGCCCCTACCACAGCGATAGCTAGATCATGGCATGAGAGGCTGACCACCCCCAACAGAAACCACTCGTGAATGCCATTCACCTCAAGGATCTCATGAAGTGTGCTCAGGATCTTGAGGATGTTGCGTATGCCACGACCGCTCGCAACCGGGTAAGCTGCCACAACATATACTCTGCTGGACTATTTTTGGAATGGAATCACTAATACACTCTGTAGGTACACGGTTCAGAGGGTCACAAGGGTACTGTCCAGTATTTCAAAGACACACTAGAGGGTCTTGGTGATTACTACAAGGTTGAGCTCCAGGAGTTCACCACGGAGGTTACGCTCGCTTCTGCCAATGAATTCTCTGCCGGTGGTGTTGCTTTTGACACTGATTCGTTCGAATTTGGCAACAACGGTACCTGGACAGACTTGCCTCTTGTCAATGTTGCTAATCTTGGTTGTGAGCCGGTAAGTACAAAGTTGGTCATGTTTCGTATTGTCCAGATGGCAAGGATCTTCATACTGTGCTTGTACTGACAACACACAGGAGGATGTCCCCGACAGCGTTGCTGGAAAAGTAGCCCTCATTGGCCGAGGTGATTGCACCTTTGTCCAGAAGATTGAGAATGCTGGCGCGAAGGGTGCCGTCGCTGCTATGATCTACAACAATCTCGATGCCGGAGTTGCCGCAGGCACTCTCGGTGGAGTGAACGAATTGATTCCCTTGGGCGGTCTTACCCGGGCTGACGGCCTCGCGCTAGCTGAGCGCATCGAAGCAGGCGAAACAATTACCAGCTCTGGTACCTACTGGGCATACGTTACCCAAGCCACGAGCCACAATGTTCTCGCCACTTCCAAGTACGGCGACCCAGACAACGTTCTATTCTTGGGCGCTCACAGCGACTCGGTAGATAAGGGGCCCGGTATCAACGACAATGGTAGCGGATCTTGCGGCATTCTCACTGTTGCCAAAGCACTCTCTAAATACAGAACAAACGCTCAGGTCAAGTTTGGTTGGTGGACTGCTGAGGAAGAGGGTCTGCTAGGAGCTGAGCACTTCGTCAACACTTCGACGGCTGAGGACCTGTCGAAGATCCGTCTCTATTTGAACTTCGACATGATCGCGTCTCCCAACTACTACCTTGGCATCTATGATGGTGACGGAAGTCGCTACAACCTTAGCGGACCCCCTGGCTCTGATGTCGCAGAGTATTTGTTCGAGGACTTCTTCGCCGCCAGGAATTTGACAACCTTTGGAGCTGAGTTCAACGGTCGTAGTGATTACGGCCCATTCCTGGATGCCGGCGTGCCCTGCAGTGGTCTTGACACTGGAGCTGATGGCATCAAGACCGAAGAGGAGGCGGCGATCTACGGTGGAATTGCCGGCGAAACCTACGACCAGAACTACCATTCCGCTGCTGACAACGTGACCAACCTTGCTTTGTTCCCCTTCGAAATCAACGCCAAGGCCATTGCCCACGTGGTTGCAACATACGCTAAGAGCTGGGAGGGCTTCCCAGCTCGTCTACCCTCCAATTCCACCGCCATTGCTCGTCGCCACTTGCATCCTCGCAGCTCTGGCGTGCCCAAGAGGCACAGTTGCGGCGTGAACGAATTGCTAGAATACTAGATATATCAGTAATGTCGCTTACCAAAATGGCGTAGGGGAGAACAAAATATATAGGTAATAATGAATAATGTTACATCAGTTCAAGTTCTTGATGACATGTTTAACGTACAATTTTGCAAGCTTTTCAGGCAAATCTGTTCCATAAACAGTTTAGCTTATGGGGCAATTAACTACCCAGGTCTCTGCCAGGTGAAGGGATATTGTGATACGCCTTACTAAGTATGTCACAGCCTAAGAGATTGATTTTGACATCCCCGCGTCAGTATTCCTCCCAGACAATTACAGTTATCCGCAAGTTGACGTATATTTGGACGAGCTGATCTAGTATGTTCATGCTATGGATCCAATGGCTGTGGTACTACTCTGTAAAGATGGCCGAGGAGCTCATCGTAACCGTGCCCTCTAACAGAATCCCAGTGATAAGTTGCCACCATTGCACTTAGAAGGGCAGTGGTTGTTAGGTGAGGCGTTCAGCGTGCCAGAGGACCAAGACGACCATGAGGCTTGGATTGAAGCGTATGTGAACCTAGCCCTTGCACTGGCTACCCAGCCGCCAACGGAAGCGGAGAGAGCCGAAGCTAGGCGAGAGTGTGAGGTCACGGATCATCATGAGAGGGAAAGCGGGACTGTGTGGACGAAGTTCAACCATTCTGGAGCGTCCGGGCTGAGGCGACCGCGCGAGTTACTCAAGCAAGTCCGCTGCCCGGCTGTCGTTGTGCACGCCGCAAAGGACCAGGTGTTCCCCATGGAGCATGGGGAAGCTTTGAGAGACGATATCGAAAGAGCAATGCTCGTCGTCCTTAAGGACTGTGGTCACGAACTTCCACATCGCGTTCGATCGCGCGTAGTAGATGCAATTCTGACAAACGCGAAAAAAGGGGCAGCTAGCAGGTGCTGTTAAGCCGTGAAGACATGACGTGATGTTTGTAGCACGGACTGCTGTCGCAGTAGTAGATTCTTAGAGCAAGCGAAGTGAATCAATTATTGGCAGGTTTCTCGGAATTTACTATGTCTCCTTCGACAAGCATCATTGATCATATATACACCATGATTTGGAGTAAGTACTCTCACAAGGTCGTCCCAACTATACAGGCTTCATCCCAGCATAAAAGCGAGTACGACGGCGACCACCAACGCCGCCCCCAGCAAGCAAACCACACCCGCCAGCAGCAGGACAATAACACGCCCAAAAACCATAGGTACCCAGCGCAGCAGACTGAGTAGCGGTCTGCGCGTAGTATCAAGTGATCGGAGCTCTTCACGCAACGCCACGTACGAAACGACGATGGGCTCGCCAGCGAGCTCATGCGCCCATAGCACCAGCTCCCAAAGCAATCCAAGCGCAGTAGTCGGATACTGGATGAAGAAGAACAAGGTGCTCAGATTCTTCGAGAGGAACACCTCGGCGCTAAAATCAGGCGGTCTGATTTCGAAAGCGGACAATAATTCCGCTGTAGGCTCCTGTTCCCATCTCTCGTCATCTCGAAGGGAAGCGAGTATATCGTCATCGTCGTCGTGGCCTTCATCTTCAACATCATCGCTAGAAGAGAGATGTTGATTTTTCTCGTCGGAGTACCACGCCTCGTCGAAGAAGGGAAATCGCTTCTGTATCCGCTGCCGGAGCGCATGGTGGTCTTCTTCCGGATCTCCGGGTAATGCGAAGTCCGCTACGTCGATCTCGAGGACGTTCTTAGAGCCAATCTGCCCGATGCTGATCTTGCGGAGACTTGATAGTTTCACTGTCGGTCGTTTGAATGTGACTGAGCGCGTCAGCTCGTTGACGAAGGCGTTGCCGCACTCGCTCCAGCCAGGAACCGATGGCTTTATAGTTGGCGGCGGAAGGCTGAGGTCCTCTGGCTTGCTGTGTAAGACTGCTAAGCCGTCTTGAATTGCAGGTTCGGTGCTCATGTAGTTGCATATACTAGCAGTGAGTGCATCGTCGTTCGGGATCGATTTCGTTTGAGGCGCAGTGAGAAGCGGCGTTCTTTCGTTGGAGGCGCGACTGGAGCGTGCAATTTGCACTCGATGCATATCATTCTTCTCGTCCAGGAGCTGCTCAAAATTCAGCTTAAGAAGGGGGTACGCGGCTTTGTGTTCTTTTCTGTCAGTCTCTATGTTACCCAGAGCGGTCGAGTTGGCGATGGTTGCGGAGTCATCACTCATTCCTTTTGGTCTACAGCTTCGAGCAGCTGTCATGTAGTACTTTGTGGCATTGGGCTCGCGTGGTTTCGATTCAGCATCAGCTAGAGCCCGCTCATAGTGCCGGCATATCTCGTTTGCAACTACGGCGCGCGTGGCCAGGCGGCAGCTATGTAGGTACAAGCTCAAGACTGGCTTCGGTTCTTTGATTATGGGTGGGAAATATAGAGGTTTTTCAATCCGCGCGCCGCTATTCAGGAGGAGTAGAAACCTTTCCAGCCTTTCGGACTCGTTTAAATCACCTGGTGTAAGAATTGCCTTCCAAACCGAGTAGTCAGATGGTAAGCTCAGCACCTCTTCAGCGCCGACTTCGCCCTTGCAAAGCCAGGCCAGCGTGCGGATGTCTAGAGGCGGTGTAGCTTCTAATGCTATCTGGATGATATTATCTGGTCCCCCAATGCCGTTCCATATTGTTAAACTTGCTTTGGTGGCTCGCAGGTGAGCTAGTTTGAGCAGGAGTTGGCGCCGGGTCAACCCTTTCAAAGGGTCATTAATGATCCATTTCAAATTATCGTGTAGCAACCTCATGCTTCCAGAGTCGCTGAAGATCGTTGCAGCTTGATTACCACCAAGGTTAGGATCTTCATCCCATCTTGTCCTCCATCGTTTGGTGTTGATGCTTTGATAGCGCAAGTCAGTAGGTGCCCCAAAGTGGTGTTGTTCTCGAAACTCGATAACGCTGCTAGAGTGGATCTGAGTGCTCGCTTCTGTTGCACTCTTCTGGCTCGTCATTGTCGGTTTGGTATTATTCTTAATAGCTGATATACGGCTCAACAGAGTACGAGTTGATCGTACTGTTTTACTATAGAGATGCTCCCATGGACGCTCATCGACATGATGTAGGTGAGGTTCTGCTACATCCGACTCTCCACTTGCAAGATAACTCGCACAGAGAGTACCGTGGACAAGCCGAGAAACTCGGCGGAGTAGTGCAGCTTTGCTCCCCAGAATGCCAGGTCCACAATCCACAGGATTCATCTCCTTGAAATGTCGTCCAAAGTGTATGCGCGGATCAGACCTTCGAAATTTCTCCGAGATTGGCGGTGCTTTTCCCCGAAGATCTGGACAGAACACGCTCCAAACAAGCGCTCCATAAACAGCAAGGTCAAAAGCTTGCAATGTCGTAATATCATGTAGCTCGTCGTCAGCGCCGAACCAATACGGTCTCCAGTGGGCTGTGCCCAGGTAACGTACGTGATCGTTGGAGGAGTCAAACGAGTTGGAATGGCCAAAGTCGCACAGCTTAGCCGTCCATTTGGGCCCTTCTTTGAATACAAGTACATTGCGTGGTTTTAGGTCACCATGTGTCATATTCAGGTCGTGAAGCCCTTGTAGCCCGTGTCCGATATCGATACACAAACGACGCAACAATTCATGGCGATTCATACCACTAATAATCTTGAAACTTGAAGGTTTTCTATGTGTCTCTTGAGACTGCGTTTGCACAGTAAGATACTTGGGCGGCTCATCGTCATTCCCCAAGAGAGTCGCCCCTGAGAGCGAGACCCCTTCTGGCCCAGGGGCACCAGTGACTGTCATTGGCGGGTTTGATCGTAGCTCAGCAGTTTGATTATCTCTAGATTGTGAAAGACCTGCTTCTGCAAGTGATTCCTGGCTACAATCGGAAGTTTCGGTTTTCTTGCCATCTCCGAATACGTATTCTAGAAACGTTGCGAGATCACCGTCGGCGCGTTCTAGAACAAGTAGGGGAAGGTGGAGATTGGACGGTGACAAGTCCCTCTGTAATTCAGAGATTCTCTGACTTCGTTCAAGAGTGTCCAAACATAGGCCCCAGCCCCTAAGCTGGACAATATTGGGATGTCCCCTTAATAGATTGGAGAGGGCGTTGATCTCGGCTTCAGCCGCCGCCAAGTAGTTCTTGAGCTTGTATACTTGCTGCCCGGCCTGTGGTCCATGACGCTTGATAGCAAATCTCTCCCATTTGGGTCGCCTACTAATCTTCAATCTGGTAATTGATTTGTCGACCGAGTCGTCAATTCCTCGAACATTTCCTTCGCTGCCAAACCCGAGCACACTTAGAAACTCTGTTTGGCTGCGAAACAGCTGTGGTCCTGGGATTTTATTGATTCTCAAGGTATTCATAATATTTTTGAGAACCTCAACATTGTCAGTATCACGGAGACAAACCCGTGCTGATGATTGGTCACCCAGCGATGGTATACTAGTAATGGGAAGGTGACGATCATTAGCAAGATAGTTGTCTATGTTGCTATCAAGGCGCCTATTGGCGGCGGTAAAATATCCATATTCCTCTGTCGATGGACTGCTTGATATAGTAATCGTGGTGTCATTAGACACATTTAGGGAGGAACTTGTGTCGTAGGCCAGGCTGGATTTAGGTGTGCTATGTCTGATGCTCGTATTAGAGATTGACCTCTGGAGCGCCGGGCGGTACTCTGGCCGAGGAGCAGAGCGTTCAATATTGGGCGACCTGGGAGATAGTGGACATGGAGTGTAATCACTAGATATTCCCGCAAACTGCACGTGTACTTGCACTTGTGATTTCTTTGATATGGCCGACTTCATTGCCGAGCGGCGCTCTGGCTGAGCCCGTGCCGAACAGGGTAGCTTGGTCACCGATTCATTGGAAGCAAGGCGTTCCATTATGCCAACATAATCTGAACAAAGTTGCAATTCTTCGAGGTTGGCTGGGCTCAGTGGGATGGAATTCACTTCATTCGTAGTCTAATAACCATAGAGATGAAGCCGAGCCAACTACAAGATAGCGCTACCAATCCCAGAAAAACAGGCCTGCGAGATCTAAAGGATAAACACAAATAACTATTGATAAGAAAATGCAACTCTTGAGCTGGGTTCATGTCTTTGATGATGCGGGGAATAAAGTCCTTGATGCTCCTCAATATTACTTTTCCTTTCAGCTCCCCACTTCACACCACCCTGCATATATATTGACTGCGCCATTCATGCATAATCAAGTGACATGGTGGTTGGAGACGAATATGGCTGGGATCATGGTTATTTTGATTGGGCCCTTCGAACTACCCTTCCTCGGTGAACGGATTGAAGAGACGAGATAGGAAACTGAAACGGCTTACCCGGATGGTAACTCTCCAAGCTGTTGTTCGTATTACCGGGATTATTATTTTCAGCCTCATCTGCTTATGGCTTACGTACATCTAAATAAGTGTAGATCACTCCCTTGGACGTTTCCTTGGTAAAGTAGTCAATTGTCTTAGTTGAGGCTCTTATCTACTACTAGGTAGTCGAGCCATCCCCACGTTTGGCATTCTCAACAGTCTGGACAGCCCCCTTCCAGGATGGACCCTATTAGCATCACGATGGCCGTAATTTCCGGCTTTCAAATAGTCTATCTAACTTCTAGGTTCATGTATCATGAGATCTTGAGGGCGAAAGGGTTTCACGATGGAAGGGCCCACATGGCCAAGAATTACCGATATGAGATTGTGCGATTGAAAGTGTTCTGGATGGTTTTCACTCGCGACGTGAGGGGAACTACAGACATTGCCTCGCTTAAGGGCCTATCTCGGGCAAGTTGGAAATTTGCCTCTTCATGTATGACACTTACTAACATGAGACCAGGAAATCCTAGAGCTTATCCTCACAACGGTGCTGGACATTGGCGCTGCGCTGAGTCCTTACTCACAAGTCGCTAGCCAGCTAAGCGAAGAGTACCAGAAATACTATACCCAAAGATCTCTTCTTGCAAAAGATGCTAAGGGGACCACGATAGAACTCCCTCTCGATCTTGATGACGCCATCTACCCGATTGACCAAGCACTCAAAGATGGGAACTCTGCTCTTCATGGGCCGTCAACTTCAAATGCTGAAGAGCCGTCTAACAAGACTAGTTTTTTCCGAGGCCTTTTCGGCGGAGGAACTAACAGCAGGAGACCGGGAAAGCAGCCATCTGTAATCCTGCAAGCTAAATTTAAAGAATTGCCAGAAGCCATCGCTTGGTGCTTTCAGGAACGTCAGTTGAATAAGTCGCTTAAGATTCTGCAGAGTAAACTTGACGAGCTCGACTTCTTGTCCCCTAGTCTAGTCTCAAGCCTTGATCGAAGCAGCACAATTGGTCGCAAAGTAGACACTGACACGACCTTCAGAGGATTCAAGGGTCACATGGTGCTCCAGCAAATGGCGAGAGACTACGTCAATGGCGTGCCAGGTAAGAGTCATTTTCAACTATGCAGGTGGAAGGTTCACAGTAGACGATACTAACTTTGACTGAATAGGTACCGGTCAATCCCCCATCGAATGGAAGGTTATGAAGAGATATATCGATAGTTCCGAAGAGCGTTCATCCAAGATCTTGGTTGAACAGAAGGAGACAGGGAACTTCCCACGCGAAAGCATGGAAGCCGCCGCGGTTCAGGAAAGAGAGGAAGAGAAGAAATATGCACCACAGTTGGCCAGTCTGCTGGTGTCTTCAGGTAAAGACTATTTCGATGGGAACAAGCTAGGGACACTTCCGTTCAAGGGTTTCTCGAAAGACCCGACGGTGCCCAACGGTTGTTTTTACTTTGCCTTCGAGTATCCTGAAGGCGTTATTGACCGGAAGCCCCTCAGCTTGCAAGAACTTATTTTGTCAGCACATGGCCAGCACAAACTAAGTCTGAACGACCGCTTCCACATTGCTAAGATGGTTTCGCGATACTTGGGCACCTTGCACTCAGATGCGTGGCTTCACAAGAGCATCCGTAGCCATGCTGTCAAGTTCTTCTTCCGTATGACTGACAAGGAGGTCATACTGGATACGAACACACCCTATCTCACAGAATTTGGCTTCTCACGGCCACTGGACGTATTTTCTGCAGCCAGATACTCCGCCAGTACAGCTGTCAATCTTGATAGGGATGTATACCGGCACCCGCGCCGCTTCGGGCAGCCGAGTCAGATCTTTAATATCACTCATGATGTGTATTCCTTGGGTGTTGTCCTTTTGGAAATTGGTATTTGGAAAACAGCGAGGCAGATATATGATGAGGCTTTTGAGCATGAACGAACTAAACCCACCGGAGAAGACGTTCAAAAGGCGTTCATTCAACGTGCCGGGCGAGAGCTCGAACACCACATGGGTTCCGCGTATAAGGATGCGGTCCTAATGTGTCTCCAGGGAGAGCAGCTCACGAAACATCTGCACAGGCCGTCTTTCGCTGTCGAGTTCCAGAAGACTGTGCTTCGCAAAGTGGACGCTGTGCTGCTAAGCCCGGATGGAGCCGTCTTTGACAATGATGTTGATCCTCCCTCATATGATGCTGCCGTCCGAACCTAATATGTTATGGTTAGAGGCTTATGTATACAGTTGACCTCTAGTAACCAAAGGTGCCTGAAACTCTTGTTACGCACCCATATGAACCAGTTTTTTTTTTTTTTTTTTTTTTCTTTCACAATTACGTATACTCGCATCTAATTGAGTCTATGGACATATTTTGACATTTAATATCGAGCTTATGTTTCGGAACCCGGGAAGCCATTTTGTATCCACAAACGGTTAACATCAGCTCATGACTCAGCAGTATCAGCTCATTTCCAGTCAGCCCAGGAACTTCTATCTGTATATTAGACTTCCACTACTTAATCGTCTATAGGTAGGCAAGTAAGAATTGTATAGTCTAAGATCACGGGAGCTAAATAATTTTATTAACTCATAGCTTACCCGTCCCAATAAGATGCTGAGATCAATCAACTCATCATCTCTACGCATAGGAATAAAGGGGTCAACACTAGTAAGACAATCATTCATAAAGAGGTACTCAAAATCTCATGCTTCCGTGAGTACTTTTCGCCTCATATTTTGATTTACATAGATTTTATTAACTTCCATTTAGTCATCAATCCTACCGCGCATAGCGATAATCGGTGCCGGCCCAGGTGGTCTGACATTAGGCGCCCTCCTACACAGGCACCGCATCCCATTCACCATCTTCGAATACCAGGAGCAGCCCAAAGAGAGCGACTATGCACAGCCCTCAGGGATGCTCGACCTGCATCCAGACACAGGGCTGGCAGCGCTAGAAGCATGCGCGTTGACGAGCGAGTTTCAAGCGCGCAGCGTCGAATGCGGCGAGGCCGTCATCGTAGCTGATAAAGACGGCTCCGTGCTCTGGTCAATGGAAAATGCAGACGACAAGCAGCCTGAGATCTCGAGGCACGCTTTAACGAAGCTCTTACTTTCGAGAGTACCTAGCGAATACATCCGATGGGGTCATCACCTAACCTCCGCACACTCTAGCACCGCATTAAGATCCCCAGGGAAAGACAGAGATTACGACAATGAATACACGCTTCATTTCGAGGACCGCACCAAATCAGGTGAACTGAATGCGGCGTCAGAAGTGGAGGTGGCAGCAGATCTAGTGGTTGGCGCAGATGGGGCATGGTCGCGCACGCGCCGCAGTCTACTCGACACGCCCAAGCCCGCAGACAAGCAAAATCCAATATACAGCGGGGTGCAAATGATAACACTCGACATCGCAGATCTCGCCACGCGGTATCCCGAATTATCTACACTACTAGGTCCAGGCTCGTTTTTCGCGCTTGGCGACGGTAACGTGATAATCGCCCAGCGGGGCGCGGGCGGTGCCGCGCGAATGTATCTCACAGTGAGCACGCGCGAGGACGACTCGCTCGGTATGTCGGCGACAATGCCTCGAGGCGAAATTCACGACATGCTTCTCAATGCTGCAACGACCCACGAGGCGCGCAGTTGGCGGAACTTCAGCAGCTGGGGGCCGAGGCTGCAGGATCTAATCACTGTCGGGCTCGCTGAGACGAAGACGGATCTCGACATCAGAGGGTTGTACATGCGTCCAGTGGACGAGCTAACCTGGCGTCACCGCGCGGGTGTAACGCTGATAGGCGACGCAGCGCATTTGATGACTCCGTTCGCGGGCGAGGGGGTCAATCTAGCGCTCAGCGATGCGCTAGGGTTATCTCGTGCTATTACGCAGGCTTGGGATGCCAGTATTGGAGCTAGTGATATCGATGCTGACAGGAAGCTCGCGTTCAAGAGGTCGCTGGATCCCCTGGTACAAGAGGCCGAGAAGGATATGATCGCGCAGGCAGAGGAGTCTGCTCAAGAAGCCTGGGATAATTTGCAAGTCTTCGTCAGTGAAGATGCGGCGAAGAAAGCTGCTGCTCTTTATCAAGGTTGGTACCCTCGGCCTGCATGATAAAAAGCAGAATTGTAGTCTGTTGTTACAGTCTGTATCATGTCTCTTTCCCAACATTTGTCTTCGCAATCATGATTATTAGCTAAGCGACATGTAGATGATGGCAGTTTGTGATAGCAGGGTTAATACTTCCAATTCGTACATGACGCTATGGAGGCATATTTCAATGGCTGAGAAGACCAAGTCCGCGCGCTTTCATAATACATCATATAATACGGTTAATCCGTCCCCCAGCTGAGAAACGGGTGTGTGTATTTAAGAGTCACACCAAAACCATAGACCTTTTGTGCAAACCTGGGAGCTTGCCGCTCCAGCTGGTATTAATAACGATTTTTGGAAACCAAGAATACCATACATATCTACCGCATTGAATTGTACCATAACCCCAGACGCCGCTCATGCATGTCACCGAGAACCCAAATTTTTCCCGCGTTGTCGCTACATGCTCCTAATGCACGCAGCCAACTCTCCTTTACTTAAGGGGTATCGAAAACTCCTCAAATCACAACTGGGCATGGCTCTATCGTGCCACAGCAGCGCTGAGAACTTGGGTTCTAAAGAATCCACCCTTTGTTCGTTCGATAACCTGCTGGTATACGGAGCTTGGAGGATGGTTCATCACTACCGTACCCTCCTTGTAGTCGATCTTGGCATCAACTCGCGTATCGCGGATAAGATTGACGATCCATTTCTCTCCTTCATCTTGACCAAGACCTAAGCGCGTGCTGAGGTCCTTGATGTCGATACGCGCGTGGATTTTGCAATAACTTTCTGAGATCAAGTGGCGCGCACAGTCGACGAACGTGTCAGCGGCAGCGACAAGGAAGAAGTCTGATCGGCAGACTTCTTCAGCAAGTGAGAGCTGTCGTTGGGCTTCCTCAAAATCGAAGTCAACGTAGAGAGCTCGGATGAAGTCGGTAATCGGGTCTGTGTACTCATACGCCTCTTGCTTGACGATTCGGATAATATCTTTGAGTTGTTTTTGATGCTGGCCAGAGTTTCTTGTGCGGTTACGGCCAGTGATAACAGCGGCCGTCAGGTATCGCAAGATCCACGGGCTGCTTGTCTGAATAGTGTTGATGTAAGCGGGGCTAAAGAAGAGGTCGAGGAGCTGATCGCGAGCTTTGTCGTCATTAAACAATGGGAATAAGCCCCAGTGAATCAGCCACGTGCGCTGTTGGAGCTGAGCGAGTGGGTTATTGAACAACTTCGTATCGATGCTCTCCTTCACCTTGTTGAGTTCTTCAACACTGGCCTCCCAGTTGGTTGTCAAAATTTCCGAGGCAAATTTTCCCCATGTAGCAGCGGCAACCTTGTCGTTATCTGTCGAGAGGACGCGAAACTGGTAGAGGAGGTCGGCTGCAGCTCCATAGTTTCCACAGCTGTATTGATAGTTACCGTAATCGTACAGGGCGTTGACCATCTCGATAGTCACCTACTGCAAGTCAACAAACTAGACCAGTTTAACAAGCTCAAGTGGGGGGGGGGGGGGGGGGGCCTACGTCGTGCTCGTTCTTCAAGAACTCCAAGTTGGCAACCTTGTCACTACGCAGGTTTCCAACGACGTCCTCTCGTCCAAGCAGGTCAATGAGTTTGCTGGTGCTCTCGTTGAAATACTCCAGGCGCTGGATGACTTTCTGCCGCTTTTCTTCGAACTCGGCGGGGATTTGATCGAGGCCCTCGAGTTCGGCTTGAAGGTTTCCGACGAAATCGGTCATGTTTGTGGCCTTGAGCAGCTCATACTTGGCCTTTGTGATAGGCCTGAGGGCAGCATCGTCAGCATCTTCGGGAAGGCGGTTGGCCGAGTGCTCGAGAAGAGGGAAAATGAGGTGTCGGTCGAGGTAGGGAAGAAGTTTCGGTAAAAGATCGTAGTCCGCCATATTGTACTATTTTAATCGGGTCGGTGCTAGCTCGCGGTGTCCGGTCGGAGAGGATAAAGATGGTGAACGCCGGTGCGATCTGGCGGTGCGGGTGCGAGAGCGCGATGCAGAAAAATCTGGGTTTCGTTGGAGGGGCAGATGAATGTCAATATGGTTTTGGCCGTTTCCACATTGTGGGATGCGCTCGGCCAGCCGACCCCAGCTGTGGCTTGGAGAAAGTGGGGGGCTTACAGAGGGCGCAGAAGCCGCTGGCAGACCGCTGGTCTGCGCTGGCTAGGGATGTACCTAGGTAGATTAGAGGCTGGGCAAGTGTGGCTTGACCATTGATTCACCACCTGGAGACACGGTGCTATATCTACAGTAATCTAAGATGATACACTGTGAACCGTGGGATGGCGATTGAAATGTTTCTGGTCTGGTCCGACGGTATCACCAAGTCGACAAGCCCCTGCTCAGTGCATCGTCTTCTCTACACAACAACGCCATGCTGTCCAGATCTCTGCGGCCGGTCACGGCGCGAGTCTCGAATCTTGCGACAAATCCCATTCGGTCAGCCGTGTTTCCAGGGCATTTCAGCATACGAACAATCGCAATTGCAACAGATGTGACGACTTCGATCCCCGAGCCCGCAACCACACCGTCTACCTCTGAAGCCAAGGCGCCTCGGGTCCTGCCCTACTTCATCGGCCGCAACAATTTTGGCGCAATTCCTGCATACCATAGGGAGAAACGTGGTGGAAATCTCAAGCTCACCATTCTCAAAAGAGCTGAAGGTGACCTAATGGCGCTGAAGCAAGATCTCAAAGCTGCGTTACAACTATCCGACGACGAAGTGTCCATAAACAGTAAAACGAGGCACATAGTAGTAGATGTAAGCCGCCCATTCCATATTGGACACCGTGGGCGCCGTTCGAGTGCTTGACTAGGTTCGTGTTGGCTTGACTAATTCCGCCTTGCTTTTAGGGTCATAAGCGTCTTCAAGTATTGAACTTCGTGAAGACGATGGGCTTCTGAGACATGGAGTCCCAAGAAAGAATGAAATAGACGAAGGTCTCGCTACATACAGAAGGATGCGCGGGATGTTGTCACTATGAAAAAGAAAATAGTTGTACGGATATGCCACCACAGACCAATGACCGGTCCCCTTCACGATATACCCCAACTCAGGATTAGATCATCTACGTGAAAGAAAATGTATTATATCTCTAAATGCGAGTCGCTCGCGAGATGGCTCGCCAATGTACAAAATATAGAGAAAAGGAGGAAAGAATGAAAGGATGAAATTCGCCTGCAAACGCGCCACGATGATGCGGCTTTATCCAACTTTTGTATCCTCTTTAGACGCCTATAATCGTCCTTTTCCTGTTCCGATGTTTATTTGCCCGGTGGTAAATGTCCGATTTCCTTGAGCCCTTGCGAATTTTTTATTGCACCATGAAGCCCGATCAAAAACTCAGTTATTCCTTCTTGCTGTGAGGTTACAACCGTGCCTATGTCGGGACAGGGTACTCTCTTGAGCCTTCTGTACAGTAGAGAACAACAATTGAACTGCCATCCAAGCCCAGGTATCCCTTGGTATCAGCATCGGAGCACACCTTTTTTAATGCGGCCAGGGTTGCACCACCACAGGGCCCGGCCGAGATCCGGTTAGCCGTCAGATCTTTTACTGCGGCGTGCGATTCTAAATCGGATATGACTACACTGACATCGATACCTGCTTTGAGTACAGGCCATGCTGTTGTTGATAGCGTACCACAATTTAACCCATTCATTATCGTGTCCTGGGTCTGGACTGTGACTGACTGGCCCGCTTTCAGCGACGCTTGGAGACAAGCTGCACCTGTTGGTTCAACGGATAATATTGCGGCCCTAGATTCTCGCCCCGGTGCTTTATAATGTGCCGTGACAGCTTCAGCCACCGAACCTGCACCGCACGGTACAACGGCGTGAGTCGCAGCTTTCTCGCCTGTTGCCTGAAGGATCTGCTTATCAGCTTCTGCAAGCATTGTGCCGTAGCCTTGCACGAAATACTGTGAGATCTGTTAGCGATGATATGAAGACAGTGAATCGTTGGCAGCCTCGACCTATTTCCGGCGCCATGCAGCGATATTGGATTCCTTCTTACCTTAGGTACGTCAGTAAATCCCTCAAAGCTAACATCAAGTATAAGGATAGTATCCTTGTCCTCGGCCTCTTCTGAAATGATAGGTATCAAATCATCATAGCTCCCATCGATGACAGTAACTTCGGCTCCCTCGCCACGAATCAGCTCGCGCGTTGCTTCAGGCATGAAACTAGGCACCCACACACGCACAGGGATGCCCATGTATTTTCCCATGCGGGCGATGGCCCGCCCGCAGTTACCCTCGGTAGCAGTGACAATCTCGACGGCGGCCTTGCGCGCCTTTGCGCCGAGCTCGGCTATGGAGATCTGGCCCTCGGCTACGGGAATCCCAAGGTGCCAGCCAACAGCGCGGTACATGGCCCACGATGCGCCAAGTATTTTGAACGCAGGCAGGCCAAAGCGGTTTGACTCATCCTTGACTAGAACATGACCAAGTCCGAGCTCACGCGCCACATCGGGCAACGAGTGCAGCGGCGTCTTGTTGTAGTCTGGAAGCGTCTCGTGGAAGGCCAGCACCTTGCCCTCGTTCTTCGCCCGGGAGCCCTCGTGGGTCCAACCCCGCGCATCCGAATTAATGTGGATTGGCGAGGACATCTGGCCGGACGGCTCGCCTTCTCTCGGGGTGGCTCCCACTAGGACTGGGTAGATGGATGGACAGAATAATGAGATGGTATTCAGGTCGGCTGCAGACTGGATGATTCCTAAGGCGGCCTAGGCAGTCGACTAGTGCCGGCGTGGTCCCCGTGAGCGCGGGCGGACGGGATGAGCAATAGACGTTGAGGAGGCTGAGATGGTCGCAAGACCTACCCCACGATTCCCCACCTACCCCCGACGCCCCCACGCCGATTTCAAATCCAGCAACCGGGCGCGTGTCCCGCATTTGTCCGTGTCGCCCGCACCTCGTAAAACCACGAATCACAGTCATTCGCAAGAGGCATCCGTTAAGTTATCCGCCTGAATACTCCACTGCAATGATCTTATTCCGATGGTGCTATCTGTTGGTACAGATATACAAGTGAGAAAATTCCAATCGGCATCTTTGAGTTATAATCGTGCTGTATAATCTAACATATAACGCAGCTGGCTGTGGCATAGACGTGTAGACATGATTCTCAATTGGCTGACTATATGATAAATCTGCTAGATCAAGTCATTTGATTAATGTCAAAGACAGACTAAGCTTGCTGTGTGCTTGAATAGAGAACACATCTTCAGACAAACAACTCAAAAACTGCAAAATCAACAACCTATTCGCTGTCACAGCAACATTTATTCTTGCTGCAGCCTTTCAAACACCGACAACATGAATCGCCACCATATCTCTTCCTACACTTACACACCCGGCACCCTTCACGAGTACATTTGCAATTGCGGTCGTCGAAGTTCAAGTTCACCTGCTGATGGACGGATCGATCGCTCCCTCGCCTACAGGGACCTTCGTCTCTTCGTGATCCGCCGTCGCTTTGCCGTCTTCAGTTCGCAGTCAGCAAGGCCAGTATGACGCGCAGCTCTTCATGACGTACCTCACACCATGGCTCGGTCCTCGCTCGTCTTGAGCACGTCGTTGCCCGGATGGCCCCGGTGGTCCAGGCGGTCCGATACTGCCGTCTGTCCTGTGAATATCATCGTGGGTCAATAAATTAGTCACGCATAGTTTCTCTGCTTTGCATTTACCTACCCTCGGATACCACACTCGCCTCGATCACCTTTTTCACCTTGCTCCCCCTTTTCTCCCTTTTCTCCCTTCTCACCTGCTTCACCCCTTTCACCCTTCTCGCCCTTCTCTCCTGTATCTCCACGTTTGCCCTTTTCGCCATCTCGGCCATGCACACCGTCATTACCTTTCTTACCTTCTCTGCCTTCTTTTCCTTCTCTTCCATCTTTACCGTCCCGGCCATCGCGACCATCTCTACCAGCCTGGCCGGACGGACCCGGCAGACTAGATTCATTGTCAGCTACGAGCTCTGGGGCTATACTGTATTGCTAGATATATCGAAAGCAACATCTCGGAGTACGGTTTCCATACCCTGCACAACCAGCTTGTCCATCCCGTCCCGGCAGACCAGCACAACCTTGAGGTCCACATGGACCTATAGAGCGAGCACTGTTAGCTTCTCGAGGTTCTATACTCTCTTTCTTCAGTGACTGAGCTCGGGCACTTACCGGTATCTCCTTTGGGACCTGCGGCGCCTCGAGCTGGATATTATCAATTTAGCACATACTAATACAGAGGCACGCTGGTATTATAAACATCGCGAGCAACTCTTGGAAGCTTACCGCCGGTTGCCCCCGTATCCCCTCTTTGTCCAGCCTCACCTTTCTTCCCCTCTGCGCCTTTCGGCCCAGTAACCCCAGGTATCCCTTGATCACCCTGCGGACCCGGTGGTCCAGGCTCTCCCTATCCGGAATCCCCTCACGTCAGCCCAGGCACACAACAACGACAAGATCATCAGCTGTAAACATACCGGTATTCCGGGGTCGCCTGTATATCCCCTCCGTCCTCGTGGACCGGGGGGGCCGCGCCAAATGCACAAGTCGAGGTAACTACCCCCGCCTTTCCGCCTGGCTCTGCACACGCAGAATGCTGTGAAGAGAAAGAACAGGATAAAGAGTAATACAACAACTACTATGACTGCACCGTCGGATGCTGCTCTACCGTCCGAATCTCTCTGCGGAGGAGCAGACGGCGCTGCATCTGTGTCTGTTGGGGGCTCAGCCACGACATCGGGCGTGATGGGTGGCGCTGTTTCATGGCTACCGTTGCCTAGCTCGATGGTGGTTATTTGAACCCCCGCTGAGCGTGTCACGGTAAGTGTTAGAAACTTCGTGGCTTGTGCCGCCTGAATGTGTGTTGGGTGAGGGTAGTCGTAAGACGTTGTTGTAGTCATTGGTAGTATATTGGTCTCCTCTAGACTGTGAGATAACGGGCATGAAAGCGAATCGCAGCTATGGAGAAATGACTCTGAGACGTTGATTTTGAGCCTGAAATCGAGTTGCAAGAGCTGTGTTCGTGCGTCGCTCATTCAACGTGCTTGATGGCCACTGAAGTCCATTGTATCTGCCTATGAGGTGCATCGAGCATTGTCATGTCGATTGCCGTTTCCTGCGTGAAGGTCGATATACTCTAGTCCAATAAGAACCCCTAAAGTCGCGAGGCAACCTTCGAGATGTATCTTTCCGGCACGTCCTTGGTGGCACAGTAGTAATGCTACAATAATATTGTTTGTGCCTTGACAGCTCTTACCGGAATCCTTTGATGCCTTCTTAAATGATGCAGTTACCCGGAAAACTGAGATCTGACGTGTCTCGAGCAAGTATGAGATCTCAATTCTGTTGCACGGAACAGAGAAATTGCGGCTACGAAATGAGTGGTTGACCTCGTTTGCTATAATGTAACACCCCGATTGACATGTGCGTTTTCAAGACATGGCCTGGGCAGGTTCTGTTAGATATTTGCTCTCTCACCCCCTTAGTATAGAAAACAGGCGCAGGAAAAATTGTCTAGTGCAATGCAAAAGTCCTCGTTAGGCATGATCGTTTGGATGAGTTTCCTTGTCTGAAGCTGATTATTGCAAGGTGATGGTGTCATGTCTCATGCTCGCTTACTAGGGACCTTCATGTGATCTACCTATCTACACGCTCGTTAGTGGACTCGTGGAGAAGCCTCTACTTAACATAGGGCAGAGACTGCGTCTCGAAACGAATGCCTCTATTTATCTTTTTTACCTTGGGCAACTCAAATGACACTACGCAGTTAGCGCACATCTCCTATAATTGCTTCAAAATTGTAGGATTAGATATTGATATTCTAGGTATTAATAATGCGGTGTTGGAGTTCCAAGCCTCTAAGCAAAGACATGATATGGCCTAAGATGGTACAATGCATGATACGACACTAATGACCAGATATTTGTTTTCCGTGATATGATCTTGAGTTCCATTAACGCCGAAAAATGCTCATTTCGAACGCTTATACATGACTTTCCTGCCCAACAGCTTGTCTCTTGGACTTACAAACGGGACAGCCGTTCTCAACACGATCTCGGAGGAGGCGTGCATGAGTAACCTTGCTTCCAACAAAACGTCCTCCTCTTGACCGTCTTAGGTCTCCGTTACCAGCCAGCGTAGGGTCGGTATCTTGTCCTGGGTGCAGGGCTTCGAGTAGATGGGTGACATGAAATACGTGACCGCATGCAAATCCCAGTAAAGTCTCCGTTTCCCACTCGGAAAATGGTTCGTGGCATTGTGCGCAATGACCTGGCTGGGGCTCTCTATGGTCATGGCCAGGCTGCTGACCAGGTTTGCTCATGGATGAAAGCGCGGTGTTTGTAACAACAGTTGCCGGTGTACCCGAGCCATTCGTCCGGGGCGTAGCCGCTGGAGATGAGAGGTCCCCGGCGGAAATGTTGGGAACGTCTTTAGCCTCTATATCCACGTGGTTTGAGGAGTGAATCATAACATCAAATTTGATCCCCTTGCGTTGACCACTGCGAAGCTGACTTTGCGCAGCTACAACCTCTGACCTGAGGACACGAGCCACTCCTGACGAGATACTGTATTGGATCTCGTGTTCCTTCATGATATGCTTCAAGCCCTCCCGTAGTCCGGGAATCTCGAGACCTTCCGGAATGCGTCGGACGAGAGTGATGGGATTGATTGAAGTTCCAACTTCTTCCAGTAATCCTCGAATGAAGCGCGGTTTGTCCATACTATACTCTAAGAGGTCTTCCCACAAGTCAGGATCGTCTTGTTCTTTCGCGAAGCCTATGGCTTGAGAAACATCTCCGAGTCGATCAATTATAAGATATAGCGCTCGTTTCATTTGCCCTGTTTTGGAGTATAGATAGACAAGCTCTGGGATATAATTGACATGCTCACACTCTTGAACAGCCCTCTCAAAAGTGTAAGATGTTGATATCCGCAAAAAGTCCATTAGCAGTTCGCGGTTGAACAGAACAAATATATGAACCGCCAAGTCCGCATATTCGTCGATGAGAGATATGGTCTCGTCCACGGGTCGTTCTCGATATTCGTGCCAAAGACCGCGGAAGTAAAAATAGAGGTATAGGTTTAAGCTCTTCTTCTCCAACTGGGACACCACGGTATCAAGCCGAATGAGGCCTCGCTGGGTTTCGTCCACAAGCAATGTTATTGCTTCCGATGTAGCCTCAGCAAGTTCTTCCTCGTTCATTTGACTCATGTACGCCTCAGGCACTCTCAGGGCAATAAAGCTTGCTACGTCATCGGCCACAGCATCAGCTAAGTGGTTTTCTTTTATTAGTCTCATTGCTGAATCCGCATCCTGTAGTTTGATATAACACTTCAATGCGTCTCGATGCTTTCCGTTGAGCTCATGAAGATGTGCCAGGCTTTCCATAACAATCCGCCAGTCGCGTCCCTTCTCGCCACCCTCGATGCTGTCTTCGCGGACGTCTCGGAATTTTAATGTGTTCTCGAGCGCTGTTGCTACCTCTTGGATGCTGAAAAGATCTGGGCCCCAGCGTTCTAGTAGTTCTTTGAAACGGGGTTTGTCTGTTCGTAAGTAGTGGCCGAGTACAATCTCGTATATAGTTCCGGGGATCGGCGGGTGCATCGGTTCAGAGGGAATATAGTTAACGATCTCGTCAAATTTCTTTGCCCCAGCAAAAGTATACACCCATTTCTCCCATCGATCCGGAGTTTGCACTGCCATGCCCACGATCCTAGCTGCTTTGTCCCAGTCACCATTGTCCAGGAGTTCCTGAATCCATAGTTCACCTATTCGCTGTTTTTCTCTTTCCACCGGCGTGCTCGTAAGCTTCTGTGAGGGAATCACTGAAGAGGTCTCTTCACTGAATTCATCAGTAACCGAGAGTTTTGGATCCACAGTCGGTACGGATCCAGGATCCGGATCTTCAGAGACGGTCACAATCTCGGGATGCTCATCAAGAAGCTCCCATGCGTCCTCATACTTCTCGCGCTCCAAGAGCCAGGCAAGATGATCGCTCAGGTCTCTTTTGGTGGCCAGTATGCAGTCATATGGACTGTGAATGAAGAGTTTTGCCCCAGGTTTTACCAGATTCGGGTGTGCCGTTTCTGAGGTAGAGTACAGCCCAGCTCGCATACTATTTGGTGCGTTTCCTGCTTGGCTTCTCGAAGCTGCATCGTTGCTGTTTTTGCTCCTGATACTGGCACCGGAACTAAAGAGCGAGATTGGATTAATCGCAGCATTCCACATCTCATTACCAAATCCCGCTAATGCTTCTAGAGCACCCCTTGAAGCAGCTACCGAGGCAGCTCTACTAGCAGGAAGAACGCCTAGGTGATAGTCATTTGAAGATAGACCTTGGAAGTTGTTGATTGGCGGACTACTTTTGTCCACTTCAACTTGGGAAACGAGATCGATGAGTCTGAGCTCAGGGCGAAGCGCATTTCGCCGGTGTCTAATCCCACTAGATGGTCCACTACCTTTAGATGTTGTGGAAAGCTTGGTCTCATGACCCGATGTCAAGTCACTTGTCAGTGATTTTCCGTTGTTCTTGCCATCATCATCGTCATCTTCCTCTTCTGGATTACAATAAGCAAGAACTAAAAGCAAATTCTGGGTATATAGCGAAATGCCTGAAATAATACAATCCATGCGCAATCTGTAAGGTCAGCGAATCTGGACGATGTCAACCGATTTAATTAAGTGCTCACATTTTTGCGATTTCCGCCCTCCCAGCCGATCTCCGCGCGTCATTCTCACCAGAGCCCACACTCCCTGGATGGACATGAATAATCCAAATGGTGCCGCCCCAGCCTACTATCAGTCGTTCAATAGACTTATCGTAGTTCTTTGCTTGAGAGGTGAGCTTTGTCGTAGCAGGCGAAGATGTTCCCGGCAGGCTACCTTCTTTAGCTTCGTCATCACCGCTACCGAGAGCCTGATCATCAATCCACTCGGCCCGCCCTTCCCAGAACCCAGCCATCTCCTCCCATTCGTCTGTGTGAGGGCGATCTATATGGCCAATCCGCTTCCAGGCGTCTTCGGCATCGGCGCTCTCCAGATGCAGCTTAGTGCGCATTATCTTCATACCGTGCTCATTCAGCCAGACGACATATCTTCCAGATAAGGACCACTTGATAGTACTAATAGCACCTTCTCCGGAGTGAAGAATAGTATCCTTCCCTGTATTATTGCCTAAGCCCATACTTCCGAGCCAGCCTGATGCAGCGGCTGCAGCTGTGCCTACGGTTGTCGAGGTACTCCGGCCCTGTGGAGCACCTATAGTCAACACAAGATTTCCGGCACGACCACCGGAGAGATATGTTCTATCGCTCTTATATTCTGGGGACACGGCGACAGCTTGAACCGGCCTCGCAAAGTTTCTTAGTTGGCAGTCTTTGAGGTCGAGTAAAGACTGAACACGGACGAGGCCATCCATAGACGAGGTCGCAATGAAAATATTGTTCGAGGGAAGATTAGGAACCTGGGGAAGTTCCCGCAATTTTCGCGATTGTCGAGCAGGGGACGAGTCTGTATGCTGTGACGGAGGACGACTCGCGGCTTGTGCGGTAGCTCTGGCCAGAGCTTCGGGCTTTAAGGTAGCGGGCAACGCAGGGGGGGGATAAGGTGAAATAGAGATACTCGTTACAGATGCATCGTGGGCGTGGTAAGCAATCAACGACTGAAAGGTAGGAAGTTGGATAACATGCTATGGCTACGTTAGAATATTGGACCACCAGTAGTACACTAATTAGAAATGGGGGTGGCTTCTTACGATATTTCCCTTGTGTGTGCCCACAATCATCTTGTCACCAGCAACAAGAAAAGCACTCGTGGAGTCGCCGTTCCTATACACGGGCGCCAGGTGCTGCGTGAGACGGGCATATTTGAGCCTCGGTTCGTCATCTTCCTCCTCCTCCTCATCGTCTTCATCTTCGTCTTCATCCTCGTCTGATTCATCGTCCGATTCTTCTTCCTCCTCCTCATCGTCTTCCTCGTCTTGAACCTTGTCGCCTATTTCACTTCCATTGTCGGCTTTGCTGTCTGCCACCCGGCCATCTCCGCTTGCCAACACAGTACCCGACTTATCAAGACCTTGTGATGCAACACCATCGGTCGCGGTCGCAGTTCCAGCGCCTGCTTGCCGAGCTTGTGAAGTTGCATCGACGGGATGTAGATGCTCGTGATGGCCCGCATTGGGCTTTGCCTCTGTCATGACGAGCGGTGGACTGCACGGGCTCGCAGCATACTGTAAGGATTCAGCAGCAAGGCGCGCTTTATTGCTTAGGCTGGCTGGTATAAGTAGGGATGGACGATTGACCTGGAGAGAAGATGCAGGACTATCGCCGAGCGTGTCGGGGGAGCTACCTACATGTACATACGTCAGAGCAAGAGGCACCAACCTCCAGTCCACTGCAGCTGTCAGTGGATATACCTATGCATGCATACCTCAATACATATCTAAATATACCTAACTGGGTAGGTAGATAAGGGTGGTTATGATGGAAATAGGTATTTGCATATATCGAGGCAAAATGCGTCACAGTGTCTATACACAGTGTGTATTCTGTTTACCGCTCTGAGATATTCAGATTAACAACCAATACGCACTGTATGAAGGTCACAGGTATGTTGTCCAGCACGGTGTAGAAGATAGATACACAGTCTATCCTTACTGTACGAAGTAGGTACCGGTAGGTAGGTACGCCCAAACACAGCAACACAGAGGATAAACACCACTGACGCCTTCGGTTATCGATATCGCAGGCGCGCCTCTTCAATTCAATCGCGACCTTAGCCAGTCTATGATCCTGCCTCAAGCTGGAACTGGGCTCAGTGAGAACTTCCTACGTGATACCCTTGAGAAGCCTTGCATCTGGAGTTTTCGCATTTTGGCCGGTTGGAAAATCAGCATCCAATGGCTTCAACTCGGTCAACATGGCTTCGGTGACCTCCCTTGGACTGCACCAACCCACTGCCCTTGACTATGCCATTCAGGAACAGCTTTTGCCCGAGAATCCTCAGCCTTCGTCTTATGAGTGGGAGATCACGGTCGATCACTCTGCTGATGGCAGCGTCGAGGATGAGCTGCTGGTGACACGGGATGCCGTGATATGGTCCAGGGGCTGCATTTTTCGCAAGTGCTTTGGTTTCAAACTCGAGAAAGAGCCTATAACCCAAGTCTTATTGACTTATTTCCCTGTATCCGAACAAAGGCTTCGTCCAAACCCTGCTTCAGGCAATCGAGGGAACCATCAGGCCTTATCGAGAGCTTTGGTTGTTTTTCTCAAGACTCAAGCTCACATTTACTTTCTAGATGGCGCAAGTCATGTTGTCCACATGCCCTTCGAGGTTGAATCTGCATGCGCTGCTCCTCAGGGTGTGGTAATTCAACGCAAGTATCGAGCTGATAACTCCCTTGCTGCTAGTCTCCGGTTCCCTCGCGTCCCTCCCAATTCCTTCTTCTCTAACCAGCTTTCCCCTGAATCTGGCCGAGCCTCACAACTGTCTACTTTCAACATTGAAGGGCTTGGCAAGCCAAAGGCTTTACCACTAAGGCTCAATGTACCACCAGGTAATCTGTGGGGGGGGCCTGATGATAAGAACGACTCCCAGTGGCCTCGCCTCGTTATTTTGACAGACCCTTTGCTAGACCTAGGCTTGATTGTTGCTCAGCCAGATCGCACAACCAGGAAACAGGCGAGACGGAAATCAGAAAAGTCACCGCATTTCCTCGATCGCGCTGAAGAGATCCTCCATGTTGAGGAAATTCGGACTGAGAGATCTATCCAAAGTCGCGACGACAAGATAATACTCGCTGTGACAGCGAACAGGGATACATCTATGTATACAGTCTGGCAACTCTCCTATCTTCCAAATAGCGACTCGTTCGTTGCCTCTCGCAAACCCAAACGAAGAAAGTCGGGGCCTCGTCGTAGTTCTATGCAACCAGGCCTCCCAAGTGGTGCTACCACTCCTTTACAACCTAATTTCAAGGAGAGCTTCGGTGCTCCACTTCCTGGGAAACGACCAAGGAAAAGTGAAAGGATTGAAAAGAATGATAGGGCTCTGGAAAAATTGGAGTCATCTCTGGGCCTCGACAAAGAATCTGGTGTGACACGTCGAACGTCCCGTCGAGTCAGCTCAATGCTCGCCAGAGCTGATCTATCGGCATCTCACGATAGAACAGGCTTTGTTGAACAGGCCCAAGTGCCACATCATTCCCATGGCAGAAGGGACACATCATATGGTAGCCAGAGAAATCGCACAAGTGGCCTATTTACTGGGGCATCTTTAAATGCTAGTTATGGCCATGGTGCTCATGCACAAGGGAATTCCTTAGAGGCGCCTGTTGATACCTTGTTAGAAGAATTGCGCGCAGGAGGGGATTTCGAAGGATTCCATAATATGGGGCTTGACGATCATGATTTCGATGGTTTGGCACAGGAGATACTTTTCACGAAGATTCATACAACACCTATCGACAATAGTAATGTGCGGTATTCCCTCTCAAAAGACCCGGCCCGCAAACAATCCAAAGTCTTCTGTATGTCAGGTCCTCAGGCGACCATTGACGGTATAACTCGCCAACAGGTTTTGGTTGGAATACAAGACCCCATGGAGAAATGCCTCCAGCTAGTAACGTTGCACTTGCAATTCCACAAAATGCTCTTATCTGAACCATCTGAGCCCAGTAAGCCAAGCTTCACGTTTGGACGACTTAAAAAGGCACGAGGTGTTCTCGATTCTTGCAAGATCATTGACGGTAGTACATCTATGATTCTCACGCTGTCACAAGCTAACGATGGCCATCGACATTTGAGCATACAGGCGCCTTGGAGCCATCTCACCCCTATCGCGCTACCAAACAAATTATCGCTCGCGAATATGCGTACCCTTGCCTATCGTGGTAGCCTAACAGGTAGAGAGGTAGGCATCAACAGATCCATCACACTGGTCAAGGGAGATATCACGGGTATGCGACACCCAATACTCCATGGTTTAGTCGATGTCGTGAGCCAAACTCAGCTCCATCAAATACGGATACAGCTCGAACCTGCATCTCTCCAGGTTCGTAAGATCATAGAGATTCTTCATTCTGTCCTGCCATCACGATTTGCGGATCATCTTCTCGCTGGGTGGTGGGATGTCATTACGTGGTTGCGAAGCCAAGACACCGAAATCGTTGATTATGAGTGGTCTGCTATCGTTATCCAAATTCTCGTGATGTACCTTGCTTTAGGAGTACAGATAAAACCAGATACTCTTAATCAAACGCCTCGGAAGAGAGCACGGAGTTTCCTGAGATCTAGCAGTGGAGCACGGATCGACCTCTCCGATTGGGATGCGATGTGTAGTAGCCAGACTCCGGGTTCTCTGACACATCCGTCATGGATGGAGACGAATGCGTGGCAGTGGATGATGGAAGAAGATGATTCGCCACAGGCAATTTTCAAGCCGAGCGTTGAAACTGAACAGACAGAATCACTCACCTTACAAATAAAAGCAGCTTGCTCTTATATGTCGTCATATCGCGCAGACGATGCTATTAGACCTCAAGAGTATTTACCAACTGCCCTGTCAGTTGACGAACGTACCCGGTTCAACCATGCCCAAGACATATTTATCGGGTTGCATCTTTTTCATGAAGAACAAAAGCTAAATATCACAATTCCTAAGACAAACTCCTCTGGTCTTGTTGACTTGCGGGCAATTTTACTCCAAATAGCGAGGTGGATGGGGTGGTCTCAATGGGTACAGTTATATGATCTCGAGATGCCTTTTGACTGGCTAGATCAGTCAGCTGATATTTCGAATATTCCACTCGCTCTACTGCCACCCGCACCTCCATACTGGAGCGTACTCGAGTGGATTGAAAGAGGGCTGTCTCGAGACAATAAACCACAAATGGCAATACCCGCAACTAGTACGACCCATGTGCTATCGCAACTCTCTCGAATCAAGATGTTTGACAATTTGTTCCGGAGGCTAGAGACGCATAGAGAATCGCCTGCCCGTTTCGTTGAAGCAATGCACCAAAGTGGGATCACAAATCTCGTACTAGAGTCGCTCCCAGAAGCTATACTTGTTCCCCTTAGAGATGCAATCGCACAGTGCCAGCCGAATCCACCGCCTGGGTGGTCTAGAGGGATGCTCGAGTTGGTCGATAGAGCTGATGTTAACTCAATACTTTTATCGTCAACCGGTTATCGCAACCATTCGACCAACGTACTGGTAAGTCATATTCAAACGCTTGCTTATAATGTCATTAACAGTGTCTCAAGACTCCGACACACAATGCATCCTGGGACTTTAGCTCACTCTGTCAAAATGTCATGGAGTTCAATGATGCGCCAGCAGACGATGTTGCCGAGAGCGACAAGCAAGCAGTTATACGGGCCATCTTCAAAGATGATCGACGCCTAGACGAGACCAAGATGATGCTCAACACGACAAAACCCCGATCCGTACGGCTAGACCCGCTTCCAGAATGGAGCGAGCCATTCTACCTCGAGCAGCAGAAAGAGATAGTAACAAGATTTGCCACTAACACTCTTTCAATCCCATCTGGACGCGGTCTCATGAACTATGGTCTACGGTTTCCGTTGCTAACACAGAAATTCCATATGAATGGTTTCGTCTTAAATTGTACTGTCAAACCGCAAAACGTAATCGTGGGTGTTGACAAGTCTCTATTCACAGAGGAGAAAATTGCGTGGGCTTTCTTTCATTCTGGCGTTGCGGCTGGCTTGTCCATCTCCCGTGATGCTAAAGGAATTGACACCTCGTGGATACTTTACAACAAACCAGGAAACGACCTGAACAACCGACATGCAGGATTTCTATTAGCGCTGGGTCTCAATGGACATCTTAAAGATGTAGCCAAATGGGTTGCCTTCAAATATCTGACACCGAAACATACTATGACTTCTATCGGATTACTCCTGGGCCTCGCAGCTTCTTACATTGGAACAATGGACTCCCTCATCACTCGTTTGTTATCTGTCCACGTTACTCGAATGCTCCCGAGGGGTGCTGCCGAGCTTAATCTCTCACCCCTCACGCAGACGACGGGCATTATGGGTATCGGTTTACTCTACTGCAATAGTCAACATCGTCGCATGAGTGAGATCATGATGTCGGAAATCGAGCATGTCGAGGCAGAAGATGACGAGGAACCCTTGCGCACCGAGTGCTATCGGTTAGCGGCCGGCTTTGCCCTTGGTTATATTAACATGGGTAAAGGGGCTGACTTGAAAGGACTCCATGATATGCGCATCACAGAGAAATTGCTCACGTTAGCTTCTGCAACGAAGAAAGTTGAGCAAGTTCACATTCTCGATAGATCCAGCGCTGCAGCTGTTGTTGCCATTGCTCTGATCTACATGAAGTCAGAAGACCATATAGTGGCTCGGAAAATCGATGTACCAGATGCCACCTTACAATTTGATTATATTCGGCCCGATATACTCTTGTTGCGCACTGTTGCGAAGCACCTGATATTGTGGTCAGAAATGAAACCAAGTCATGAGTGGATTCGTAAGAATCTCCCCCGCCGCTATCACCATAGAGTAGAATCACCAACAGCCATATCGTTTGATCATGTCTCCCGAGGGCCATTGAATTCAACACATCTCCCCTTTCTTACTATTCTAGCAGGACTTTGCTTTTCATTAGCCTTACGCTATGCTGGTTCCAGCAACGTCACTGTTCGGGATCTATTACTATCATATTTTCACCGCTTCTACGCACAATGCAAAGACCCGCAGCCAAATGCTACTTTCGACTCTAGATGTGTCCAAGTCGCAGCACGTATGTGTCTAGACGTTGTGGCGCTGTCTTGTGCAACTGTCATGGCGGGCACATGCGATCTCAAAGTGCTCCGCGTCCTAAGATCTCTACATGGACGAAACGATCCTGACACGACATATGGCTCACACATGGCTGCTCACATGGCACTCGGCGTTTTATCGCTTGGGTGTGGTACACAGACCTTAAATACGTCGAATCTCGCCATTGCTTCACTTTTAGTTGCGTTCTATCCAGTCTTTCCTGACAGCGTGCAAGATAATAAGAGTCACCTTCAGGCATTTCGTCACTTTTGGGTTTTAGCCACCGATCCGCGGTGTTTAGTTACCAAAGATGTAGCAACAAACACGCCAGTCAGTGTACCAATAACGATTCAACTGAAGAGCTCTTCAAGTCCTGCGGACAGCGAAGTTCGCACAACACCGTGTCTTCTTCCTCCTCTCAGTGAGGTTTCGAGCATACGGACAACATCATCCGAATTTTGGAACATAGAGCTTGATTTCACCGCCCATCCGGAACATATAGAATCTTTCAAACGCACACAAACTCTTTATCTACGCCGACGCCCCGTTAGCGATAGCCCATTTGCTGCCACTGTAATTGCCCTCGGCCGAGAAGACGGTAGCTCGAATTTTAGTTTCGCCGCAAATGCCGCGCAACCGCTTGAGTGGTTGTTTGATCAGGTGCCAGCTCTCCAGAAGCTAACACACGCCGAACGCGGCTTAGTGCTCGATCGTAATATAGGAGGTCCTGATGTCGGTGACGCTGCAGGGACGGTTGTGGATGCTCGGCTCGTCCTCGAAGAGAGCATCAACAATCCTACACGGCAAGACATGTTAGGACTAAAGGGATTATTTGAATGGGTTGAATGGAGAGCAGAAAGAACCCAGGAGCAGCAAAATAATGGGGAAATTACTGAGGAGTCTTCGGGCAAGAGTAGGTGGTCAGGTGATGGCTGGCTAAGAGAAAGCATTATTGAGAGTCTGAAGGGCGATGTCTGGCTTGCAGGTAAAGAGTAGGCTTTTGGCGTTGATTTAGAGATAGGTAGCTATGACTGTATTCGTCGGTTAGTGATGGAGTAGTCACGATTTATGATGTTACGTGCTTTCATTGTAAATGACTTTGAGAGATCGCTTTATGAATGCAATAAGAACAGCAACACCTGCATCCCCAAGTTACGGCACCTGAAGTAGAGACATATTGTCAGGTATTAGTAGGTGCTCTTTGGCGCAATACAAAACAAAGCCCCTGTTCTTGAACCCCAGGATCTGTATCAAAAACACCCGGGCTTCTCAAGATTAAACAATGCCTTTATTTGTGCACTCGACAACACTCAAACAGTCATTATTATAAATACCACCCGCCCCATTTGCCAGTCAATTTACAAGCTGCCAACAAGAGCAATATCGTCAACAACCTTGAATTATGGAGTTCCCACACTATTGCACTTTACACCATCTTGCTCTCCCCGCGGACGTCAACGCTCCTTTCTGCACCCAGAATGCGTATAACGCCGAAGTATTACAACAGTCGGTCTTCGACATTGCCAACATAAATGACGAGGACGCAAGTCTAACCCCGGCGCAAGAGATGCTCAAATTTAGTTTCATGTCAGACTATCTAGCTGTCGACACAGACAAGATGACGGTAGGAGAATTAGCAGACTTTCTGGAGGAGGTACTCGTCTTTGTCGATAAGTACTTTTACCGCGGCAGCCTCACACAAGGTCAGATACGCTTCGTAAAACTACACGCTTGGGATCTTCCTTACTATGAAGCATTAGGATATCATGACCGGACATCTTTCCAGAACCTAGCCAGCCACATTCATATATTCCTTCGGTCACCTTTTACAGGTAAGCGATGGTCAACATCAAGCCTTGTGCACACTGTCTTACACGAATCAGTGCACGCGTATCTATACCGCTTCTTCAACTTCTGTCCCGTAAACAATCGGAACGATTTAGTCAGCGGAGAGGATAGAACAGGTCACGGCATACTCTTTCGAGTTGTATTACTTGCAATGTTCTCGGTATTGGCGAATTGGCATCCCAGTCTTAAGACTTTAGGGAAGGATCCTCTACCTGATTGCCCAATATGGTGGCCTCGGCTATATAAAGGCATATCTGAAAAATATTTGCGTGACGAGTGGGAGGTTACCAACCTGCAGCCGCACGAACCTACTAACATATTCCGATATTGGAAATGGCGACCAGCGCGCAAAGCACAATTTAAGAAGGCTTTATTAGAGTTATCGTATATCACTCGCGGCCATTATGTCGAGCTCAGGGTACCATCTTTGGAACGGGCGTGGAGATTTATTTTCGATTTTTTTACATGGACAGTCCTAGGAGTGTCCATTATCTATAATTTCTATTTGTTTCGATTGGACGTCTATATTCCCGCTATATATAAGCATGCAATATAGATATTTATTGTACGGTGTACATAGACGGCAGAAAGATATGTTAGAGCCAGACACGTCAACTAGCTCAGCACACGGGCCTTTCGTATTAGAACACTAAAAGTCTAATCAACTTAGAAACGAGTAGATGATCTACTCCCAAATTGATTTCTCTCCACCTCTCTCTGAAGGTCTTGGAAGCCCCAAGGTTTCCTGGCTTTGGCCCGCGCTTAGTCCAAAGCATCGCACAATCTAAAGTTGCAGCCCACCCAATTAGACGACGTGCAGTATCAAGACTGTTTTGAAGCGCAGCATTCGGTAAATAGAACGCCACCTTCATAGGTTTGACTAGCCGAGCCCAGTGAAAAGAGAATAAAAATTAAAATTTAAAGAGTGGAGTTATATAGCTAGTAACGGATGAAAACAAGTTAGCTGCTGTGAAGAACACATATGGAATTAACTAGGCCCAGATTGTAACGTGTTTCAAACCAAGAGGCATATGAGCAGCCGATTGAAAGTCGCCCAGAGATCCATATAAGTTCTGATTCAGTGAAATGTAACAATATATCTATCTATCTTTAACATTTAAAATCTCGTGACATGATTGCCAGAGAGATATCTATAGGAGAATTGATTCTTCCACTATTCGATGACCGACTCCTGATCCTACATACAGTACATATAGTTTCCTAAGATACTCGGGCGTTTCCTGACCAATCGTATCCAATCGCCCTTCCCAAAAAGCATTTTCAGTCCTCGGCGCTTAATGTGTATGTATACCTATCTATGTGCGGCTGAGAGGCGTTGTCTCGGCTCCTTGGGCACAGGGGTTTCTCGCAGGTAAACTCCAGGTAAAACTACTGCACAGCACGTGCGGCACTCGGATGGGGTTCGCCGCCTCTTCCCCGCACTTACTCTCCTGCAGAATGTCGGGGTAATGGGGGGCTAGTCAAAGTCATCGAAAGCCGAGGTGTGGTCTTGCGTGGGGGTCATCCCCCATTGGAGCTGGGTCAGGATGTATTAGCCCTGGAGCTACACAATTGTTATCAGATCAATCTAACCTGTCAAATTACAATATACGGGCCTCTATTCACCAGCTTTCTCATCTATCTCTTGGAATTTCCGCAGTGGGTCTTTTGGTTGGGATGTGTTGACGTGTTCCATCCGCGCAACTCTTGAATCTCGTTGGATTGATTTTGGTTATAGCCCAAGATCTATTGTCTTGGTTCAATCAACGGTTAGCTCTTAGTTAGAACTTGGTGTTGAGTAGTGAGTGGCCCGATTTCCCCGTATGTTAGCTACACTCTTCTGCATGCCATGCTCCTCGTGATAATAGCTCGACTCTCTTAGCTTTGCAATGCTCAATGGGCCGCCTTAAGTACTTCCATATTGAGAGTGTCATATTGAGTCAATATCCTGGACGTGCGTTAAATAACTAATGCTACTTACCGTTACTAGCAAGATGATTGTGAGGTAGTAGCCACCCCACACACCTATTACTACCTGTAGACCATAGCCTGGTGGGAACTCTCCCTTCTCCATAGTCAATCCAATCCAGTCCATACAACGCCCTGACAACGATAGCCACTTGGCAGCGGCTAGCTCTTTGGATTTTGAATACTACAGGCTCATGTTAGAACACGGAGTAAGTTCCGCATTCCTTGTAGGGTAGATTAAAGAAATACTTATGGGGCTTTTTATCTAGAGTGAACGCGACTATGTTTCAATAATGGAGTTGAAGACACGTCTCATTGTTGCGGCGATTTATACAGTAAAACAGCTGCAGTAATACATCTGATAGGATATGAACTCCGTATATCTCTTTTTTTATTTCTAGTATTCATAAAGGAGACACGTGATAACTCACCTTAAGAGCTCGATTTGAAGCGCAGGGTAAATTGAGATAGAGCCACATCAGATGGTACCAGATAGGAGCCTTTGTGATTGGGAGTACTATTATCATCATCTGAGCAACATATTTTCGTTCGCGAGTCTAGAGGAAAATATATGGTATCGCTGAGTTAAGTGCGAGTGGCTCTATTATTTCGACATAAGTGAACCAAATATTTGAGTGAGATGCGCCGCCGACCTCACAGATAAGAAGGGGATTGGCGGTATGTCATAGATGAGTTGTCAGGTACTGAAGTGTCATCAGGTACGGTACCCAAAGCAGAACCAAAGGCGGTAGCTAATGGCGGTGGCAGAAGCGGTAGCTAACCTAGATTCTCACCTAGAGTGATCGCATAGATGGATCTACACCGTAATACCGTAGAGTTTGGCCTAAAGAACCTGGAATATGACATCTCCAGCTGGGTAGTACGATGCCAAGGCCACTACATCACCAGTCGGATCCATAGCCAGGACTCGTGGTATGATGTTGTGAAGCCCTATCCAGACCCTATCCTAAATCTAGTTCACCCCGTGGGGGACCAGATGGGGGTGGTGCGGAGGAGGTTGGGGTCGATTACGGGGTACGGTGGGGGACACAAGTCATGGGCCGACGTGGAGATGAACCTCTCTGTTCCAAGGTTAGGGTACTTAAACTATCTGTCTGACCCGGACAAGGAGACGAGATTTGACAGCAAGACGGAAGGGACACAAAGAAGATAATATCAGGACGACTCGGCTAGGCAAAATGAGCACAGCCAAAGATATAGCTAGCAGCATCCACCACGACGAGAGCATCGCCAAGATGGACATCGAGAAGCACGATGATAAAGTCGCACAGCTCATGGGCGGCGATCGCGTCGTCCTCACGGAAGAAGATGTACGTATCAGGCTTCTCCCAGACTCTCTATGCGTTGCTCTCCTGTTGACACACGAGATAAACAGGATAAGCGCATCAGGCGGAAAACCGACAAAGTCATCCTTACCATCCTGGTATGGGTGTATTTCCTCCAGATTCTCGACAAGAGCGTGCTGGGCTACGCTGCAACCTTTGGGCTCCGCGAGGACACAGGCTTAACAGGCAGCGAATACTCTCTCATAGGCTCCATTGCGCCCATCGCACAGCTGGCATGGCAGCCATTCTCGAGCTTCCTCATCGTGAGGGTTCCTCACCGCATTCTAATGCCAACTCTCATCCTCGGGTGGGGTATCGCGTCCGCCGCTATCGCCGCGTGCCACAACTTCCAGACTCTCCTCGCGGCGCGATTCTTCTTGGGTCTGTTTGAGGGCGGTTGTCTTCCTCTCTTCTCCATCATTACGAGTCAATGGTTAGTTTGAACCCGCGCCACACATAATCTCGCCTGGATCGCCTGGCTCTAACAATCTTCCCCCTCTTGTTCAGGTATCGCCGAGCCGAGCAGCCGATACGTGTTGCGGCCTGGTACGGCACAAATGGCATTGCTACTATCGTGGCAGCTGCAGTGTCCTATGGATTGGGACACATCAACTCTCCTCTTTTAGCGTCATGGAAAATGTGAGTTCATTCTCATGCCATATGATCTCCTCATATGGATCACAAGCAAATGTCCTAATTTTACTCGTATAATAGCATTTTCCTCTTCGTCGGACTCGTCACCATCGTCACTGCGCCTGTTGTTTATTGGAAGTTAGACAACGATATCCTTTCGGCACGCTTCCTCTCCGAAGAGGATAAGCCAAAGGCTATTGAGCGATTGCGCGCCAATCAGAACGGCATAGGCACACGAGAGTTCAAGTGGAAGCAGATTCTCGAGATGTTCCTGGAACCCAAGACATACCTCTGGGTCGCCCTCTCCTTGTTCATCAACGCCGGCGCTTCCGTGACCAATACCTTTGGTCCCCTTATTATTAATGGGCTCAACTTCGATAAGTATAAGTCCTCGTTGCTGAACATCCCCTTCGGCTTCGTGCAGTGGGTCATCATCCTCATCGCATCGTGGTTCGCGCAGCGGTTCCGCATCAAGTACGCCATTGTTCTGGTATTCATTCTACCTGTCATTGCCGGACTCGCCGTCTTGTACGCCATCCCTCGCACGGCTGATAATACTGCGCCGCTACTCGTTGGATACTACCTCCTCGCGTTCCTGTTCGGCACCATCCCGGTCGTGGTTGCGTGGGTGGTAGCCAACACAGCCGGTATGACGAAGCGATCAGTGATCATGTGTAAGTCAATAAAGGACACCACCTAGTTTTGCCAGCCACCCTATACTAACCCCTCTCCAGCCGTTTACAACGGAGCCGCCTCCATCGGCAACATCATCGGCCCCATCGTCTTCAACTCCAAGGACGCGCCGAACTACTTCCCCGGTCTGCGCGTCGTGCTCGGCTTCTTCGTCGCGACAGCTGCCTGCGCCATCTTGCAAGCCTTCAATCTCGCCTTCCTCAACAAGCTGCAGGAGCGCCGGCGCGTGGCGAACGGCAAGCCCGCCAAGATTGTCGACACGAGTATGTCGAATACCTACAAAGAGATCAGGGCGGGCGACTCTTCCGGAGTCCAGAGTGCCGAGGAGGGCACCGCGGACCAACGCATTGGCCAGCACGCCTTCGAGGACTTGACTGATCGCCAGAACGACGAATTCGTCTATGTGTTGTAAAAAAAAAAAAAAAAAAAAAAAGGGAAATGAAAATCATGAGCGTTTTGGGTTTACTACAGACCTACTGTTATGAATAGCGAGCGTTGTAGTATTTTAGTAGCATGAAAATAGCGTTGCCAAGTTATAATTAGGGGGTCATCACATGAATATACGCCACACACATGCATAATTACAAACTCGGGCTGTGCTACCAAATACCTGTGGAGAGTATCGTATAGGATATTATCATGTAGAGCCCGTGTCGAATCCGGTCAAGATGACAGCACGTCCTATCGTTGCACTTGAGTACGAGGGAGCTATCTATCTTGGCCGTATGTATTATTATTACATTACTGGACTGCAATATCAGCACCATTCCGTTGTAAAAACATTATGCAGGAATGCGCCAACTCCATCAGTCCGGTCGCTTTTCCAAAGCTTTCACGAAAAGCGTCATGCATGTGTCGCTTTATTTCTTTTTTCTTTTTATTTATTTATATCAATAGAAAGGCTAAAGATAGAAGGAAATTATAACGACTAGGTAAAGCCGCATGCTGGCTGGTCTTCCATCGGCGCGCTGTTGCGGTCTTGTAAAGTAATGCCTTGGTCGAGATGAAATTGGATCCCTTCAAAGTGTTACGAGTGTACCGACCATCTATAAGCCGGACTCAGCCAAACAGTATGAGACATTCTTATATTCCATGAGTGGCTACATCCGTAGACTCTTGCTGCCAATTTCAGGTCAATGTTATGCAATAAATGCACAAGTCACGCAAATAGGACACAGGGAAGCGTTGCAAGAGAACCGGACTATATCCATAAATCTGCTAGGCAAAGCATGATCTCGGCTACGTCAATCAAGTAAGAGGGCTACTACATACATGGCATTGCTAGCCCCATAGTAGTTTGTTGGTTTGGCTATGTTTTCATCATCAAAACGTCCAATAAGAACCATCTTCGTCATCACCGTCCAATCCGCTACCCTCTAGTATATGCAAGTTATCTGAAAGACCAAATTCCAGCTCGACGCTGGCCAGATGTCATGTTAAGTTCTTGGAGCTAAGCGCTCATGACAGCGTGCGTCTTCATGCCAAATGAAGCTCAATGCAATAAGGGGTAGAGCCAAAAACGCCTAGGGACCAACCTGAACCATCCATGCCATTCTAAGACAAACTCCCACCAAATGGGTATAAACTTAATGAAGATATGATAGTAGAAATGACAAAACTGCCACTCGTTAAAAGATAAAATACGGAAAAGGATTGTGTGGAGGATATGATGAAGAAGCTACCGCTCGATACTTTCAGGGCTCATAGGAATACCAGTATCATCTTTATCTGTTGGGCTATTATTTCCCTGACTTTGGGTGCTCTCCATACGCTCCATAGGCGGTGGGACAGCCACAGATATGGCTCTTGATGTGGACCCATTCGGAGGGAGGATAGTCTTCTTCAATGTGGCAGCTTTTTCGGCTTCTAACTTGACTTTTTTCGCTTCGGCGGCTTGTTGCTCTAGTTTCTTCTTCTTCTTGTTAATGGCGTTTTGTTCTTTGGGCGGTCGCTTCTGTGGAGATACAATCTTGCCCGTAGCACCAAGTCGAGGCTGAGGTCGCCTCTGCTTCACAGGTAGGTCTTTATCTTCCACCAACGGTAGGTCGCCATTAGCGTGTAGTTTCGCGAGGAAGAAGTTCTTAACCAGACCAATTTGTTCTTGAATATTCTCCTTGGTAACGGGTTCCGGAGGTGGCAGCTCTTCAAAAAGCACGGCATCAGTTGGGCCTTGTGCCTGACTTTGCGCCTGGTATTGGTTCCTCACTCTCGATTGAAGTAGGTGCAGAGGGACAGACAGCACCCCACCCAGCTCGCCCGCTAGACCGAGTTCTTTGAAGCCAAAGAAATCTTCGCCGAGCTCTTCCGCGAAGTCTCCTCCGACAAATTGTTCACTACCGTCATTGAAAGCGGCAGCCCCATCACTGCTGCTACCTTCGGTGACAGCGGGGCGAAGTAGATCGCTTAAATGTGTCTTCATCCGCTCATGAATTCCGCTTAGTTTATTACCTAGTCGATCCACCTCATCTTTGGCATAACTCTCCAAGGCTTCGATCGAATAGCCATTTTCCGCCAGGGTATGAAGTATGGCTTGCTCGTTACTATACCGAGGTTGGAGAACAGATATAGTATTTTCGTTAGTTGACATTGAATCTGTCTTCTCACATTCAGTGTAGGTCTTGAATGTTTGCACTACCTTGCCAAAATAGTCGGCTGCAATGTCGGTAATGGTATCTAATGCAGATGGCTGGTACTCCTCGAAACCGGCGTGGTAGAACAGCTTTGCAACCGATCTTTGTAATGCTGCACGGCACACTTCCGGCGCCATCACCAGGTCATCGCCACACGTCACATGTGGTTCGATATCAGCCTCGCAAAAGGGGTCGGGGTTGTACTTGGGGAATTGGTTGGCGTACACCTACGACAGTTAGCAATTCAAATTTCTTAAAGTGAGTCAGTCTGCCATGGCTTGCCTGTGTCTGGAGCTGCATCTGTTTGATGACCCCTATTTTTGAACAGACTTTCCTGGTTTCTTGCATTTGTCGGAGATTGGCGTCTATCTTTTGAGCTAAGAGGCCCTTGGGGGCTGTAAAATAACCCGGAGGTAACGTGCGGAGGAATTCTTCATGCTGGTTGATAACTTGACCCTCGTTATCCTCGATCCACTGTAGCTTGGCTGGGATATCCGGTACAAATGTCTGAGGCTCATAGTAGTCTGGGATAACCTTTTCTTCATCTTCTTCCATGCCTTCAGCCAATGTCTCCGGCGCCTTTGTTGCTTCATTGCCGGCTTCTGTAGATACGTCGCCTTGCGCATGCCCGATAACACCACTTGCATCTGCTTGTTGGAGGCTGCGAAGATATCGGCGCATACCAGCTTTGGTTCTCAATAGAGCAGGCTCCTCAATGTTCAGCTTCTTGCCATCGAAGAGTTCAAAACGTTGTTTGGTGATGAGAGCGCGGTCTTTCTTGGTGACTTGCTTCCAGATTTTGTACTCCTCGTCTTCATACACTTGTTGCGCCGCATCGCTTAAAGCTTGGCCAAGTGCCATTCCATTTATTGATGGAACATCCAGGTCCATAGCATCAACGTTGCTTCCCATGCCAGAGTGTCCGTTAAGACCACTGGGAGTCATGGAACCACCTACCGGTGGTGTACCAAAGCCGTTGCTACCGTCGAGCTCGGAGCCCTCACGGTTTGCCTTCGCGAGCAGTCCATTGAGCTGTAGAACAGGCTTTTGATCATTATTCGGCGTCCCTTCCTTCTGGTCGTTAGGTGCCTTCCTTGATTTGGTGCCTTTGGCTCCGCCGGCGACGCGGCCACGAGACGACATTATCGGCTCGTCGTCCGAATCATCACCGCCATCATCGTCACCACCATTCTGCTTCCGTCGTTCTTCTGCTTCGACTTCAGCGCGAGGTCGGATAACCAGGTCGGGTATTAAAGGAATGAGCTTCTCGGCTTCTCTTCGCATGCCGTTGGCCATTCTTCTGAGCGGGTGGTTCATGTCCTGATTGTATCGCAGACAGTTATCCCATATAAGGTTGAGGTCAGTGACAAAATCTGTCTTCGATTTGTAATTTAATGATTTCAGCTTCTTCGTCATGGAACCGAGGTCCATAGGCTGCTTGATAACTTGTCATATAGTTAGTTAATTTGTTTAAAAAGCGCATTGTCAAAATGCTCACAATTGTAATAGTCAGGAGCGTCTCGCTTATTAACCCGTTGCAAGAATGGTGTGGAATACTCGGTGTGGGCTTTAAGCTCAGTCAACACCTTCTCCAATGCTTCATAGAGTTCCTCCTGGTTGACATTTTCTTCGCTGGCCCACTTGCTCCGGTTTTTGCGCACTTCGTTCATCAATGAGCGTAGCTCGGCGTCGGAAGCGGCAACCATGTCGCGCTTCATATCTATACGCGCGATGAGGTGCTTAAGTGTGAGGCTCGATGCGCCTAGATTCGCGCTACTAAGTGAGCCGTGATTTTCGCCCGGCGCATTTCCGCTTGTATGGCTGTGATTGTTCTTATCCATCTCAGCTTGGAGGGCCTTCTCGGATTCTTCTAGCTGCTGCTGTTCGCGCATGGCTGTGTGATCGGTTTCGAGGGTATAGATGATGGTGTGAAAGCTGCGCTTTGCGGCTTCCTCAGTGTCTTTCCGAGCTTCCTCAAGTTGCTTCCGCGCATCTTCGATGTTGCTTGCTTGAATCTGTGATACTTGGGAGTTTTCTTCTTTGAGCTTGCCAGGCGATGTTATGGATGGGACAGGGGAGCTCCCTGATTTGGATGGCGACAAGAGACCTTTCGATGCGGAAGTGGATTTGGATTTGAGAGGCGACACACTGATGGGACCAGGGCGCGAAGTATCCTCAGTGCTTTCATCGTCATCGTCGTCATCGTCATCGCCATAGTCGTCTTCATTGATGACTCGCTTGACCCTTTTTGCAGGGCGCTCTTCGAGGGGGGTGTGGTCGGTGGCAGGGGGGAGGGATACGGGGAGATTGAGAGGACGACGTATCGAATCGATAGCACCCTTTTTGCAGGAGCCGTCATCACCGAAAAGAAGGGAAATGCGCGATTCGGTGCGGCGATATAATTCGGCAAAATGCGCGCGATGACGTTCTTCTTCAATATCTGATGCCTCAGGCATCAAAGTCGCGGAATTGTCAGCCGAGTCAAGAGACCGGGCCGGGGCATCATCAGAGCCCCTAATGCCATTGACGCCCGCATGATGAGGATGCGCAGGGGGTGGCCAGGCTGGCTGGCCGTTCGTGATAGACATGATGACCTTCGCGGCAGCGGATGGAGACACAGGGCAGCTGGGAATTGCTGGTCGCCATGCGTGGGAAACGCAGGGTCGCGTCGAGCGGGCAGTGGGGCGGTATACACGCCGAAAATTACGGTAATGAAATGAGCGACATCGAAGGAGATGACAGCGACAGTTTGAATGGAAGATTGATAAGAATGGGAGGTGCCTTGATGGATTGAAGTCGAGGCCGAAGCGCGTAGACTGATGGTATGAAGTCGAAGTGAGGTTTGGAGTGGATCCCTTGCCTCCCGCGTACAGCCCTTCCCAATGCCGTACCATAGACCGAGCGGGACTACCTACCTACCTAATACATACTTAGGTAGGTACTCGAGGTACTGTAGGCCCAGTAGAACGGTGGTTCCATGGGGCTACTACAGAAGGCTTGCCCACTGTCCCTAACCACTAGCCCACTATGGCTGCGACGAGACTGGTACATGTAGCAGCCACCCATTCTCACCAATGATATAAGTACCTCCATCTCCATCTTATATTCGCGTTATAGCGAGCTATGCCACCTACAGCAGGTTGTTACAGAGCCTACTCACCTATCCACTCATCTAGGGATTACCTACCTACCTAAAGTACGTCGTCGACTAACTAAGTATGTAAGTATGTAAATGTATGTTAGAGGCTCGGGAGGTATGTAGGTATCCAAATAGCTATATGGCGTTTAGAGAATGAACGTCATTCCAGATAGCGGTGCGCTCGAAAAGAGTGGTTGGCTTGATTGACTAAGTACCTAAGTATCTATGTATAGGGTAAGTATCTTTGACCAAGATGTTGTAAGCATCGCCAGATGCCAGTAGGTAGGTCTGCCCACATTTTAGATCAAGGGGAACATCGATCACGTGTGTGCAATTATCCATCAAAGATTATTTGATATTCGCTTCTATTAACATGTAGGTGGATATCAAAAGGTCCGAATTAATTTGAACTTATGTATCTCGATGGTAATCAGAAGCATGCTTCTCTCCTTCGAAGATGCTTTTTCCGCATCCGAGTAAAGTCAGCCTTAACTCAGCCCATCTTCTATAAAGAAAGCTTATGTCAACCTTCAGGAACAACTGCTTTAGCTGACAAACTAGTCTCATTGTGTCGGCATTTGATGTAAATATTCGTCAACAATGGCAAAACGTAGGTCACATCTCCATTACGTATCTCATGATATCATGTCACCAGCCGACGTAAGGCAAGACATGGTTACACACTGGCTGCCACTTTGCTGCAGAAATCAACAGGTCTGAGGATTGGGAGATTTCCATTTCCTAAAATGGATGGTTACTTAATCTGATCGGATGGGCGGTGCTTAACCTCCCTGCCTACCTAGGTATGTACCTAGCTCTGTACCTAGGTAGGTAGGTACCTAGGCATTTAGGCACTTACCTAGGCAACTCGAGGCACTGTAAAAGCGGGTGGGAGACAGGCCTGCGGGTTTGTTTGCTGCGCAGTGCAGACAGGCTGCAGAATACCTAGAACTCCCCTAAAGACGGGTACTCGGGAGTACAACGTCGAGCGGGAACATTCTGGCAGATTTGATCAGATTTGGTCAGGTTGATAGACGTGGATAGGTACCCAAATGTAACGTGCTGTTTCATAGCTTCCCCGGCCACCTTTGGTGGTTCTAACTTCTGAGGTACCCGCCGCGTGGCCCGATTGCTTTTTGTGAGCTCAAGCACCACTCCTCCAGCCTTCTCTACGGTTAATGTGTGATATGACCACTGATCCCACCACGTTCAACCATCGTAACTCTAGCCAGCTCACAGCTACGCGGAACAGAACACCGGTATTTGCTGTCTACGAAATCATGTCTACCTAGCCTCGACGTCTGACCCATTCCGATTGATATTTACTCATTTACGCTAGGTACGAATATGCGGATTCGATTGCCTTTCGCAGGTTCGTAGCTCGTCCATCCTACTATTGCTTACGCTCCTCTACCACCATTTGCATGTTTGCCTGGCAAAGAGCTCCAGAGCAATAACGAGCTGACACTCCCTGTCCCATAGGCGTTTTCTTCGTGCTCTGCCTCATAGCAGGCTACGCCGGCCTTTCCTCGCTTCAGCTCGACGGCTTCGTCAACGACAAAGTTCTGCACGCGCTCACCTTCTTCATTCTGACTGTTGTCTTCTATTGGGTCATAGACACCAGTCGTCGTCGCACACTCAACTTAACCCTTGTTGTTTGTACCCTTTCCCTGGGCGTGGGATCTGAGTTCCTACAAGGCTTCATCCCCAACGGGCGCAATTTCGATCTCAATGATATCATTGCCAATATTGTAGGCAGCTTAGCTGGCCTGGCTCTATGCTCATGGTATCATCAGCGGATGCTGGAGCGGAAGCGACAGCGCCGTTACAGCGCTGTGCCAGGTGATGAGCCGGGCGACTTAGAGCTAGGTGAGGGAGCCGGCCATCAGGAGGAAGGAATACTAGGAGCTGAGCAGGGTCGCGCGACAACGTTGGAGGAAGAGGTCGACAACTGGGATGAAAATGCTGTGGACAACTGGAGTGAGGACGATGAGCCCCAGGGAGACATAGGTACCAGTGATAAAATCCTTCCAGGAGAACACAATGGCGGCGAAGGCGCAAATGGAAGTGGCAAGAAACGAGCCGATTAAGCCTCTATTCATTGATTCCATGGTGATTCACGAGCACGGAACGAGCAGAAAATTGGTGGATGGAATATGATTTATTGTGTTTTATGGGATCAGTTAGCATTTTGCTTTCCCTTCGGGCGTTATAGGACATTGATGCGACATGCAGGGGCTTAGGCAAATTTTGCAGGTCGAATCACTAGAAACCAAGTCATTCTGTATCAATTAGACGACTGACGATATCACGGGATACGCCAGATGCTAGGGATGTTTAGATGAGAAGCGGCCTTATCTTTACAACAATGATCAATGATCAAAATTGCTTTGGCCCTCACAATTGAGGGCTGGCTATTTTTTAAGGGAACATCCTGGCACCTACATCTTGACGCCCATGAAGCTGGTACAGATACCATTCCGTCACACAAGAGCAGCACCATACAATACATATATATATAATGAAGATTGCGCCATCTTACATAGTGCACTAGAGACTACTAGCTTACCCATACTATATAAAGTTATGGAAACAAGAGCTTCTAAATTTTGTGAAACAAAACGTGCCATATTTGTAGCGCTACCCCATAAACCAAGCCAAAATGATGCAATCGCCGGTAAAGTCTCGGCAGTTGCGGAGATTCAACACTTTGGTGGTACGGTGTACCTACGAACTGCTGTTTTCGTAAGGTCGCCTTGGAGCGCGATAATCGTTCCTTCATAAAGCAACGAACAAGTCTCGCGATTGCCTATCAGTCTCTCCTTGACATTGGAGATAATCATGCCGTCGTTATTGTCCAACGGAAGCAGTGCGCCGCCTCTGAACAGAGCCGACGAGGTTGATGATGTGAGTAACTCGACGAACTACTGATATCTAACCCCTCACCGCGGAAAAGCAACCAAACTTCCAAGAGATGGTTCGCGGACCCCGCGCCCCACTCATGACCTGCATCACCTAAGTCGCATGAGGCGCTCATATGAACTTCGGCTTGCTCAATGTTTTCGCATCTTTCTAATCCTTCATATGTATAGCTAGTAAATGCCGTGAAATCTCTTATCGTACCCTACGTCCGGGCAGCAGATGAAGCCGCTGTCGTTCGAGCGCAAGGCCACCTCGGCGAAGGCCCATCGGCGCAAAACGTACTTGTTGAATCTCACCGTCCCGAGGACCTCGTGAAGCGCCTTCAGTTCTCCTTACCTGAAGGAGAAGGGAGGGGAAAAGATGGGTTGATGGATACGATACAAACTGTATTGAGATATAGCGTGAATACATGGGATCAGGGATTCCTAGATAAGCTATATTCAAGCACGAATGCTGTCAGTTGCCGCCATGCAGACGGCATTGCCCCAGATGCATGCTCTCTCATGTGAGTGAGTGATAGTGGCTGACAAGACTCATCATCATAGGTGGGCGTGGTATCTGACATGCTACTCGCTGTGTTAAACACGAATGTAAGTCTAGCCCAGCCATGGATACCACGGTGTCTATCCACCTACGTCACCCATGTTCCATTCTAGATCGGATAGATATTGAACTGCGACGCTGACCCCTAACCAGGTTCACATCTACCAAACCTCTCCATCCCTAACAGTCGTGGAAAAAACCACATCGCGCGCGCTCGCGTCCCTCTTCGGGCTAACTGGGCCGCGCGCTGGCGGTGTGACGTGTCAGGGTGGGAGCTCCTCGAATCTCACATCTCTCATAATCGCGCGGAACACCCTCTATCCCGCGACTAAGACTCAAGGGAACACCGGATTCGTCTTTGCTCTGTTCACAAGCGCCCATGGACACTACAGCGTGGAGAAGGCCGCTACGACGGCAGGCATGGGGTCTCAGAATGTGATCACCGTACCTGTCGATGACGAAGGCCGCATGATTCCCGCTACGCTTCGAGACGCTGTCTCAGCCGCCAAAGAGAAAGGTATGACGCCACTCTACGTCAACGCCACGGCCGGAACCACGGTCCTGGGCTCCTTCGACCCGTTCCACGAGATCGCGGACGTATGCGCCGAGTTCAGGCTCTGGATGCATGTGGATGCGTCCTGGGGCGGACCCGTGGCATTTTCGACTGCTCAACGGCATAAAATAGCAGGCGTCGAGCGCGCGAATACTATCACGGTCAATCCACATAAGATGATGAATGTCCCCGTTACATGCTCCTTCTTACTGACGAGCGATCTTGCCGTGTTTCATAAGGCTAATACGTTACCTGCTGGGTACCTGTTCCATGGGGACGACGACGATGACAATGGTGGGGAGACCGTCCACGAGGAAAAAGAGTATTGGGACCTTGCAGACTTGACGTTGCAATGTGGTCGTCGCGGCGACAGTCTGAAGCTAGCGCTCGCGTGGATCTACTACGGCGCGGCTGGCTTTGAAAAGCAAGTCGACCACGCCTTCGACATGGCAGCACACCTCGCATCCCTCGTCGAGAAAGCGCATGATTTCGTGCTGCTATCAAGTAATCCTCCACCTTGTCTACAAGTCTGCTTCTACCACGCGCCCGGCGGCGTTCTAGATTCAAACGCGGAGGCCAATACGCGGCGGACGAAGATCATGGTCCGGAAACTCGTTAGCAGAGGGTTCATGGTGGACTATTCACCCGGTGACAATGGCAGTTTCTTCCGAGTTGTGGTGAATTGCCAGACGAGAAAGGAGACAGTTGATGGGTTGATGAAGGCACTTGGTGAAGTTGGGAAAGAAGTTATTACTTCTTCTTAGAATATATGAGCGTGATATGGCATTTCACAGATTCTAGACAATAGACAGGCTAGAAAATACTATTTAAAACTGCTCGCGCTTTGAAGAGACCATAATAAAAAGGGGAGAAAACAGAAATGATGGCTTTAGATTAGCAGGAGGAGAACATGCCTCATGTACCTAAATACCCAAGGAACAGCATTAGACGCAGAGCGAACAATAATGATGATTCGTGCTTTGGCCTAGACCGCCCTTATTGATGCTTGTATAATAACGCATTTCACTCAATTAATGGCGGTAAGTATAACGAGGGCAGATGACTGGGCTTGGAATTGAAGCCATTCAGAATATAATGATCAACTAAGGCTATAGGAGTTTTTAACCGCCCAATTCCTTTTTGGCTTTGGTGGCTTGACTTGACTCTATATACAATAGGTCTGCCAGCCCTGACCGTCTATGTCTTATTGGCTCATCTCATGAAACGAAGTCTGTAAAACCTCAATTTCAAATACCTATTGCCTGTATGTCAGATCATGAACAGCCCGCAATGGCCTTTCGTACAGCTGAAGTGCAAGGTAAACTACATGTTCAGCTTGTGCGCGTGTAATCCCGAAACTTATTGTTGAAGGAATTCGTTTGATAGTAGAGTGTGTAGCTATTCGCCGTGCCAGATAGATGAGATCAGGTATGTCTCAAAGTAGAGGCAGTCAGTCGCAAGAGAACAAAGTCCCGGCATGCTAGTTACCAATTGAAGCTGGTGAGGCGCATCTAACTTCCTGTTACACGCGTACAATCTGAACATGCAGATCGCCTTACCCTTGGACTGTACGAATGGCCATTGCCGGCTGTTCATGATCTTTGAATACAGATAGGCAATATTGAGCAATCTTAAAAAATAAAGTTATATAAACTTCGCTTCATGAACCAAGCCGGTAAGACCTAGGCGGTCAGGGCTGGCAGACCTGTTGCGTATAAAGTCGAGTCAAGCCACCAAAGCCAAAAAAGAATGGGTTAGTGAAAGACTCCTGAAGCCCTAGCTGATTATTATAATCTGAATAGCTTCAATTCCGAGCCCAGTCATCTGCCCTTGTTATATTCGGCGGCCCAGGTAGCTGAATCGGTACAGTGTAGACGGCTTCACCGTAATTTATCACTTTCATCGTATAACATCCCCTGTCATATGATCAAAGAGACGTGATATTCACTCAGTTCAAGATTCACCATCTTATATCGATATCATGAAATCTGACTTATAAGCAAGCAATCAAAGCTTTTTATCTAAGCGCTATGACAGTGGGCTATACATAACTCGGTGAAATTCCAAGATGAACAGAGGCTGGGATGCTGTCGTATAATAATCTTCGCTCGAAAGGATAGCATACAAGCTGGTAGGGATTAAGATGTTCATACAAGAAAGCGCGAGAGAGTTAACTGTTTCATAGCGATATCCGTGTTGCTGGTTATCAAAAAGGATGCACCAAATTCGTAGAGGTTCATTGAAGTAGAACATATTTTCATACTCCTGCTTATATGCGTTGTTGTAATTGGTGATAAAACCTAGGTCATTTTTCACAGTAGTATAAGCATTTATCCTCCCGACTATTGGACCGACACATTATGTATAACCTTAGCTCACTCTATCAATACCATGTAACTGCCTCTGTCTCCGCGTTATGTTTTAACCTGGATTAGTATATGTCCTCTACCTAATCAGACCACGATTGTCTCACCATCTCTATTAGTCTCTTTATGTTATGTTCGAGAGAAGTTAGAAATAATAGGGGTTTCGCATTTCTATGAGACCCTAGTGAGTCCAAGGGTTTGATTTACATAATATCTACGCGTACGCGATGAACGTGGTCATGTCCACGCCTCTATTCAGCGTCTAGCCCTCACCTTTGGGGTCCTATGTCCTCAAGATATTGAAACTACCACTGCTTCGCTGATGAGAATAATAAGATATCTATATAAACTTAGATAGTTATTGCTCGAGCATTTACAAGCTGCACGCCTTTGAATTTTCCAACGTTAATCTGTTCGATTAGATCGGCCAAGCAAGGAAGCTTCCCAGTAACCTGACCCTGAGCAGGCCAGCCTCACGAGTCTACAATTCTCATGTATGGCAACACGCCTTAAATTGCTGTTGCTGTCTCGCAATTGAGAAGCCATCATCAGGAAACTCGAATAGAACCTTTTCAACATCACAGATGCCATACTAGGATTCCCATGACTTGTACTGCGATGCTTCCGTACGTAATGACTGGCGGTGTTTTAATTGGATCACTGGGACTGAACGCTTAACTTTCAGTCTCCCTCTAGATAGATTTTTATGAAACTAGGCTGCTCATGAGCCTTATCGCATTTGGGACCGGATCGAGATCGTGAGCGATTGTAACAAGCATGGTATGTATCTAGAATCTATGACTTCCTGATCGTTCTCTTGCAGGCCGTAAAAGAGAGTATAATTCTTCCTCGAGACTTGTATATCTGATACATTAAGCTACGCGAGATTTTTCTGCTGAATGAGATAGAGGTATAATATAGTGATTGCTCATTATGTCAAACTTTTCGTCGGAGAAATGCACTGTCAACGCAAAATGCATAGGGAATAGTAATAACGCTTATGTGCGTCTTTCCCCCAAGTTCATTTATAGTTATATTTTATGAGTTATTCAGACCCGATCAATACCTACCAACCAGGCTATTCGATAGCATTGAGATGACACTGCTGAGGCTCTGCAGGCTGCTTACTATGCAGACTTCTGTGCGTACTATGGCCGAAGCACACTATAGCTCAATGCATGCCACCCATGATCGGACTAGTAGTCAAGGTTAAATGAGCTGTCAGCGATGTACATAAAAACGCATTAGGTTTAAGTGAGATTACACGCCAACCTAATTGACATCAGCGGTCCTTTTCTCTATATTATTTGGAAGCTGGGTGCATGTTTCGGCGTATCCACGAAGAACTAGACCAAGTGACAGTACCATCTAGCGTTGCCAGGCATTGAATCAAATCACCATGTGACCGAGCCGATACTAGGTTGAAATCATCTCAACAAAGTGTACTGGATGTAGAGTTGTAATAGATGAACAGTCGGATAGGATGCATGACATTCTCCTTAACAAATGAATACCGAGAGTCCTACTTTTGAACAGTCAGGTGCACTTGAAATCCTAAAACCAACTCTGTCTCTTCCATCTGTCTTGAAAGCGACACATGAATGCACAGTAATTCTTTGATTTATGCTTGAAGCATCGTTTATGTATGAGTAGCTCTTTCGTATGGCGCATGTGGCACTTCTCAAAATGAGTATCTCTGACAAAACTTCTTCGATCCAGGTATATAGATGCTCGGGATCTACTTGCCATAGGAATGAGCCGATGAATCCGTGTTTTCGGAAATTTCTCTACTTGACCCTTCGACTCGAAGATAGTATGTGCCAATTCCTGACTCGTCGAACTTCTAATAAATAATATTTAGGTGCTAGGGAGATATATGGCACTTCCCGAAGAGCGTACTTACATCCAGTCTAGGCTCATCGGTAATAAGTTCCATGCAAGCGTGGATCGAGCACTAGGTAGAGATCCGGTTGAACCTAAAGATAGGTAGTGCCTACATGTAAGGTCATGGGGAAACGAGTTTGTTTGTACTAGGCAGTTATAACAGCTACTACGCCTAGTAATGCACATGTGTGTGACTATATCTCGAAGGAGAGTAGCCACTCTAGAGGACGAGCTCAGCATTTCCAGGGAGCGAGATGAACGCACGTTCCTTGCATGTTGTTATTCGATCGTCTGCTAGCGTTGCTTGGCTTGTCCGAAGAAACGGTTCCTTGGCACCACAAGAAAACTCTAGTGGTAGGAGCCTTAGTTCCGGAGTCGATTCCGAACAAGTAGAATGCGAAAATTACGAAAGCGCTGAGATCTGAGGATATCGCCACGATCGAACATTGTATCTGCGGGTAGGCGAGAGTAGCCAGTCGTAGTCAGTCGGCTAGCTGGCACGGAAGCGTGCTAAGGGCAGACCAAGGGGAAGCAGAGAGGAGACTTGGGACGGATGCGGATAGGAATGCGGGCATGGCAAAGATGGGAAATGCCATGGGAATTACGGAAATGCGAGATTTGCCCATACTGGGCGTTGCGTCATTTGGGAAGCGAAACAAGTGGCACGACGTAGGATCGGCAGGGATAATCTGTGATGGGGGCAACGAAATTTGCACACAGCTCGACAGCCAACAGCGAGCAGAGACTGCGAGAGAGAGAGCCGAGAGAGCGAGGACAGGCAGGCGAGGCAGGGCGATCGTGGCCCAGCCACAGTGTGGCCGGTGTGGCACATGCGACGCTATGCTGCGGGTCCTGCATGGGGCAAGGCGGGTGCTGACAGCTGATTGGGCCTCGGCGCTGTCTGACGGTGTGCTGACGGGCTCCGTCGAAATTGTTAAGGCGCCAAGTACCGCTGCCTGTTTGCCGGTTTGGGCTACGCCTGCAGACCCAGCGCCCGAAGCACCTGGGCAGAGGGCCATGACGGACGTTTTGCTCCGCGCTCTCTCGCTCCAAACCCACATCATCACGAACTACGCACTCTCACCCTTTGTTGCCAGCCCCGAGCCAGCCCCCGAAACAGGATAACGGCTCTCAGCCTGTGCCAGCAGTTCGGACGCGATCGAGGATTATGACGACAATCGGGATTCCTTAAGCTCGTGGGCCTGCACGTGTGCGCACCAGAGCTAGACCTGCCCAGAACCTGCCGCGTCCAGACCGTGACCTGGCGTGTTTTGCTTGTGCCTGTTCTCCAGTGTTACACTGCGCCTAGCCGGCAGTATTGCGAGATACGTCTCTCGTTGGTTTTATTATCTTCCGTGACCAGTATAACCTGATTTTTCCTGTAAGCAAAGGATCGGTTAGAAATAGGTACCGTACTTGGGTATACAGGTACTGTGTGTACTGATAATGCAGTGCCTTACTATTACACAGTAGGTACCGGATTACACGATGAGAAGACTACTGGCATACGCAGGTACTGGATAGATGTATACTATGTAATTATTTGTATTACAGAAAAACGTGAGGAATCATCACGTACCTTCTCGCTTTCACTACGTCTCCTGACACTATTCCAAGCCAAAGCAGCGTTAGCTGGGGCTAGTAGCGTAAGTAGATAGTAGATAGTAGATAGTGTAGCTACTGCATGTAAGCAAAGCAGATGATACGAGCTCCCAGTACATCGACGAGATAGCTACATCTATTCGTCTCAGCGGATTTCGATGGACTCGGAGGAACGGCCTGAAGGACGAATAACAGGCTCAGATTAGACGATGTATAGCTTTATGTTCCACCGGGATCGAACCATGTTGCGTGCAATCGACGTCTAGGACGACGGGCATATCGGAGGGAAAAAAGAAACGAAACATTAATGCGGCACGATGGTAGAGTCTCTCACACGACTTAGTCACATACCTACTCGCACTACTTATCTGTACTTGTATTTCACATGCCTGTTTTAGGTAATTTGTTGCGTGTCTGCCGATTCTGGTCCTGCGGTTTGCGGTAGGTAATCGACAACTCGCACGAGTACCTACTGTATGACTTTCCGTCAACTTGTGAGTTCCTATCTGACAGGAGCTCTCTCCGAGAGCCTTCATTGGTCGGGTGTAGATGCATAGTGAAGGCGGAGACAAATACACATGTTGGCAAGCATTGGCAGGCATTGGCAGGCATCCCACCAAACAGAATCCCCGCATTATCTTAGAACGAAAGGCTTGGCAAAGTATCGAGACAACCATTCGGCCATTCGAGATTGAATAACACTTGTTTCGGATATAAGCTCAACACAACTATAACAGTATTTACCGTAACCAGCCCAGATGGAGAAAGCAGGGGAAAGGCATCACGAGAAAAGAACGATTCGTGACGAGGAATGGTATCTCGAAAGCTTGTTAATCGGAAAAAAAGAAAAGGGAACCTGAATTCATTCATGAATCCAGCAATGTGGATAGCCGTTTCAAACTTGGGCAGCTACATGTAGAAGCCAAGAGCCGAGTAGGGATACTATGTAGAAATTCTTCATTAACGCCGATAAAGACCCATGTGTTGGGTCGCCTCAATCGCTACTAGACCTTTAGCACGGGGAAATTGCGTAATTCCTCGAGTACAGCCTCATGAGGTAGTTTGTTTACGTTATGATTTCCATCCCAAGAATCCCATAGTTGATGATCACGCTGTTTGGCAAAACCTCCATGCTTGTGTCTACTCGTATAGGTATTAGTGGTGGCGAGATTGGACTGCCACACGGATATAAGACAAAAGTGATCGATATCTCGGACTAGCTCACAAAACAGCAGCACACAGATAATGACAACTCGCAGGATTCAGTACCTACGAGAAAGCCCAGTTACAGTAGAATATGTTGGTACCTACGCTACCTACGTAATTAGGCCGTGTCTTGCCGTGAGACTTCCAAGTTCCCCTCATCTTCCCACTGTTCCAGTGTTTTGCGGGCAATGCGGAGAATTATGAAGATCCTTACAGGTACGTACTACTGTGTATGTAGAGGTACCTAATGTACTCGATATCTCTCACGGCTTATACTATACTACACATGTAATAGGTAGGTAATTCGACCAAGCCTCTTCGGCCCTCCAACAAGTAGATACTGTAATAATACATGTAGAAGAAGCCTTACAATGATACTACAATAATACTACAATCGTGTCGATATTGGGTCTGTATGTAGGAGCTGGGGGGTCTCCCTTTCTTGTTTGGGCGTAGAGCGGTACGCGACTCACTATCGGCGGCGATGTGCCGTCTTGCTCATCCCTGCTCTCCCATCACCGCCGGAAGCTTATGCATTCTTTTATTGGGGTCAAACCTTGCCTATCCCGTGCCTCATCTCGATCGATGGCCAGCGCCGGAGCTTCAGTCCCTTCTCTGCCCTTCGAAGCTGATGGGCTGCTGGGCTGCTGGCTAGTGTCTGCCCATCCGAGCCATCCCACGCCGCCGCTCCTCCAGACGTCTACTACATAGTATGTAGTAGTACCGCACACAGCACAACGTCGTCTCGCTTTGCTTGCATCCCTGTAGTGCGCGAGGTGGGTTCGTAGCAAGCGCCCGGGAACCTGTTAATCTGGTCTGCTCTTACGTTTCTTCTACGCAATGCTAGGCGCGAGCTCTGAGCTGTTGCTCCGCCGCGCGTTATACAGTAGTACATCTCCTGTGGTCGTACGTCGTACCCCCCCAAGATGTACTCAGGATGAGGCCCATGGCATTCTCTATTCCACATCCTTCCCTCCATCCCATAAGTATACGTGGGCCTTATACCTAGGTAGTATAGTGTAGGGAAGTCTCTCGGTAGGTAAAGTAGGTATATATGTCTGGATACCTCGGCCAGGTAACGCTATCTGTTGACGTGTTCTCCCCCTTTTGTCTTTCACATCCTTTGTAAATCACCCTCACACTATCCGATCCGCCCACGCAATCGGTAACCGGACTACGTTGCGGACCAATTATTTGCACAAGCACTTTGCTTCATCCATCTCGACTACAGTCCCATCATTGAGTTGAGTAGGGTCGCCTCATCAGCTTTGGTATACGACTTCATAACTTCAGCATCTTCGCACCCTCCAGATTTGGCAGCAAGGTCTTCAGTTCGCCATCTTTGGTAGATCGAATATTAGGAGTCCCGGCTTGCCCATCACCTTGAATAGCTGCCAGCAGTCGAGAATTAGACACTTACTACTGCCTTTACGGCTGCACATGCCGGCGAGCTTAGACACAAACAGCACCATCCCCGACTTCGTCAACGGCATACAGAGAAATCATCCAGTATATACCGGCGGCTGAAATATTCGCCTGGTGCGCTTTACAAGGAGCCTGTCGCCACCACTATTACAGAGACCTTTGTCAGCATCGTCACTTGCTAGAGTGATTGGGTGCACGACGTATCACCAACTTACCAGATTCAATCGGCTACTTCTCAAGTCGCGTTCATGCCCAAGCGATCTTATGACATCTTGGCCGATATGTCGACAGACTTGAAGTTTCCGCCTGTCAAGGCGCAAAAGGCAAGCTTCATCATTCGGTGTCTCCACATATGTCCAGCATACTAACGTCTCATTTAGACCGAAAGATCGCACGAGGAGAACCAAGAAAGGGCATATATAGCCGCATCACGACGAGCAGATCGCAGTTTGGAGGCTCGGGTTCAATCAGCCAAGATGGCTTCTGATATTCATCGGAAGAGGACAGGTCGTGGTTTAAAAGTCAGCGAGGAGATTGTGCTCAAGGAGGAGATGTATGAAGAGATGGAAGATGACATGCCGCGTTCCTACAAGTCTCTAGCAGCTCATCTTCAGACCCATTCGCCCGAGCTGAATCACCGTGTCAGTGCGTATATTGCGAGTCAAACAGCGATGGCGACTATGGCGAAGTACAATGAAATCAACAGGATGTTTAGCGAGGCGTTTCCCCGTGCTGCCAGCTTTTCTCAACAGACGCAGCATTCAAATTACATGTCACCCCTTGTGGCTGGTCATCATCGCTCAGCGTCCGTTCCGGAACTAGCAGGGTCACCGATTTCTAGAACGCACTCCACGTCAGCACTGTCCCACACGCCAATGGCGGATAATTCGATGCCGAGTTTGTCGCCAGCTCATAGCCCAAATGATGGAGCCGTTCCAACACCTGAGCTCAGTCCCGTTACCACGTCTACAGATATCACGGAGTTAAATGGCACGCCATACCAAATGCCTCAATCTCCCTTTCCATGTCTTCCTCTCGACCCACAGCTGGCTCAGCAGCCAACATCTAGCTTCACATCGGAACTGCCAAATGAGGTCAAGATGATGGCCAATATCGACATGACAGATCCGATGGCCATGCACTTCTTCGGAGATGACACTTCATCAGTAATGGGCATCCCTGATGAATTTAGTGGAGGTGTCTCATCTTACAACCCTTTCAATCCCAATGAATTGGACAGCTGTGACGGTTCCAAACCTTCCACCGACTACTACGACGGGCTGTTCTCACCTCTGGACACCTCATTGGATTTCAAGGAGGGACCTTCCAGTACTTTCCCACATTTCGGAACCCCGGGTTGTGGTGCTCCCGGGATGGAAGGCTGGGAGTCATTCGTGGATTTCGATACAGAGCAATAATGATTTTTGACCATTCTAATGAGCACGGGAAGTCCTACAAGCTGGACTTCCTCGGCATTACGACTTTGCTTTCTACGCTATGAATTATTTCATCTTTTATGCCAGCGATACCATGTTATGATTTATGTCACCTTTTAGGGTATGACACCGGCCTAGATTAGATGCTGAAAGGCGTTGTTGGGGCATCAAAATTTACGCTTTGGATTTTTATGATTAACACCGAGTTCTAATTGGCTGTGCCGTTGGGCACTCGAACGAAACTCGACACGTCGACTTGATCCGCTCACAAGCACGGCTTTGCACATACCAGGTTCGCATATCGACATCTCTTCGATTGTCGACGCATTTCTATCATTGGTCAGCTGGGAAGTTGCCTAAAACAACCTTGGATACACGCCTATATATGGCAACTGGTATTATTGGAGATTACGATCTCAAGGTCACATGAATCTCTGCAAAAGACAGAGCCATCTCATCTCAGGCCGTCGAACGACGTAAGGCGCCTTACGATTTTGAATGCACTGAATTGGTCTGTGGCTTGATGGCTATCCGGGTTTTACAAAATTAAAATGCCACACAAAGAAGGAAAAACAAATAAATAGCTGAAAAAAACTTAGAAATAAAAACCCAAAATGTTTTAATTAAAAATATAAAAAAGCCTGACCATCTCGCTTGGTGATATGCGTTGCACACAAATTTACATCCAGAAGAGATTCCGTCAAGGTGTAAACTTCCCTGTCAAGCCTTCTCATTAATATGTCACCTTCGCCACTAGGACGAAATGGAGTTGGTTCGCTACCGTTTCCGCTGCTGGCTGCATTATATGCTTTGCACCAGTTTGCCAAGGTCGGACTGGAGGCCTTTAGCACAAGATACATACTTTCGATAGTCAGCAGCCGTTGAAAGTCTGTTTATTCGTTCCTCCCCGCCGGAGTCCGCTCCGTCCGCATGAGATTCCAACAAGGCGAAATTTTCACAAAGAGGCAAAAGACTATTGTCCTTTTTTTTTTTGCTGCAGTTTAGTTTTAGCCAAGTTGCTTGCTTAGTGCGTGACTGATGCTACGATATTGAAATCAGCTGGCTGAGATTACTACAGTGCACATCCATCGCGACTATGAGGACACGACCCCACTGCCGATATTCCGATACTCCGCTCGACACGTGAAAGAATCTGGAAGAAGCTGAAGTATTCTCTCTCTCATCGAGATCTGTGATCCTTTTTATCCACAGTAATGCTCTCTCTGAGCTATGAGCCATGGCCCACTTACTCTTATTTTTACTAAAAAATCGTTGAATACACTCTACTGTTATGTTCGATACGAATGCTCAACTGGGAACCTAGTTTCTTTAGGGTAAAAAGTTTTTGAGTTGCGCGTCGGCACTGAGCGGAGAACTCCGCTATGTACTGGTTGAGGAACATGAGGTGCGTACATGCAGACCTTCACTGCACTCATTAATTGCTGTGATACTCGTGATTCTCCTGTTAGGTCTCTGCGGGTTTAGAGTACTGATAATATAATCTGTTCAGCACCAGCATATGTCACTGAGCTTCATGGCGGACCATAACCTGAGTAGACACCACGTGTCTATGTTAGGGTCTGATTGTCGTTTAACAAATCAAGATATAGAAAGTTCTCTGTTGATTTCAATGAAGCTGATTACAGCCTAGGAAGAGTGAAGGACCAAGAGAGGCTACGAAATCCAAAACAAGATGAGACTAGATCTCCACATAGGTTCAGCAGAGTTGATTTTCAAACACCCCTAGCATTCAGGGTCGACAGCAAAGTTGCCGAGAATGTACCAACATGACCTGGTCCTATCATGGTATAATGCGCGCCGCCGACCTCATGAAATCGGTGTGTTGACCTGCAGAATTGCCGCCACTCACTTAAGTGTACATTCGCCCATTCTTCTCAGTTGGAGCTTGCCGCTTTCGATAGCATAACATAGAAGATATCAAGGACAGTTACATTAATACCTTAAAGTTCGTAGCCTGTAGCCATCCGTGGTAGGTCATATCCCACGTCAGTCCAGCGAATCAAGCCTGGCCTGTTAAAACCCATCTTGGTCTGCTGAATCAAAGATGTAGGTCAGCCTCATGAACGTAGTCACAGACACTTGTACTCAGTTGGCGATCAATTTGGCATTTTAAGTCGAATGATATCAGTGGAAGAAACCCAAGGTTCTAAAATGGGCGTATTGATCGTGATTGTATCAAACTCAGCCCTCCGAAGGTCGCTCAGAATACCGGTTCTGAAGGTCTCTGCATCGTCGGCTTCTCGTCCATCTCACTCACGGGCTTTCTCTCTAAGTTGACGCACTTGGTGCAAATGAAATGCATTACCCTTCGAGAATGCCCCTGATTCGTACAGTGCTCTCATCCTAGCGCGATATCTTTCCCAGCGAGGCACAAAAACTCCTGCTCATCAATCATTGCCTGGTCTCCGCTACGAAGCAGCCATCTAGATAGAGTAAATACATACGCCGTGGCATGTGGATCGCCGTAATAGCTTTTGAAGACCACATGCCCGCGAACTTCGAGATCACCAACTTCATTTGGAGCGGCGACTTGAATGCCTTTCCCGGGCATGGTGATGCGCATTTCGATGCTGTTCATGCAGGTTTCAAGGGATGACACCACGGCGCCCCTTCGTCGTAATCAGGGCATTCCAAGTTGAAAATCGATCCGGCACACGTCTCCGTCATACAGAAGCCGAGAGTGATGACGTTTTTAGGGGCTTTGTAATAGTGCAGCATGGAAGACGCCGCGATACAGGTATCTAGGTTGTCCCCCCCCTGAGACAAGAGTCGAGAGGTTTGATAGATCCCATTTTTGGTGATCTGCATCAGCGAGGCCCTCGCTTTGGACAGCCGAGATAAGCTTGGCCAGAAAGGAATTTGGTGCAAACGTCTTAAGACCTTGTGTCGATGAAGCAGCGATAAGAATATTGTTGGAGATGAGACTATATCAACCGCATGAACGTGTATCTGATCAATACTAAGCTATAAAGCCTGTATATGAATTTCGATCAAACTTGCAACATATTCAAGCCCTATCCTATTTAAGAAGGGGTAGTTTCCTGGCTGAATTGGGCGCACAGCGGATTTCCCTGCCACCGCTGCCAGTATCTGACCATGAGACAAGCTCACGGCTTTGGAGTTTCCAGTACTGCCAGGCGTTAGCATCAGCGTTGCTATCTCTGAACCCCCTATATAGAGACTCAATGTGCTTAATGGCACAACTTTTTTCTGGATATCCTCAGTGATATGTACGTGTAAGCCATGGTCTTCGCAGAATACGTTAGTCAAATCACATGTAGTGAGGCAAATGGGGTTTCTCAAAAGGGATGCCAATCTCTTTATTTGGTCGGCGCTCAGATGGTTTCGCGAAAGGATTACAGGGAGCCCGCCTGCGCAGAGTAAAGACCAGAACCAGACGATATTGTCTAAGTGAGTGGCGAAATACAATAATACCAGTTGCTTCTCCTTGAACTCAGAAAGGTTTAATATCAGGGTAATACTGTTTTGCTGAGATTCAAGATTTGCTTCAGGGGTCATTGGACTTGATGTACAGGCATGGATCAGTGAGCACTCCCTCCCCCCCTCCAAAACCAGCAAGTTTTTTCTTCTAGACTCATATCACCTGCTAGTAGAAGCGCTAACATTATGGGAGTTTAACAATTGTGTCTCCCTACAAGCCATCATACGTCTCAAAATTGCCAACATTGTCCCATTAAGACAGACTTCATATACAGCTGTCGCCAAGCAAACTGGCCTGGATGAACGAGCAGTACGTCAACTTCTCAGACATGCAATGACGATGCGAATATTTCGCGAGCCTGAGACAGGAATGGTGGTACATACAAAAGCGTCAAGGGAACTGCTCGATCCCGTGGCTAATGACTGGGTGCGTTTGGGAACTGAAGAGATGTGGCCTGCAGCCACAAAGGTAAGATGAGCTGCCATGATGATCTAGAGGAGCACGAGCTAAGTTTCCACCCTTGCGAAGATGGTCGATGTTTTGCAAAAGTGGCCAGGATCGTAGGAGCCGCACGAAACGGTGAGAATCTTCGTTCTTCGGAGTTCGAGGAGGAACAGGCGAAGACTGATGGTTGATTTCATCGCAGGGGTTTGCTAGTGCAAATGGTTCAGACCGAAGTATCTATCAGAAGCAGATCCCGGTCGCGCCCTTCGTTTCGCAAACGGCCTACATGCTCATGCAGGAATATAACTCAACCCATGTCGTCAACGACTACGACTAGGCGAGTCTTGGAAAAGTTTAGTTGGTCGATATTGGAGGCGGCGCGGGTCACGTCAGCGTGGAATTGACTAAACAATGTCCTGGTATCACTGTCACTGTCATTGTCATAATATTTAGCTTGCGTAATGGATAATGCCTTCCATTGTCTAGGGTAGCTATGAAACACATCGCGGTTGTCCTAACGACGGCGCCTCCAATTCCATCATCTCATTATCCAATTCAACGCAGATTATCAAAATTAACAATAACAATGACAGACTAAGTTGACAACCTAAGGCAATGAATTAATTCCCTATGCGTCTGCTTGTCTCCTCCTCTTTTCTGCTATTATCTGTATCAGTCATCCCTAAATTGGCTGGAGTGCCAGATAGTTCTGGGCGGGCATGTCCTTCGTTAGCCTGTTGACCTTCCGAGCGAGGAGCATCCGAAGCGGATGATTTAGGGAGCATGAAATCATGGCCGCCTGCATTAAGGTGATGTCTGATGGACTGATGGCGTATCTCTCGTCTACCTTGCGTCTGGGCTCGAGGTCTTCGGTTGATTCTCGCACAGGACCTTGGATGTAATGTTGCAGAGCGTTGCCTCCTAGATCTTCTATGCCTAATATTCGGTTCCTGTTGACTCCCTGGTCCTAGAATTCAGTAGGTAATATCATAATAAGCCAGAAACACGCAATATACCTAGGCCCACTGAGTTCGTTGCTCCTACGGCTAGCTCAGAATAACGCCAGCCCCGCCCCGTGCTGTTGTTATAGACTCGGTAACCACCAGTGTGTTCTACATATCCCGGACTTACACGGACTGTAGGCAATGCGATTCTATTGATACTTGGTCTCGGTAACGGTGGAGTTGGAGAAATTGTTGGGTTTGCTGAAGTTGAAGCAGGAGAGGACTGAATGTTCGTTGAATTCTCCTGGAAAGGTACGCTATAAGGACGATGCGCTGATATAATAGACGAAATCGAAGGCAGCGAAGGAGTGTACGAAGGTAGCTGAGCCGTTGCTGGTCGTGGGGCTATCGATATCCGTGAAGTAGAAGAATATGGCTGATTTGAATCGGTACCGAGAAGAGGGAAAGCCCTTGGTATACGTATGGTTCCAGCGACAGTTCTTGGAGTATCTGTGGAAGTTTGTAATGGTCCCTCGGTTCTCTGTTTTTCAGAATTGGTGCAGTTTGTATTGTCATAACCCGATCTGGGCATTATGACTTAGAATGGACAATATGATACTTGTGCGTATTAATTGGGGTGGAGACAATGCAAGCTATACCCAGCAATTTCTCAAGCGTCGAATCTGAAACGAGCCCTAACTAAACTGACTGGATGAATAGGGATACTGAAGGTATAGTCAACAGGGAACAAACCTGACGGGCCAGTGATTTGCTTTTCGTTTGTAGCAGAGTTCAGAGGCGAAGGGTAGGTAAGACAAAGCGGTGTAGTGGTTTGGGCTATGAGATCGATTATAACCAGTATCGAGGTAGTATCAAAATAAAATCAAGGTAATGAGCTAGTTATTGCTTCAAGATTGTGAAATCTAGATGTAATCAGATGGATAAGCCCGAGTCTAGCGGAAACGTAGAGTAGATATATCGAATCTATAGGCAGTGTAGCTGTTTGACGGCACGAAGAAAGCACATTGTAAGCGCTGTAAGAGTATAAATAGCTACATCTTGGGGAATCCTGCTGTTTGTACGGGTGTTTTGGGGTGATGGGGCGTACCAACAACATCGGCCTCATGATTTGTTGGATCACACAATCGGGGCCGGAAGGAGGATGACCTTGCTATCATGAAGCACGTTTGTTTACCGATTTTGTCTAATCTCATCAATGTGCTTGTACACTATTCATTATGAAAGAACATGTTCAGTGTGATATGATCAAGGTCTTGAACCACTTCGAATATTTCTTGGAGATGACCTTAAAATTTAGTAACAAGATTTTTGATGGTTGTCTAGTAAAGCTTCTGGGGTCGCGATCTGGAGGTCAAGACAGTAGCTACATAGTTAGTTCTAATAACATAGAAGTCTGTGTAAGATGATTTGGTGAGTTCAAGAATAGTCAGAGATCTTGTTTAAGGCGAGAAGGGGTGCTTGAAAACACAACTGGTAGCTTAAAACCGGCTCGTGCCCCAAAGGTTGACTATGGCTATGGTATTATGAGGAAATCTGTAGCGGCGAAACATGATAATGCCATTCTCAGCGGGTTGTACACTTGTTATGTTATTGTAGGCATATATTGATGGGTTGTAGGACCCCATCTCTATAGTAGACTAGACTAGGAGAGTCTCAGATTGCAATATCCAAACTAGGCTTGAGCTTGTGAGGGCTTTTATCCCTCAGCACCTGGTGCGTCTACTGTTATTGTCTGAGTTTGGGCAGTGGGCACCATAAAGTCACAATCGAGGGAGTTATCCAAATCACGGGTACATGGACCCTGGGCGAAGGGGTCACCAAATCTGAACACTTCTACTTGAGAAACACATATAGAAAACGGATATCTTATTCGTCAGGAGGCCTGTTGAGCCTATGTCATACTTTGACTCTCCTGTCTCTATGATTGCTTTCCTTCCCTGTCCATCTGTTTGTGCTGACACTGATGCTGTTGGGGTTATCATGCTGCAGCCTGTTAGCTTTTGATTGTCGGCCCGGCATGTTGGGTTTGGGTTGTCGGTCAGGTAGTTTTTGCTCTAGTGCCGAGTCGACTTCCTTGGCCCATGCGATCCAGTCCACCCTTCTGTTTCTCCACAAGTCTCCTTTCCAATTTCTCCATATCCGACGGCCTATGAAAGAATCCCGAAGCTCCTGTTCGTGTTGTCCCAACTCTGTCATAATGGACTCTTTGATGTGGAAGGGTAGGGATATGCCATCACTCCTTGACGGTACAGCGATGATGGATGATAAAACCTTGTTCCCATGCTCCGAGTTGGCTAATTCCATAATGTGTGGCCGTAAAGCAGCAACCAGTGCCTTGTGAAAGATTTTGTTTTGAGATGGTGTTGAAAGTGCATCCATTATAACATGTGATGTGGGCCCAGACGAAGTCGCGAGCTCTAGGATTTGTTCCTCTGACAGCGCTGCTATCGATGCTTGAATTGCCTTGCGTGGTGATTCTGGTGTAGCAAGCATTGCTGTAACTAAATGAGACCCGTGGGACACCAGGGCTGAGCGGTTCTTTGCCAGCGGTTCGTGCTGCTTTTCACCATCCCCTTTTGACAATGGTGGCAAACACAACCGGGGAACGAGTGACTTGGAGTCGTCCCCACACTCTTCGACTAGGCGCTTGGTCAGAGCTTTGACTTCCTCGTATGCTTGGCGCGCTTGACAACGTTCAATCAAAGCTTTGATTACATTGAATCTCGACAAACTGACTAGCTTGCCAAACTCTGGTATTGTTTGTTTGACCACCCCTATCAAATCTTCCTTGCTTAATCGGTTTAGGACACGGATTGCTGGGTAGCACGCGATGTCATTGCGCAAAAGACTGTGCATCCGAGGCTCTAGGATGTGCTTGTAAAGTACTTTGAAAACCTTCCCTGGACAATGCACAACGAGTGTTTCCAACAGTCGAGAGCCAATTGCGTCGTATAACATGGAGTTGACGAAGTCAGATGCAGGGGTCGTTGCGTCTTTAAGCGATGCAGGTGCACCTGGCAGAAGATGCCACAGCAGAGTCATTTCACCAGACTCATCGCCAGATTTGGCATTTAAGGTAATGTCGAGCTCCAGCAGTAGCTGAAGGACTGGATTACCAGTAGGGTGTGTTGCCAGGACTCGCAATTCTGTTGGGCTCATACCCGAAACCGAGTCCCCAATGATCTTCCTTGTCGCTAAATTAAACGAGTTGGGGACGGCACGCAGCTGGCTATCGCCCTCGGCCTCTGCGTTGAATTTCCAGGGCGCTGATATCTTTTCTTTCTTTTTGCTATGAATCAGCGATTTCGTTTGTACCTGGTCTAAAGGTCGGCCGGAGAGGATAAGTAGTAGGACTCGTAAAGTGTGGGATGCAAATCTGTCCGTCAGCAAGAAGCTGAGCCGCCCTTCGAGTTCGTCGAGGGTTAAGAGGAAGAGTTCCTCCATATATGGGAGAGGCTTTTCGTCCTGGTCCTCGTCTTCACCGGGCATATCATCCCGTTCGCCGCCCAGTTCTCTTGTGACAATTGGAGCGGATTGAAGAAATAACGTCTCACAACAGTGGCTTGCGAATCGATGCTGAACGAGGTTGAGGAAATGGCTGGCGAATTGTTCGAATAATATCTTCTTTTGTCTCGTATTTGACATGAGAATCAGGCGCTCCATCAAGCGCGAACATGATTGACTGCATGCTAGTTTGAGCTCCTTGCCCTGGGCTTCGGCGAACACACTTGCTAGGAACAGTTGGCGCTCCTCTTGGGATGGGAAATTGTCGATGTCGAGCTGTTCGTCTACGGATCGAAAGTACTCTTGCTCCTGGTCGGAGAGCATGCCGAAGAACTCGCGCTCTGTTGGGAGAAGGCCGGCGGCTGTCTGGGATTGCTCGTAGCCATCTTGGAATTCGGGAGCCCGATCACCGGTGGTCTCGTCTTCATTGCGTCGTCTCCTCTTGGCCGTCTGTGTCGACTCGTCTGGGGCTACCTCATCCTGCTGTCGCTTCTTCTTCCGCTCTTCGCGGATGGCCTGGCGTTTCGAGCGTGGCTTCGGCATTTCTTAGAATCTAAAATCGTACAGGCGCACAGAAACTGTGCTCTATTTTCTCATGAGCGTCGTCACAGCGAGCTCCTGTTGATGCGCCACATATAGTTGCAATGGCTAGGTATGTAGGAGCTGGTCGGTCGATACCTAGGTATCTGAAGGTGCCGCCAAAACAATAATTTTCTGATAAGAGCAGCGCATTGAGGCGATAAGGAGATACGTACTAGGTACATGCAGGGACGGGATGGCTCACCCCACTCACGTTCAAAGTTGGCACTCGCTAACGGCAGGCACCTCTAGTGAGCTCCAGTATGTTTTTAGCAGGGTAGCGGCCTAAAATACCCACTACTACCTCCTTGCACAGGGCCTAGGTAAGGGTCTGGTAAGGGCTCGAGAGCGAATACGACAGCAGGGCATCGTCAGCTCCTCGGAGTGACATACTTACTGTTACAATGATATATGAGAGAATGTCATCAGAACTATGCTAGCCTAGATCAGTACGAAAGACTGACCGATCACTGCCATGGATACCTTGCCTTAACGTTTCGGTTGGCGTGATAAGTTGATGATGAGTGGGAAAATGGTTTCGACGGCATTGCAGAGCATAACGGGGAGGCGCTGTTGCAAGGGTCCAACTAAAGATTCACACTAGGTAGTACACTATATAAACCACAGGATACGCAAGTCCAGCTAGGAGGCCAATAACTCCCATCGACCTCAGGGTTCATATTGCCTGTTCATCCGGGCTAGGATACCCCGGATCTATCCAGTCTAAGTAAATCGATTGAATGCAGCTTGTATCAGATCAAGCTACTGCCATGACCATAATATGGCCGCTCCTGCAGGCGGCCTTTGGATTCACTCTCGCTGTGGTGGGAGCATGGCTATTGACATTTGTCTCCAAGTTATGGCAGACTCGTTCTCATATCAGGAGGCTACAAAAAGCCGGCAAGGTCAGTTCAGCGATTCGGATACGACAACAATAACCAGGACATGTCTAATGTCTCGTTGCTGCTCAATTTAGCCCGTTCCTCCTCACAGCTTCCTTATGGGACATCTCCTACAAGCAAAAGCCGCATCAGAAGAGCTTCCGCCGGGGGCACATAGCGCCTATGTTCTGACGCGATTGGCCACCAAGTTCAAGACGGAGGCCTTCTACTTTGATCCGTGGCCCATCGCCGATCCGCTTCTCAGCTTGACGGATTACCGACTTGCGAATCAGGCTACTAGTCACGAGTGGACGGGAAGCGTGAAACCACCGACACTATCGCGATGGTTCGCACCGATTTCCGGGCGCGGAGGGTTAAACCTATTCACGCAGAACGGGGCAGATTGGAAGCAAGATCATGAGATCTTCTTGCCATTCTTCAACAATGCCAACCTCGATGCTACACTCCCTGCCATCGTTGAAGAGATGCTCGTATTACGTGGTATCTTGCGGCAAAAGAGTCAACAGAAAGACGTAGTACTTCTGGAGCCTCTTATGCTCGCTCTAATGAACGATGTAATTGGCCGCGTGGTTTTCAATGCCGAGTTGAAAAACCAGACTTCAGGCTCTCACCACCCTCTCTCGAAGGCCATGCTTCGTCAGCTTAGTCTCAAATTTACCGAGAACGATGTAGTGGCGAGCCTGACACAATTGAATCCTCTTTGGTCATTGGAGGTTTGGTACAATGGTCGTGTGCTCGATAAACAGATTCGTGCTCAGATAGAGAAGCGCGCTGCTGTTTTTCAGGCTGAGAAAGGCTCTGATGACAAATCTCCCTCAAACGCTATGTTGGACCGTATCATCGCAGACTACTTTTCTCAATCAAGCCACAAACAATCAGGTCGTATAGATGAAGAGTTCATGACTATGTTATGCGCACAAATGCGCTTGCTATTCTTCGCAGGCTACGATTCGACTTCGAGTACGTTAACGTCCATGTGCTATCTAATATGGAGACACCCTGATGTCCTAGCGAAACTGCGCGCTGAGCATGATGAGGTATTCGGCCGAAACACCGAGGCTTGCCCCGCGAAGATTGTTGAAAATCCATCCATCCTCAACTGTCTCCCTTACACGAATGCCGTTATCAAGGAAGTAATGAGACTTTTCCCGCCGGCCGCCGGGGTGCGCCAGGGCTGCAAAGAGCTGGTGCTTAGGGGAAACGACGGAATGGAATATCCAACTGAGGGGATTATCGTACAAATAAATCACGTAGCGATGATGCGGAATCCTGCGACCTGGCCGCGCCCCCTAGAATTCCTACCAGAACGCTTCCTGGTTGGGCCAGAGCACGAACTATATCCGCCCAAGGGTGCCTGGCGAGTGTTTGAGATGGGTCGAAGAGATTGTACAGGTCAAGCCTTTGTCATGAAAGAATTGCGCATGTTCCTCGCTCTATTCGCCAGGGAGTTTGACTTCAAGGAGTGTTACGATGAGGTGTACGCCGGGGAGACAGTCGATCTCACGCATGTGTACAACGAGAAAGCATTTCTGACTGAATCAGGGTCGGCGCATCCGAGAGGAAACCTCCCATGTAGGATTTCGCTTAGTCACTATGCAAGTACAAGCGCCTAATTGCCACATCAGAGGAAATGCAGTTTGATCTTGTTGGCGAAGCTGTATATTAGTTTTCAGGCACCAGACGTTGTCCAATGTAATTTATCTTCCTCTTCATCTAGGAACATCTCCTACACCATTTGATAACCACCTACTATATGCTAAGCAGGCAGTAAAACATCACCAAGACGCATCCTCACATGATTCTATAAACACGACAGTGGCCTGTAATGAAAGGACCTCCCTTCCGTGTATTTGCGGTGACCTCAACCGCCGCTCCCGCGTTTGTGTAATGTACGCTCGGGAACAAACAGGTGCACAAACACCTGGCAAGCGTAACCTTGGAAGGCAAACGGACGTGCTTCTGTGATCCCACTGACCGTTTTCTCTTGCTTTCCTTCTCTCTCTCTCTCTCTCTCTCTCTGTTACTCTCCTCTCTTCTACTGTCGATATTATAGCTGCCTTCTTCGAAACGAGGCTAGTGGATAACCCGCAGCACTTCGCGATACACCCAATCCTAGATCTAAGAGCCATTGTAGCACATTCATCTCCATCGCCTTGTACAAGAATCAGGGTTCCCTTCTCTCAAAATCGATTTCAATTCCTCCGTCTCCTTGCCTCCCATGTTGCATTGATGCCAAACGTGTTCGAGTCATTAGTAAGTTATTGCGTGACTGCGCCATTTCCTTTTCACGCATATAGCAGAATGATGATCGAAATGTAATCACATTGGTTGAGCGGGTATATGGATATATACCAATGATAACTTTGAAGTATTTCTGATGCACCAATTTACCATTCATAACCTATCTCTTCGTGTACCCTTGGATGTTCCATCGCTAACATGTGGTTTTTCCTATTATTGGATAGTATTAGTCACATGTGGTTTTTCCTATTATTGGATAGTATTAGTCACCTCTGGTATTCCTGGGTTGCCAAGTCATGCCCGCCTGGGCCTGGACAGACTTGGCATCGCCAAGATGCTCACTACTACTGTATGGTATGGGGCGCCTCATGTGTAAAGGAAACTGTACATGTACCTAGGTAAATTAGCTTACATCTTTACATACAACATCAAGACCTCAAGAATTCCCACAAAACAGCAGTATTCTGATGAGATATTTCGATGTTGTTCTTCTTGGTGATTAGAAGTTCCTGTTGATCTTCCTTGGTGAGGGGGATCAAATGCAGCGACCAAGCAAGACTGGGCTCGTCTCGCAAAGTAGCAAGTGCCCTCATTCCAAGACAAGAGGTCTCGCGCGGCGAGTTGTGTGCTCGTAGGTCGGGAAATATCTATGTAAAGAGGTTTGGCCATCTGTTGATGCATTCTTTAAGATCGACGCGGGATACATACGTCATAGACGTGGCACTATGAACCGGTCGCATCTGCTACGATCTGCCTCTAGATCTGCGTCAAGAACAAGAAACCGCCCACTAAAACCAGCGGGCCAGCCCGTTTCCACGTGATGAAAATCAATCTCCAGTGTTTTTCATCTATTCAAGAATAATTGAATTGCTGACCTGTTTTCGTCAACGTGTGCGACTGAATCATCTTTGCGACCGAAGAGAATGCTCACGCAAGTTGTGCGATCGCCTTCAAGTCATGGGTTAGGGCTATCAGCACCAACCCAAGGGATCTGCACCTCTTTTGCAGTGCTTCCAAAACGCACCAAGCTGGAGAAGAGCTGCAACCTATCTTGTGAATCATCCGCGGTCATCCTTCAAGTTCAGGAGTACGCGGCACGAGAATGGGCTGCTTTTCATCTGCGCAAGCCGAAACGATATCTGATGTGACGCGACGGCGATCTCCATCCATGACGGCTATTCAGGCTGGTTCCAGTAGGAGATCATGCATCGATATCGCATTTGTGAGGAAGACTGGGAAAATGTGAGAATTGTGACGGCGGATGCGAAATCCGAACTGATGAGTCTCAACGATTAAAAAGCAACAGCAGCCCATACCACCAAGGTCAAGCCATTTCTTGCGAGATATCCATCCCGATGACGATCGCGATGAATACAGCCAGATAGAGCAGGTGATGTAGGTACCTGTGGATCTTCACTAACTAGGTCGTCGTGAGTAAAATTTCGAAATCAACTGTCACGTCAACTGGTGTCAACACTAGCTAGCATACTACTCCAGGCTTGTCAAAGAATGGAACTGGGAAGAAAGTAGCCGTTTATGTCTTGTATACTACGATCGACTGTCAACGCTGTCACATGACGCCTACCTAGTTCGGATCGAATGTGGGCGATAGCCCCAAGAAGGAGAAGCCAGGACTGATATCGACATACAACCGAGGTATTGAGACTATTTCAATGTCTATTTTTACTAATTCTCGGTGGAGATGTGACAGTATCAGCGGGTTGCGACGTTACAACAGCTGCCCGAATCTGCGATGTGAAGAGAGCTGTTGGTTGTGAACGGGGGTCGACTACACAGTTTCAGGCAATGATCGTAGAGTACTACTTACGGTTCGAATCATTGCGGGCTCACGCACGCGTGCTGGATTCGGATGGGTGATAGAGAAGGGGAAGGCGTTCCTTACGCCGTGGGGCAGAGCATCTACCTACTCGACTGAGAAGAACGGCACAGCATTATGACTGAATCTCGCTTTCTCGCATCGTATATCGTCTGACATCAGTATATTGCTATTCCAAGTGCGCCGAGATCCTTTCGGCACCTGTGCCTCTACGCCGTATCTATAATCGCCGCCACAACAGGTCCTAGAAGAGCGGTTAGTGTAGTTTATTCTTTGCGGAGCTTGCGAAGTTAAGCACTTAAGCCATGAATTGCTGGGTCTGTTGCTTTAAACTCTGCTTGCTCACAAGTGGAATTGCGGGCCGCGTCTAAGAGTGGAAGCATACCTATCCGGGGAGGCATCAACCTTCGCCATCTTTTCCAGGCAATATGATATGCCGATCGCCTCGTTTTAACTCAAAGGAAGGAGTCGCGCTCTACTATCGTGGTATCGCCATAAGAGGCAGGCCTACGTTGATGTGGCGCCCTCGGCAGTAATTCGGCGGGGTTCCGCTCGTCCAAGGACTCTCAAGCTATCCTCTAGACAAAATTGGCAACACCATCGGTGTGGAGGAACAGGGCTGTCTGCAGGTCATGCATACATGGCTACACCACAGCTGGTATGAGGTCTCGTCAGCTCACAGTTGGTGGTAATTGGGGCTGTTCACGTCGCAATCACTGGCTTCCAACTTAGAGCAACTCCGCCCATATGGTGCACGTGTAGTCAGTGCAGCCCTTTGTCACTCCTTGATGCGCTCCCTGACGTCGCCGTTGCCCGTTGCTCGTTGCCACGAATAAGGTACAGGTCATACCATGTGCATCTACTGCGTAGGACCAAATAATCCGACAGACGAGCGTTCGTTTCCGCCTGGCGTTTATTTGCCAATCGGCACCCTACCAAGAGCATCACCGGGTATTCCTTTCATTAAACTCAACCAAAGACACAGCACCTGTGTTTCAGCGATCGAATGGAAACACCACTAAACGTGGGTCCAGGATCCTTCTCTATCTACCGAGGTCCAATCCCTGGCGAGGTATGCCGTGTGCTCTAAGTAAGAGAAGCATCTTACCACTATGTAAAGAGATTAAGTGGGAAATGACCCCGGCTCAAGTGTGACCACTGAGGATTCGCAGCTGGCATTTTGGGTAAGATGCCACTCTAACGAATGTGGATAAAGCTCTTGTTTCTGTTCCTTGCATATTTCCTCACCAACCCCGAAGTGATCGACGGGACCCATGCGTGCCGTGCAGGAGGGCTTGTTTAATGGAACCAAGTACCTGGGCCGATCTTTACCCATTTACACGAAATCCCGGCGCTACGCCTTGCGCCATAACGAGCGTTACCAATGAACGTGCTTCAATGTCGATTAATCTAGAAAGAAACATCGAACACCAGGATCGATCTGGACTAAATACAACGAGACGTGAGCTTGATTAATATATTCATATTCTAGATCAAATGTCTATGCGCACGTGTAGTACATAAGTAAGTGTGACAGAATAGCGACCCTGAAAAGTGCGAACCAGTAGGTACCGATTCAGAACACCTGGGCTAAACTATCCCTCAGGACCGCTTTAGTCGCCTTGTAATTGATTCTTTCAGGTTGACGACGCGCGAAATTTTGCTCATCATCTAGGTAGCCAGCTAGGCACCTATGTAATGCGTTGGTTCCTTGCTTTCGCAGAGCATACTCTATTTCCACTTATACTTAGGAGCCTCATCGAATACGTTCAGTGGCGCAAGCAATTGTAGTTATAAATATAGAATAAACATCTCGGCTAATATGCCAAGCGTGAGGCGGATCCATATGTTTGGATCTTGTTTAACGTTATGGTTGATAACCTCTATTTTTCAGTGCAGATGGCATGTGATAATGAGTGTCTCAGGGCATTGCCAACTTTCGTGTAGCTATTGAATCTTGATATCTCGATAAGGGTGATTCACAGTGTCACACTGACTAGCCGGTAAATAATTGATGGCTGCTAATAATATCTACCTAAGAGGTAACGGAGACTACAGGAATGAGAGTGTTTTTGCACGCTGACAGCTCTCTCAAGCTTCATACTATATTCTTGCTGTCTAAAAAAGCAATTGACTTCAATTTGTGACACCAAGGACTCCCTATCATCATAAATGTAGATATCCTCTGCGTGGACGCCACCTACTTGAAGGCGTTAGTGTAAATTATGCATAAAACCTAGACACAACATTCAAGGATCATGCTAGATATTGCCCCCTATACAGCCCAATGGCTTGTATGGAGTAAGGTGAGTCTGATTTGGCCTAGAAAGAGTCAGGGTCTTACACTGTGACATCGATGTTTTACCTGGCTATCAGAAACACTCGGACCATGGCTTTGGATGTCTTAATCTATTCACATCAGTAGAAGTTTATGAATTATCAACTTTGCCACTTTCAGCCCCTGAAGACACGTTCTCTCTATGCCAATATGAATGATACCGGAGCTTGTCCAATAGAGCACATTTTGCTTCCAGTGTAACGAGGTTTATTATTATCTCATGATTCTCTACTATGGAGACACTGATCAGATCTGAGAGCGTGAGCTATAAGCATGATCACTAGCATCAATCGACGTTTTCCTATTCCCTGTTCAAAGGTATAAAATCAGGTCTTCCTAGTAATTAATAGTATAATCATTCCCTCATCTTGATAGATTCAAGTATTCTGGCAGCAATGGGACATCACATACGCGTATCACAGCTATAACAATTTGTGGATACCATCTCTTTGCTAATGGAAGCCTCATGAGAAGCCTCATAAAACTGGCCCTTTGAAAATAACATAAGGTGACCAAAAGCGCTCTACAGAATAGCGCTTGGTCTGCAGGGAATTCTGAAAACAAAACCTGATATTGGTTCAGAATGAAGATTGTCAACGATCTTGATACATAGCCTATAACTAGTGTGCTACGGGCAGGTCAAAGACCGCGAGGCATCACCTTGACGGAGGCTCTCCGGACAATTTTCTACTATGCCTATGACAAGTAGGGTTCATCTGACCTTATTATGTCTCCCCAGATCCTTTCATAACCTGCTTTGGGAATGACTCCCGATGGTGCATGTGTCCAAACAGATCCTCTAGCCAGAATCCTTGTCTAGGGCGATCTTAGCACGCAGGGTATTGCCAAGGCTTTTTTTCGGCTCCACCACTCATCCAGGCGCAAACAACCTCAATGCTGTCGACTGACAGTTTCAAATCAGACGGCTCCCCCTGGCCGGATCAGGAAGGTGAAGCATGACGGGCCAAACAACACCTTCGCACGATGCCTGACTTCCAGAGCCGCCAGGACGACGGCCGTAGCACGTACCGTAACGTTTCTTCGGAGGTCGCAGGGAATCGGTCCCACCGGCACGCAAAGGGATGTATCATATGAGGGCGCGAACGCTCGTATATAATGATGGAGGATGCCCTCGACCATTCCGGCCGGTCTCTGCTACCACCGCTCCCGGCGCCATTTGCGAGCTTCAATAGTTCTATCTTTGAACTGCCATTCCTTACTGCGTAGTCAGTTGTCATTCTTTCGCTGGGCGTACTGTGTATCCCCTTCTATTTGAAACTCGCCTTACAAACTTCGCCTTCGTTGTTGATCAACCTCTATAGCTTTCTAGAATGCGCGGACTATTTGGTCTGGCTGCGGCCTCTGTTGCCGCCTTTATTACCGGCTCCCTGGCCCGTCCTCTCGTTGTCAGGCCGGGCGGCGTCGACGATGTCGTCATCACTGAGTTGAACAGTATTAACAGTACATCCAAGGTGGAGGCGGCTGCGGCGAATAACCCTCTGCAGCTTGAGATCGTCAACAACTTTGGCTCCAACCAGATGTACCTATATGTCACAGGCAGAGACTCCAACGGTGTTGCGTGCATGGTGGGCGCTGATGGAAACCTCTTCTATCCCGATGCTGGTGGCTCGACGACCCCGGTCCCTATTACTGGCGACATCAAGACGTCTCTGGGTGGCATGGGTTCAACTACTACTTTCACGGTCCCGGACTTCCTCATTTCTTCTCGAATCTGGGTTTCTGAGGGAGAGCTCCAGTTCTTTACCAGTCTTGACCCTAACAATGGCATGACTGCCATTGTCGAGCCCTCCGTCGCTAACAGTCAAGACCCGTCTGCATCTATCAAATGGGGCTTCGTTGAATTCAACTGGGAAAATGGCACGATCTTTGCCAACATCACCTATGTCGACTGGGTAGGTATTGCCATGGGTATGGCCTTGACCTTGGGCAACGGCGAGACCCAAACTGTTAAGGGTCTGGTAGCTAGTGGTGTTCAGAAACTCTGTGACGACCTCAACGCTCAGAATGCCGTGGACGGTGCCGGCTGGGATAAGCTCTGCGTGAGAAACGAGGGCGGCGAAGCGATCCGCGTATTGTCGCCTAACTTATACCTGGACATCGACCCCAACTGGCAGGCGGAGTACTACAACGCCTACATCGACGAAGCCTGGTCCAAGTATGCCAACGAGGACCTGATTATTAACACCCAGAGCGACGCGGGCAACGTAGCCTGCCGCGTGACCGACGACCAGTTGATGTGCGCTGATGACAACCGCGGCTACCCTAAGCCTATCATTAAGGATATCTACGGCTGCAACAGCGGCCCCTTCGCCATCATTGAAAGCGACAACAATGTCCACAGGGCCGTTGTTCCCCGTCTATGCGCTGCCTTCCACCGCACTACGCTCCTCCTCGACGGCGGCAACACCCAGCCTAGCCTCTCGGCCGACACCTACTACACCTCCGACCCGACGAGCCACTACTCGCGCATCGTGCACGTGTACGAAGAGGACAACATTGGCTACGCCTTCTCCTACGACGACATCAACCCCGAGGGTGAGAACGCCTCGGGCACTGTCGCCGGTGACGGCCCAACCCTTCTCAAGGTCACCGTCGGCGGATGGTCGTAAAGACAAAAGCACTTTCATTAATGTAAATTTCCAAAGGCTTTTCTGATGGGGCATTACATTACGTCTGGGAAGCCGGATGGTCTATCTAATGAGGGTCGGGAACGGTTTCAGGGGGAAAGCATTGCATTGGATCTCATGCATTTCTGCGCTGTACAACACTCATATAACTCGGGGAGTTTTGCCGGTTTACCCTCCATCTATCATTTCTCGTATATATTTCTCAGTCTTATAAAGGCATCTGGTACATATATGGCATGTAGTATATTCGAATTATATCACACCATATCCAATATAGTCGCTCGTTCAGGACATACTATCTCTCTAATCCCACGCGCCTTGCTGGTAAGAGTTGGCTAACGCAGCGTATTGTCCTAATCTTAGTTCTATGTAAAGAGCATGAGTTGTTGTTGGCAGTCAGTGTGACCATCCCTGACAGCACTCTTGTACGTTCTAATCTCTAGCAGATGACTAGCTATTACGAACACAAGTTTCACTGACTTTCCGCGAGAATTGTAGACTGTGAATACTTCCTGCACATGAGGGTGAAGAATTCGTCTACTACAATTCAAGTTAATACATGGGTAAGTTAATGGTTACACATTATGTATTCATGAGTTTCTATTCTATTAACCGTAAACCGTCAAATGTTCTATCTACAAGTAAAGCACGCTCTAATCAACGCTCTTCTCATCCAGCTTCTAATACCGGTTAGGGGTGCCCGGGAAGCTCCGCAGCAGATCTACCTGTATGGTCTGAATATAACTCTGCCCTTGGAGGATTTGTGTAGATTTCAGACGCCGGCGAATGTGTCCTATATTGATCCTGGTGCTGTAGGTCGGAGAACTTGTAGTACTCTCGAGGTATCTCATTCTGGCCTTGCCCTTGGGGGCCACGCTGGCTTCGAAGCCGTCGATACACGACCCATGCGATGAAGACACCAGCAAGCCCGGCCAACGCCACACCTATTCCAATGCCGATATAAGCGCCCGTGCTGAGCCCAGCTGGTGGTGAAGCATCTGATGACGAGGTTGAAGAACTCGTTGGTGAATCGGTCGCCTGTAATGCAGATGATGTAGTTTTGACAGTGGAGGATGACGTTGAAGTTGAAGTCGGCACTTCCTTGGGGTTTGGATCGGTGATATTGAAGTAGTGACAGGAGATCGACGGTTGATCGTCCACATTTGATGTCAACAATAAGTAGAAGACGTTTGATTCGGCGAGATCAAAGTCGTATAGCTGGACTTCCCAATCGAATCGTTTCACCTCCCCATCAGGCACACCTTATCAAAACTTCACGTTAGCAACGGGAGCATATGACGGGGAAGTACCGGCTTCGGTTAAGCGCACATACTAAAGATTGTTGGTCCGAAGTTTGCGCCGTCGGTTGTGAGACTCTCTTGGAAGATGGTGATGAAGAAGTCGTGAAAGGGCGTTGTGAGTTCCAATCTTTCGGTCTGCCCAAGGACAAAGATCGGGTTTCCCAAGAAGTCCTTCGCTTTTCCTGGCGCGGGAGGATTGACGAACTCATATACAGTCTGTCGAGAGGATATGTCAGCAGCGATAGCTGCTGTCAAAAAGATCGCCGAGGCGAGCCAGCGAAGCCTCACCATCCCGCCAATTAGCAGAGTATATGCGCTCTAGCTCAATAAATAAATAACAAGCTGTAGAAAGACAGTACCTATATCCAAGAATGAAATCTGAGAGGTCGTCGGATAGGGGCCAATGCCAGATAACCAGATCTGAAGCAATGGAAAATGTCGTGTGTTCTTGCTTCGCCGCAGCAGCCAAACTCCATTCTAGTGTACGTTCTCCTTTCATGGTGAAACAGATGCCTGTCCGCCTTGATATTCAACCGACGCCGATGACTGAATGGGACTAGATAGCTCGAAGCCAAGGCTGTGAAGGCTCTTGGGACCTTAGGGCAGTGCTAAAAATAGGCTTAGCTTCTTATAGGAACATTATATTCGTATCGCTCGCGATATCCTCCGAGCAGGATCTAAGTAGAGGACATCCAATGGCCCCAAGTCTCTCGAGTCAGGCTTCATAGAAAAAAAATTGTCCTGTAAGCTGTTGAACTGAGGAGGAAGTGATTTGACGGACTTCAATGTCTTGGGACTAGCGGTTCTGTCAAATATCTAGACAGCATATCTCTCCTGATTGTTACACATGTTGATGCTGAAGCGCCTCTCTTATAGTCCACAACATACCTAGTCACCTCGCGTTGCGATGCGAACATTGATCATACCTGTCACTATGTCGTTCTTGAACCTTGGCCGGGAGAGGAGGCCCAACGGGGGTTGTGTCCCGCCTTCTTATCCGCTTAACGTTCTCGTTCCAATGCTGAACCGACGGCGGTTGCCCTTCGAACCAGTCGGCTGACTACCCACATAGACAATGTTATGTCCATCAGCCTCAGGGTTGAATCTCAATGATGCACCTACCTCATCTGCACGCCTGCCCGAGCATTCACACTCGTGCCGTCCCCAATGGCCCGAGTCCCGCCCTGGCCTGTGCTGGCTATCATGCTTGTCCGTGGCTCGCTCATAACTTGTACGAACCCAACAACAATACTGAACAACTTGTGCTATTGTTTGGACTATAGTGCCATTGTGTATACAGATCGCCTTACATCTATACGCCGCCACCTCAGTATCTGCTGTAGGTGCACAATTGGAACTTCATTGCTGTGTCATCGGTAAGTCTAGTGTAGAAGAATGAGAGGATGCTGATGCAACTAACATGAAGGCATCGGTAGATACCAACCAGAACAGTACCATATAAGACGTTTCGTAGCACTACGCTGTCTACTTCCTCTTCATCAATTCCGATGGCTTTCCACACTAGTTCGACCTCCTCAACCTCACCTTTCGGCTCGACTCCAACGCCGCCACCATCGGATCCTGGTGCACGATTTGTCGCCAATTTAGTCGTAATATGTGTCGTTGGAGCGGTTGCCCTCTTGCTCTCTGCTTATATCGCGGATAGCCTTTTTGCACGACTAAAGCGGAGACAAGTACAGGCAGAGCTAAACAACAATTCGATTGAGATGACTTAAGCCGAGAACAGTAGAATGGATAGTGACGGGAAATGGGAACCCCAGGGACGTTTGTTGGCAGTTCACACAGCTAGCTATGGAAGAGCCACCACCATATCACCGTTGATGAGTAGACTGCCATTTGGCCTATCTGATGGGCTTATTATCACTACCGGAAGCGTCTTTTCAGGGTCTCTGCGCCCCCCCATTGCAAGGTCTTGGGAAGAAATAATGTAAATTGAATAAGCGTTAAATCAAACTATCTTGGTCATCCGACAAAGCTAATCAATGGTGACGAAAGTACACCCAGCTATTCACATGTAACGGCCTTATAATAATGGCCCTGATAATGCACTCAATAAATAGGTACGCGCTATAGTTACTTAAGTATAGCGTACTTAGTGGCCTACCCCGTTATAATCACAACGGCTACATAGTATACGTAATACAACTGCACAATCTTGATCCTCTCTTACGAAGTATTTATCTTGTACATTTTAAGATATATGGCCTTACTGGCCCTTTGTATAGGTATAATAAGTGTCTTGTCAGTCGAAGACACAAGATTGAAGGGAGGCATTGACTCTCGGGCTCTTTTTCGATGACGGAGGCTTCTGCAGGGCAGGGCCTGGAGCGACAGAGCGTTGCCCCTTACAACAGGCTACTCCACTGCTGTCGCCCAAAACGCGGTTGAGATTGGCCCAAGCTCTGTCCCTCGACCCAAGGGCCAATCCCTTATCCCTTGTAATTTGTACACCAGGGCCAACTGCTAGGGGGCTGTTCGACCTACGAAGTAACAATCCCTTCAATCCAGCAACAGAGCTACTTAATCTTCTAGGCATCCTTAGTAGCCTTCAATAATTAATACCATTGCTATCAGCTCTTACCCCGGCCTGTCCAAGTAGGTAGAACGAGCGAGCGAGCAACCAACCAACCAACCAACCCTATCACCAATCGGCAATCGCGTCATTGCTAAGTAGGTACGCAGCGAGGCATCTCTGTAATCAAATCAAATCGACTTGATTCGGTCCATGAATCATCTCCGACCGAGCCAATTGAAAGATAGGCATCATGTCGGTGAGGGTGGTGGCTCGCATACGTCCGCTCCTGGAGAAGGAGTTGGACAAGGACATCATCGTTCGCCCCGCCAGCAATGACGACGGCAACACCAGCACTGTTGTCAAGATCCCCAATCCCAGGAACGAGTCGGAGGAGTTCTCCTTCACCTTCAACAGTGTATATGACCAGGCCACAACTCAGGAACAACTATTCACAGCTGAAGGTACGCACACCATTCCAAGCGAAATCCCCAAGCGGTATATTGCTGTGATTCATGCCACAGAGCAAGCAGTGTTGTTGACCTCGTCCCTCCTTCGCCCGTAATAGTTGCTCCTCACCTCAAGTCTCTCTTCCTCGGCCTCGATGTGACCATGTTCGCTTATGGCGTCACCGGCACTGGCAAGACTCACACGATGCGGGGAGGTTTAAAGCTTGCGGACCGCGGTGTCATCCCTCGATTGCTGAGTGGTGTTTTCCGGAGAGCGAAGAAGATAACGAAAGACTCGAATGGCGAGACCTCTGTGGCCGTGGCTTTGTCATACTACGAAATCTACAACGACAAAGTATACGACCTGCTCGAACCGGTCGAGAAGCGAACTCCCTCGGGTCTACCCCTACGCGCCGAAGCCAATGGCAAGACAGTCGTTGCCGGCCTGTCTGAACGTCCATGCCAGGACCTCAAAGACTTCGAACAACTATACATTGAGGCGAACACCAATCGTGTCACGGCCGCTACCAAGCTGAACGCTCATAGCAGCAGAAGTCATGCCGTTCTACGCGTCAAGGTCACGCAAACTACCGGTGACATGATTCGCGAGAGCACTGCCTCGGCTATTGATCTGGCTGGATCGGAAGACAACCGGCGCACAGAGAATGGCAAGGAGCGCCTCGTTGAGTCTGCTGCTATCAATAAGAGTCTGTTTGTGCTAAGCCAATGTATTGATGCTATCGCTCGTGGTGAGCGGCGCATCCCCTTTAGGGAATCTAAGATGACGCGCATTCTTTCTCTTGGACAGAATAATGGAATCACAATCATGATTCTCAATCTCGCGCCACTCCGCAGTTACCACTTGGATACTCTCAGCAGTCTGAACGTTAGTTCTCGGGCAAAGCGTATAGAGGTCCGTGAAATTGAAAACGAGATTGTTTATAAACAGCCGCCTCGCTCAACCACGAACTCCGGCTCGAATATTGCTCGCCAACCACTGCGGTCCTTGGCCAATGCCCATAACATCAACGCTGGAGCAGCGGCGGCGGCGGCTGCTAAGCCCGCGGATCGCCCAGTCAAGGCATTTAGTGTGTACACTGACAAGGCGAAACCGGCCCCCGTTCCGAGATCAGCAAATACGGCAGTCAAGCGTTCTCCCAAGCCACACAAGCGCCCTTCAGATTCCGATGGTGGGAGCCGACCGTCCAAGATAACCCGGCCAGAACTAGTCCGGCCCAGTGGTATACCTCGACAATTGAAACCATCTCAAGCGTCCCAACCATCAATTTCGGCAGATCAGATTGAGGCTATGGTGGAAAAGAAAGTCAGTGAGATCTTGGCGGCGCGAACACAATCGACGCCTGCGCCGCAGGAGCTCAGTGCTGATGTGAAGAGACGCCTGGAAGCTCTTGAGCGGCGTATTGATGATGGACGACACGATGATACCCGCTCAGAAGGGTTGCGCTTTTTGCTAATGGCACGGCAGCATAAAGAGCGAGGTGAAAATGCAAGCGCCCTGAAGATGTATGAAATGGCGTTGCCTTATTTCCCCGGCCAAGCTAAGCTCCTCGGCAAGATTGAAAAACTAAAGGCCTGCATTGCTGTGGAGAGAGGGAGCCAGCTTATGGAAACAATGGAGCCTATGGAAAGAACGCCGGAGAAGAAAACCAAGAAGGCTAGCCGATCATCTGAAGTAGACGAGGATGCCTATAGTGTTGCTGAAGCAGACGATGATGATGATGAAAGCTACGTCGCCAAGACCAAGAAGAAAGCGAAAAAGGCCAAAGCCACGAAAGTGGTATCGGACTCGGTAATAGAGGACGGACCGATCTCGCAAGCTTTGCTCGACATCATCAACTCGAGAGACTTATCCATGATCATGGGACTTCAGGGCCTGGGGCCCAAGAAAGCACGCGACCTAGTACAGTATCTGGAGATGCAGTCGGAAAATAGCGATCGCATTGAGACGCTCGTGCAGCTACGCACGATCCCAGGAATGGGCGGGCGTACAGTTGAGCGGGCGTATGAGGGATTGGTCGCCAGTGGCGTCTATTAAAAGTGTGGGGGAAAGGGGCTTTTCTTGTTCTTTCTCTGCATTCAGGCATATGTGCATTCGATGGTGTTGGTTTCGTTCAACCATCTCGCCTGGATACCTGATACCTGGCGATTTGGACAGGCTAGAATTGCTGCATAGTTGTGGCGTTAGGGAGGGCGGGTCAACCTCATTCTTTGCTCTTCATCAATCGCATTATCTATCTATGGTTCCAATTTACAAGCTGGAAGCTCGTTGTAGCTCTCTTCTCTTTTGTGCCACCCTCTTTCGACCGTAATTGTTTTTAATGTAAGCCCTCTAAAGTACGCTAGGGTAGGTAGGTAATTTTGTTATCCGACCGCTGTGATCTAGATTCTTCCCTTTTTCACCACAGCTGTCAATAAGCACTTCAAGTTGTTCAAACTAGATAAGGACATCTACAGTAATACCTAATAAGCTTGCAATACATCAAATCAAGTATTTGATCTCCCTAGACAGATCCCGATCCGCTACTTAGTCAGTAGGTAGGTAGCATGGGCTTGACTGTCCACATGCTGTCTGTCGGGCTTACTTAGTTAGCAACAAAGGGTCCGCCGACGCTAGTCTCAAAACGGACTTTATTGATATTCGATCTCTTCATTCTGATGGCAATTTTATGTCCTCCTTTCTTTTCCAAAGCTGATAAGTTTGCCTGTAATGGTAGTCTGGAATTTACATGTTATAGGTAATGAGAGGGTGTGACGAGGAATCTTTAGTGAATGAATTCATTGTTTTGCTGCAACCAATAATATTTTGCGCTACAGGGAAAAGCATTCGGGACAAGGAGAGAGGAAAAAAAAAAAAAAGGTCCTAATGGGTCTTGATACCTTAAGTACCTATGTAGATGGGTGAGGGCATATGTACTTGTACTTACTACACTCCTTACTAGGCTACCGGGGAAAAAAAAATTAGAACAGGAAGAAGAAAAAGAGAAAAAAAAAAAAAAAGAAAGAAAGAAAGAAAGAAAAACCACCAGGTAAAAGAAGAAAGAAGCACCTACTGACTACCACGAAGTATACAGTCACTACCTACTTCTAAAGAAGCTGCAATCCTTTATTATCAACCTTCATAGCTTCCTCTTCCAAATAATCGATCTTCTTTACCTTCTCGTGCGCTTTTTTTCTCTTGCACTTTTTTTTCTACATCGTGCATCCGTCTTGATACCCACCTACGTGTATGAGAGAGGCCTGGGACTACGCAACACCATCATCCATCTTCCAAGTTGTCATACGTCGCTAGCAACAGCAGCTTGGTACCAACTGTGGATGACACCTGCCCACTGATTGCATCTCGGCTTCATCTAGATCTGTCGTGCTTTGAGGACAAGCCTTCAATCTCAAGCTGGTCGTCTTCACCTGCTGGTCTATCTATCCCGGCCGTCTACCTTTGACTGGCTGACACATCTCTCCGTCGCCATGTCTTTGAACGGTGCAAACAGAAGCAACCATCTCGCACGTATCGTGCCCAATGTCACCATGTTAATCCAGGTATGTGAACGGCCCGCCACAATATTCATCTCGTTATAAAATGCCTATTTTCTCTCTCTTTAATCCAGTGTCGGAGCCGTATCGAAGGCGACAGCCACCATGTGTGCTCATCCGCTAATCCTGTACTAGGACGAATACGGCAACATGGCCTCTTATAACAACAATGGCTATCCTGGCAATGCAGACTTGAGCTCTTCGGCAGCTCTCGGAGGAGTCTCAGCTCTAAACTACGAGGACAGCGATCTTAATACCATCACTCGCAGTCAGATGAGCCAAGATCTCATAGCCTACCGCTACGACTTAGAGTTCTGTCAAACTCAGCTGACCACGCAACCAGATCTCAGCCCCCAAGAGATCCGCACACTGCAGATCCGCATCCTAGACTGCGGCCACAATATTCGTCACTGTAAGCATCGGATTCAGATACTCGATGCCCAGGCCCGTCTAGGTGTTGCATCTTATTCGAATCCTTTCAAAGGTTCGGGGGCCAGCCCTTACCGCTCCGGAGGTACCGCCATACCTACGGGCAAGCACAAGCGACAGCGCGTGAGAAAGAGTGAAAGCAATGACTTCACTAGCACCGGACACGATAACGGCGGCCTGGGCGCAGCCATTGATGTGGATGCTGATGTAGACGGTGCTGAAGGAAGCATTGTAGCTATGGGCTCAGACGTAAGGATAACTGATTCACCCGGAGCACCTACGAACACTTTACAACGACTCGGATACTGGGACTGCCGCCTTTGCAGGTCCAGAAAGTATCTGGAAGCTGGTCCAAACCGAGTGCCTAGTGCGCCTGTGAGTTTGGCTCATTCTCCTTGCCTTTTGTACTCACCCCTCCTATCTGTCTGAGACCGAAGCATAGCGACAGCTTAGCGCTTTCAGATAGCTGGTCTCCTCAGGGGCCATCCAGTGAAGAAGTGACTTTGAAAGCATGATGACTAATCCCAATCTTCTGTAGTGCAAATGGCCGCTAAAGGATATTTCAAAGATGATCAATCATTTTCTCGATTTGCACACCGAGCACACGCCGAAAGAGCGATGCAGTGAGCTGGGTGATGCGCTGGCGCGAAATCGTAGGTTTATATACGCCCCCTTCTGTTTCAATTGAGTCACCCTTTCGTTGCATCCCTATGTTAAACATGTCCCCTCATCAAGCCTAGCGGTATTTGGAGGCAACCGTAGCGTGTTGAAGAATGTGAAGCTAATGTGACGCAACCAATAGGAGGCCCTTTCGAGTATTGGCTTACCCGAACAAAGGGTCAAGAGATCGAAAATATCGACCTTATTAACGACTACATATGCATGCTTCAGGATGGTGCTTTACCAGATGCAATGCGCGGCCTACTTCGCGCTGCGACACTTTTCCCTAACACCGTATCTAATTCCTATAAGAAGTAGCACGCACTCGAAAATCGCTTCAACACATCTGCATGAACGTGTCTAATTACCTAGCTAAAGAGTGCGCTGAGAAGTTAGCAAGGAAGCTCTTTCGAGGAAACGCATTTAAGGCCTGGCTGGCCTACATACCCAGTCCACTATCTATTTGCTTCGACGGGATTCAGATCATATTTGCTTTTCAAGCGCTGAAGAGGGATATCAAGCTCACTTTCGCATGTATACTAGCATAGCATCGGAACATCTAACCTGGGCAGAGTCCCAATGGCTTCATTTTCACTTGCCGTGGCTTTCATTACTGTGCTCTATATATGGCAGGAGAACCCATAACAGTACCTTAATATCTTGATACTAAGAACCTCAGTAGACGAGTGCAGAAGCAACATAGCTAATCAGACTATCGCATAAGTAACGCATATCTTCTCCTTACCTCGCGCTCTTTTCCTATCGTCTTTTCATCAAGGAAAAGGGGGTTAAAGGAGGAAGGAGAGGCCAGAGAAAGTACGACAGTAGATTTAACAGTAATGAGCGAGATCACGACTTAACTGATCGCGCACCGATGCGTAGGGTTCATCAGATGAACAGAGTGCAGTGCTTGCCTGTCTGCTCTGTCTTCCAAGATGAATAAGAGCCCCTCAGCGACACTGCTTATTGAGATGCGGAAGCGATGATAGACTCGAATTTTAGATAGAGCGGCGGAAATCTCTGAGCGAGAAGATGAGTTAGAACTAAGTCTTGTAGCGTAGCAGCTGCGATGGTGTACTCGTCGGTGACGGCGATAGTGATGTACGGCGATGTAATCGGAGACCTTAGAAACGAGTGTATCGTCCTGTTGGATATGCCATCCCATGATCTCATTGACATCGCTCTACGTGCCGTACCGTGCTCTGCGCAAAGAGTTGAAGTTCTGCTTATGTTCTGATTGACTGGCTGTCCAAAGAGAAGGGAGGCTTGTTGGCGCAAAAGTACGGGCATGGGAGGTAGGAAGAGAGAAGAAGTACGGCTTTCCTGAGAACTACTTAGCTAATAGATATGGGGTTGCCGAGCGATGATATCTGTTCCATATCTGCGTGACATGTATCATGAGATGGTCGATGTAATCCGTCCCTTGAGGAAATGCGTTACTGTAGATGGAATCTTTCATATAGCTACTCCTTATCTACTTAGTCGCTCCTAGAATGATGAGTAGTATGCTGAGACTCATCGGGCGTCTGGCAGTGAGAGCATTGCTCACCACAGCCATTCGTAATTGACGCTGGGATGGGGTCTTACGATGTGGCTTCATTCGTGACTTTCGCGCGCCATGTAGTTAGGCTGTTGAAACATATCTCTCGATGAGTAGGAATTACTAAGTATCAGAGCATATTGTGTCCCAGCCGGCGACAAGGGGCATTCGGATGCCCATATCCTCGGTCTTAGTCTTCTCTATAGAGTCGCCGCTCACGCGTGAGGTTGAATCATTCTAGCAGATTAAGGGAAGTCGCGGCTGGGATGATCGTGTGGCCCGACATTGCGTCGTGCCCAGTGAGGTACGGTCGCAGGCCACAGCTGGGTCATCATATTGCCTCATTACTATCAAAGATCCACCGCGACGGCCGCTGTGATACTATCGCGGCTTCGATACTCTCATCCATACTCGGAACCCTTCGGTGTGTTCGTCTCGTCCGAGTGGGATAGTTCGAATTGTTACCGCACTATAGATGCAGTGTGAATAGTAGAATCTCGTAGAAATGCACGAGATGCAGATGTAGTACGAAGGAGAGGCATAGACATGTTCTCTGGAGCCACATCATCTGTCCCTAGTTTCCCTTACGCGAGTACGAAGCAACCACGTCCAGCGAGATCCTTGCGTATTACATCAGGTATTCTCCATCTACAATGCCGCCGAGCCTGGCCAACACGCCATCCTTCGGGTCATCTTGCCGACCGGATCGAAGACGAGGGGTGCGATGATCTTAGAGCGACAAATCTTGCCGACACGGACAAGTCCGCGATGAACAACCGGAATCTCCCAAGAATCGGTTCATGGTGGTTAAGCTAGAGGGAAGACGCGGTTCGCCATCTTGGACAAAGTTGCACTTTTAGGGTCAATACCACCTCAGCGTCGCCACCGCCGTTCAACGGTGTCGCCCACTCTAGGAGAAAGGGGGAGGGGATGGGCGTTACCGTGCCTACGCCATCCCGAGAAAGGTGATGCCGGATTTCATTGTACCAGCCGGTATGACTATTCGGGAAGCAGCCCGAGAACGACAAGAACTGGAATCACAAACAAAAACTTGACTGGGAATGTCAAGACGTGTTGTGCAATTTGCTTACGCAATCCCTTCGAGATCAAAAATAGTGTACGAAGTATAGTGGATCATCGTTCAGCCCTCCGGAAAACATGCGATGGCTGAACATACTTAGGGGCGTAAGAAGCGAACCAGGTGGCATCGTCTAGCGGCAAAATTGGTAGAGTTACTTTCCAGAATCCTCACCTACAGGTAGGCTAGGTACATCCAATGAACCCTTGATACTTACCGAGCACTGCCCCGTCGTCGGCTCAAATTCTGGTGGTCGACAGCGCGGTTGCAAACTCTGAGTGCACCGGATCTTTTTTTCCTTGAGCATCCGGTGACTACCAGAGCATGATGCCATGTGACGTGAAATCTTTAAAGACAATAGGTACCAAACCGACTCTGGTTTAGCGTTCGTAGAACTCGAATATGTACATACCAATTGAGCCATGAGCTAACCCTCAATTGTGATCAATTCCCATGCTAAGGGAGTGGGAGAAGCAGACAGTTAGCGGGGTGTTGGGTGAAATTCTGGGAATCTCGATTATCAAGCACAGCAGCAGGTGTTCTGGACTATGCTTCAGTGTCCACTTCCCCACAAAGATGTACATGCTTATGCGGCTACAAGTGGTGACAGAGAGGATCGTCGACGGAATCTCCTAATGTGGTAACCCGCAGGTGTTCACGACATCACCACCCTGCGATACCAAGCCTACCAAAGTCGCATACGGACCGGTACTCGTACAGAGGAGGGGATTTCGACGATACTGAAGATAGTATGGGGTATATCAAAAGCTTTGGGAGCCTATATATGAGCTCTCGTCGTCTGGTCCAAGTTTGTTAGGTGTTAACCGCTTTCAATTCGTTTCGAGTGGTACGCAACGTGGTTAATCACAAAAATACCGGGCTATAGACCATCACCATCATGAACGGCACATATACGAACGGTCATGCTAACGGGCATACCAACCAGTATACCAATGGTTATACCAATGGTTATACCAATGGGCATACCAACGGTTATAGTAATGGCCACACAAATGGCGCCGTGAACGTTACGACCAACGGCGACGCCACCACATACAAGAATCCATCTCTCCAAGTCACAGAAGACCACAGGATAAAACTTGTGGATGCACCGATAGAAGAACCAGGCTTCGGAGAGGTCCTCCTACAGATTAAGTGCTCCGGAATTTGCGGGTAGGTGAAATGAGTCTGGTGATATTGGCTTTCGAGCACTCACTACTCTTGAGGAAACAAGTGGAGCTGACAATTCGGCTGTAGATCTGATATGCATCTATGGAAATCGGGGCGCATAGGGTCTCTGGAGGTCAAAGGTGACTGCATCCTGGGTCACGAAGCTGCTGGTGTTGTTCTTAAGTGCGGAGAGGGCGTAACGAGTCTCAACCCTGGTAAGCCAATCAGTGGACCTGTTACTGGTTCATATATATGATCTGCCAATAGATGAGTATTGGTACTGATAATTTCTCAGGCGACAGAGTAGGCATTGAGCCCCAAGAACCGTGCGAGCAATGCTTTCTCTGCAGGGAGGGCCGATATAACCTCTGCGATAATGTGAAATTCTCGGGCATCTGGCCTGACAATGGGACAATTCAACGATACAAACGCCATCCTGCGAAGTGGTTGTATAAGTATAGCAGCCTAGCCAGAGCGTAGTGAAGAAATTGCTGACGATGTCCGCAGAATCCCGGACAATTTGACATATTCAGAGGGAGCCCTGCTTGAGCCTCTGAGTGTAATCTTGCACGGAATCAAAGGCGCGAACGTTCGTCTTGGGCAGCCTTCACTGATTTGTGGCGCGGGTCCCATTGGCCTCGTAGCCCTTGCCGCGGCACGAGCGTCCGGCGCATATCCGTTAATTATCACAGATATAGACGCAGCGCGCTTGAATTTCGCAAGTAGGTGATTTCATGTAAACCTCGACTTACCAATCTAGACTCGAGGATCAGCATCACAGGCCGAGTTATTACGGTCCAGCTGCGAAACGCTTCTGGGCATCCCAATAGTCCTCAGCACGCTTCCTACAGTCTTTGGACGGTTACTAACCGTATATACAGAGGAGTTTGTTCCACAATGTCAAACGTACCAGGTCAACACGAAACTCAGTCCCGAGGAGAATGCAAAACGGATCCGAAAGATGTACGGCAACGATGAATATTCGCAACCGGCTTCAGTCATGGAATGTACGGGGGTCGAAAGCAGCGTGTGCACAGCGGCGTTCGCTGTTCGGAGAGGGGGCACTCTCAGTACGTCATATTAACCCCAGGAGTCGTCTGGAGTTGAGTGCATCGTCTCGTCAAAATTTTCGCCGCTTTAAGACAATTGAAGCTACCGTGGAGCCGACCCGAGACATGTTTCTCTTCTCTTGACTGAACATTAGCGGCTGACGTCTTGCAGTGGTTATCGGCGTCGGTCGACCCGTCATGAACAATATTCCATTCATGCATCTATCTCTGGCCGAGGCGAGTATCCGCTTGATTGTCTTGGAATAAATATCAGACGCTAACATCATATTGGACAGATCGATCTCAAGTTCATCAATAGATACCGAGACACATGGCCGGCGGCTATCAATTGTCTCAGCGGCGAGGTGCTTAACCTAAACAAGTTGGTGACGCACAAGTTTCCGCTGGAGAATGCAATTGAGGCCTTTGAGCTTTGTGCCGACGCTAGCAGCCTTAGCATTAAAGTCCATATTGTAGACGAAGTGGATGCCCTCCTCTAGAAAGCAGAGCAAGACGATGAGAAAGTAATGTAATAGATTTCGGGAGGTCGACTGAATAGGATAGTATGTAATGATAGCAATCTAAAATTTAATGTAGCCAGCTAAGACTCATGGATACCTATCATGATCTAGACTGCGGATTCGTCGCCGCCTACGAATGTAGGTGTAGCAGCCGCTTGCTTGCATGCGACTGTAGTTCATGGTGTGAAACGCCACAGACCGGAGATCAATACGATGGCGTCGGTGTACCAGTTTTTGGTCAGCTGCTCGCGTGCTGTGCAGTACAGACACGCACGCACGGCAGCAATGCATATATCCGAAGATTGGAAGCACATGTTTAGGGATGCAGCATTCAATTTATATGGGGGAGCTAGCTCGTGTACGGCCATCGCAGTCTTTGTGTGATGACACTGCTCGACGAGCGAGATGAAGATGGCCTTGGGGTAACACGGCAAGGATTCTTTCGGCTGCTACTGGGCCATAGCTGCCGGCACGTCTTGGGGATCGCCATGCTTTATACGCGTCGAGTGGCGTCGAGTGGCGGCGAATCGGCACCGAGGGACGCCGAGACGGGGGTCCTAACAGCCGCTTGTAGACGCGAGGATAGGGACACGCATGCCGTCAAAGACAGCGGACGGGACGTGGCACGCGACTTGGTGGATTGGCGACAACCATGTCAGTGGATCATCTCCCAGCAAACCGTGTACCGGGTCAAGAGATGGACTACTTCGTAGATGGACTGGCCCTTTGCTTACTAGACACCAACACTGCAGCACCAGTGCCCTGCCGAGCCTGCTTCAGCAGAAAGCCGAGATAGCAACCGGTCTTGGGCGTCACACAAGTGCCGGAAATACCCAAGGGACGAGACGAGGTGTCCATGGCTCTGGGATGGACCTTGACAGAGAGTAAATGAGTTGCGTGATTTATGAGTACCTAGGTACATATGTAATCAAGTCGCTGCGTGGCTTGACGCTGTGGCTTCACCAGGGTGGCGCGCAGCAAGCCTCGGATGTGCTAACATGAACGAACATCTTCATCTCAAAGTGCCTCCCTACCCACCTTACATAGTAGGCATGTATGCATCGGCGCTGTAAGGAGACGTCAAAAATACAGTTGGCCGCTGCTCAGTTAAGCCATTTCTTCCTCTCCAAGTGAATTGGCGAGCTTCTGTCCCTTGCTTGCACCTCTCTGTCTGCAGCTGGCCATGCATCTATCTTGTGCAGGAGACAAGAACCAGACAGCTGAAAAGGCTGCCTACTTCGATGACACTGTTGCCGGTTAGAGCTACATCAGTTGTGCGTCACAGGGCCTTTTCTGCGCTGCGCTGTTGGTACCTACGCCGTTTCACAGGAACTACCTGCTTTGTCTGTCTCTTGCTGCCACTGAGGTATCTCTCTCGCCGTCCAGTTCTAGTAGCAGTGGTTCTACCTCGCTCATACGCCTGGCGTTTTTCCTGGGTCTGCCGGTCGATACTATTCGGCTGCTTAGAAATATCGAGCCTCCGACTCACCGACACCGGCATGTGACCCGCCCTCTAAGCTTGAGCTCAATGCTTGGTCTTTCTGTCCTTTCTGGGCTACGGCCGAAAAGATGGGTGGCATCTGCTCGGCTGAGGGCATCTCACCTGAGTAACGATAGAGGTTGCTCGTTCTAGGCGCTCACTGTTTGTCTCTTAAGCGATATCGTACCACATACCGGTGCGACTATTTCCATGCGTTCTTGCAGCTAGGTGCCACTAGATGTCTCGAGAGAATTGTCTCAGTAAGATCGTGTTATCGCATGCTAAGTTTGTTCTGCTTTGCAACACTGCCTTGCCGCATTGCTGCAATGCTCTATCGGCATGTTGCTTTACGGCCATTACCATCTCTAGTAGCCAAGTCGCACTGCTCAAACTTTTCATTACTCATCGATGTCCTTCGTCGGTCTTTCGGCAGCAAGCGACAAGCCCGCGTAGGTTGTACATGATAAACAAGTAATCAGTTATTCTCTGCTCCGGCTGTATGCCTTATGCACAAGACTTACCAGAAGACGCACGGTAAATGCTATCAAAGCACCTCCTGGGGCAATACTTGACAGGGCTGAGAGGTTGGTCTTACCTATATTGGTCCACACCCGTGGATCTGGTGGATGCCATCAGCTATGTCCACCGTAGATAGAGGTCAGACCCTTGCATGCATGTATGTATACTACATGCGTATGAAGGACCGGTGCTTGTCGAGAATTTTTGCCGACGTCGCGAGGTTTTATTTTGGGCAAAGGGCTGCGTTAAATCCTTACTTCTGTGTGGACCGAGCATAAGCTATATAACGAAGAGTCCTTCGTATCAAGATAACTGCAAAAGTCGCATGGCTAGTCTCAACATTAACATTCCCAGCATGTTTCTCACGATGCCTTGGCCTTCACGTTTGTTGTTGTTAGCGTTGTTTCATGTCAGGCTCTTGCAAACATGTCTCGCAGCCAGTGTCTCTGTCCATGACGATCTGTGGCAACCGGATTATGCTATCTACGTGACCTGGGAAGATATAACGGTAAATTGCGAACATAGGCGGTCGGTTGTGTTCAATGGCACGTATCCTGGGCCGACACTCTACTTGAAAGAAGGCCAAACCACCTGGATCAGGGCTTACAATCACCTTCCTGATGTCAACCTGACCATCGTAAGTATGCTCAAGTCACAACGGCGAGTTATTGGCCTGACAAGTTTTGATCTTTAGCATTGGCATGGGCTCACTATGCGGACGGCGCCATTTTCTGATGGAGCGCCTCAAGTATCACAGTGGCCCATCGCTCCGGGAGAATTTTTCGACTACGAAATACATCCAGAAATAGGAGATGCCGGTACCTATTTCTATCATTCACATGTCGGCTTTCAAGCTATGACGGCTCATGGCGTGCTTTTTGTCGAAGACGCAGATATCCCACCATATCAATGGGATGGTGACGTACCAGCGGTCCTTGGAGATTTCTACCACAAGAGTGACAAGGAAATCGAAACCGACCTGCTATCGACCCCCTTCATATGGCCAGGAGAACCGGACTCCCTAGTCTTCAACGACCGATCGGGCACCCACTCCTTCGATGATGCCCCCGACGACTCGTGCAAACCGTACGTTATCACAGTAGATCCTGGGAAAACCTACCGATTTCGGTTCATTGGTGGTGCCACAATATCGTTTATACAGGCCGGAATCGAAGGGCACACCAACCTAACTATCATAAGCGTGGACGGATACTATACGAAGCCAACGCAAGTCGATCACATTCAACTTGGCGGGGGGCAGCGCTTTGATGCCCTCATCACTATGAAATCAGAAGACGAACTTGCCGCGGAAGGGAGAAGCCAGTACTGGATTCGGTACGAGACTCGTGGGCGATCACCTGGTCTTCAGGGGTACGCTCTTCTACAATATAATACTACTTCATCGTCAAAGATGAGACGCGACTCCGGTCATTCCAAAATATCTGAACGAGGGCATCACAAGTTCACTAAGCACCGGGGGGTTAGTCATCGGCAGCCGAAGCCACCCGGAAAGAATCCCAACCACTCTCCTGTTTCTCTACCTCCTGATGGCACACTGACCAATTGGCTGGAGTACACATTGGAAGCGCTTAACCCTCGGACACCATTTCCCCGGTTATCTGAAGTGACTCGAACTATATACATAACGGTAAAAGAAAAAGTCGTCAACGGCACATATCAGGGAGGCTCCGTCAACGGCTCGGTAATCTGGGTGTAAGTGCTGTGTTAACCGCTTGATCTATGGGCTAGGCTAACTATCTAGAAACAATGATCTAACTTGGACCGAGCAAGAAGCGGCGAGCTTGCATTACAAGCCATACCTCATAGATGCATACGTAACTGGGAAAACGCCCAATTACGATGTTGCCGTAAAACACCGAGGCTGGGACCCGGTCATGAAGGCTTTCCCGGCCAAAATCGGAGAGGTACTGGATATCGTATGGCTTAGTAACTCCGGTCCCTCGGGCATATTCGAATATCACCCGATGCATGCTCACGGAGAGCATTATTGGGACCTAGGATCTGGGAACGGGACATATGATGCTGTCGCTAATGAAAAGCATTTTGTGAGTTATACGCCTGCCAGGCGCGACACGACGATGCTTTACCGTTATGCCGAGAAGGGCAGGAATCAGGTAACAGCTGGATGGCGAGCGTGGCGAATCAGGGTTACCAATGACAATGTCGGTGCTTGGCTAATGCACTGTCATATCCTCCATCACATGTTAATGGGTAAGTTTTAAACTCCTCGACCCTGTTCAAATACGCTGTATCATGGCTAGACTAACACATATCCCGCATCTATTAGGTATGCAAACCGCGTGGGTATTCGGTGATGCTGCGTCCATTCTACGAGAGATTCCAGAGCCATATATCGCTGGCTACTTAGACTACGGCGGAAGCGCGTACGGAAACGAGTCGTACGATCCCTTGGTACTTGAGTACTACAACGGATGAATTAACTTTCAGCGTACATGCATAACCCATGATTGATGAGATATTAGACTTTTTCTTCCAGTGGAGATATAGGGCTGGTCCTGGCAGCGGACTTTGTGCGCGTTTTCCCCCGATAGATCGTATATGCACGGATTTCAACTTCGCAATGACATACAGGTCAGGATCTTGGGGTCGCTTAGAAATTACGCCGTGAGACCTCGGAATTATCAGCTTTCCTATTTTGGCAGCCGACGAACGTTGGCCAGAGAACCCCCCCTCGACGAGGTCATCACCTCTAACCAAAGAATTATCTTCTCATGTCTAGATAGCAGTGGCTAGAGTAACCAATGGTCTAACAATTCCTGACTTTCCTGTCCCTTTAATCCTCTTGGCAGCCATGGGTGGCGATAGTTCAGTAGGTGCTTAGCGACAGGATCATTCCGAAGAGTGGTAACAATGAGCATTTCATCGGGTTTCATATTGTTCCAAAAGAAGCCAGGGGACTTAGCATGAGTCAATCAGATAAGATGTTTGATAAGAATAAAATGTAACTCTACAAATCGTTTGATATATTTATTCGACATTCTACTCGTGTGGCGCTAATAGGACCTAGGCATCATGCCTGTTCTCAACTCTGTGAACGCGATAACCAATGAAATCTAAGAGTACTGTAGCTTGCTTTTGGAGAATTTCATCCGACAAACTTCGAATATGACGGACTTCAAACATCATTTCAGTTGATCTCAGTAACAAAGCAACAGGATATGCATTGTCTGAGATCATAAACTGAAAGTCTTGTGCAAAATTAATAATTATTATGAGATGAGGATATCGTCATGCTATGCATTCACGAACTGCAAGACAGCTGTAGATAATCATACTCAATCCTGGCATAGGTATTTCACAAGATGTTACTACGTACCCGACCCTAACCGCCATCGCTCCACTAGTATTGCAAACGGAGATTGCATCCAGTATCCATCATGACCGGGGGAAGATAGGCTCCGGGTATAAGTTCGTCCACGATACAGCAAACCTAGTGAATAAATGTTAATATGACAGATGAAATACGTAGATCTAGGACCCAAACTTTCCGTGACGTCTAACTACCAATTCAATTCTTACCCTGAAGGGCTAAGATGTTAGGTGACATGAATAACAAATGTGCTGGGGATTTAGCGAACAACTGGTGATAGACTGGTATATATTGAGTTGGACCCAACGCTCGAGTTAACGTGGCTATGGCCACTGCTAGTATATTTCGCACGCGGTCTCCCATCATCTCAATATGGCATTCACAGTGAAAGCCATAGCGTACTGAATGATATCAATCAAGGATTTAATTCTGAGGGTGGACCCTTACATCCAAGGTGAACTTCCACCCCCCTCTATCTTCACCCTGTTCTTTACTGTCAGTCTTCTCTTCTAATAAATTTGTTCAACATATAAACCGGGCTGTTCCCTCCCTCAGCAGCATGCACCTATATTCACCATGATTCTAAGCATCATCTCGTGTAGTATACCTCGTCATCTCTGTTTTTCCAAGCGTCCCCGGGCAATGTATTGGGACACTTGCATCTGTAATGGTGGGTGAGTGGAGGTACGCATTGATGTCTTTTCTCTGACTCCGTCCCACCGGGTAAATTCTGATTCGACGAGCGACACGGTTTACCGAACCCGTACCCTAGCTCCCGTCGTCGCAATGCATCTCGGTCTCTAAGCGGGACCATTTAAGGCATTGCCGATCTGAAGACGGCACGTGAGCCGTAGTTAACTCAGTAGTGTGAATAGTGGTGCTCAGGGTCCTCGAGGTAGGGAAGGATTTCAATTAATGGGCTGTGTTTTCCGCCCAGTAAGCACCACGATCTTATCCTTTTCCTTCTCCATGACCGGGACGATGCCCAGAATTCCTGCTGTATGGCATATTGAGATTTGGGTATTTGGCTGATTGATATATATTACTGTCCAACACTCCATATATGAGGGGTATTATTATCCGCAAGAGTACGCAACATCCCGTTCCCCACTTGTATACATTTATTTACATCCTATAGAAGCAGATGTTATAGCCTGGGGGCGAGAACCCAGCGATGAAATGGGCTTTATTCTTATTTCAAAGAACTTGTCCAACCACTGTGGGAGTACCATGTGGACTGGTTCCCTTCAAGGGGTAGAAATCAAAGAATCTTGTGTTCGTATTCGGTCATTGGAACAGACGTGCTGGCCATATCTATTGTTATGTATCGGAAACTGAGCGACTTTTGCTAGAATTGCATCCTGTACGCCAAGAATCGGCCAGGTGTGGTGTTCATACGCTTTGACCTGGATACCGAGATGTTACATCGATGGCGGCTCGGTATGATGCACGCCTTAATATTAGGAACACTAATCGCCCTCATCAGTTTCAATCTTGGTTGATCTGTTCGTCCTGGGAACTGGTAGATCACATAATCATTGGTTGAAGTGAGGTAGTTCTACCAATTGAACACATCTTAAGGGACTGGATTGGTCCACCTGACACCATTCTGGTAATGTTCGGACGTCCACAACAGCCGCGATTCGTTGAATCTCATTCCAGAGACCTCTTCTAGCCGTGTTCTGGGTATGAACTTGCATGTGAGAACAGACTTCTACGACGTAGGCTCCCGTCTCGTAGGCGGTCTATGGCCGCGAACGGATTCTATGGCTTCATTGGGGTAGCTACGATGCAGAATCCTCTCACACTTTACCCGTGTGAGATACTTTATGTGATCTTTCCCCGGTGTAGTTTTCGTATATACTAAAACGCCATTCAAATCGCAAAACTCTGATCCGATCCTCGTCCGCGGTCTGTCCATGTTAACATCCAATTCACTGGATCCCATCATCGACACAACTTTGAGTGATTTGGCAACATTTATGTGATGGAATGGCGGGATCAATCTATAACCCGGAGGTGGTGGCTTTAATAGCATTGTCTACCATCTTGACATCAATATCTTGTAAGAACATGCTATAACGATATCTTCAATGTCTCCTCCTCACTAAGATGTGCCAAACAGTTATTATCGTAGTTTCACGATGTGTCATACGTTTCTTCATGATATTTAAGCCGGGAATGGATGACTGCATGATAATTGGTGCCCTAGTAAGTCTTTTTGACGAAAAAGAAAGTGATCGGGCTGTTGAAACAGTCATTAGATCTTCACTATCGCCTACGAAGTGGCAATATACGTAATAAAGATTCATGGCGGAGTGGGGATGCCAATAACAACGCTGTCATTCACCGAGATGGCAACATTTCTGAAGGTATATTTCGAAACTACGATTGAGATATGTGCTTGAGCGCCGTGACTAAAAGTCATCAAGGCTACCTTCGCGATTGAGTTGATTTACTACACGATCGTTTTCTGCATCAAAACGTCAATCATATTCATGTACCAGCGCTTTGGTAATAACACCTCTTCCCTGTGAAATTCGTGTCACGAAAATTCTAAACCTTTGAAATTAGCCATATGGGATACGTTCAAAAAGCTCTGTCTCGGAACCAATATCCTACTCTTTACGTTCTACGTTGTATGCATTGGAGCAACGCTCGGCCAATGCACTCCCCTCGAGAAAGCTTGGGACGTCACAAGGGCGCTACCAGGGACGTGTATTAACACGACGGCATTCTTCTACTGTAGGTATCACAGAATTCCTTAGTGTTGGATAGGCCTCTTACGGCAATTAGTCACGTCTGGTTTCAATATCCTTACCGACGCCTGGATCTTGTTACTTCCGATCCCTACCCTACGGTCCTTGAAGATTTCACGGCGTAGCCGTTATGTGCTGTACGGAATTTTTGGCATCGGCAGCTTGGCCACCGCAATGTCATGTGTGAGGCTGTACTCTATACACATATACACGCTTGCAAAGGACCCCTTTAAGGATGGCGTATTAGTATGTTCCCTACCCCCCCGTCTTCAACGACACATGTACTGATGTTATAGGTAAACCTATGGTCTATGGTGGAAGTAAACATTGCGATAGTATGCGCTAGCATTCCCGCTCTAAAGCCTCTGGTGTCGCCCAGAAAACTCCTTAACGAGCGACGTCAACGCCGAGGGTATAGCTCTCACATCACTGAGCCACTTTCCTATCGACCTTCAAAGATCAGTGGATTCAGCTCTATGTCCCACTCGCGTATCACCAAGGCAGAAAGCACAAACCGGGTTAGCTCACCCGTATCTCTCCCACCCGAGGATGAGACATCTGGTATTTCACTTCCTCTACAGACACTATGAATGAGATTATACGTTATTTCAAACAGATTACCTGGCATTTACATTTTATTAATAAATATGAGAGGAATAAGAAAATAGCACGACTAGCTTGACTACTCCTTACGAAAAAAAAAAAAAAACTTTATGGATCCCAATAAGGTAGTCAAATTCATTGACGAGCAAGGCGCTGGTGGCAGCTGCTAAAGGGTTTGTAAAGCAGCACGACTTTACTTTGGTTTTCAATGTTACATCTTGTCTATAGTTGGTATAACTGAAGGCGTTTCAGCTTTCGCTCTGCTCGTTCAAGAACCTAATTGGTTTGGTATTTTGTTAGGCGATGACGGGATTGACGTACGTGATTACTTATACATGACTAAAATGGAAGAAAGGAAGTTTACTGATAGGGAACTGCATCACCTCAGAGTTGAACTAGGTCGTCTATTTCATATGGCAGTATACTTCAGGCTTCAACAAGCAGACTCAAATGCGAGCCTTCTTCTTGGTGTACCCCGAGTCCCAGAAGCCTGGCCACTCGCTGGGAAGTTCTTCTAAGATGAATCTAAATATAGCCGCATTCACCTCTCCGGGCTGCTCGAAGTGGGGGAAATGACCCGTCGCCATAGTGACCTCAGTCAGGTTGCTACAAACCTGTCTCATCGGCTCTGCAAGGCGCGACGTCTTCGTGTCACATACGAGGTCTCGGGTAGCGTGAACAAACAGCACAGGCTGCGTGAGTTTACCACCGCTCGCAGCTTTCCCATTGTACTCAGCGTTTCGCTTGTGGTGCATGTAATATCCTGAGCCCGGCCAAAATCCCGTTTTTTGCATATCCGCAACGAATGATTCATAAACGTCCGGAGGGAGAATTGGCGGCCCCGCTGCCTCGACTGGCGGAGGTTTCGGCAAGCCCATCCAACCGCCATCCTTTCGTGCTGTTGCTGATACCGAGGAAAAGCGACTCTTTGGCTCAGAAGATCGTTGTACAAGAATTTTGCAGAAACCAGCAGTGTCTTGTTCGAACCACTGGACAGCCTGCTCGAAGTTCTCTTCGTAGTGTTTCATGTAATCCCACTGCCCGAATTCGTACTTGTCTGCGGGATATATCTCCCGGTTGATAAGCGGGAAGAATCCGTCCCAGCCCAATTCTATCGTGTGGAAGGGAACACAGAAGTTAACAAGAGCTTTCACAATCTCCGGATGCTGAGTCGCGACCGACGAGGTCACACCCGCACCCCAGTCGTGGCCAACCCAGACAGCAGCGTCTCGGCCTGTGTCTCCAAGGAGGGCCACCATGCCCTCGACAATAGCTTCTTGACAGTAGTCGTCAACAATACGGCGAGCTGTCGACTTGCCGTAACCGGGCATATCGGGGGCAATAGCGCGGAAGCCGATGCCTGCGAAGGCTTCCAGTTGATACTTCCAAGTGATCCCGGTTCCCGGCCAGCCGTGGATGAAGAGGATCAACGGGCCAGTAGTAGGACCAGCGGCTAGGTAGTGAATTTTCTTGTCGCCGCCGGCGTAGACGACATCATGAGTCGTGATGTTTACGGTGTCAACCATGGTGAAGGATTCTGGGATTCTGGACTCATGTGATCATATGATAACGATTGGTAGCACCTTCAGAACTCTTATACTTATAGTCAAGTCTATATCAATCACCCAGTACATGAATGCTTACATACATAGCATCCGGACGTTTCGGGAAGTGCCGAAGCCAGTGCCCAGCCGCCACGCTAAGAAAGGGAAGTTGGATTTGTCATCAACATGCCAACGAGAACTTCTCGGCGATCTGGATATTCATACGTCTTATATGTAAATCAAAGATCGTCATCAGTATACTATTCACATATTCCCCCCCCAACCCAATAGGTAGCAGTCCTCCCATACCTACACACCGCTACCGCTTCCAACAAGCCAGATTCTAAGTGATCGGACCGTACAGAGGGGTCGGAGATGTACACGATGGTTTCGGGGCCCCGCAGGCCTAAGCTCCCCGATTGCTAGTTCTAATACTAAAATAGTCATATGTCATTTCATCCAGAGGCTACTACTAAAGTACCTTTTAAAAAAAGGCGGTTTCTGTTATAATGGGTAAGTCGAAATAATCGGGTGTCTAGTCGTGCATCTCTAATTGTATTACCTATGTGTTTAGTAATTCCTTTTCCTCGGCCTTCTTGTTACAGTACAACCCTGTTATTATGTGCGTGTGCTGATGAATTGGAGCAATCTTGGTCTAGCTTATCTAGGACACATTTCCTAGCCTAATTACCCCTTATTTTAACGTTAGTTGCGTGGGCCAATTTGCCGGCAAACCCGGTGATGAACTTGCGATTTGTTTGACGTCAGAACCAGTAATAGACTAAAAGAAGCTAGCGATAGGGTCCTGGGCAAAAGCTTCCTCCAAGGTAGTCTTGGGGTTTTGGTGTATGTCAAGGCTAAGCTCCTCCTGATCCAGGGCTCGTCCATCGATGGCTTGTAAGTAGATCTGGAAGTCCTTGACTTTCAATAGGTTAGTCAGCAATGTAATAGGCAATGAAAAGACTTATGGCGATAGCTTCATGCCTCTGATGCGTTAGTTCATACACATGCGCTAACCACTTTGCCATATTGCAAAAATGTGGAAAATGAGGTTATACATACTTCCCTTCATGAATAAGCCAATGAGACCCAGGCAGCTAGGGCTAGTAGATCAATTGTATAATTACAGCGTCTAGTCAAGCCACCAAGGCCAAGAAGGAATTAGTTGGTTAAGGACTCTTGCAGCCCTTGTTGATCATTATATTCTGAATAGCTTCAATTCCAAGCCCAGTCGCCTGCCCTTTCTTATAGATTACAAGTTACAACATAAATTTTAGAATGTATAACCCGACTTTAACCGATCGTTCTTGAAGGTGGCGCTGGTTCATTTCCATATAACTCTACCATCGTGAGAGATTTCTTTGATTAACCCACCTAAAGGTAGTCAAACAGTCTTCTGTTCATGCATCTTTTATTTAGTTAATTATATGTTATCTAGCCGAGTATCACTACAAACTAGAAGCAATGGGTACAAGACCTAATTAAATTCAGAGCATTGTATGTTAGTCTATCTCTGGAGAATTAGCTAAGGGCATATAGTTGTCGGTATTTTCCTGTAGCGTCATACTGAATTTAGCCAGTCTGTTATTCACACGGCCACCTTTATAGACTAATATATTTGTTAAATATCTTCCCCCTCTGGTTGTTACTTTCTTCGGTAGGTCTAGGTAGGCTAGTTCAAAGTCCAAGCTGCTGACCATAACCACGCCAATAGAGGCCGGCTTATGGTAGACCGTGGACTATAATTACTTCTATACCTGGCGCTGCTCCCATCGAGGAATTTGTTTAGGTTGTCAGATCTTGTGTTGCTTTTCTCAAGGGGCTTCCTAATCTAGTCGAACTTATCGCTAACCTTGATACCATCAGGCGTATTGCTCACGATGTCCTGCCTGTTTATGAGTCTTTTGAGCCTCTAGTTGGCATGTTCTGTATCGAGTCTTATGTAATTCTGTGATAGATGTTCTCACGCATCATTGGGAGATACTTGGCTGGGAGGCAGTAGTACTCGCCCTGGACGTGAAAATTGCTGTTCGGGATAGTCGTGCACCAAGTGGCGTGTTTATAGGCCGTCGTATCCGAGTTATCCGTAGCATTCATACGAGGGTATCGCTGATAGTTGTTCGCAAATTGGGACCTGATACCGCTGCCGGAGCGCACAGTCTTTGGGTTGACGTCGAAAGCTTACTCAGACACAAATTTATAGAATACTGATGCAGTGAAATAGATCTAACATGACCTGCACGGTCTACTCGACCAGACTCTTCATTACCTACCTATCTCCGACCCTTCCGCAGTCAGCTTTTCAGTATTTGTATGATATTTTACTAAGCGTCCTGCTCGGCATATGTCGCCATTGTATTAATAATGTATGCTCATGACTTATGAAGCAACAATGCAGGTTTTAAGTAAAGTTAAGCTTTCAAAGTTATCCCTAAAGCAATTTGTTTTGCTCCAATAGCCCGCATTCGCCAAGTATTAGCCGCTTCACCCAGATATCCAAACCCATGAACCGCGATCGCCAACTTCCTAATACGGCAATGATATGGAGGAGATAGCGAACAAGATGGGCTTGGCCGCCTATCTGGGCATCTCGTCCCTTGGCAGGCGTCTGTGACCCTGTGTATTCTTGTTGAATTATAGGGTCTATTGCGTGGCCATTGGGGTTCATGTGGAGGTGCTGAATGCAATGAATTCAAATGATATGTAAGGTATATAACCGGGCATTCCGGCCGCCTCTGGCTCTACGCGGAAAAGCTACTACGATCTCAATTGTCATCCAATTCGCCGAAATGTTGGGCTCCAAGTTTCTTCCCGCTCTTTGGAGCATCGGGTTATCTCTCTGTGCGACCGCCAGCGCTACCTGCCCCGTGGCCGATCTCAGTATCATTGCTCATACAGGTGAATCGGTAGGAACGGAAGTGGTACACAATAATGGTAAGGGAAATTCGTCCCAAGCGACAAAGGACAGAATAAAAGTAGTAGTACTGACTCCAAGTTCAGTCACATTATACACCACAGGCAATCCATCCGACAAGGCCGTACTCTACCTGACCGATATATTCGGCATTCAATTGCTTGAGAACCGGCTGCTTGCGGATAGTTTCGGCCGCGCGGGCTACTTCGTCGTCGCTCCCGACCTATTCAATGGCACGCCTGCCACTCTCGATCTGGTCGATATGACGCCAATCCAACGGGAGGTCTTCCTCGCGGCAGCTACGCCTGAGGACACCGATGCTTTGATTGCGACAGGCCTTGACTATCTGCAAAATGTCAAGAAAATCTCTAGAATTGCTACTACGGGATACTGCTTCGGAGGTCGCTTTGCTTTCCGATGGTTGGCCGAGGGCACTGGTGTCAGTGTCGGATTCGCTGCGCACCCTAGCAATCTTCAGAATGAAGAGATTGTCGCCATCACAAACCCCGTGGCTATCGCCCATGCTGGTACGTTCTAATTGAAAAGAGAAGGAACCAAATTGCGTCTTTGAAATACGTGTCCTTCTAACTGTGCTTCTTCTAGACAATGATTCGGCAAACCCAGCGGCCCGACAGGCTGAAATCAATGCCTTGCTCTTGAAGAACACCACACAGCCATACACAGTATCCTTGTACGGTGGCAATTCCCATGGCTTCGGTGTTCGTGCCAACGTCTCGGACCCTCGACAGAAATTTGGAAAGGAACAGGCCTTCTTCCAAGCCGTCAGATTCTTCGATACCTGGGTATAAGCTAGAGCTGGATTATTCCAAATCGGTTCACATGCTGCTATAGAGACCCTGCGTAGTTGTTAGATAAGCTAGCGATGTGCTTCAATTGAACGATTGCGTAAAAATGACTGAACGCAAGGAATGCTTCCTCCTCAATTCCATTAATAACTTGTAAAAAGATCCGTGCCATATTGTCCCATTTCGCTCTATAATCACGCTGAGTATGGCAAGTGTTACTTGATGTCACCCATGATGTTAGGCCGGGTGCTCGGTCCGACGTTTTATACATAGGGCGAACCGCATCAAACCCGAAATACTGATAGGTAAACCTGCCTATCCCCTCGCTCGCTAAAATCAAAGCCGGATGAGATACTGTACACACGCGTTGGTAATCTGCCGAGCAGTTGTGGAACGCGGAGTCTGGGGGAGGGGCTAAGCATCCGGCCCACCCGTAGAGGATCTGCCAAGAATGTTGATTCTCCCACGTTTTGAAATCTGTGGTTCACGAACTGTCTTGCAAATGAGTCTCATACGGGTTAAGGTCGTGATTCTCACTATAAAGCCATACTAGGTACACTTTGGGAACCTATCTTAATCTATCTAGAATACTGCTCCTGCGCTGGCCTAAAAATGTAGTGCAGTCTTACGCCATGTAGTAATGGTAGGTATTCGATATTTCGAGCTAATAGTTCGCTTGCATGATTTCCTGTAGTAAAGCATAAGCTTGTCGCGTTCTACAGTAATGACAAGCAATATGAACATCACTCATGACTTGGAAATAAGTGAAAGGGTCAGATCATGTGAGCTAGCTTTTTGCCGTATCTGTCTAGTCAAGTAGGTAGCATCAAAAAGAGCTAACACCTAACTCACTCAGCCTGCTACATCTCATTACGCAGACGAGGCAGACACCTAGGTACGTACATATTACTGCTCCCGCGCTAGGCTAATAATGCAGTGAAAAAGATGGAGTATAAGAGAGATGAAATGAAAAGCCAATCACATTTCGCAGCGAATATAAGAATGTAACGAAAAAGATGGAGTATAAGAGAGGTGGGATGAAAAGCCAATCACATTGTACAACGAATGCACGCAATACCGCGAAAATGCAATTCTTAGGTACCTTAGCTATCTGTCTGCCGGTACTAGCATCGATGAAAGATGATAAGCTTGCTTACATCTCATACGCGCCTACATACTACTCCTTCTGAGCTGGGCTAAAGGTGCAGTGAAAACTCAAGATGCTTGTATATATACAGCTATGCGGAATATTAATATACAGGTTAGTAGAATGTAAGTGTGATTAAATATATGCACCATTGAATGTTCCTGCATACGCCAGTTTATTAGCTGGATGCGCTTCCTCCAATAAAGGCGCTCGACGTTAAGCATACCTAGTGACCAGGGAAGCCGCAACAACAGTGAAACAGCTCTGGTGTATCGATTCTGTAATATAAAGGGGGGATTGACTTCAGAGAAATAGGTCCGCCGCTAGTTTCGTTGCAGTCGGTTTGCTATCAATCGTGAGAAAGTTCATATCCCTCATACATCATCGTTCGCAACGGTACAAGACCGGACTGTTGAGGCTGGCGATTCCTCGGGATCTAGAGCATTGAAATGGCTGAGTTCGAATAAAATACCGTATAAAGACTACGTTGGACCGCAGTAATAGTCAAGTCCCGCGAAGAGCTGATCGTATTCTTCCATTTCGGGAATATTTGTGAAGAACCCATTCCACATGGTGAAGTCGTCGGTAGCATTTACCATGTCGCTGAATGATTGCGCCCGGTCTCTCGCTGCATACGCAGATATCGCGTCATCGCTGCTTCCAGCAAAATTCTTCGGGTTAAGACCGGTGTTAGTAGAAGACGCGACGATGTGGTCTATGTCCTTTATGCTGTACTGTTTCAATACCCCAACCTTCAGCCACGCGTTAGCACATGGGCACCTAATATGAAGAGGGCTTCGCAAAGGGGTTAATGTGATGCAGGGGGTTCGTACCAGATTGCGAACCAAGTTCGCGGCAAAGACCGATTTCTCCCCAGCCTTCGCGAGGATACGGCATGCGTCGGTGATCTCACTATGTAGTTTCGCGGCCTCGCTACAGCGGTCTGCATCGCCTTTCGTGCGGCTCCATATCAACCCTGCATTGAGCGCGAGGATGACACACGCCGTAAACATGCCGCTGATGACGAGGCCAGCTCGGTACGCAAGGGGATGTCCGAAGTCGTGTCCAGGATCGACAGCCGGAGTCGGCTCCTCTAGCATCTTAGAGGACATCGAGAGAACGGTACGCGCCGAGGCAAGACACTGGCGGCGAGACGCTTCGTGCAGCGGATTGTCGGTATCATGTAGTAGAAACGGCCGGTGTAATCTGGCTCTTCGGAAGTTGAAGCATATGAGGATGAGATCCCGCTGCTGGATGAGGTGGGACGGTGCGCCAGGGGGAATCGGGGCACCTCTTTGGAGGGGCAGTGGCATTTCCGCCAACGCCTTCTCGAAAAGACGGTCTAAGGAGGATACTGTGTCGAAGTCCGTTATATCGACGCCCAGGAACCCGGGGCTTCGGGAGTCAGCCATCTCTCTGCATATCTCGCTCAGACGGATCCGTTGAAGGAAGTACGCCATGCGTGTCAAAACATGCGGCGGATACGTGAAAGTTTCGTCTTGGCCTAGGTCGCTGTCATTTATGTTTCTTGGGCGTTTCACTACGAAGTGGCGCGGCTGCACAGAGTCTTTAAGGGGCGAGGTTAGCTCTCGATTTCGTGGTCAAACACGGCGTATGGACGATTAAGAGGAACACCGCTTGCAAATTATGTCGCTTGGAATCAATAAGATACTCACAAGTGCCATCCAGTGGTCCACCTACAAGACTCAATAGCCAATCTGTCGAGGCTAGATGCCACCAGAGTCTCCGTTTGATTTCTTTCGTCAGCATATCGTCGGACTTGTCTGTCGCAACTGGACTGTCAATAAGGTGTAAAGACATGTCGCGCGCTACAGCCACGGTGCAGCTATGCAGATATCTATAGCGAACCGAGCAACCTTCGACGTTAGAAACGACATAGGTTATGATAGTTCTTGCTTGACATCTTTCTAGGCTTCCTGGAGTAGAGAATTGAGTATCGTCGAGTATGGTTAGAGCATTCTCCCTCCACGCTGTAGACGCCTGATCCGCCTCCTCAATAGAACCAAACATGCTATGCCTACTATGTGAAGAAAACGATGCGCAGGTAGAGGCAATGCTCAGTATCAAGGCGGCGACCGTCGGATCGCCCTCTTGGCCATTCTCAAGCTGTGCATAGAAATTAGCTATTGAAGAACGTGTAGATGGCTCGTATAGTATGGGAAGGAGATGATAAGGATTATCGCAGAAGTCCCAGAGGAGTAGTAGGGCTTCCTCTTGGGTCATTATCAGTATTGGTTTGCTTGATGCTTCGGTCCCTGAAGCATGCCTCCCCGCAAGTCGCTTGTAGTGAAAGCTCCAGTCAGCATCTGATGTTTCCTAGACAGTGACTTCGAAGAATAACTTGTTAAAAAGCAAGAGTACAAACTACTGATCAATCTGCCCATACTCATAAAGGGGAGAAAACGCTAAAAACTGACCTGATGACAAGAGGCCGGCGCAACATGGAATTGTGTATGGTGTTCCTGAGGCGTTATCTGCCCATTGTTAACCTCGACCTTTCCACACTGCCTTCACATAGCAAAGTGTAATTACTGCCATTGGGCACGAAGATTCACTCACATTATGGTCATATTTCGTATGTGTTGAGTCAAGATATTTTGCTGCCTTATGACGCTCGGTATCATGATGTGACAATGGGGAGGGTGAAGTGACATCTGTGAGCTGTGCTGAAGCAACAGGACTGGGCTGTAGATCATTCTTCGTGCCAGTGCTTGACCCGTGACTATGGACTGCGCCGGGTGTAGGCCTAGAATCTCCAAAAACAGTTCTCTCTAATGTAGCCAACCGCGAGAGTATCGAGGCATCGGCGGCTGTGTCAACGACGCTGGAGTTTGGTTAGACCACAAGCCCAATGTAAATGGCACGGGATGCTCACTTATGTAGTGGCACAGCAGGAGGCTTCGCATCTGGTTGCCCCGAACAAATAAGACCCCGGATAACACACGACGCACATGGCGTACCTCGATCGCATTTTATCTTTTTAGCACGGCAGTTGAGACAGGAAGTCTGAGGCTGTCGTCTGGCAACTGAGTGAACTAGCTCCAGCGCATCTGCGCTCCCTGACTGTTTGCGCTTCATTCTGGTTCTGAACAGTACATCGTCGTATTATCATGCACTAGAAACCCCACAATCAATGCAATACCAACTCCGAGATTCCGCCAGCGTCACTGGTTATGAGATGTAGACAACTGGTATGATATCAAGGGGATGACTGTTCCGTGGATGATCCGAGGACTTGTTCTCCACTTACTTAGCATCCAACCAATGAAACTCATGGATACGGGGACGGATTATCCGCGGACAGTACACGGACTATCCGGTAAACATGCCATGCTCCCCTGTCAATACGATGAATCTTGGGCAACGGGCACAATATAAAGACATCGTAAGAGAATGTCTTGTAGTTATGAGGCTCTCAATCCCCACCAAGAAGGTATTCGTGTTGCTTGATTGGCACTTTTGACATCAAACACTAGTAACCTCCAGGTACCGCTGAACACGCATTCGCAATGGGTCCCCCTATAGAGCCTCCTCCGAACTACAACAGGTACCTAGGCCGCTCCATGAAGTACACAAAATGTGGTGGTATAGCTGATGTGATCTCTCTAGCTTCCGCTCGTGGCTCGCAGTCGGCGGTTCATTCCTAGGGTTGTACTGTACAGTGGGCTATTTCAATGCCTTTGGAGTGTACCAAGAATATTACAGTAGTGGTCTGCTGAAGGCTTACTCGGACTCGGACATATCTTGGATAGGTTCTGCTGCCATTTTCTTCCTCTATATCGGATCGCCTATAGCTGGCATCCTAGTTGACAAAATAGGTCCAACGGTGAGCATTATCACTTGAAGACCGCCCCCTTTCAAAGCCATGAAAGTTAATGCCAGTTTGCAGTGGTTGTTGATCATTGGGAGCATTGGACAACTAGTCGCCGTATTCCTCTCGTCACTCTGCAGCCAGTATTACCAGCTTTTTCTCTCTCAAGCCGTGCTTTTGGGAGCAAGTGCGTCCCTCACCTTGACGCCCCTTACAGCCGTTATCGCTCGGCGCATGCCTCATCGGCGTGGACTCGCATTAGGCATTGCTATCGGTGGCTCTTCTATCGGAGGCATCATCTGGCCAATTATGCTCCAGCAGCTTCTCTACGTGCGGGGTGTAAGCTTTGGTTGGACCCAACGAGCTGTCGGCTTCACAATGTTACCCTTGCTCCTAGTATCTTGCGTGACTGTGGTTGATGTCGATAAACAGCCCAGCAAGCCAACTCCATCGGTGTCCGATGCATCTGAGGCAAGTGTTGTAGACGGAAATGACGAGGCACCAGTGGAAGAGAAGCAGGAAACAAGCACAAGCCCTTCGATATTCAGCATTTTCAAAAACCTCACCTTCGTCCTACTGTGTCTGGCATTAGCTATCACGTACCTCGGACTCTTCACACCGTTCTTCTACATCTCTTCATACGCCGTCTCCAAGGGAGAATCGTCTTCGACGGCCTTCTATCTTATCTCGGCTATCAATGCCGCCTCGTTCTTCGGAAGAATCATCCCAGGTCACCTTGCCGATCATTACGGCTATTTTAACGTACTCACGCTGTCGTTGCTGTCTTCGGGTATTATCGCATTCACCTGGACGGCGGCCTATAATCTACCAGGGATGATCATCTGGTCTATCGCATATGGTTTCACGTCGGGAGTATGTCCACGCGACGCCAATGCGCATTTTCGAAATTTGAGAAGACTTGACTAATCCATGAGTAGGCAGTTATCAGTCTTCAAGGGGCCTGTGCTGGCAAGCTAGCGAAGCCTGGGCAGCAAGGGACAGCATTCGGGCTGTTATTTGGCACCATTTCTGTGACGTGAGTACCGATTATCTCTTTGGCGAAGCCGGCTCGAATCAGCTAACCAGTGACAACAGAGCCTTAGTTGGGACACCCATCAGTGGACAGATCCTGTCGCGTGGGGGATATCTGGAGCTCGGGATCTGGGCAGGAGTCACGCTTTTAACGGGGGCTGTGATCCTGATGGCGGCGAGAGTAAGAATGGATCGCAAGATTCTCGCAGTGTGTTGATCAGAATAGAAGGCCAACGATAATGAAGTAATAATTTGAGTCATCGAGGTAATGACTATCGGCCAGTATTTTGTTCCTGCGGCCACCAAGCCAGTATCTGGGAGGTAGCCAAATGGGTAGTGCGGGGACGCAATGCTGAAGGCCACAGAGATGGCATGAAATAATAGACACCCAATTAGACACATCAATACCTAGATAGATAGATAGATAGAAGATTGGCAGGTCAGTTGAATGGATACTCGACTCCTTTACCAACTACCTATCTGTGTCGCATGGACCGCAAGAAGTGGTGTACCGTAAAATCCCAGGTGGAAAACGGGTACAACACTGCCCAGTGCTTGTTAGCCAAGGAAGAGCAGCCAAGCCGGCTGAATGCGTTCTGAAGATGTGGTACATAGTAATTATTACCATAGACCACCAGTCGTTTTATTGACAACTGGCTGAAAAAGGATCGGCCGGTGGTCGCGTCATTGGTCCATTGGTCGAGCAACCAGCGCCGAGGCAGAGGAAGAAGGAGATGGAGATGTGACGCACTCATTGTTGGTTCTTGCTGTTCCATCTCATTATTCAGGGGGCCCCCAACCCCCGCCAAGATGCCCCTGTAATAGCTGTAATAATAGCGGTAATACTACCTAGGTAGCTGTAATGCCTGAAAGGAGCAGCCAAGCGACTGCTAAATGGACGGGCCTGCTAGGCACCAACCAGAGGGGTGCTAGGCAGCTGCTGCTTGGCGCTGTAGCGGCGTTTAGCGGGTGCTTAGTGGGGACCCGGATACGTGGCTTGGCCTCGCGGACAGGCCTCAGTCCAGGTCTGGCGGCCTTAGGTAAGCCATCGTCCCAGCAACGATACCCAGCCACATCTTTTTATTTACTTACGCACACATCTTGGGTCCATCTCCGTCGTCCCCTTGGGCTAATGCGCTGGTATTACTGACGCACCTCGACGGGTCTCTCTACCTTCGAATGCTTACGTTTCCCGATTGTGCTTTTCCTCCTGTCACTCTCCTAAACTCTCGATACTCTCCATCGTCGTCGTTGTCGCAGTCACTCGCTACACATCACGGACGACCGTACTACCAGCAAACTTCCTTGTTCTTATAGAAGGGCCACAAGCGAACGAAGATCTAGATCCTGTTGGCAATCCAATCTCTTCACCAAGACAGCGTCTATTCTTCATTCCAACCAGCTTCTCCAATCTTGTCCGACTGGAAATAAGCTGCTGAACTTCTCACTAAGTTGCAACACCGTCATCTGCATACCTACATACCTCCCTCTCCAGCCTTATCATCATCAATACCAACAACACCACACGTCATCACCCTCATCTGCTGTGTGTGCATTATTGACCTGACAGAAGTCCCCGTCCGCGAAAGAGAAACATAAAAAAAGGTTCGAGATCTTCGGCGTCGACCGCATTCCACGATCTCGTTCATCCCTCACTAGCGCCCGACCGCCGTTATCGCATTCCAGCGCTGCTGCGCGCTCCAGCTAGCCACGCCGTCGCTCCACGGGAGGACGGGAGGTGGAATAAAGAACCCACGAGTTTAGGAATCCAAGACTCGTCGGAGGAATGGAAACAGCAAGATTTCAGATAGGGTGGTATCGTGAGTGCATCCACATCCCTCTACCATCATAGCAAGCGAATGTCTACTAACGAGATGGTATAGGGTTCATACCGTTCCTAGGATACCACCATGTGTTGATGATTTTAATAGCAGTCTCCATCATATTATTATGTGTGTACTCTCCTCTCCTCTACCCTCTCACACAGACTTATATTGCGCAACATATTGACTAACCCAATCGACCAACAGCACTTTTATTAGCAGGTTGCTCGTCTTCCTCACCACTAATACCCGACATCTTCCTTCTATCTATCTACTACAAACACTACACAGCCGTCCCCAGCACGGCCCAAGTCGATTACAATGTCAACCAAGCCATCAGCAACATCGTCGGGTCCGCCCACTTACAGGTCCGCGTCGGCTACTTCGGTATATGTATCAACACGGACGGCGGCTCCTGGCTGTGCAATAACAATGCGACAGCGCTAGCCAACGACCTCTCAGTTGATCAGGACCCGTTGAATCTCGTCTGGCTGGCCGGCCAGTTCAAGGACATGATCGTGTTCCCATACCTGCTCATCATCGCCATCATCTTCGCCTTCGTCTGCTTCCTATTACTAGCCACCTTCCCCGGCTGGCATGAAGAGGAGGACAGCGAGGGCTCAGAGCGCGAGATCAAGCCCTTCCCCAGTCGGCCCGTGTCGCAAATCGCCCTGGCCATCATCTTCATCGCCTCTATCTTCGTCTTGGTCTCCGTGTTATGGCAGCACACGGCGTCCGTAGCCGCCTCCATCATAGCGCAGGACTTCGGCAACGGGAGTGTCAAGTCGGGGGTTGGTACCAGCGCCATTGTTATGGGTTGGTTCAGCTTTGCTCTGCTCATTATCGTCACCATCGGCTTATTAGTCATGATATTGAGTATCAGGGTACTCACGCAGCTGGCTGATTGATGACGACCCGGAACATATAATGTGTGGAAAATATTAAAGTGAATGCGGCATTGTTGAGGCCGCAGGTGTTGTGTATATGGTATCGACTGAAAGTACATGAGAGAGGATTCTCGATCAGCATCTGGGAACGGAGTTAAGAAAGAATGGTTTGGTTTGGTCTGGTTTAGCTGTTTTTTCGAGGTTATATTGGGATCGGTCTCGACGCCTTTTACGGCCCCCTATCGGCACATATATCCCGGGGGAAAGGGGCAAGCACCACGAGCGATAACCCCTCATCCCAAGTGAAGATATTGGAATTATGAGGAGATTACGACAACGGGATCAAGGAGAAAGTTGGGATTTTTTTCGTGCGAACGAAAGCACGATCAATACATGAGACCGACGAGATCTAAAGTTTATTCCAATGTGGAAATGACTGTGTGTATACAAACAGATAAATCTTGTAATGGAGAAAAATGGAAATGGCGTTTGAAATTTGGGACTCGAACTCTACTTAGTTGCAGTAATGAATTTTTATTGCTTGATTTATCAAAGCCAGTGACGAGGATCTTGTTCGCCACACCATATCAACATATGTAGTTCAAGTTAATTCATGTCGTTGCCTAAATTATTGAGACCCTAAATTCTATTATCATCACTTAGAAAACACTGTTTTATTCGCGATATGTCATATATGTAACATTCTAACCGCTTCAAGAGAACAACGCCCGTAAGATCTCGAATCTGCTATGGTGATGTAATTGTCCGCCCAAGGTTCCTGCGTAACATTCAAATGTAACTCAGGCACCTACTACGATTATGATATCAACGCAGTGCTCTCAGTGCTACTCCCAACAGAAGAGGCAAAAGCGGAAGGGACCGTACTCATGAAGAACTTCCAATGAAAACTGCATTTGTTTCCCTTCGTCTGCCCCGAAGCCCGTTAGTAGACCTATACGTGGAGATCTTAACCAGGGAGCAGTCACTGTATGTATAGACGGCGGAGACAGCAACTTACCAACTTGTCCATCGAATTATCTACACATTATTCCATGACAGTTATGTTGAGGGTGTACTCAAACTAGGGAGATTCGGAAACTTTTCATGACCAATACCTCGGATTGCTCATGATGCGCTGTTCTCCACCTGACAGGAGCTTCTCACGAGACGTCGCTGCTAGGTACGAGGAGCCCTGAGATACAGGCTGTCCGTCATACCCTGTGATAGCTTGCCTCGGCATCTTGGCCCTCGTTGGCCTATGACGTACACTTGTTGTAACGTTGAATGAGCAAAACTAGGAGCATTCCCTTGGAGAGAATGCAGAGTATCTCGAATAGTGATTCCAGAAGACGGAACTAGTCTCTCCAGCGGTAGACGCGAGCTTACATGAATGCTCCTGCTCACTTTCTTCATGCATCGGGGCTGCTGATCCTAATGAATCCGCTGTTCTCTAGCTCCTCTGTCCAGTACGTAGCTACGGACGAGGGTTGGTAGCAGCACGTGGTGCTGTGGTTATCGCCCTTTATCATCCCGTTATTGGCAGTTCAGTGTTCCTGCTCGGGCCTCCGCGCGGCTTTCGGCTCGTTATCCGCCATCAAATGCGTATCGGGGGCTGTTCTGTATGCATAATACCAGTATATGTGTACTTCAAGCCTGCTATGTTGCACATCTCTCGGGTGCTTCATCGATGAGGAACAGTATACACCAACAAACGAGCTCACGTGAAGAATGCGATGCCACCGTTTTGGGTCTTGCAAGGAGTACTGGTATCCAATTCGAGGTGAGAGCCGCGGTTAGTACGACCAAGACGGCCCCCCAGATTCTGATCGCGTGCTAGTCGGGGCAGCACAAGACGGAAGAAGGGTTCTAGGCATATATCGCAAAGTAAGGGGCAAGAGTCTATCATCGCCATTTGTGGATTGCAAGAAGGCTCTGTGTCTGTCTATCTACATCTACCTATGCAGTTATTCAGACTATCGGTCTCTAGAAACGCTTGATGATATAACTTACATCACGTTCAGCGATACCCGGCCTCCATAGCATCATATAGATGGTTAGAATATGATGTACCATCAAAGATACGAATTTGTACTAAGACATTTGGAATATAGAGTTGTACCAGGCTGGTGCTCAGAGTGATCGCGTGGTTGTGTTCGCATCACACATACACAGCACTTTCAGTGTTTCCTCCCTTATCCGCAACGTAGTGCAAGCAAACTCGATATTGGTTATCATGTCTTCATGTCCCGATGCTATTGCCTACTTAAACCATCTTCGAGGAAAGAATAAGTAGTAAATTCGTACACTCCGGTATACATCACCTACCTGTCCCTCAATATTTCTACTCACAATGTATATTACAATCAAACCTATACATCGGCTGAGAACCATTTGTCTCTCGGAACTTACGCCCCTAGAACAGGAGTGGACTCTGAATAGCCCAGCTCTTCCACCGCCCCCTGGGGTGGTGCCGAATTTTCTTAGACCGCCTAACAAAAACCATGTAGCCATCATTGTAAACGTGGTATGCCTGGTGGTAACGGTCCTGGTGATCTGCTTGAGAGCGTACGCTAGGATATGTTGCATAAAGAAACTGCATTTCGAAGATTGTAAGTACTTACCTTACGAAGTTGACCGTGACAACGGCCAGGGCTCACATGGGTTAATATAATTTGAGGCAGATCTTATACCAGCGGCCTTGGTAAGCAACCCTCGACAGCCTCGCCTTATGGAGAAATCCAGATCTGACACGACGTAGGCAACCTTCGTCAGCAGTGTACTATGTCAAATATGGATGATAGATGAGCGTGGTGCCTTCATTCACGAGTGGGATGTCCGTGTGAGAGACTTGGCCAAAATCTACTACGTACGTACACAACAAGCAATCCGCCAGGATCCCACCTCGAGCAAAGGGAGACAGCTAATCTTGCCCTGCATAGATCTACCATGTAGGAGCCAACTTGATCGCTGTCACATTAATGGTTCTCAAAGGGGCAATCCTACTCGAATGGATGCGCATATTCGTGCCCCCAGGCACGCGAAACTACTTCTTCTGGATCAGCACTATCCTGCTAGGCGTACAGACGGCCTTCTATGTCGCCTGGATCATCGCCGAGAACCTCTCATGCATCCCGCATCGCAGGATTTGGGATATCACGATCTGCGAGAGTAAATGCGTCGATATCAAATTGTTATTCATTCCGGTAGCTGGTCTGAACCTCGTAGCAGATATCATCATTCTTTTTCTTCCCCAGAAGGCGATATGGGCTCTGCAGATGTCTCTTTCGAAAAAGATCGGGGTCGCCCTGGTTTTTGCCATTGGCCTTTTGTGAGTGAATGAACCCACCTATGTGAGATTTCTATGGCTTCTTACGCCTTGGCTTTATAGCGCCTGTCTATCCGCCGCTGCCCGTCTGCACGTAACAATTGTCTTCTACCAAAGCGAGGACGTCCTCTACACAGAGGGGGCCATGTACCTGTTTTGCTTAGCCGAGATGACATGTTTGTTTCTCGTCTTCTGTGTACCCTCGATCCCTAGAGTGTTTGTGGAGCGGGGGGTGAAAGCACGTTTCAAGAAAATTCTATCGTGGTTCATAGGGCGAGCCGCCACCACCCAGGACAGCGGCGACTCCTCCCCATCCTTGTCTCACCCGGTCTACGCCAATCGCCCCCGCTCGGACTCCTTCCGCTCGTCGCCGCGACGGGATACAATACACTCGGTCAACGAGGTCTGGGGCACTGTAACCGAGATCACAGCCCTCAAGCATGACGATAATCATTGCGAGGGTTTGAGGGGTATATTGTGCACAACAACGATCTCGACGGAGGTCACGATAATCTCCGATGCGGCTAGAGACTACAACCGGTCCGATACCGAGGGTGCGGAGTATGAGACATATCAGCGGACCCTGTTGCACTGACACAAACAATGAAGCAAGGCAAGGATAGCTGGCGTTATATTTCTGATTCACTATAGTATCTAGTTCTATGTCGACCGCTCGAAGACAGCTGAAAAGAACGAAGCTAACTTTCAGGTGCGCGCGCTAGATAGCGACCACGTGTAATTCAGTGGAACACAAGGAGCTAATTTTGCTTGCTTCGAGATAATCGCTTCATGCTAGACAGTTGCTATGGCTCGTCTACCTAAGCTACAGAAACTATGATAATACTTTAGGCATTTAATTGTTAGTCATACTCGTTGGGACTTCACTTCCGTCACTCACACTGCCCTGGAGTCTTCAACTTGATTTTGACCAGCCAACTTAATAAAATTTAGGTACTTAATGTTGTATATGATCCCTACCCAAATGAAAGTAGCTCTGCTTTAGTCAATTCTACTTTACATAGAGATTGAAAACATGAATGCAACCAGCACAATTCAATTAAGCAACCACCCTCAACACCTTTGACTTCAATTTCTACGCAGCAACAGAACAGTAAGTAAAATATATGCAAACATATCAATATAAAGAAACGCGAAACTAAAGAACAGGCTAACTTAGCAAAGTCAATAAAGGCGGTAATGTTTATTTAGTTAAAAAGTATGACCATATATGCTAACTTGTAAGAAAGCAGAACTACTTCAGTTTTAATGAGAATTACACCAACTTGGGAGTAGCCTCCGCTATTATTAAGTTAATTGGTCAAAATCAAGTTAAAGACCCATGATGACGCAAGTGGAGTCCCAACGAGCAATGCTATTATTGACGTCAATGGCTTCGGAGATATCCGCGCAGCTTGATATATTAGGGCATTATAATTAAATTGGATTAACTATATAGATGGGAGAGTTCCTAATAGGCTACGGTCTCCTGTTACCTTGAGGTACATAATTGGACTAATAGGTGGCCCTTTCGGGAATAACTTTGGCCAGTCCAGCCGCCACCTTTGGCCAGCCTAGGTGGCCTCGTCGATTCCCAATGGCTTGGCGTAGCCTACCGTATCGCAGATCGTCTTTCACCATCATGATGGCGGTGAAAAACATCGATTGACTTACAACTTAAGATATCCCCGGATTGAGTGGTAAGAATAGCAAGCTATATTTACGCACATAGCCCGCATTGGGTAATGAATGTTTTACTCTGTAAGATTCTTCGATTTGAATTTGGAGAGTATGGAGAATCAATAAAACTCAGGAATTTGGAGATTGGGGTCGGACCCCAACTTAGTCATCCAATGTCCAGTCGCATATTGATCTGATGAAGAAGTTGAATGGGGGCTGACTTCGAGCTGGTGCATATGCAGCGACATCATGGGGGTTTGAGTTCACGGCAGCAGTCAGTCATTCAATACAGATGCAGCGTGTCCTGCGGCACAGGGTTTCGCTTAGACGTATTTGACAAATTACCCAGATTTATAATATGTCGAAAGACCCCTACATACAAGGGTGATGATATTGTGCAAGTAGCTTTTATTGTTTGTATTAATAAAATCAAGTTGGTTTCAAAGTGTCACCAGTTCGCCCTTACTGACAGGGGGAAGATGCCGCTCAGCAGCCTGGATTTAATTCGCTGATACTAGGTATCTGCAAAAACTTTTTATAGCAAGTAACGCCACAAAACTAGGTATGCATGTTGTTGGATATGGCAGTAACACTAAGAGAAACGGCGGGCAACCAACAATATTGCTAACGTCAACAAGATTCGCAGATATCCATCCCTCGATGGCCGGCGGTCTGCTCCATTGACACATACAGCTGAAGACAAGGCTTAATCTAGTCTGGGAGCATTTAGACGCAAACTCAATCATTGGTGCTCGCCGTGCCGTCGTATTGCAAGCTGGGATACGCTCCCTTGACTGCAGCGATACTACTTGGGGTTACGTATGGGGCCGATAGGCGAAAGAGCTTAACGATGAGCCCTTACCATAGACGATGCTTCTAAGAGACTCCCCCAGCGGGTACAACGTGCGGAGATGACGCGCGTTGTCAGGTGTGAGATGCTTGTCTTTATTCTCTTTGACTTTTATCTTACATACATGTGGCAGGATGAGCTATTGAGCATGGTCCCGACACTAAGGGATGAGGTTCCCAACTACCAACGCTCGCGGCGTGCGTCATGGGGTTAACATATAAGGTGCTTCCCCCCAGTGGCGTTGAGAACAGAATGGACCGAGCTCTGGGTCGGAGCAAAAGAGTCAAATAGACACTCCTGACCTTTCTGTCTATTGTCTTATTTTCCCCTTGAGTAAGAAAGAAAAGGTCGTTTCAGTTTATAGAAGACGTCGTCATAATGGCGACCACTACTAAACCACAGCCGTCTCCCACGGAGTCTTCTTCTTCCTCTGTATCAGACTATAAGCATGTGTCTACTGACACCCATGTGCTGCCAACACCTGATGAGACCATTGCCGATGAAGCGCAGTGCTCGTCTGAGAAGGAATGGAGGCCATCACTGCACGAGAAGGCGATTATTTATACACTCGCCATCACAAGCTTCATCGTCGCCCTCGATGCCACTATTGTCATTACACCGTTAAGTGTAAGCCCCCTCAGACAACTCTACCCAGACCCTATCACGAAATTATGCTGATAGAGTCTCGCCCAGGCTATAATAGAAGACCTAAAAGGAACCACTACCCAAGCTTTCTGGATCGGCACATCGTATCTTCTCGCCAATGCCGTCACCATGCCTGTCGTATGCGCCATTAGTGGTGTATTCGGTCGACCTATTTGCCTGATCTTCTCCCTTATTGCCTTCTCCGTCGGCACAGTGCTCTGTGCTGTATCGAAGAGCATTGGAGTTCTCCTCGTGGGACGTTCAATCCAAGGCATAGGGGGCGCCGGAATCCATAGTCTGGGGCTAGTGATCCAAACTGATATCGTACCGCTTCGGTGGCGTCCAAAGTGGTACGGAGTAACGTGAGTCATTGCCACAACCCGTCCAATTCGAACCGGAACTAATAAGAATATTCCTAGTCTGGGAGCCTGGGCTCTGGGATTGGCCATTGGACCCATCATTGGAGGTGCAGTCGTTCATGGTACAACTTGGCGCTGGATATTCTACCTCATGTTCCCCTTCTTGGGATTTGGTCTAATCGCCGTGCCATATCTATTGACCTTGAAACCGAGAGAGGCCACATTCACGGAGAAGTTGGCGCGCATCGACTGGGTCGGTTCTTTCATCTTCACTGGGTCAGCAACATCATTTCTCATTGCCATCTCATGGGGCGGTTCACAGGTACGTGTAGTGTTAGCTCATCATGAAAATGCATGATGTTCTCTAGAACTTCATTTTTCCCCAGTCAATTGAGGTCGATGCAGTTGATGTCAGAATAGACCATGCTGACTATATTGTGGTGCAGTTCGAGTGGAATAGCGTTCAGACCTTGGCTCCTTTGATAATAGGCCTCTTGGGCTTACTTGCAACTCTTGTATATGAGAAATTGTGGGCAAAGGAGCCTTTCCTGCGACATAGCCTATACCATAACACTTCATCGACCGTCGGATATGCATGCGGCTGTATTCAAGGCATGGTGGTAAGAACAATTCCGTACCTACAGCAAGAAAGTAGAACTTAGACTTTACTGACAATTGTCTTTTGATAGATGTACGGCTTCTTGTACTAGTAAGTTCTTCACTGCAGCTTTGACAAGTGGCCATGTTCTAACGCAGGAGTCTAGTGGCCCGTTCTTCTTCCAATCTGTCAAAGAGTTCTCGCCGCTTAATACTGGAGTGACCTTGCTTCCAGCGACTCTGACCGTCACGACCGCTGGTATCGTTTGCGGCCGCCTGGTGACCCGCTACAACAACTACCGCTGGGCCATCTGTGTCGGTTGGTTTGTTGCGAGTCTCGGCGCCGGACTGTTCCTCATCTGGCCTCGCAACAATAGCGCTGCAGTCTGGGTGGTAACGTACCTCATCGTCGGGACTGGACAAGGTGCTATCCTCAATGCCCAAAATTTCGCCACGCAAGCTATGTGCAAGAAAGGCGACGAGGCAGCGGCAGCAGCAATGTACGCGTTCATCCGGCAATTCGGCATGTCCTTGGGGGTCGCGATTGGGGGTACAGCATTTCAGAATGGTTGGTATTGGTCGAAAGATCTCTTGTATGACTATTGCTAACCGTTGCGACAGTAATGGCGCTCAAGCTGAGGTGGCTCGGGCTCCCAGTCGAAATTGCCAAGCAATCCGAAAGCTACATCAGTGTGCTGCATGCTATGCCTGCCGGAGACTATAAGAATAAAGTGCTCGACGCCTACAAGTACGGGTTCACGGGGCTCTTTGCATTTTATCTCGGCATCTCTGTCGTTGCGCTTGTGATATCTACCCTCTTCATTGAGAATGTGGACCTGACTCGCGAAATTGAAAGCGATCACCAGCTCGATGATCGCCGTTGGGAGAAGCAGCGCAAGTAGGTTTGATTTAGGAAAGCGGTACATTAGAGACATGATTGCAGCGGGTTATGCTCATGAGATTCCTTGTATTGTATATACATGTATGTCAGTTAGACTACAATCCTATAGTGACTAATCAAGATAAAATTGTTAGATAAAGTGCAGCATTGTGCTTCGGCCGAATACACCTGTAGATCAAAGATATGGGCAGTATAGGCCTATTGCTTAAAGATAGCCGGAGTATGCATTGTGACAAATCTCTCGATTGCCAAAATCGCCTTGCTTAGGTAGGCAAGTTTAAAGCTTAATAATTGTCGGAATTTTGCCTACACTACATATAGGTAGTCCACCTTGATATCATTTTGGGTTATAGTTGCAGGAAGGTAGAAATAAGGTAGCGCATGATCAGTACAGGGCCGCATTTCAATTATCGCCAAGAGGATGAGGTTCCGATACGGGGTTCTAGAATATGAATACTGATTGAACCAAATAGCCAAGAAACCATGAGATTATCGCCTTGCTATATGCTTCCGTTTCCAGGTCTAGGCATTCAAGTCATTGTTGATGTCAATAGACGATGCGTGTACCGGCGCCAGTTGAGACGGCGGTGCGAAGTAACTTGATGTCTCGCACGCAGGCATCGCACCTAGAGCAAGATAGTTCATCCAACTGCTAAATGAAACATGTACAGAAAGTAAGCCTATTAGATTTCCTGATGTCTCGAACGCCATCTGATACCTACGTTCCCAGCCAATCGATCTCCTCCCATCCTGACACGGCTATCCCTGAAAGCCCACGTGCTTCTCGCTTCGTAAACCAGAAGCAATGGGCAGACCCTCCTACTAGTGTGAACTAATATTTTATTATCAAATAATATGTAGTAGATAACTGGACAAACCAGGCTTCTCGTCTCGTATCCAAGGTACTGTGTCTAACAGCACCTGCAAGTCAGCGTCGTGTCCGAGCAATGAGGGTTAGTCTAGACACACTTATATGTACCTGCCTTAGTCATGATACGAATAGAAATTTGTCGTGTCGGTATGCGGCCAATATATTGAATGGCATCTTTTCCGGCTTTCAACAAGAAAGCAAAGAGTAAGCGACACCACGTTAGCCAATAGACGTCCAACACTTCGCACGGGTAACAGGTTTCATCAACAGCGGCAAGGGCATCGCCGTAGAAGTAGACGCTGTCGAGGCAGTGAAAGCATACTAGGGACACCCACACACCCACACCACCACTTGGTATCCCTAAGTAATTCTTTCAACCGTCTCGCGCTGTGTCGAATGCAGCTGTGCCGAATGCAGCCCATGTCGAGATAAAATGTCCGTCGAGCTGACATCCAGCTTGCTAACTCGATAGTTTCCGTACCTGATGCATAAATGTTGCTTTATGCGCATAGCCATACCCAGATAGAACTGGGCGTGTATTTTATGCCCGATCTACCTACCTGCCAGGCGAGGGATAAAGTGCGTTAGGTTCGGCTTGTACAGCGCTATACGGTTATTCACTTTAAGCTCTTTTAAATTATTGGCATAACTGCCGACCTGTCTCAAGCAGGCCAAACCAGATTTCTATCAGCATAGACGAAGTTACGGAAGGACCAAGCAGTAGGTAAAGGTAGACAGAACCTGCCATCAAGGCTCTGCATGTATTAGGAAGGATGTACTAGTTAGGTTCGATTCGTAACTGGGCTATTGGTGTTCGCTGCATAGCTCAATTGCATGTTGAGACGGTCGTTGAAAGTACCATGCCGAAGCTTATGTACTCCAAAGCCCAGCTTCATAATCTAAAATACTAGCCAAAAGTCATGTCTCGATAGATGTACCCCGTATATTCTTTCCATCATTCTAAACCCCTAAAGGGGAGATGGTATCTGTCAGCCATTGATATCCCGGTCCTTTGCCATTTACCCCTGTGTAAGCTTTGTTAGCACGCACGCGATGATCGCCTTGAGCTCAAAATCGACAAAATAAGGCCGATAGACGAGGATCGGATTAGAGAGATCCTCCTCGTACTCAAGGGCACCCTCGGACATATCGCTATCCGTCTGTGCCAGAGACACAGCGAACAACACTAGTGCGTTCTTCAGAGGAGCGGTTTTACGTCCTCTGTCATGAGTCCATCGTAGACGTTCCTATGCCGTTTATGATTCTTGCAGTACCATCGCGCAGTGTCGTGATAGCATCGGAGTCAACCCGTATGATGTCAATTAACGTGTTCTCTAAGAGTTGGCCTTTCGGTTTTCCGGTTTCGGCGTGCGTGTAATAATTAAATTGTTACTTGAGTCTTCAAATTATACTTACAAGCGCAATGATGATATGAGAGCGATGTGGCCCAGGGACCGTACGTTATACGCATTCAGCTAGCTACAGCAGGCTCAGGGCTCGACTCTCGAGTAAAGGATGTCCTTTCATGCAACTTGAGTACGTCTTAGCTACACCCGTATGTAATTCCCTGATATGTATTTTCAAGGATCTTCATACTTGAAGCATACCTAGATAAGAGCTGACATATGTAGATAGCATGCAGGCTACTCCAAGCATTATAAGACACCGGAGTAGATATCGCCTCACATACTCACCTGATTATGGCTCACGTGCTTTATGGCGCAGACCTTCTCATAGTAGCACAAGAAGAAGGGGTAGCTATTGGTGGAAACGGAGCTTTTGCCGGGTTTCCCCTCAGCGTTACTCACTTCTCTACAGTAGGCAGCTAAGTAACGATGCTACGCTCGCTCTGCTTTTTGCCCTCTCAATATCAAAAGTCATATTATTATTGCATGATCGGATTTACCTGATGCCATATACACATGATATACTTGGCAGAAACAACATCCTTGTCTTTTCGGTGTCCGCAATGCCACATGCCTCTCTAGGTCGCCTATGCATCAACCTAGACACACCGGTGAACTTTGGTTGCCGTGCGCTTCCCTTGGTATACAGATACACCGGTGAGTGACCATATCCGATGCCATGAGGCGTGCATTGGCCTGGGCTAGACAGTACCGGGCTGATAAGCTGTAAATAGATCGTAACACGATAGGCAAGATTGACTTGCTGCCGGCATGACTTTCGCTACCGGCAATTCGGATCGACATCGGTGTTTGGCATGTTGGTGTGGTATTCAATGAATGAATCAGCATACCCCAAGATGAAGGACAAGCAGATGAAAAACGGATGGTAAGGACAGTTAGAGGAGGACGATGGTCATAATCTGATCTCTTATATGTAGAAGCATATTTACATACCGAACATGATGTATACAGGATGAAATAAGACAGAGGTTGTCAACTTAGTACGCGGGTGCTCATCATAGTCGCAAGGCATCAGACACAAGGTATATAGATCTTGATGTGCGACTCTTGCGTTAAATGCCTCGCAAGAGCCCCAAGCCCTACGCAATTGAGCTGATAGGATGAACAGTACGCCGAAGTGGGAAAAGAACTTCCAATATGTTATATAATATTCTAAGATCGCAACAATGTACATCCATATAGCCTGTCGCATATCTGCCCAAGTCTTACGTACATATTTGGGGATAGGGGGTTCTGCAAGCCTGCCCTATTCATAGGTTAGGTCCTTCTGCTTACGGTGCCTAATCACTCGCGTTTTTCCATACCAGCTCAAAAGACCAATGTATTCGCGAAACGTGAATTATTCCGATTGTTGTGTTCAGAGAGAAAGCGAGCTAAAGTGGGTTGGTTATTGAACTGCCAGTTCATCATGTATGATTCTAAGAATCAAGTTTCCGAGAGAATTGCCGAGAAAGGGGCATTCTGGCAGTCAGGAGCAAAACCGACATACGCCTGACGTCGTTTACATATCATAATCAGAGCATCTACATAGTTGGAACCGTACCCGCCCGTGTCATTGCACCATGCTGTTGAGGCTAGGTCTTTCTTAGCTAGGTAGGGGGGACAATAGTCTGTTCGAGCCCCAGGGAAGCGAATCTAACGGCATACCTATGAACTCTGTGATTGAAGTTGGAGTTGTCCAGTTGCCGTATCATTCGTTGTTGAATCTACGCTAGGACTCAACCTTTCTCCACAGTAGGCTTATCTCACCCTGTTTAGCCATGCCTTTCCCAACTGCCCATCTCACCATAGCTTGGTATCTCATCTTGAGCCTCCCCAAAAGCGCACCCTGCTCATACTGTAGTATTCTAGTACTACCATCGAGAGAAAATCTTGGAGATCCTACTGCTCGGTTCACGGCGCAATGGGCCAGATGTGAGAGAGCTTGCAGTTACAATTGGAGCAGATAGCTGCCTGGATCTGTCGAATACTGATTGCAGGTACCAAGAGGGATATTGTGAGTCCAAGTGAACCGAAAGGCGTTGGCTGGTGTCCTTGCACTGCTGCCTATCTATCACGAGGCGTCAAACGTGCTAGCGGCGCCAATGCTGGCTCAATAGAATCCGAACGCGATTCAAAGTATAGTTTCTAGGACTGCCTCGGATGGCAAATGCATTATCGTCTTGACGATAAGGTGCCGAAGATGCCGAATACCAAAAGCAAGGTCAATAAGACTAACAATCGGTCGTGGTCATACTGCATTGCTATGGTAGTACTAGACTCTCTCCCCTGTGAGAGATTTCTATGGTTGAAGCTCTTTTAGATTCGAGCTGGCGATGGTTCGTCCGGACGTAAATGAAATACCGTGGGGTGCTTGGTTTGCAAAGCTGCTGTAGAATCCAATAATTGAATCATATCGACGTGATAGGGCAGCTACTCGTCTCGTTGTTGCTCAATGTCGTGGAACTAATGCAAAGTTGTTGGCAGCTCGTACAAGCAGCGCTTGGGGCGGCGTCGGCGGCGAACTGGTTGGTCGGCTGTCTTGAGCCCCTGGCGAATGCGGTATCGCTGGGATCTAGGCAACGGGAGCTTTCATTGGTAAACATTTGTAGTAAGATTGTTGCTGTGCTCACAATACCCGACCCTTCCGGTCCTTTCTCGTCGAGCGATGTTTGTTCATGCAGTCGGTGGTTTGAAGGTTTGCATGTAACAGTCGTGCTATTGAGGGCTGGTACCTTGACAATACTAGTTGTCGTTATGCGCACATCACCGCAATCTATTAGTTTACCAGATTTGTGGATGGTAGAGATGGAGGCGAACACTGTTTAGAGAGCCTTGAGGAAAACGTGTACAAGATGTCCGGGGTAAACGTTGGACTAGCTTGTGGTTCTCTCTGGGGCCGGAAAAGCAATCGTAAACGACAAGGCAGGTGTAGACAACGTGAGGACATGTTAACAGAATGGGCAGGAATATATTGAAGGATATTCTGGCATGAGAACAATAGTATTGCAAGTGAACATCTCTCTCTCAAGTACAGCGCAAAGATAACCTCAAATCCAGACCGCTCCGTCTTAGCTTACACTTTGTCTCCTATCTTCCCCAGCTGATCTTCTCCGATCTTTCTATTCAACATGCTTGTTTAGATCCGAACTTACACCGTAGATGGCCCTGTTGGCGTCATTTCGGCGTGATGTTTCATGGGACTGAGTAACGCCGTAGACCATGTGACATCCGCCAACGTTACGGGGCGACCACCGCGTGGGCGGTATTAGGTGATGAAATGTAAAACACAACTCGTCGATGCTCCTGCAGTCCAGAAGATATGATTTAAGCCAAATTGACAAATGTTATACACCAACCAGCAGAACGCCTATGATATGACCTGTCGTTTGATATTTTGTGACCGATTTTCGTGTTTTGGCCGAAGAAAAGAAAGAGGCTGCGCGTTCGTGTTATGATTCCACCTTCACCTCGAGGCGTCGGATGACATCGTCGTACATTCCGTCGATCTTGGCCAGCAAGAGCGCTCTTCCGGCTTCTTGACGGTACTCCTTGTGGAAAGCGCGGTACTCGGAGGAGTGAATAGGGCTCTGTGGTACCTCTGCGCCCGTCACAATGTCTCGCGCGACATCATCGAAGGCGGCGCTCTTCTTCGATGCCGTTGATAAACTCCGAGGTCTGGTGTAAAGATCTAAGCCGCTCGGCTTTTTGAGGATGCCCTTCGGCCGTGACGGAGGCGAGTTGGATAGTGCGTGCATTGTGTAGGTTGGCTTGTTCTGATGACTTAACTTAGCAACTAGAGTGTGAAAAGTTTTTGAGACCGAGAAGTTGTCGTCGTTGCAACTTGAGCTTGATGATGTTGAGGGTTTACAAGTGTGGTGTTCTTATGTCTGAAAGCACCTTGAAGAGTTGTGGTATTATAGTAGCCAGAGGTATCTAAGCTACAGCCAGCGAAGAGCAGAGTTGGTGGTTCAGCTAGTCCTGGTATGCGTGAGTGAGATCAACAAGTTGGGTTTTTGCCAACGCCATCATATGACCACGAGTGGTAAGAGCAGCGAGAACGGACAGTCTCCTTTCTAAAGGATGCGAGTCGCTATACCGTACCGTGATTCCGTGGGACTTTGCGCTGTCGTGGGGGATTGGATCGACGTAGCACAGATCGGGGAGCGGTTGATGCACTGGGAAGCGTTGTAACGAGGAGAGAGCAGGACAAAGACCCAATTGGGACCTGACTGAGGTGCCTCTGGGGTTTTGTCGGGAAGACATGCGCTGTCTGCCCTGTCTGACGTGGCCGTACGTGACGCCGCCGAGTCAGCCAGATCTGGCCGGGTCAGGCCGGCAACCCATGCGACAGGGTCTTCAGGGTCCCATTCGTCCCATTCGCACGCTCTTGAGTGGCCTAAATGTCAGGGACTCCAGGGACTCCAAGGCCAGCCACCGTTGCTCTGCACCCTCAGCAGCAGCAGTAGCAGCAGCACCTCAGCACCTCAGCATCGCAGCATGGGGCATCCCCCACCGTCACACGTGGCGGGGCCAAGGACCATTGGGGAAGGCGGCTGTTGGTCGAAACCCTTCGACCGCAGACCATTGGCGACGAACATGATGGGATGCCCCGTGACAGTCGCCCAGTCGCCCAGTCACCCCGCAGACGAATCGACGGGGTGCGATACAGCTTGGCGTGTGTGCAGCATCAGCAGCGATGGCCGAATCCAAAGTCAACAGAGTAGAGAGACCGCACAAGCCGCCGAGTGGGCTGGTATCGCGAGGAACACGGCACTCCTGGCTCTGCGACAGCTGTCCCGTGATCTGCCCGCGACAATCCTCAAGCGTGCTTCTGCGCTAAGCAACATGAGGGAAAGAGCCGGTCTGCACGCGGCTGGAAATAACAATTATGATGTTAACAAACAGCGATTTTCGGCCACTCTGACATCACTCTGTCCATCTTCGGCTGCTGTGGAGAGTTCATCCATTCTGTATCCGAAGTTGGTGTACCGAGTCGGCAAGCTTGGAGGACCTCGCTGAGCTGGGACTTGGTACCAGAGCTTCCGCCAGAGCTCTGCTCAGAGTCCTGCTCGGAGTCATGGTGGCCTGATGTGGGGGAGTCGGGGTTTGTGCCATCTCAGTACGAAGTACTATACTTCACACCAGCAGAAACAAGAATTCTGACCAGTGTCTGGGGGCCAAGAAGTGCCGGTGCATGAATGGCGATGGATTGTTCGACTAAACTTGTCGATTGAAACACACAGCATGGGCTCTCTCTTGGGGGTTTTCGATATAATACATACTTAAGTACACACATACCTACATACGCACACAAGCAGACTCGTCACACATTACATGGAGCGTATACCACGTTGCACCGGCTACACTAGACGAACTTTGCGGCACCTGATGACATATATAGGCCTCTTGAAGCCTCTTTCGATGCCGACAGCCACGGTTAGAGACATGACGGAACAGGTCAAGAGTGTAGGCAATATCAGTGACATCCGGACATCGACACCCCAAGACCGATGCGTCGGTTTGGTTGGGGTACACTACTGATGAAGCGTCACGATCATCGGTCGCGCTATGCACCCCGCAAAATGATCGACGCTTGTCCGAGTACCAAGGTAGTCGAGAGTGTATGTAGGCAGACCCTGAATTGGAAGCAATGGGATTCCACGAGGTTGGTTCTACTTCGTAAATGCCTTGATCAGACTCGACCAAACAATGTTCTCAGAGCCTTGCTAGACATACATAAGTATGCTAAGCTGGCCAATTGAGGGCTGTTGAAGCACCCAAATCCGAGCAATATGTCCGAGCATGGCGCAAGGGGGGAAATGAATACAGTACCTAGGTGGAATTGTGATCTAGATGCTTGGTGGAAGGAATGTTGGGACACATGATTTGGAAATCCCTGCCAGCAGGATTTGGAGAAACTGGATTCTAGTCTGTGGAGGAGTCGGTTAGATCTAGGCCCAATCATCAGATCTGTGAATATTTTTGTGTGAATATTTCTCAATCTTCAACGAAGTCGCCTACTCTCCATGCGCACTACGCGCAAGTGAGCGTAAGTGAGCGAGCGTCTAATCATGTAGGTAGGTATGTATATATATAAAAGTTTTGAGGATGGAAATCGAGTTCTCGCCAACCTTTTCGTCCAAGTCCACCCACCGACTTCACTCCCCCCCCCAAAGACCCATGGTAGCTGCCCTGGCCCTGGCCCTACTGTACCTTGCCCCTGGGCCTGGGGCAGCGTGGTACCTGAAGGCTACAGCAGTAGGGGCCGCCTGAGTCCCGCCTAGGCAGAAGCTAGGCTACCCACTAGGTAAGGTGAGTAGGTGCCGCATTACCTCTTTCAGGCACCTGATTTGCCGTGCTATTCCCTTCTCAGACCCTACCTAGGTACCTACCTTGGAATACGAAGTACCTGTAACCCGCCTGGCTTCAGCATCTTTTAGGCTGAAACAATCTCGCATTATAGCGTGCTCAGGTGCTGCAACTGCGACTGCGCCTGCGACTGGGAGATCAATCGAATTCTTCCGCTCCCTCATCACATCGAACTGAGACGGCAACTCGCTGAGACACTTCTAGGACGATTGATTATATCTAAGAAAGGCTGCCAAGTCGGTTGTTGGTTCACGGGCATTCAAAAGACCCTGTCTCATTTCTGGACTTGTCTAATCTGCATCGCTCGCTCCACCACTCACGGTCCAGATTGTCTAGCCGGAACTCGGGACGTTGGTAATATGATCCTAATATCCCCATACGATGCCAAGAGCCAAGACCCAAGAGAATGGCCCATGGAAGGAGGACGAGTCTGGACGAGCGAGGGAGGGCGATCGCCTTTTCCAAGCTGAGCTGAACGCTTGGTCGCGGTACGCTACCCATCGCACTGTAGTCTGCCCGTTGCTAGCAAGTCATCACTGCCCATGCTTTTTACTGTAGATCGTGCGCTGTTGGATATTGTATCGCAACGCAGCGCAGCGCGGCGCAAACCTTCCACGTCCTGTCGAGTGTTATCCAGTTCCTTGTTTCTTGTCTAGTGGTTCCTTCTTGCATAACGTCAGTCGTCCGCTGCAGCCATTTGCTCTGTGTTTCTGTCATCGACAAGCGAGTCTTGTTCAGTCGCTCTCTGTCTCGCTCCTGTCTGATTTTCCCTAGTTCTCCGCCCAGCTAGCTGCTGCTAGATTTGCGATCTGCGACTTCTTCGACACTCCTGTGCTTCGTCCGTCGTAAACTACGTCTTGACATCTCTCGTTGTCGACGTTTTATTCGGGTACTCGTTCAATTTGATGTACCTTGGTCGTGTCCGCAAATTGCTCGCTATCGGGAAGGAAAATGATAGCGCCCATTCTTGACCAATAACTCCCGTTTTACCAGCCCTTCCTCTGCGGGCGTGCATGCAGATAGACAAAATTGACTCGACAATCTTGCCTCTGCTTCTCTCATTCACGTAACCAATCAGCTTTTCCCCACTCATTTCTCGTTGTCGCCATGGTCCGCTTACGGCGATATCGATACTACGTCTTTTTCGCTGCCATCGTGGTTTTTTTGCTTTATCGTGTTGCTCGAAACAGTGAGCAGTGGGAGACAGTCTCGGCATCGTTTCCTCATACCGTACCTCCGTTCACGCCCAAGCCACCACCAGCACGCGACTCTGGCGGCAATACTCAAGCCCATACTGAAGTAAAGGGAGTTTCTACTGAAGATCGTGATGTTCCCCAGCAAGTATTAGATAAGCCCGACGAGGCCAACTCTCCAAACAAGGTTCCAGAATTCAAGGGCGAGCACCGGCTTGCTAGCGACCATGGCGATGGCGATATCGAGCTTCCCCCCAAATCAGATTCTGCTGTTAAAGATCCTGCCGTTAAGGAGGCAGGTGTCGTAGCCTACGATCATAATGAAGCTACTAAAGTTGGAACTGCTCCTATCATCAACGTACCGGACAAAACCAATGGCCAAGGGGCCAAGGATGCAGATAACAAACCCATAAAGGTTCCCACCAATACCGATATTCATTGGACGAAGATCCCCGAGCACTTTCCTGTCCCTGCGTCAGAATTGATCCCTCTCCCCACCGACAAACCTAAGAAGATTCCGACTATACAATACGCTTTCGAGAAGGAGTCTCCTACAGCTCGGGAGACACGTGAGACGCGCCAACAGCAGGTCAAGGCTGAGATGGAACGAAGTTGGGCGGGCTATTGGAAATATGCCAGGGGCCATGACGAGCTGAGTCCCGTCACTAAGTCATTCCGGGACCCGTTTTGTGGATGGGCTGCTACATTGGTTGACTCGCTCGATACGTTGTGGATTATGGGAATGGAAGATGAGTTCAAGGAGGCTCTGCTAGAGGTTGAGAAGATTGACTTTACCGTCAGCAAACGAGCCGAAATTCCCGTCTTCGAAACAACAATTCGATATCTGGGCGGATTAATAGCTGCATATGACGTAAGCAGTGGTGACAATGGTGGGTATGATATCCTACTCCAGAAGGCCGTAGAGTTGGCTGAGATCTTGATGGGTGTCTTCGACACTCCTAATCGGATGCCTGTGCTTTACTACAACTGGAAACCCAAATTTGCCTCCAAACCTAAGAGGGCTGGAACCAGTGTCAGCGTGGCCGAATTGGGGTCTCTTGCGATGGAGTTCACTCGACTCGCTCAGCTCACCAAGAAAAATAAATATTACGATGCAGTTGCGCGTATCACAGACGCTTTCTATGAATGGCAAGAGCAGGGTACATCAATTCCGGGTATCTTCCCTGAACATATCGATGCAAGTGGATGCAATATCACTGCGCAAAACGAACTTGAAGCTGCCAAGAAAGTCCCGGATACGGACACGAATGATAAATTCAATCATGACCGTGCTCGACGCATCGGGGCGACTGTGAACGAGCATGATGAGCTTGATTTTGAATCTGAAGTGAATCCAGAAGTTCGCACTGGCAACCCGAACAAGGCCAAACCTCACATCATGAAACGTTCTCAAAGGAGCACTGCACTGAAGATGAACTCTGGGAAGCAGGTAAACTCGGAAACCGCCGAGGGTGAACGGATTGCTGGGGAGAGTACCCTACCTGAATGCGTTTCTCAGGGATTAACACCTGGTCGGGGAATGCAGCAGTATAGTATGGGTGGATCGCAGGACTCTACTTACGAATATTTCCCCAAACAATGGCTGCTTCTCGGTGGTTTGGAGCCAAAATACAAAGAACTACATTTGAAGGCTACCGAAGCTGTTAAGAAGTGGTTATTATATCGGCCCATGGTTCCAGATGAACGCGATATCCTATTCTCCGCTAAGCTCGTCACAAGAGGCGAGCCCGAAACCGACGCTAATATGCAATATGAAGTTACGCACCTTACCTGCTTCATAGGAGGCATGTTTGGCATGGGCGGAAAGATCTTCGAAGTGCCAGCTGACGTCGAAATTGGCGCAAAGCTCACCGAAGGATGTGTGTGGGCGTATGAAAGCACTGCCACTGGTATTATGCCAGAGGGAGGTCACTTATTCCCCTGCTCTGATCTCAAAACATGTCATTGGAATCAGAAACTGTATGAGCAAGAACTAGATCCTTTATTCGAAAGTCGTGATGAAAAAGTTCAGGAGTATTATGATCGAAAGGCAAAGGCCAAAGCTGCCATGGAGAAGAAAAAGAAGGATGAAGAGTTTGAACGCCACCATGCTCAGATAAAGGATGAGGCAGGACAACCTAGGAAACCTGCCCTAGACGATAAACTGTGGCGAGGGTCACATTTAGACCACGAAAATGCTGGAATTCAGAAGCGAGCTGCTATCCCTAACATGGGGGGCCTAGAAGATGATTTGGCTGAAAGCAGTTCCGCTAAGGGCACTAAGAGCGCCAAGTTCATAGAAACTCAGGACCTCGAAGACAGTGATCCAGCTCCCGGATTTGAAAGGTCCACTGCGGGCCAAGTGCCTTTGCAGATAAATGAGGATGAAGACGAGGACCCCTCACGGCCCTTATCTCACGAGGAGTATGTTGCTCAAAAGATGGAGAACGAGAAGCTGCCGAAAGGCTTCGTTGATGTGACTTCAAGAGACTATATTCTACGGTAAGTTAAGTTTCTTCCTGATCATACCCTTTTTCTCCCACTGCCTCTTTTGGCGTGAGAAAACACGGGTATATCCTATGATTCGTAGTGCTGACGTGTCGTGCCAAAGGCCTGAGGCCATCGAGTCTGTTTGGTATATGTACAGAATAACCGGAGATAAGAAATGGCAAGACAAAGGCTGGAAGATGTTCAAGTCGATTGTTAAGCACACCACAACCGATGTCGGAAATAGTGCCATTCACAACGTATTGGATACACACCCGACCAAGTTGAATGAGATGGAGAGCTTCTGGACTGCCGAAACACTGAAATATTTCTATCTGCTGTAAGTTCCGTCATTCTGATAATACTTGACCTGGACCATACATGAGAAATGAAACTGACCCTTTATTCTAGATACTCGGAGCCGAATCTGATCAGCTTAGACAACTATGTCTTGAATACCGAAGCACATCCGTTCAAACGACCAAAAGCGCCCTTTGGTGTATAATTTTAGGCCATCTGATGAGTGGTAGAATTTAAGGTATCAGTCGAACAGTTACATTATATATACTACAGTAGAGGCGTGGAATGCAGTTGCTCCGCCTCTCCCAATCGCAAGGGCCAGGCGTCGTCATCAGTGGGCTCCCAAAACAAGCAGCAGGGGGGTAAATGGTATGGTAGTGTATACCTACCTCCACACACGCTTGCGCACCGCCGGGGGGTTTGGAGTCGGCGGATGACCGGCCATGATCCTCCAAATCAAGACCATTTGTATAGTGCATATGTGCATTTGTAATGGCTATAATGTATATATGCTAAAACAAGGCCTCAGTATATCCCAAATTCAAAAGGCTGCTCGCAGATAAAGTATTGATAGATTAAACAAATAGACGATCTATCTCGCTTTGTCTACCTCAATCCTCTGTTGGGTTAGAGCAACGGTTACTGAATCCTTCGAAGTGTGCTCATCTGTTATGATCCTGGCGTACGGGGTAGGGTGTTTTGAGTATATTATATTTCTCCCGCCTCGTCCCGACTTCTAAGATTAGCGCGGGACATCACGGACGGCTCGGGATGTTAATTTTATAGACACTTGTTCAACAATTGCTAATCTGGGAATTCATCGCGATGGAAAGAAGGGCAATAAGCATTGTGGTACAAATATGTTGGAATCTAATCCCGCTGCTTCTAAATCATTTATTATTATAAGTACAATCCCTCAATAAGTGGTAGTAATATGCGCCACCTTATGCCAGCCAGAACCATATTTTCTGCCAGATATTCTTAGGTTGTGGCTCCTCGTCCGTTTCAGCTAACTCGTCCATCTCCTTCTTGCCAGTGATGACGTCCACATCCTCAATCTTAATCGCGAACGGCGTCCGGAACCAGATCTTGTGGATAAAGTAAAGACCCAAGAAAATCGGGATGGTGATGTAGGCGGCCAAGAAGCTCGAGGCGGTGAAGTTGACGAAGACCTGGAATCCGTTGGTCAAGGTCAGGACGCTGATCAGGAACAGCATGAACCAGGTCGCGTAGGGCTGGAACGGGGTGCGGAAGGGCAGCGCGTCGAGCATGTTGTGGTAGATCATGGCCTTGCGGAAGCGCAGGTATGTGATCATGACGACGATCCAGGCGATGAAACCGGAGATTGTCGAGATGTTGCTGAACCATGCGAAGGCGACGGCGCCCGAGTTCGAGACGTTGAGGAAGGCGAGCGCGCCGATGGAGACGGTGAAGAGCACTGCGACATAAGGAACACCGCGCTTGCTGGTAATGGCGAACCACTTGGGCGCCTGCCCGCTCAGGGCCATGGAGTAGAGCACACGGGAGCCGGAGAAGCAGAAGGCGTTGCCGGCGGACCACGCTGATGTGAGAACGGCGGCGTTGATGAGGTGGTTGAGGACCGGGATTCCAGCTCTCTGGATGCCGATGACAAACGGACTGGCGGATGCGTCCGAGTTGCCAGACAAAAGCCGGGGGTCGTCGTTACGCACAAGGATGCCGATGATGAGCGATCCAAGACCGTAGAAGATGGCGAGACGCCAGATGTATCGTCGCGCGGCCTTGGGGATGTTGCGGCGCGGCGCCACGGTCTCACCGGCGGATAGCGCGATCAGCTCGGGCGAAGTGATGAATGAGAAACCGGCGCGCGCGAAGGCGGTCCAGAACGCGAGGAACCGACCCCAGCTGCCCTCCGCCAGATACGGGACGAAGGCTCCAGGCGGGTCTTGCCAGTTCTTGAAGTACAAGGGGTCGTGATTCGGGCCGCCACCGAAGAACAAGACGATACCCAGGATGATAAGGCCGATGATTGTGATCAGCTTGATACTGGCGAACCAGAACTCGGCTCTATAAGTGACGTAAGATTAGCTTATAGGGCGCGAAGAGAATAGTGCATGACGGGAATTGAACTTACTCTCCGAACCATGACACGGCCACGATGTTGAGGAACAAGATAACGATGAGCTGAATGGCGATCCAGACAGCGACGTGCACGGCGTTTGTCCAGTACGAGATGATGATGGCACCGGCCGTACACTCGGCAGCCACGAGGATGGCGTACGCGTACCAGTAATTCCAGCCAGTGGCGAAGGCGAGAGAGGGCTCGACGAAGCGGCCTACGAAGTACGGGATCGATATACCCTTCATCGGGAGGTAGGTCGTCATCTCAGCGAGGACGTTCATGACGATCCAGACGACGAACATCATGGACAGGTAGGCCATGAACAGCGGCGCAGGGCCAACCGTCGCGAGGATCTGCCCGCTGCCTACGAATAGACCTGTTCCGATACTGTCGAGGGCACGTTAGTTCTCAACTGAGATATCAAGAAGTAAGGATGCTACTCACGCTCCGCCCAGCGCCAAGAACTGGATGTGGCGACTCTTGAGACCACGCTCGAGTTGGTGGTTCTGATCGAGATTGACATCTCCCACGGACTTCGAGACCGAGTGATCCAAGGGCTCAGCGCCAGCCGACGCTTCCTTATCCACGTAATCCATCTTGCTGCTGCTTCCGTTGCCTCTTTACGGATTATGTTGTCCCCTTTAACAGCCTGGCGTAGACTACCTGAGCGTCTTTGGGAGCCAGTCGCGGCAGCGGCGGCGGCGCTCTCTTGTCGTTGGTCGAAAGAGGATGATGGTGATGGACGAGGAATTGGTTCTCTTGAGATTGACTGTCTGACGCTGGGGGTTTATACTTCATCAGCCTCTTGTCCAGACCTCTTTACCTAGAGTCGCTATGTGAACTAGCGTTAATCTCCGATCTTCTAGACGTCGCCTAGATCGCGTGCCCCGTATTGTCTAACGTCGCACTACGTGGTGATGTTCCCACCTGAGGGCGCGATGGTGGATATGCACGACATCTGCATGGGAGCAGGCAGTATCTAAGAACTAGTTTCTGCTTAGGAGAGCCTGGGGCCGATGATAACCTTGACGGGGATGCCAGACCCGCCGATCTTCATCCTAATCCTACACCAGTTCGTTCCTACCTGTTCCGATATTCGGGACGGTTGACCAGGGAGGGATAATTGTAGAGCCGGGGTATCACCTGGATTCTGTGAAATTGTCGGATCACTTTTCAGATCCGACAGCATAGCGAATAAACAACCACCGATCTCACCAATTCACGGCGTGAATGCAGTAGGGCCTCGTCTAATTAGCATATAGGCCAATGTAAATACGGGATGAATCGTCAGAGATAGGTGCTATTCGTCGGCCCGACTCAGGACTGAGCAGAGATCCTTTCTACTGGGTAGAACTGGACAAGGCTAAGATACGGTGAAGGCCCGGATTTCGGTAGCGCTGAGCTTCATATACACTATATCATGATTGGTGGGCCTATTACTCGATGAAAACTTGTCACAATAGAGATTGTCCGTAATACGGTCTTGTCATGAAGAATGCTTTTACTTAGCGACTTTGCGGGGTCCGGGGCATTACGTAAAATCAGGCACCAGGGCTGGGGATGTCCGACTCGTATGTGCACGTTTGGGGTCGGAAACTGGAATATGATGCAGGCACCTTGAAGGCCTTAATTATACATGTAGCTTCATTGGCCTAGTCTCGTTTGGAGGAGTTAGTTGATCAGGGTCGTGAATTATGGACCTATCCCGCATCCATACAGACATTCATGAACTCATGCCTGGGGTAATGAACTGAGAGTTCCATTGGTCCGATAGTCTGCCTTAAGATGATACGATGCTTTTCTTAAGAGAAGAATAGGCCTCACGCGTGAAAGTAGGGATTACCAGCCTAATTTTATGGGTAGTCCAAATCAAACCATTAGACTCTAATGTCTAAGCTGTGAAATCGAGAGATAAGACTCGTAAGACGAAGCGCATCAGACAAGAATTGAGCTGGAATAAACTAGGTGTTAGAGTCTATAAACAGATAAGACGGACTGTATACTCCGGGTAAGGCGTAAATGAACGTAATTAAACGTACGAGTGAAACAGTCAATCTAGCTAGCTACTCGTATGATGACATTCTACTCAGCTACGATTATCTGAATGTGAGATATATCGCAAAGACATACTAGTAAATCCTTGTACGCTTCATCTTCAGTGAACACAGCATATTGACCATATTCTATGTCTCCTTCAAATATCTGGTGCTTCATCATATAATCTGTTCATAGCCCAATTAGACACGAATGTTTCTTTCCCTCAGTAGAGAATCCATATCATCAACAACAACGAGCTGACAACTATTCCGCGGGGTAAGGCTGCACAGCTGGGACTATTCTAAAGAGTGTACTTAGTAGTCGGACTGCAGCAGCTGAAAGAGATTGAACAGGGCTACCCAGTTATGAGAGACGGGACTATGCTCGAGTCCCTGTACTAGTAGCTTCGCCCTAGGCTTCAGATGGAGCCTCAACATAGGATTGGAATTGCTAAGCCGATGTTTGCCGTTGACCTTGATAAGGTTGTGGGTATGGCAGGGTCTAGGTAAGGTAGTATTGATGAGAGAATTACACTTACAGACATTAGTCTCACTGGTGCGGATTGATCCGGCAGCATCTCATCGATCCGTTTGTTTCAAACTACCTAACAATAGCTACGCGATTGATAACTGTTATTAAATCATATCCGTAGGACCGTAGAACATGACGCATATCGCTGACGAGTTGAATGGAAGCTCATGCGACGATAATATATCGTATCTTGCGTCTATTTGCGGTCGTCTTTTGCGGACCTTCCCAAACGCCGTGTCGACAAGACAACCCTGTTTATACCAATCTCATCGTACATGTTAAAGCCATATCGCCTTGGACATCCTGACCCTTTATTTTGGATACTCGAGCCCAACCCTACAGCTCCAGCTTCACCGGCTTGCTCCTCTTCTGTTCTGCAATCGCGTTCGCCGTGTGCAACAACCATTGCCGACGTCCGTTCATCTGTGTCCAGCGCGCGAGGGACTTGCGCCAGCTTGGTGGCGTTTCTGTCCTAGTGTGCCAGATGTATCTAATCATGGCCACCGCGACTTTGTTATCACGGTCGAATGTGACCATGATATGTTCAAAGCCTAGCGGCAGCTGGTTCTTCTGAGGCCGGCTGGTAAGCGCAACAGACATATCTTTCTCCCCTACGCTCACAACTTGAGCGGCAAATGCCTCATTAATGCTACCATCTCCCATCTGGGGTAGCTTGTTTACTGGTTTTCTGTTGAATTGCGTGGTAACTATATTTGGATTAGCTAATGGCAGGTTCTCATATGTCTCGTGAGATGGTAAACCTACGTCTTTGATCCCACAACAGCTTCATCACTTCAGCTCCGAACTTCTCCTCATCCCATAATTCCCTTGGAACTGCTTGGAAGGGCATACCAACTCCAACAGCGAAAGTGTCTACAGTGGCCCACTTCGTATGATTGAATAAAGTCGTGTAGAGCTCCGAGTCGAAGATCATGTCGTCGACTGCCAGTGGATCGATAACGTAGGTTAACGAGACAAGCATGTATTGGTTATATGCTGCCCGGAAGCCAAAGAAGAGTAAAGGAAGAGCGAGCGCGAGGCCCAGCTTGCGAAAGATACCCATGATTGCTGCCTTTGGTGATGAGATTCGACCAAATGTGCGTTGATGGAAATGATGAGGCGGTGATAGCTCTTCTCTTGGCGGTCGCTAACCGCGGCGTCGCTTTAAAATGAGACCTTTGTGTTGACTAGTCTATCAGACGTTCCAATTACACCAGCTACTCTTTTAACATATGAGGATACTTAGGGCAGAGAGAGATCTGGCCTCATGAAGCATTTCCAGCGAGATGGAGATGAAGACTAAAGTAAGAAAAAAGGGGACAGGGGCTTTTCCTCATTCGGACGAGTCAGTCTCAGCACAATGTCGGGAGTTCGCACATTTCTAGTAAGCATGAGAGCTATTTTTAGTAATCTCGTAAGATTCAGAGCTTCAATGCAGTAAAGCAACACGCGACAATGATATTGCTTTCCACTATTAGTGCTCGAATACTTTACTCAGCAAAATGAGCATCATGACGGCATCGCCGCACGCAAAACATATAAGCTGGTGTATAATGCCGCTCCGCTCGCCGGAAATAGAGCACAAGAATAGGTAGAGGCCTTTCTCCCGATAGATTATCCATTACATCATCACATTATTTTGTATAGAAAGCCAGTGCGACGCGACTTGACGCTACCGCGCTCTTCACATGATGGATCTCGAACTTATTATCCCGGAACCCCAAATTATCTGAAGCATCGCGACGGTGCCGACAGGCGACGAAATGCCCACTAATTCACCAGTCGCGCTATATTCGATTTATTGATTTTTTATTCCAATGAACGAAGGAAGAGATTGACGTCCTATGACCAACGATACACTGTGTATATCTGCGAATGCTTATTGAGCACCTCAAGACTGTCCATGTCGTTGATGCCCACGAACTCAGCGTTATGCATTCAAGATTCAGACGAGGAGTAATCTAAGCACTATTCTATAGAGCCACGTTAACCATATAGTCAACCTATTGACCTGGTTTTTCATGTCACGGTGAAATGCCACGTGGCTTCGCTGTTTGCGCGAGACTAGGAGTATCCGTGGTCAAAGATGTCGCAAACGACGCGGCTACGTGTGTGCGGCAACCCATACCAGAGTTAAAGCTGAGGGGATTCTCCGTTTGATTGTCCTCATATTTCCATCGCGGCTTCAACGCCACACATACTCAACTTCGATATTCGCTTTATTGGATTCCGACATGAAAGTCACGAAAGATCTAACGGTTAAGTTCGCACACCTACATCAGACAATATAATGTAACGAGCCATGATCCACGAGAGCGTTGATGTCAATCACCCTCCAAAAGGCGAAGTTCTCCCAATGCGTCTTCGAGGATGTGACTTCAATGAGGAAGACTGGATTTCAGACTGGTCAACACTATACGATTGGTTTGTTTCCGCACATTTAGCATAACCAGATTCTTCGACAATGAGACAAAGGTTCGACGGTACCGAAGTAGTACTAACTAATTTAATGGCACTCCCAGTCCTCGAGAAACCCTCAATTAGCTGCGATTGTCATGAAAACCTCCCGCCCAAATCCTAGTAGCGGTACGAAGAACACGTACTCCCACACAGAGGAATTTGGTCTATAAGCACTAACAGATACCTGCCGAGATTCCTGTGGGAGTGATTACAATCTGATACATATCAGTGAATATCTTGGTCTTGAATGCCAAGCGCCTCGTAATGGCCAGAAGGATGCATGGGAAATATGCGCCATCTTGGAAGGGAAGAAGGATGTGTATCACCACTCACGACACGCCAGCACATTTACGGCCGTACTTGTCATTGGAAATTTAATTCTTAGATTCATCCGGATTCGCGACTAACAGCTACTCGAAGAAGACAGCGCGCGGCTCCAGAGTAAAGGTTCTCCATGCTTTGGCATCCCATGTCGTTCATCGCTTAGGTGAGTCGAGACGTGACCAGGAGCATTTGCAAACTTGCAACCACGATGCGGATATGGCAAAGCGGCTGTATATCAGCCGCAGATACTTATTGGACAAGAATACTAATTATCGATGATCGTGCGGCTCTTGGAGATATGCTTATATAAGTAGACCCCCCATGGGCGCATCAAACGGCTCCAGCAAAAAGACTGCCATCTAAAAGGCCCAAGGCCACCTTTGATAACCACGTCCGCTGGTTAAGATTACGCCACACACCGGCTCGATATTGACATTTCAGCAGAGCCGCCGGGATTTTGCCCGTCGACCTAGACAAGACGGCTCGCTGCTGGTAACCTGCGGGCCTGAGAGGAGGTAACATTTAGCCTGCAAGCACGTCACAGTAATCAGCCGAGCCTAGGCTGTATCTCGAGTCGAAGTTGAATTTCTCTATCGACACACTACGAGATATGATGGGCAATTTTCGCTCGAGGTAGGTAGTCGAGACGAATAGACGCTTTGGGAATGTAAAATAAACTATACTACAAAACGAGATGTATCAACCAGTTACTAAGAGATGAATAATCAAACAGACTAGGATTTAAGAATCCGCGAGTTAGAAGCCTCGGCGCTTCCTAAATCTGGAGACATTCTTCGGAGTTAAGCCCGCATTGCCACGTGCTAGTCGCGGTCCTTTCACCCGAAACTCTTAGAATGAGAAGGTTCTTGACTACTGCCGGGCTGATGTCGTGATTGGATTGCCGGTGGCTCTAACGACAGTAGCCGCATTCTCCCAGATTGACTACCGCTGCTGAATAGGACTCCATCATAAGAGGAAGTATAACAGTACAACAGATGCTCATGTATAATTGTGCGCGAGCCAGATCAAATTAGAATCAAATGTTCGAAAGAGACGACGCAAAGATGAAGGCACACACCGTAGATGATCGCGACACGGAGGACGCCAGATACGTAAGTAGGTATATATCGAACAGGGACCCATTCCCACAGACCACAAATGGACGTTCATATTAATACTCGTCGTCGTCATTAATGGTAAAAGGTGCGAGGTAAGTACCTAGCGCTGCCCATGATACCCCACCTATACATATTACCTAGGCATTTGTAGTATATTACATCATATCTTCACTCTTAGCCTCCAGCCGTGTGTTCAATCTTTTTTGGTTTGGTGATATTTTCATTCTATATTCTTTTCTCTTCCTTTTTGGTTTCATATAGAGTGTGTATACAGATATCCATAATGGCCCAGCCTACGACTCAGAAGCAGTGGACAGTGACCGGGGCCGGGAAGGGCCTCGATACCTTGCAGTTTGGTGACGCCGAGGTGCCCACGGTGGGCGACAACGACGTCCTCGTCAAGCTCCACGCCGCCTCGCTCAACTACCGCGACCTGATCATCCCGAGGGGGCAATATCCCTTCCCGACAAAGTTTCCCGTAGTACCGGCGTCCGACGGCGCGGGAGAGGTCGTAGAGGTAGGGTCAAAGGTTAGCCTATGGAAAAAGGGTGACAGGGTCGTCACGCTCTTTAACCAGTGTGTATTTCCCAGTTTTTTCTCAATTTCGTTTTCATATTGAGTGCACGCCACTACCAAAGCGATTATCGAACACTCTCACAATTAGCTTTTTCTAACTGCTTGGGCTTGTATAGGGGCCACCAGTATGGAAATGTGACAATAGCGGCATCGAGCACAGGCGTCGGCGGTGTTGTGGACGGAACACTGCGCCAATACGCCTCGTTCAACGAGACGGGACTTGTGCGCGCTCCGAAGAATCTGAGCTATGCCGAGGCCGCCACACTTACCTGTGCCGGTCTGACGAGTTGGAACGCGCTCTACGGCCTCAAGGCCATTAAGGCTGGTGAGACTGTTCTCGTCCAAGGGACAGGCGGTGTCAGTCTCTTTGCTCTTCAGGTCAGTTTACCCAGCCCAATCCGCACGGCATGTGGCTTGCAAATTCGTTGTAGCGTGGAAGCCCATTTTTTACACTTCGCGCGTACCACTGACATCAGTTAACACCCCGTAACAGTTCGCCAAAGCCGCCGGCGCAAAGGTCATTGCGACAACGTCGTCAAAGGAGAAAGAGGACATCGTAAAGAAGCTCGGCGCAGACCACGTGCTGAACTACAACGAGGACAAGAACTGGGGCTCGACAGCGCGGAAGCTGACAAATGGCGTCGGCGTCGACCTAGTGATCGAGGTAGGCGGCGCAGGGACGATGGCGCAGAGCCTCGCGGCCATCAAATACGAAGGCACGATCGCCATCATCGGTTTCTTGGGCGGCGCCAAGGTCGAGAACTCGCTCCTCGAGTGTCTGACGCACCTCTGCACCGCGCGCGGCGTCTACGTCGGCTCCCGCCAGCAAATGGAAGACATGGTGGCTGCTATCGAAGCCAACGACATCCACCCCTATGTCGACTCCAAGGCCTTCTCGCTCGAGCAGGCGAAGGAGGCGTACGAGTACCAGGTAAGCCGTTCTATATTACCCCTGGCCTCAAGTATTGTTATATATGTTCTCTCTGTACTACGTATCGATGAGGTTGCTGACTCGGCTCGGCTGTGGCGTAGTGGGCTAAGGGGCACGTCGGGAAGATCTCGATTAAGATTACGTAAGCGGGACGGATATTTCCTAGGCATTTCAATTATACGATATCTACCTAGTATAGATGGAACAGGCAACGAATTCTTGTCTTCATAGAAGCGCCATGAGTTTCTCTTCTTGTGTCCCTATCACTCCTTATCATTATCATCGTAGTATGTTCAGCCTAGACTTGGACTGGCTGACTGCTTCATATGTCTAGACATGAACCGAGCCAATCTAGCTCGGTAGATAGACGTCCCCGATCACACTTGTAGCGCGTCGATTCGCGGCACAGTTCACGTAGAGGAGACGCGGTGCTGCATGCTGACTTGAGTACAATAATAGTCCATAAATCAAAGAGAGTCCTCTTCTACATCGAGGGGAAAGAAAAGGATCTCAGAAAAGGGGTGTGTTCAATCTCGTATCACATTTGTTTTCAACAGTTGTTATCTGTCGTAAATTATGATATGCTTGAATGGCCACCGCCTGTCCCGATAACATCCTGTTAGTCAGCTGGGTCGGCTTGTAGCCAGGTCCATCGCTGATATTCATGCTTTCGCAACCAAACCGTGGCGCCCTGAAGCGGTCTCTGCTTATTTTTAGCAGCCGCTTCCTTCAAAGTCTGTGGTCCCCGCACATTGAGATGCTCCGGGCAGGCGGGATGGTAAAACGGCATCCAGTCGGCGTATGCATCATACTCTTTATCTAGATAATGAAAAGCTGCCTGTAGTCCGTCATAATTGGGGTTGGATCGAGTCGGTCGATGTATGGAGCATATGATTCCAGCGGGGCGGTTGGTTGCGCATATGACCCGGATATTGTTCTCAGCACCGCCGCCCATCATGAACACAAGTGTATTCTCGTCGATTTCGCGAAAACCCTCGTGCTTGCCTTGCTGGCCGTCCAGTGGTGTGATTCCGTTAGCCTTGAGAACCGCGCGGTCTACAGGGCGAAATGACAATTCTTGGGAGTACACCTTGATTTCCTCTGAGCTTTTACACGCTTTGCGAATGCTCTGCGCCATCCAGAGTGCCGCGACATGCCGGATCAGGCTTCGATTGCCATATCCCTCCAACTTTTCCGCATCAGTAGGTGGAATGCCCAAATGCCACGCCCAAGGCCCATCTAGGTCGAAACACACGATTTTCTTGACGTTTATTAGTTTCTTGTGAGTTACAACCCAATGAATTCGGCCCCAGAGGTGCTCTCCGTCTATAGATTTAGCCCATTCTTCTTTGGCTTCGTTAAGGGCCACATCGATTTCGACAAAAGATTCCAACATCCTGCCGTTTTCCTGCCTGCCATCGCGTCTGTAGGGTTCGAAGTTATAAGTAGTGTTGCTACTGACCTGGACTCGTGGCTCTAAAAGATGAAGCCAGAAGATATACGTACCTAGGCATTCTAAAGTCGCTCAATGTTTCAGCAGCCGTTACGGCTTCTTTCCAAGGACTCACTAAGCGGTCAGCCAGCTTTAGTATCACACTCTGTTTACTAATGTCGTCCGATCCACGGGGTATAACGCGATCGCGTTGAAATTCTGCTGGGCAAACGCCTTGTAACGCTGCTTCCCTTGCTGCCTTCCTCTCTTCTTCCGCCGCTGGGTCGGCCATCTTACTATTTGTGTATATTCAATACAAAATTCGTCGAGTCGATAGCCTAGAAGAACTACCAGGGTACTATGCTAAAAGTCAGGGACGTAATGTGATGGACCGAATGTCTTATGAGAAGTGCAAACTGAGAGTGTACGTGAAAAGGAGCTGTTCGCGGGAAAATATTTTCATGAACACATGTAGCTTTATATTTACCATCAGATACCTCAGGGATGTGAAGACTGTAATTAATAGCAAATAAAAGCTGTTTTACAGCTTTTAACAACCAACCTGACCCTATGATTGCTTGTGTCCCAACTCAATACAACACATAAGGACAAGGAATTGTAGCAACTAAATCAGCAGTACCCGCACCTCTATCCCTTGCGTCCAAAGGGGGGCAAAGCAAGCGTTTTATGAGGCTGGGTGATATAAAGGGATATTGTGCATCATGGACTATGTCGGTATTTCTGACAACTTACTTCTGATGGATAAGATAAATGTGACACTGACGATATATACACTAACATATCCCAAATACAAGTTCAGTTCACATAAAGTAATCATGTCTGTACCGGTGAACCCGTCTCCCAGTTCCGTTTAGATCCCCCATCCGCAACGAGGCAGACAGATAACAGGATTGCAGAAATACTGGGAGGGCAAACGGTCAATTCGCATAGAGCCAAACCAACCCATGCCCCCACCCTAAGTACCCTCCTGGGAACACCGGCGACGTGCCTTTAAAAGAAAAAGTCGGCACGTTAGGCACAGAAGCCTGTTAATGTACCGCATGGATTACAGAGCTGCAAGGAATGATCTCGCCTTGTGCTCCACCTTGCCGCGCGGAAATGGGCAATGCCACATTCAAAAAGGAAAGAAAAAAAGGCTGTAAATAGTAGAAAACAAGACAGTTGACAGTGGCCAGGGAAAAGCTTTAGGGTAACGACTTCGAAAACAAGCATCGGGGACAGCGACAACGAAAATGGCGAGGTCATTATTATAAATAGGGCCCATAGTACATGATCTGACTATTCTTCGTAACCCTATAATTCACAAGTGTTAGCTTGGGTATTGTACACCTGTGACATGTCTAAACTCTTATGCCGAGTGCAGCGTAGGCGGCTAGTCAGAAGACTACGAGTCAAACATGACCTTCTTTCGGCCTCTTCCTCGTCCACCATCCATAGCATCTAGTTCACGGTCGATCTCCATTATATCCAGCATCTCGATCTCCACATCTCTTTCCTCATCACCATCTTGTTGTTCCTGGTCTGCAGCCGCACTTAGGTAGGCGGCGAAGTCAAACCCACTAGGTGGTTTTGATGGTGTTTGCACTGGCGACTTTTCTTTGTCAGCTGCCATCATGTCGTCTCCCGCCGTTTCATCATATTTGCTTAATGAAATGGGTCGAGACAATCTCCGTCGCGGGCCAAGAGAGAGATTGTAGGCTATGCTGCTAGGCTGTTCCGGTCTTGGATGAACGATGATGGCACTAGTGTCCCGAGCTCTGTCACTCAACCTCTTTCGACGGCTGATGACACCTCCAATACGAGTGCCAACTGCTGCCTCACTTTCCCGTATTATTACAAGTCTGCTCTCACCACACACCACCACATCGACAGGCAAACCTTCATTGCCGGGAGCGCTCATGCCACCAGTCTCGGCAAAGCGGACAATAGCTCCGACTTGAGTGCATCGTTCACCCATCAGACCGACTGAGAGATCATTTAGACGAATCATGCGTGTAGGCTGTGCTCCGCTAAAAAGATTCACGCCACCTCCAGCGCTTTTCCGTATTTGAGCGTCCCAAAATTTGAAAAGACCAGGTATGGTGAAAACGTGATCCAAGCTGCCAATCCATAGCGTAACGTTTTCATCCGCTGTTGTTGTAGTACTCGACGGTAGTGGTGTGACGACAACGCCTCCGCTAACTGTGGCGAGACGTTCTGGACCAGATGTATTTGAAAATGCATCACGCCGGGAGTGTGGTGTCATTGGAACAAATTCGGAAGTGCTACCTGACGTGCGTTGTGTTCCAGGGTTTCGTAGTGGACTCGTGCCTTCGACATAGCCACTGATATTGAACTCGGTGATGGCATCTCCAACAATTCCAGAACCAGGCTTTCCGAAGTGAGCAGAGCCTTGTGGGGAGACACCATCAATATCCCAGATACCCCACTCGCCGTCCGCAAGCAGGACGAATATCGCACGACCACGAGCAATCCAGGAGGCGGCCAATATTGGCTTTCTAGATGTCGATTGCCGGACGAAAGGGGGGTAGAGAGAGATGAGCCATGAGCCCTGGGAAGGGAAAGGACCCTCTGATATGTCATCAGGCGGCATGGACGCCATGTTGTAATCATAGATGCGTACAGCGTTTGGGGATGCATTGCAAAGAAGTTGTGTGGAGTGTGTCGCGTTGAAAGAGATAGACGTCAATGGCTTGGGCAGGTACTCTGTCTGGAACGGTTCAATCTGTTGACTAGGTTTGGCCGCAACTTCGAGGGGGACATCCCATAGTCGCAGCGCCCCGGCTGCTTCACGGCAATGAGCTGCGACAACAACACGATGAAGCGCTCGGTTCGTTGACCTTGAGCGTTCCGAGGATTTACTTCGTGTAGGTCTCGGCCTGATGAGGGTCATGGCCAACCCATCAGAAGGCTTTTGCTGGCCAGCCAGCAGTGTCACCGTCTCCCCCCATTTGCCGTTGCCTGCCTTGCCAGCCAACAGCGATTCCTGTAACCCCTTTCTAGATTTACTGAGAGGGGACGGGGGGACGAGCGGTAGCGTAACCAGGAATACTTCGCGTGTGGAGCACGAGGCAGTGAAAACGATCTTCTCCTTGAGAATATCGGTTCCTTCCCATGAAGCATCCTCGGCTAGGCAGGGCGTGAGTGGTAGCGTAGAGATATGCATGACGGCGGTATCAAACTCCAAGTCGAGGGTCTGTGTGATTTCTGGGTAGGTGGATTCGTCGTCAAGGGTCTCTTCAAATTGCGGCTTATCAACGAACGTCTCGGGTTCGGGGGCATCTTCTTCATCTGAATCAAGAATCATGACGGCATCTTGCGGTGGCTGACCGTTCTGTTTGCCATTGGCCCCCTTCGCAGCAGCCTCCTGCACTTCAGGCTTGAAACGGCGACCACCGCGCCAGACGAGAGTGACACCATTCTCGTGGCCGTATATGATGATCGTGGCTCCCTGGGGTGATAATACGGGATAGGTGTGGACTGTGTGGATGCGACGGGGGATGTTATATCTATAACAATCACGTCAGCGAGTTAGTCATAGGTCGACGGTTTCCAAGTCAATGCCATGTCGGTAGAGTTTAATCAAAGCAGGGTCCAAGCATACGTGTATTGAGTGTTTTGCGCTGTGCGACGGACGCGCGCCGTAGTGCTTGGGGCCATGGTGTAGCGATTTCGAACAGAGACAATTGGGTTAGTTCAAGTGTGCAGATGAGCTGGAAGATAGAAGCAGCGTGCGTAAAGAACTATTCTAAGCCGCCAGTCATGGTGCTCGTCATATGGCCACGGGTTTGAATTCAATGATGTTGAAGCTATCCAGCAAATAAATTCGAAGCAATACGGCCGTCCAGTGACGCGACAACTCTTGGTCAGAGCTAAGGTGGGGACCAGGTGGGGACTTGGGAGCTTCCCAGTCCTCTCGATGTCACGTGATCCTGCCCATATATGAGGGACAGGACAGAATGCAGAACAATCATGAGAAGCGTCTTTGTTATATGTATCATACACTTAGAGCCCTTATTAATATCATTACTTCGAGGAGTACATCCAGATGTAATAATGCGTCTGGAAAGGTCCTTTTCAAAATTCATATAGTGCAATGTCTCCTCGTGCTTTTTTACACGCCGTTATCTCTTCCGAGTTTGTCCATGCAGTAGATCCTTCCAACCTTCTTGCAAAAAAGTGAAGCTATATACACGGAGTGGTTATTTTGGGGGGGGGCTGCCTTACAGCGTCGTGATAGATGTTGAGATTTTAGGGGTGACTTGCGTCATTAGAATTAAATCTGAGTAAACGTGACGAAAGTCGTTCTAGGCTATAAAGTACCTCACGTTATAATGTACCGATCTTCAGATATCTTATGGCTTTTTATTACCGTGTGCTTAGAACCGCTTAGAATTAAAATGGTTGCATCCAGCCTCTTTTGACAAAGATCAGTATTGCTCAGCGGATAGGTAGCTATAACCAGGGCAGAGATCCGGGCTTGGAACTTGATGTTATTCAGATGACAATGATCAACTAGGGCTACATGAGTCCTTGACCAACCAATTCCTTCTTGGCTTGGTGGCTTGACTCAGCTCTATATATAATTGGTCTGTCAGCCCAGACCGCCTAGGTCTCGAGGGTTTGTTTCAAGAAGCGAAGTCTGTATAACTTCATTTTCTAATATTGTTTACATGTCTTTGAATGATCATGAACAGCCTACATTGACCTTTCATACGGTCGAAGTGCAAGGTGTCACAGTACAGTACTATATAGTGAGTGCAGAGACGTCAAGCCTTCGACTTGATAACTCGTCGTTACCTTTTGGTGGCGTAGTGGCATAGGTACTGCACTCCTTATGTCGTTCCGTGACACAAGGCGAACTGCATATTCAGCTACTACAGCTTTGTATGCGTATAACAGTAGCTCCAATATATTATTCACACACTCTTGGGGTTCACACTCTACGCGCCATATACGAGTAAGAATAATTACAGGCTATGTTGTTCGTGTACCATTTTCTCCATGACTCCCCCAATTTCTCTAAAATGCCCAATTAATGAACATAGTTTCGTATCAGGTGATATGTATATTGCTAGCACACTTATCGCTCGCCTATTACAGACCATGAATCTTCTGCTGATCCGGTATTTTCGGTATAGGAAAACCCAACTCTTCGTTCTATTAATTCAATGCAGCAATACTTCCCATCTCTCTCACTACGAATAGGAATGGAATAGGTCATAAGCTCCGACCCGCTGAATGTTTCCAGGAAGACCCACGTCCAAACCCTCACTACGTTCATATGACACCAGAACTCTACATTAACTCTTCGAAGAAGATATGACTAGATAAAACCCACCCACTGAAAGGACCAAGCTTAATATCATGAATCTATAGCTTCACTCGCCACGAAGTGATTGGATTCCTCTACTGGAGTTAACATCAAGGAGATAACCCAAACAACTTGACTGAGAATGAGTTTACAACATTGAAGTGATAGTAACCGACAAATCATTTTCTAGTTCCGCAACTAGTTTCGAGGCCGCAAGGAATCAAGCAATTATGCTGGAAACTCCTTAGTAACGTTGAAATATTTGACCTAGTGCTATGAGGTTATGAACCACAGAAAGATAATAGTATATAACTACAGCGTCCAAAAGAAGGGTTGAGAGACCGCTGCGTAACAATAAATATCACCGCCTGCAAGAAAGTAACGCGTTCCTGAGACCTAGTCCTATCTATGTTCACCGGACACTTAATCAAGGCCAAACCCAACGCCTACATAGTAACGCCAGGTATGTCGATATTAGCAACCACCAACTCATATCAACCGCCTAGCAAACCATGACACCGTGCCATGGCATAGCAATAAAAACCCTTGAGCTGATATTCCAAACTTATCCTAACCGATATCCAGATCTATTCGCACAAAACATATTCCATTCTCCCCCATAAGCGCCGTCAGCATAAATTCCGAAACATAACACGCCCCCTCTTTCAACCTACTTGTCAGATAGGGTTGGTCCCGGAGTGAGTAGAAGGTCAGTCACAGTCAAGTAGGTAGGTAGAAGGGATAGTATAGGCGTCAATATTCATTGAATCCTGAACCCTCCAACCCTCGAAGGGGGGGCCAACACCCCTTTATATAGCCAGTAGGTCTAATACAGCCACCCCTAGGGTCTATGTGACTATATCACCTGACACTACTACTATAAGCTATCCCAAACCAACCCCTAACGTCCATCATAACCACAAGTATCCAAACGACCAAGGGACAACAACGCATAATCAGCCCGCCAAGTGACACATCCAAACCGCCAAAGTCTCGACATCAGCATACCCAGCCATAGTGCTCTCAACCTCAGTTCTGTTTCAACTTAAGTATGTAGATAATTACTATAGACACTTCACACTACCTTCCTCGCTATCCTACCCAAACCACCTAAAAACCTCCTCAGAAGTAACCCCCCACGTCATTCTATATGATCTCCCAGTCCTCATCGCCAAAAACGGACATAATCCTCCCTCGGTTCCAACTCGGCGATCACAGCATCATAATCCGGGGCCGCCACCCCAAAAAGGATGGGAGGATGGAAGGGTGTGTGGCACCAAGCGCCTCGATGATCTAAGCAGATATTCCCTATGTATATACAAAGTATCTAGACGATCCTAGACTCCCGACTCGTTCATCCCATCATCCCATCCCTCCCGTATCACCATAAGCATCCATCCATCCATCTACTCGCCTACTCGCCTACCTCCCCATATCGTCAGCAAGCAGGTACACGGCACAGCGCAAGGATGCACAGCACAGCACACGTGCAATATACGAAAGGATGCAGATCAGCAATAATCGTCATCACATATTATACCATTCTTCTAACCAACCAATCACATGACATGAAGATATTGCGTATAGCTAGTTACTTACTTACTTAGTCATCATCATCAACTACCATACGCACATGGGAAGCAACGCTTAAGAGTACTACGGGTTTAGAGTATACACTTGTCTACATGTATAGAAGGCTACGAAGACACCGACACGGGTGAGTTAGACGGCGTATCGAAATCTAGTGTTCTAGTATTAAATATCCTGTAACATTTAGTAAATCAGAGGTACAGACCCTGAACAAATCCGTAGGGGCTTTTGAAAACCGAATCAACGAAACAATACTACCGAGATGAGATGACTTCACCTGGCCGTCTTTGGTATCAGAGTCCGTCTATTGGACTAACGCAAATAATATACAGCAAAAAAAGCCCGTCGTGTTCATTGATACCTAGTCTTCTATTTAGGGGAATTCTCGCGAACTGAATCAGACCGCAGTTGTTCCTTATCAATTCAGGATCCGTCGCTAGATCGCGGCATCCCTATAATTATAGCCCTCACATAGACCGCTGATCGCTGCTCGGAGTCGTCTCTAGCTGAAATATCTCGGATGCTCCCGGGTCCTGGCCCTCTATAGGATTTGGAGAGGATTCCATCATGTAATGGGTATAAGGGTGATGCTCACCGTGAGGCAAGCGATCGAGAAAAAGGAGTGGACGGGTTATGAGTATCGGCTCGGGGTCTTGACTAGTGCTCATGCCGAACAGATTGCCTAGCGCCTGTTTTGTGCTACCCTTCAACACATGTATAACGCCAGGATCATTGAAATGGACCATCCAATGTCAAGTCAAGAGTAACCACCTTCAAACGCCATTGATGCCCAAAGGAGAAAATAAATATCGCGATATGGGATTTCGTCGTCTCGTTTGAAGGGTTGAAGTTACGCGTTTGTTACCTATTGATTGGGTCAGCAGAGTTGGTGAGAGGATGATTTGAAACATACCCTGAGGATGCGCCGTGAATAGTCCTGGTTATCGGCAATGCTACCGTCGCTCATGCGTCGGTTCATGACGGGGTCCATTCGCGAATCGGCGATCGACATACCACCGCTGCTACGAGGGGGTTTCCCTCCACTAATAAAGGCATTGACAGCGGCATTCCGGCGGTGCTCCTCCTCTAATTCGGCATTCCTCTTCTTCCGCAGATAGAAAAATGCACCGGCGGCGAGTGCTGTGGCGACAACCACTCCCACTACAACACCGACAGCGATACCGACAACATTTGAACTTCCCTTCTGCTTGTCATCTGAAGGGCTCTCTGAAGCCGCTGGAGCCGTTTCAGCATTGGTTGCTAAAGCCAATTAGTATTATGTTTATGCAGCAAGATAGAAACACGAACCCGATGTCTGAGATGTACTTGTAGAAGTAGAAGAGGACGAAGTAGAAGTGGATGAAGATTTTGGCGGGTCGGCCTCGGCAACGTTCACTTGCACACCAGTGTTATAGACCGTATAGGCACCCAGACCACCACCTGAGAGAGTTGTTAGCAAATGAAGGCGGATTTATAACAATATAAACATACAGGCTTGGGGGTCGAAGCCAGGACAAGGCTCATTGCATTTAGAATCATCGAGCAATGTACTCTTATGAGGCAATTTCGTGCCACAGTAGCATGCTTTCAAATAAGTAGCACCAACAGGCTTTCCCTTGTCACGACAAACAGGAGCACAATAGCCCTGAGCGTTGTATTTGTCGGTGCTGTCCAGCTTCATATCTCCTAGATCGGAAAAGCAGCCAGCGACTGTGTCGGTACCTTGAACTGGCTGCTCTGCGGGTAATTCAACGCCCTTCTTATCGGCCGTGACTGTGAAGGAGGCCAGGGCCAATACGGCCACGGTAGCAATCTGGCGAAGTGACATTGTGGATAGGTGAATGAATGAGACGAAATGGGGAAAAAGAGTTAAATAAACAGTATCAAATTTTTCTGGCGTCGGACCTCGAGTACTCGACCAACTTTTCGGTATAACTGCTCGCTCGACTATGTTTGCGTAGATAATTCTTCGACGTCGAGAATTTGCAAAGTCGGCTGTTACGCGGCGAGAGTCATGGAAACAAACGACACCCTTTAATCGTATCTGATGATTCTTTGCAGTGACGTCGGTCCCCTTTCTTCCTTGGTTAGAATACAAGAGGCAACGCGTCTGGTACACACAAAGGACAATCGAGACCGAAGCGAACGACTTGGACGAAAGGGTCTGTTGTCTATTGTTTAGGTCGACTTCGAATGGAGGGAGGGACTACCGCGGTGTCAAGCGATGGTCGGGATCGGGTAGCCGTCGACGTGGATGAGAATGGGAAGGTATAGGTGTTCTGTATGTCGTCGTGCTAGTCGGTCGACGACTCGTGGTCTTTGTGTTGTGTCGTACCTGTATTCGGCCTTGTTGACGACCTGGAGTGAATGGGCGACGTCGAAGGAAGGATAGCCAAGGGAGTGAAAGTGATAGTGGAAGTAGACTTTGTCGATGTTACGACTGGGGGAGAAAAAAAAAAAAAAGAACGAATTGCCCGGTATGAGCGAAATAGAGAGGGATACGAGGGAGTGTCGGGGGCAGATCTGGTACGAGGGTAAAGGAGTGAATGAGTGGTGTGCGTGTGCGTGTGAATGGATGGGAATGGGGGCTGTCCTCGGGAGGGCGGCTGGGCTGGGCTTGGAAAGGGGAGAGGGATCGCGGCCTGCACAGGCCCTCGTACAGTGCGGGCACGTTGTGAGCTGGACTAGATTGGCGGACAGCGAGCCAATGCTGGGCGAGGACGGCGAGATGAACAGTGGGACGGGAGCGCTGTGAGACGGGCAGAGACGGGGGTTGTATACTGGCTGGGTCTCTGTAAGTAAGTATGGTAGGCTGGTAGGAGGTACCTAAGGTCGTCTGATGGTAGCGATGACACAGTATCGAACACAGTGAGGATGGCACGAGAGGGTACAGACCCGCTATTGTGCTGGGGTGCTGGTGGGGGCAGAGGGGGATGCCGGGGTGGTGAGAGCCATGTGTTGCCTTATTGAGAAAGAGAGGCGAGGGGCGGATTTGCATGGGCGCCGAAAGACGAGCAATGAAGGGGGAGAGGATTTAATCATTGGAAAAAGGAGACCAATACTCTGACCAGTGCTCTGACCAGTACTGAACCTGAAATTCTTACAGTTTCTCTGCCGCCTTTTGCTTCGACATTATCAGGTTCTATGTACATTACCTACCTACAATATCTTGGTATAGTAAAGTGTATACTTTCTTACTACCTACCTACTATGTATGTTTAGTAAATCATCGTTCTTTTAACCTCATACAATGATTTGGCTTGAATGCTACCGGTACAATCGGGACAAATTGTACCTATCAGTATTTCAGTCTACCTACAGTACAAGGTACTTATGCAGCCGCTTAAGTAATCATCGCGCCCCCATGCAAATCGTACCTGTAAGTAGGATTGTACCTGCACTAGGTCACCCTCCATCAGCGTCGAGTTCCTTTTAGCGCCCACCACCTCCCGCACAAAAATGCATACTCAGTATAACTCTTTTGAATTGTTGCCCAGTACCTGCAGCGGTACCTACAGTAGCGCATATACTACCTACCTACCTAAGTAGATGTCAGGTACTGGAATTAAGGTGAGCACTGTACCTACAGTACATCACTTGTGCCTGCAGTTCTGCAGTGGATGGGCGGGCTCAACCTTGGAGCTGCCTAGCAGTGAATGGTGGATAAAATACTTACAGGCACAGGTTTGAGAACCTCCACAGCCAGTACCTGTACCCTGGTTCAGCCTACCTAGGGTACCTAGGCAAGCTCTTGCAGACTCACTCTTGTCCAATTAGGTAGCCACTCAATTAGCACACTGTTACAGGAACATCCAAGGAAGAGCCAATCAGCAGGCTCCGAATTGGCGCTGTCAAAGCTGTTTAGGGGACTATCGGGGCAGCGGGATTACGTACGAACCGCTTCCTGTTCTGGACTTGACTGGCGAGACTGGTGCAGTGGTCTCCATTGTTAAGAGGTACTAGCCGTACTATCAGTGCAGATCATAATTCAAGCTGCCGCATTAAGATTCTTGAACACAACTCCAGCTTACCTCAACTACAACGGCACAATCTACATGGCCAAGTGACAGTTACGAAGTAGTCAGTGTACTTATAAAGCTCAGGTGCCTTATTACTTACCTGAATACTAATAATTTTCTGCTCTAATGAGGCTATCAGGAGATATCTAGATTGTGTGTATTTGGGGCACCGGATCACCTGGGAATAAGTAGGTAGGTACCTACCGCCTACCTTACGGTTGTCAGACAGGTACATGTAGTGGGGGTAGTAGGTCGATACAGCACTGGAGTACTTAGTGTAAACGCCAGTGTCACACTACCTAGGGAGAGGTAACTGTTCTTGGGCAGCTACCAGCTGATCGGTTGCTCTTCAATCAGTTGAGCCAACAACCATCTCAAACATACTTAAGTACTTATGCCTTATCTGTATATGGGCACATACTTACATGTAAGTCAAGATTTGCATAGCTATTGTTGATCATCTCGCATCGCGTTATTCTTTATCTATTCGTTGATTTCGATATGTTACACTAATCGTCTATTTACTATTTTGGCACTTTCACTAGGTACCTAGTATACAAATCAAGTCAGGACCTACCTAGGTATTTAAAGATGTGTACATGTGCTGCTTGCTGCTTCGGAATGCGACCAACAGGAGGCCTACCCAACCCGAAACGCTTGTGCGCTAACCAGCACCGCATCTATCTCTCCACCCATTTGTTTCCAGAAGCAAAACAGGAAGCCCAGGCTGAGTCAAACATGATGTTCCTTTTCTTGTCTCTTGGCTCAGTGCATCCATCATACAGTACCTACTTAGGTATAAGGGCTGGGCATCGTTTGCTCTATCCCTTAACATGTCGCGCGTTGGGGGGGAATTGGCCCGATTATATCCAGCCGGGCGGATTCTACTAGTTCGATATTTACTTACTTGATCCAGACTCAGGGTCTCATCTACAGACACACCGCTCTTACGTGTAGACAAGCAAGTCAGACAAGCGACTGATTCCTAGTAACAAACAACAACATTCAACTTCCATCTACGGCCACTATCGCGGCGTTTCCTTGATATCCGTGTCAACCGCCGGCTGACGAAAATAGGATGACATGGTCCTTCGCGGCTCAAGTGGCTGCTGACGTACATATACACATACACACACACACTGCAGGGGAGCCATTTGGCAACCAGGGGTTAAATTTTTTTCTCTTCCTTCATACCAAAGCCACCCAACTCGGTGTCAAGGTTGCCATTTCTTCGTATCTAGCAATCTACGTACCTGGGTAGCTGCATGGTATCTACCTATCCGAGATTATATCAACGGCACAGCCACCAACGCTCCTATACTGCTGCAGGTGATTCTCGACAACATGTGTTTGCTGGGTATTTGCATGCCTACATTGTCCTGAGCTATTGTCATGTTGGCATTATAACTTTATTCGTAATCGGCTTATGCCGTCTGGGTCGACCGAAGAGTCTTGAATTGGACCTTGACTAGGACGTTTTACTCGTAAGATTGATTTGTACACTTAGTACACACCAGTCTTATCAGGACGCGCGTTACGTATGCCACTAATCATGGGTTTGCAGCGTCAATTCTCATGGCCACTACGTGTATACTCGGCTCTTTTCGCGGATTTCTCAACTTGATGAAGCCTTCCTTTGATCCTTAGTTGCCATGTTGCAAAACAAGCTACCTAATTATACCTTGCGTCCCAGAAGCTTTGCTGTCTTGAAACACCGTTACCTACCTAATTCAATGCATGTTACCTCACGTTGGGACAGCCCGGGAAGGTCGGCTCTAGGATCCCGGTAAATGGCACGTTTATTCGGAATGGGCGCTTTCTACTAAATAAGTATCCATCCCACTAGGCAAAGACTTGCATACTATGTACTTACATAGTAGTGTAGTATACTGGCGTACAGGCATTGTATTTCTATCTGGATACCGACATTCATCATGACTTCACTCCTTTTCAATCATGATATCTTGTAGTCATACGTGTAACAACGGAAACAGACCTCGTAACTATGTACATACCTATGTACCTATGTAAGTACAATTCACTTGGTAAATCCGAAATTTGCCCTCACAGCATCCATCACGATCGAGACCTTCTTGCTTCATTTTGACGTTCTCCACTGGAACCCGAAACATGGCGGAGTTCTTGGCAAGCCACCCAAGCCTTCGGTCTGCACTCTAGTATTTAGGCCCTTGGCGTTGCTGTCTTGCCTTTAGCCACAACTACAGGAGGAGTACTTCCGCTCTGCTTCCACGGCGGCCGAAATGCATTGCAGTACCTGAATGCATGCACTGTAAAATAACTACTTAGTACCTAGACGCATGTAGCTACGTGCGTTTAATTCTTTGTATCTATCTCCTAAAGGTCGGGGACTATCGTTGCCAGCAACAACGTCCTTGATAACGGACAGCACAACACAATTTCACAACAACAAAACAAAGACATATGAGAGATAATCGAAAACGCGCTGAGCATGACACGGACCACCAAGATGGGTTAGGTTCCCTGGACAATGGTCACAAACCTGTCTGGTAAACCAACAACAGCACGCACGCACCACCACCAAACTTGAACCAAGCCAGAGCAAATATGCATGCGTTGGCAGTGGATGAAATCCGGGGTGCATCACGGAGGCAATCCCGACGCCCTGAAGCCTCGGTGTACGAGATAACCGCTGGAGATCATACTATAGTCTAGAGTACGGCCGCAAGGAAGACCGGATGCGGGTACTCGATGCTCTATATTCCGTCGTCTGAACCTGTGTATGCGATCAAACGAGTCAGCGTTTTACACCCGGCAGAGTTCATGACTTTGTTGTCAGCGACGAACCTGGGTTCTTGTCGGGTTGAACTGAGTAGAATTAATGACACTCGGAAAGATATTAGTACAGCGTACATTTGTTCGCATTACTATGTGGTTTTACCGATGGCATGGTGGAATGAGTTTCTGACTAGCTAGGAAGCTTTCACTTTCACATCGCCATAGGTCAACTTCAATCCGTGACGGCTGCAGTCACCGCGCTGTAGGGTATAGTCGTTGTTTTTAGAGACATTACGCTACTCGCGAATAGTTAGGAGCCTGGAAGTATGGCCACCGCAACCTGCCTGAGTAACAGCTTCCTGTTCACTCTCCCTAGCGAGGATTCGATACAGGATCCAATCGGGCTATGGGAAATACTCATCCCGATCATAGGTGTTTCTCATTTTGATTTGGCGGTGTGGAAATTCGAATAGAGACGTCCGTGGGTTAAAGCATCGACAACTAAGGCCAAGCTTGCTACGGCCGCGCAACCGGGATCTTTGTGGTAGGCATCTCCCTCAGTAGGTGTTGCGGTATGCATCTAAGCTATGTCAATAGCTCAAATCGAACCAAGGTGTTGTTATAGGGCTCACTAGCTACTGGCCGGAAATACATTTCCGCACTGCGACATCTCAGGGAACTACGTAGAGAAGTATGAAATAGAAGTGCGTGAACGGATGTGAGAGGGTGAAGCTGAGATTCTACCTATCGCGTTCTCTGGTGATAACCTTACTTTTCTGATCATGTACGCCCCTGTCCTTCGTTGCCGTGACCCCGATATCACACCCTCTATATCCCCTCTTTTGTGTTCAACCAGATGTTGAGCATTAGGTCCAGCCAGTTTCGAAAACAGTTAAAAGGAACCAACACTCACAACTCAATGCCCATAAACCGGGCTTCTCAACAGGTACATGACTAATCGTCGGTTCAGGCCTGCGTCTCCTTCTGAACAGCTGTTGTGGTGCATCCAAAGGGGTATCACAAGCTAATTATCCTAGTTACCATCTACTACTATTTGTTCTACTCTGCACCAATCAAAATTTCCCCGCGCGCATTCCTGTAGCATAAGTATACCAGACCGATCGAATCATAACACTGCACTATGTAAGCAATGCGCCCGGAAATGAAACAGATACGTGTTACGACGGGATCTCTGTGCTTACTTGGGGACCGGACCGGTGGTACGATCATACATACCGCTGTCCGTGCCCGAAGGATCTGTCTGCAAGATTGGCCCCTTCACGGATACACCGGATTGAGGGATGGTTGTACGGCAGCTTTTGCCGGCGAGGTCGACAATATCGAGAAAGGCGTCCTTCGTTGCACGTGAGGAGTACAGCGGACTGGGCGGTGATCTCTGGGATGGCCATCGGCGTGTTGAGCTGCTGTTCATAAGGGTGGGCATGGCCTTATAAATGACTGCCTGGCGCCGTCTCCTCATCCGAGAACTCGAGCTGGTTCTGGTGGAAAAATTGACTTGCCGGTGCGCGGCTCGAAATGTGACTGCGGAAGCCGAAGTTAGCGTCTTCATTTGTGTAACAACTCCGTGCCTGCATTTTTCTTCAATGAAGGAATCGTTGAAGCCTACGATGTGAAATTTGCGTTGGCGTTTTCTGATATAAAGCAGGGATATCGTCTATTGGTCAAATACAGGTATGCGCGACGGTGCGTTTCGAAGCTGAGACAGCTGTACTCTCATTCTTGTAGACGCCTACGGCGTTTTCGACTGAGATGAACGGTTGCCGAAAAGTCTGAGAAGGAAGTTCTCTTCAGAAACGTGCGGACTGATTAGTCTGCGCTCGATTAGCTCTGTGCCTTCGTACACAAGCTGGACGATGAGTTCTGGTCACGGCTCGCCTCCGAGTTGGTCACATACTGTGTCGAGGATTTGTGTGCGCGCTCATTATCGTCGCCTTGTCAAGCGTCCCGCTTGGACTGGCGCTGGCGTATTATATCAACTGGCCACCTTGTCTTCCAGCGTCATGCGCTGCAGCAGGTCATTGACTTGCTCGTTCGTGGACGTGGGAGGTTGTGGTATACGGGCGAAGTAGCATTTGTGGAAACATTCTGACGACCAATTCTCGTTATTGTATGCTGAGCCGAGAGATTCCATGGCTGCCACTATGTTTCTACAGGGTCCAAAGCTTAATTGTTAATTGGATTACGGGGAAGAGAGAATAGGGCAGATATATAGCAACACCCTGAAGGGCCGTTATTGCACAGGTAACCTATGAGTATTTGCTCGCTACAATGTAAGTAAGATAGTGGAAATTCCCCTTCTCGTAGGATATTCGGGTATGTACTCGCTCGACATGCGATCTCGCCTGGGTTATATACAGATGATAGAAGACTTGGCTTCAAATCTTGCTTCGCGGGCCTCCGTCGAGAAACTTGATGGGTACCGGGACATGTACAGCACGAAGCCATTCCGCGAATCCTTTGCCTAGAGAGTCTAACTTAACAGAACTGCTCACGCCTCTACCCAGGGCACCGTAGACGACGAAGTGCACAGCTCTTATCTTTGGAAACTCAACACGCTCAACGTGGAACCAATCCTGCCAATCGTCACCCATCAGCTCCTTCAGTCTGTCCCTCGTCAAGAAGCTTCGCAGCCACTCCCATACCTCGGCATTGTCGTATATCTTACGCGGCGTGAACCCAACGTTCACATTGGCGCCCTTATCCCCTGATCGCGCGAGGATAACGTCGCCGAATGATATGCTTCTTGACGGCCCGAACGAAGAAAGCGCACGGGGCGAGACTGGGTCGTAGTTCGCGCGTGGCGCTAAATTTTCCGTGATACGCGGTGGACCGACGACGAGGCGGTCCTCAACTTCCCCTCCACCTCCTATAATATTGATGGACTCTTCTATCCGATCCTGGGCTACCAGGGCAGGGAAGTAAGCAAGAAACGGAATTGGCATGGAAATCGTTCGCGTGTCTAGCGTGCAGTTGAGGCCGGGGAAATGTTGCACTGGCGAAGAGTAAGGAACTTGTTGATAAAATCGCGGAAAGGGGGATGTCACTCACTGAAAATATACCACATTGCTCGGTGAACGGCTCGCACAGTCTCGGCACGCTGTGCTTGTACGACTATACGTAAGTATGTGGTAGCTTCTAGCTGGGACCGCGGATTCTCTTGCGGGACACCGACACGCTGAAAATCAAGCAGGTCGATATCCTTCATCACTCCCCATTCTTCTAGCTGTGTTCGCATCTGAGCTTCTTGGAGGTCATATTTGTGCTTCGTGGCGTACCCTGTCGCGTTGAGGGTGACCTCGCCTTGCCATCCACCACGGTAAAATACTGCCAATTTCGTTGTTGGTGGAGGTGGATAGCCCTTTGCGCCAGATACGTGAACACAGTTAGGACGGATTTGGCGGACTGACACATTAGAGATATCTGCCTTAACGTCGCTGTTCAGATATATGTTGCCTTGCAGCTCATACAACAGCTGACATTTTACAACCTCCTCGGTGACGAACCCGTTTAGCGCCTCATGTTTTGTTATGACAGACTCTCCATTCTCCGCAATCTCGGCAATAGGGCAGCCTAGATGTAGCAGTTGCTGAACGGTGTATTGGTCAAAGCCGGCGAAATTCCCCCCAGTTCCGTATGTAGAGCATTCAATCAAATGGCCGGCGACCAGCGCCCCTGCTAACTTGTCGAAATCGTCGTCTTTCCAGCCGTACCACCATTGCGCTGCACCCATGACGGGTGATGCATCGGCAACTCGGCCGCAGATGATAATGTCGGCACCCTTTTCGAGTCCACGTCGAATTGCACGACATCCCAGGTACGCGTTAGCGACTATGATTTTCTTATGCGGGTCATGTAGGAAGTTGTATGTATCCTTGGCTAGTTTGACTTGGTCGTTCGTCGCATCGAAATGCGGGAGCTGGCCGTTGCTATCAGGCTTGAGGATATCATGAACGATAGGCAACAGATCGTCTCCCTCGACATAGGCGACTTTGAGGTTGTACCCCTTTTCGCGAACCGTCTTGTGAGTAACCTCGGCTAGACCTTTAGGGTTTAGGCCGCCACCATTTATTACCACTTTGATTCTCTTCTCGTTGATAACCTTGAGTGATAACTGAAGGCCTTCGTACGCTGAGGGTACGTAGCCTGGATGCCCACCCCTGGCATATGCTTCGGCGTAATGCGCTAAGTTTGCCTCTGCTAGGTAGTCACCGGTGATTACATCGACAGGACCAGCAGTCGCCTGTGCGAGCATCAGGTCGCCCGGGTCGGGCGTGGCACCAGAGCAGTTGGCGATGCGGATGGGTCGTCGTACTGGAGCCATGGAGCTATAACTGTTTAGGGGAGATTGGATAAGGTACGGACAACCTAGAACTGAATGTTAACCTCGCAAACTGGATACTTTATACATATTTATATGATCGCAGCCATGTATTCACTGTTACCCACTGATACAATGTTTCCCCGGATGTAACTTCACCGCACCCCGCGCGAATGCCCACAACCTGGTTCACAAAACTTGGGGTATTGATATCATGTTACTGTGTTTCTCCGCACTACGAAAATCCCAACCTAGGTTTGCAGGGATGAGAAGCCTCGGTTGACGATTATCTTGATTGAGTCACTAGAGTTAGTATTACTGCTGTGCCTCTAAGCACGACATTCCTAATGTTGCACATCAGATCTAACTGAGATATATTATATCTCACAGTGAAACACTACGTAACCTTTGTGCCGATAGCTCTATCAAATAGCCAATATCCTGTCTACTTCATATGATCTCATTCACGCCCATCTCACATCAATATTCACTGTACCCTTAATCGCACTTCGTGTCCTCATCCCGCAACGCGACACAGCCTCCCATTCTGCGAATTAGGGTACCCATCGACAGCTTGTACTTCCCAAGCTTCACTGCCGACGGTCGTGGGAGCCCAGAATACGCCTGTCGGATCCCACTTTCGCTTGATCTCTAGCAACCTCTCGTAATTCGCGCCGTAGAAAGCTTGCTGCCAGTTCGGCTCGCCGGGGTCACCCTCGTTCATATATGAGCCTGCACCAGGCGACACATCGCGGAGCAGAGACATGTATCCTTGCATTAAGTTGTTTCTGTCGATCGCTTGTTGTGCCGTGAGCCCGTCGGGCTGCACATCCATCAGCATTGCGTGCATGCGATTCTTCCTCCAGGCTGGTATGACTGCGCTATTGCTGCCTGGCCACTGTATACACTCGGAATCAGCTAATGATATCCCGAACATGGCTGCCGAGTATCCCAGATGAATAGAACATTTCTAAGGCATTGTATTCATATGAAAGAAAACGTAGATTGATGAGATATCAATGGTTATAGTTACTTACTCCCGCCACCTCCTCAGTCGGAGACGTTAAGGTACCGTGGAAGTAGAAGTCATTCTCAAAGCCTCCCTCGACAGCTTTCCGGATGGCTTTCATGGTTTGATTGAAGAGGTCGTCATCCTCCCAGTTCTCCCGGGGTAATAGACGAGATCTGTATCTGGTGTTGACTGGTCTATCGCCTGTTCCGCCGCGCGGAGAACCATACTGCAACACTCGGAATCAGTAATTACTTTTATGAACGTATCATCGTATCAGACGAAAATCTGACGTATAACATAGCCGCTATCAAGGGCGTGATGTTTTGAAGCAATACTGACTGGTCTCGCTGTCCCTATCGTAGGATTTGATATGCTGATGCCAACTCTTGTCAAAGTGTCGTACAACGGCTGCATAAAATTGTGAGCTACGGTGGACGCCATCCCGGGAAATGAGCTGCTTGTGGTGAACCGATAGGTGTTGTTCTCCATCGGATAGATGTAGCTGAAGCCGTAACCGCCGGCGTCGAGAACATCCGCAGCGAACCGGTAATACGCGGCGACACCCTGCCAGAACGTCTCGACATCGCGTACAGTGCCTGTATTGGAGACCGTAAGACTAAGTGATGACGACGATATGCTGATAGGCGGATACGCTTTCATGACTGCCGAGATGAGAATCCCGTAGGTTGCTGCTGGCTTGTCAGTAGCTGGTTTTCAAGTCATCCTGCGGTCCAGTTGAATTACCTCCGCCTCCTCCACGCATCGCCCAGAACAAGTCTGTATTCGTGAAAGGGTCAGCAGTCACTAGATTGCCGTCGGCCGTGACCACCTCGAGCGATAGAGCCTGATCAGCGCCTAACCCGAATGTCGAAGTAACGGTGCTGTGTCCGCCAGTGCTTAGCCATCCACCAGTTCCGCCAACGGTGTTGCACCCGGCTGCGACAACGCTGATGTTGTTGGCTGCCATGAGATTGGAGACTTCCCAGGCTTCAACGCCCGATCCGATCCGGACTGCCATCCCACTGTACTCGCCTATCTGATAAGAAGGAATGAACTCGGTACGCTTCAACCAGTGTGTCCAGACACTAAGCGACCCTGCTCCCACTGATCTTCCTCCAAAGTCATGTCCTGTGTTCCTGTCCAATAACACTGATCAGTTTCAGGGATAGCTTTCTGATGATACCGAACGTACTTGATCACTAAGCGAATGTTCTTCTCTCTTGCAAAGTTCACGGCACCCTGAACGTGTTTGGCAGACGTAGCGTTGACGACGTATTCGGGGAAACCTCCTCGGGTACAATTCCCAGCAGGGGTAAGAGTAGCCACACAAGAACTTCCTTGAGTCCATTGCGCTAACTCCGTAAGGGGATCGTCGAGCCAGAATCGAGTTGACGAGGTACCACTGACCAGGAACTGGCATCGGGTCTGGTCGAAGTCAGGACCAGGGTAGCAGGCAGAACCTGCGGGCTTCGGCTTCAGTAGAACGCCATCTATAGACTCGTTCAGCCTCGCCCATTCACTTTCAGATGGCCATGTGGTGTCTCCGGGAAAGACCTTGCATTCTGGGTCGGCACGAATTGAGGGTCTAGCTGTAGTACGACTGGTCCCTTCATATGGTGTTGCGCCGTTCGCTCTACTTGCGAGGAAGAGAAGATAGAGAACAAAAAGGTGATGCCGTGTACGCATATCTGACTGAAAATGAAGATATTACTTGAGCTTGCTGGTTGGCTGACTACTTCCAGGGGGTTCACGGTCGACGCCCTCATCTTGACGGTAGAGCGTTGCGAGCTCTTGTAGTTTTCACAAGTAGCTGGGCACCGCGGTTCCTTCGACTAGCTGAAAGTCGGATCGTAGAATACTGCAGCTTGGCCATTATTATTCATGAATTGGAAATGTTCTAGAAAACGATTCTCGGCCTCCCAACAATTTGTCCCAACGGCGAAGAAAGACATTACGGAATTCCTTGTCAGTGTAGTCGCGATGATAAGCGCTCTGGGGATGGTAGCATCGACGTAACTCCATTGCATTTTATTGTCCGAATCTCGACCGTGGGTTTGGGCCGGGCCATGTTCCCGGAGTGTCGCCTTCTCAGTTTGTTGTTGGAAGCCAATGAAAGTCTGCAGTCCCTTAAGCTAAACAGAGCAGCGCAAGACAGACTACCAACGAGATGTTGATGTAAGCTACCTGATAGAGGCAATGATCTTCAAGGCTGGACATTGGAGATGGATTGGTAATCGTTTTGTTCATCCCGTGATGCCGTCTCATGGGGTAGACAGACGATAAGGCACGGTGCAATCCCGAACAAGGTCAGGTGCCTTTTGTGGCTCTGATTCCAGTATTAGTGCTACCTAACTGAATAGAATAGAGAAGTCTATGCGTTGGTAGGACGTGAGAAACATTTAGGAACACTACCTACTCATTCTACTTTCTTAAGTGTCAGCCAACAAGTGCCTTCATTCAGAAGACACACTTCGAGCACCGAATTGATTGGCCATAGGCTCAGATATAGATTGAGTTTTATTTCACATATCTAGTTGTTAACAGGCAAGGCAGCTGAATGCGCCAAGTATACCCGTGATGCCACATAATGCAAACACTACACTTCAGCTAAACTATACCGGCTTAGACAACAACCAGGCCGCAATGTACTAGTAGTACAGACTGAGCCGTAAAATGAATAGATCTTACTGGTAATAGGTTCCTTCTACTTGATCGCTTATAACTTCGCAATAGCACCCAGTTTCTTGTGCTTCTCTTTCTCTTTCTCTACTAGAGACCACGCAATCTCTCCCAGAGGTTTGAATGACTGAGCATACGCTTGGGCTTCGGCGCTGCTCGCCTGCCGTGTCGCATATCGTGCGGCGATTCCCTGACAAATGGCCGAGTTCCGGAAAACACCAAATGCTAAAGCCCAGTGCATTTCGGGCCGAGGGTCCCATCCCGCAGTCTCTTTATACCACATTAGGATCACATCAGGTGTAGGAAGACCAGGCGTCGCTCCAGGCCGGAACGCATCTGCTGTGCGATTGTATGAACCAGCTGCATCCTGCGTATAATACGGCGTGAGAAGGTTTGCGAGATCCGACAGCGGATGGCCAACAGTGCTCATTTCCCAGTCTAGGATCCCGATGACCCGCGGTTCTGTCTTATGGAAGACCAAGTTGTCGAGTTTGAAGTCGCCGTGGACCAGCGTTGCACGTTGTTGCGGCTGGTGGCTCTTGTCTGCGAAGAACTGCAGCATCTCATCAAAGTGTGGAAGCTGGCCTACGGGCTCTTTAGTGTCAACGTCAACAGCCTTTGATTGAGCGGTACATATCTGCTTCCACGTCGCTAGCTGGCGGTCGTAGAAGCCCTCACTCTTGCCGTAAGACTCCAGTCCGTGATTTCGGAAGTCTACATTATGGAACTTGGCCAATGTCTGGACTGCAGCACGCCACAGACTTGTCCGCTCTTCGGCCGAGACATTAGGCACGGATAGGTCCTCGAAGATGCGGCCGTCTAGGAATTCCATGACATAAAATGGTGTGCCTATCACTGTTTCATCCTCGCAGAGACAGTACGCTCTAGGTACGGGTACGTCTGTAGGACCAAGCGCGGCGATGATGCGGTGTTCGCGCTCGACCTTGTGGGCAGCCTTTGACAGCAGCTTTCCCGGAGGCTTCTTGCGCATTACATATTTCTTGTTGTCCGCCGAGGTCAATTGATATGTCGGGTTCGACTGCCCAAAGCCGAATTGTTTCACATCCAACGGCGCCTTGATCTCGGGGACATGTCGAGCCAGGTATTTTTCCAGCGCCTTGACGTCAATCGGATGTCTCACACGTCCTGCCATGTTGTCCGTATGGCACCGCCTCGCTCATACGTGTGAGAATTGTGGCAAATAAGACACTCCAGCAACGCCGTGTACACGCTTGATGATGATGCACGCTTTGTAGACCAGAAAACCGAGTGACCGAGTGAGAGCAGGTATGGCGTTATCACATCTCGATGTTTTGAGTTGAAACAAGAGCCACAGATGTCGTGGCCAGCAGTCAAACCCTGTCTGTATTGTACACATAGGTACAAATAGGTATCATCATGTAGGCTGGAGAGCGGGAGCCGAGGCACAAAGATGACAGACGGACACTAACGAAGAGACTCGGCTTCTCCGTGCGTTTTTGGAATGCGGGGCTAGCGTGGCCTGACCCTTGCTAATGCTGGGATCCCCGTGCCGACGCGGTCAGTACTTCGTAAGTAGAGTAAGCCGTCTTTGATCTGACAGGAGCCTCTTCTCTTGTCCGAGGCGGTCGTGTTGGGATGACTTCACATCGTTGCCTTGGAAGCGTGTATCGATCTCTTCGTGTACGGTATTCTCGGAGCTATGATGGACTCTGTATCGTGTCGGTATTGGTTGAAATCGAGTGTGAGCAAAGGACCCTAGGGTACTTACTTAGGTGCCTACTCGCCTAACTAAGATTGTTAGAGTGGTTGTGATAGGTGAATGAATGAATCCCAGCCACCGCTACTGTGGGCAGAGTGTGTGGGTGAGGGACCCAACCGGTTCGGCTCTACCCAAGGTTGGGCAGCTTTAAGGTCACAATCGTTATTACAGTAAACATTTACCTCCAGGTTCATTTCTAAGTGACCATGAACTTCGAGCTGCCCTCTGATTTACAAGAGTATATCGCCAGATTAGACAGCTTCGTAGCCGCGCAGATCCTGCCGCTGCAGCACCAGGACGACAATAACCGCTTCTTCGACCACCGCCGCGAACCCTCGCGGACACAGTGGAATAACGGCGGCCTTCCCACGCCAGAATGGGAGGCCATTCTCGCTCAGGCCCGTCGTAAGGCGGACGAAGCTGGTTTCTATCGCTTCCCGCTCCCCAAAGAACACGGTGGCCATGGCCACAAAGACACACACTTGTGGATGTGCGCGTTGCGCTATCACATGGCTTCTCACCCCGTCTATGGCGGCGGCCTGGGTCTCGCCAATGACCTGCAGAACGAGCACAGCGTGGTAGGCAACTTCCCGGATTTCTTGATGCTCTATCATTGGGGCAGCCCGCAGCAAAAGGCCGAATTAATCCCGGCGCGCCTCGCAGGTAACTTCCGGATGACTTTTGGTTTGACTGAGATTCGCCACGGCACCGATGCTACCTATATGGACACGCGTGCCTCCGAGTGCATCCTCCCAGATGGCCGAAAGGGCTACAGGATCCGAGGAAACAAGAAATGGCAGACGGGCGCGCATTCAGCGACTCACTTTTTGATCTTTGCTCGCACGTCTGACCACACCGGATCATCCCGCGGCATCACGGCTTTTATAGTGCCCCGTGATACCCCAGGCATTACGATCAAATCATTCGAGTACACTCTCAACATGCCTACGGACCACGCGACGCTCAATATCAATGATGTACTAGTACCCGCGTCTGCCATTCTCGGGCCGCTCGACAACGGTCTTGCAATTGCACAGACATTTACACACGAGAACCGAATCCGGCAGGCAGCCAGCTCGTGCGGGGCAGCAAAGTTCTGCATTGACCGCTCGATTAACTATGCCCGCGACCGCGTCGTCTTTGGGAAGCCACTGTCTGTAAATCAGGCCATTCAGTGGCCACTCGTCGAGCTTTCGACGCAAGTCGAGATGTTGCGTCTTTTGATCCTTCGAACAGCGACAGAGATGGACACCGTACAGCGGAAATATGAGGGCAACACGCAGATGCCGCCGTGGATTGCCATCGAGAAGAAGTTAGGGCACAAGATTAGCATGTGCAACTACTATGCCAACAGACTTGCCACGCAAGCTGCTGACAATGCCATCCAGGTCCATGGGGGCAACGGATATAGTCGTCATCAGCCTTTCGAACATATCTGGAGGCACTTCCGCAGATACAGAATCACTGAAGGTAGCGAAGAGGTGCAGATGAGGAAGGTAGCAGGTTACTTGTTTGGGTACAAGAACACTGGACTGGACGAGAAAGATCTAGGAAAAGCTGGGCATGGCACGCCTAAGCTATGATTTATGAACACGATGTTATAACTAGGGGTACTAATCACCACTACCCCATATACCCTACTGAAGATTCTCACAGAGATAAAAAATCTAGCGACAAGTAGATCATGCAATAATTATGGAAACCAGATGATGAGCGGCCGAGTATAGCATCCTCTGGTTCGGCCTTAAGCAGGGTGTAACTATTGTGGATTGAGTAGAGACAATAACAAGATATCTGACAAGGGAGTCAGAGCGGTTAGCAACTTATGCTGAAATGAGCCTACTAGCAAGGAGGCAGATGCGAGCTCAATTCATTATTACACAAGTTTGCCTGACTATGAAGTCGCTTCTCTTTACATTGGATTGTTGTTGGCCTTGTGCGATCTATGAATGACGTAGTTGTCGCGAGCAAGTTAGAAGCACCAATAAGTGAGTAAAGTGTTTAAATACATATCTGACCGGATTCGGGTAAGCAAGAACCTAGATACCCAGTATATGTAGAATGGGATATGTTTGTCTTCTCAACTTTTTGCTGTGACCTTGGAGATTATAACTTTGTCTAACGATCGGAGTTCGTTGTTACAGGTTATGCTCCATGAAACCCTAATTTACTTCTTCAGAAAACCGAGTAACAAATCCGACAATGGGCTTGGAGACATCGCCTGTGAGATCGAGTCGCCGTCCTCGCGACCATTCTAATGAGCGCCGCCACACGCGACACAGCGCTAGCCGACCCTCGCACCGCGACGACTTCGATAACCGAGATGGAAGAAAGAGAGACCGGTCTCGCGAGCGATCTAGAGGCAGGTCTACAGATACAAGGCGCCGCAGACGGTCCAGATCCCCTCGCGATTCCAGCAGGCGTCGGTCGCGTTCTCGAGAACGTCGGCCGGAAAGAGAGAGGCAGCACAGAAGAAAAAAATCACACGATTATGACAGACACGACGACAGAAGCTACAGGGGCCGTCGAGAAGGCGACGGTGGACGTGACTCTGAGGACCAAGACAACAGTGGCAAACAAGTCATAAGGCGTAACGGCCCATTGCCTTCTCAGACTGACTCCTTTGCCCTGACCAACGGGGAGGAGCCTCCTAAGCCTAAAGAAAAGCCGAATTTTGGAAATTCTGGCACTCTCGCTGCTGCATCAAATTCAGTCACACAGGCAGACGGTTCCACGACTGTATTGAAATACCACGAACCCCCAGAGGCACGCAAGCCTTCGCCAAAGGACCAATGGAAGTTGTTTGTTTTCAAAGGGGAGGATATTATCGACACTGTCCCACTTAGCAATCGTAGTTGCTGGCTAGTTGGAAGGGACACAGCTGTAGTTGACATGATGGCCGAACACCCCAGCGTGAGCAAGCAGCATGCTGTGATCCAATTCCGCTACATCGAAAAACGCAACGAATACGGCGACAAGCTTGGAAAAGTCAAGCCGTACCTTATTGATCTTGAGAGTGCCAATGGTACATCACTCAATTCCAAAAAGGTACCACAAAGTCGGTATCTGGAGCTTCGAGATAAGGACATGATCCAGTTTGGTCAAAGCACCAGGGAATACGTCTTGATGCTTGCGCCGAAGGACTAAGGCTAAACTAAACGTATAGTTGAAGCATCACTATTCTCATCACGCCATCTTGACGTTGTATATGCCTAGATGCAACACACCAACTCGTATTTTTTTTTGGGAACATATTCACAGGCTGGAAGTCTCGCCGTTCTTCTAGTATCGGTATATGCTCTGTAGAGCGCAGGCTCCTTGATCGGGAAGCCGGAACGAGGCTCCAGCATCTCGTCAACTCAACATCCTTATCCACCGAAGGAATCGGCTTCACAAAGAACGAGGCTATCATCGGTATGACTCAGTGGGGCAGTGTCTCATTTCTCGCCAGTTGAGGATTCTAATTGCCTGGAATACTCCTTTACGTCTGTTGCTTTACAGTACCGCACCTATTTCGGGGCGGTTACTCAAGGATAACCACAAATACATAGCCCTCTAGTGCGAATATCGGCGAGCTGGGACGTGGCCCTATACTATGAGCAGGGTCAAAAGTTTGTGATGGTGTCTGAATGTTTAGTGGGTGGTGACACTCAGTTACATTGGTAACGTCCCACCGTGCACCACCCCCACGTCCAACATGTGACAAAGGATGAGTTCAACAGTTCCTGCATATATGCATCCAACACACGGATAACGCACGGTTGCGCGCGGCGACGAACTAAGGCAACGGTTGGTTAGCGGGCCTCCCTGCTAACCGCCGCCGAATCTTGGGTGCTGTGCATCAACCACACCTCGACGGAGATAGTGCAAACGACGAGCAGGGCACCGCTAGAATATCCCGGTTAGCTTTGTGAATGAACGGCAAGCGAAGGGAATCCCTATTAGTCACACGGACGAGTCCGAGATATAGTGGTGGGGTGATGCCAGCGCGCGAAACATACAGTACAGTACTTCCCTGGAAGCGAGGTGAACCCGTTTTTTCCCTGTGAAAAGTGATGTGTAACCTATATCGCATTGCTAATAATACGAATAAAGATGGGGACTTGACAAATAGTGAATCAGTAGAGACCCAAAAGTACATCACAGGTCTTGATCGAGTTCGTGGCTCAAAGAAGCTGTCATTTTCGCCGTTTCCTAACACAAGGTGAGAAGAGCAAGGAATATCGCGGTTGATATTGGCACTGAAGATCAATGCAGCCTAATGAGATCTGGCAGGAACAGTCACCGACCGGGCTGCATCTGACGCATAGTACCAGGATTCCCCGGCATTTCTCGCATGCCAATGACGCCGTTTGTCAGCGGACGCTAGCAAGCCTTGCTGCCGCTTCATGCATCCAAGACAACGATGGCTGTGCAGCGACTGTGTAGGTAACTAGATATTAACCTACCTACCTAGGTAAACTAATATGTAACGTCTGAAGTAGGGACTGTACTCATGCCGGATACGGCAAACTTCTTACCGAGATCGAGAGCGGGATGGGCTGCGCGTTCAACGAAAGACGTGCTTTAGATCTCTGTTGTGCCACGAACTACGCGCGTCTAGAACCCTCAAGTGATATATGACATTTCCCTCGCTTTTACGTTCCGGTGATATGATGCACAAAGAACCTGAACCATCTTGCCGCAGCCGCTATCGCTTAGGACCATCCGCCAGTGGTCCCGCGAACAAAAACAGGAGCGCGTGTGTCTCTGCTGAGTTCAGCCAACCTCGCACAAAACGTCTTGACAAGCTACTATTTGGGCAGCTCAAAGTGCTTACAGGAGGTATGCAACACAACGGCTGAACCACATTAGCGGGAGCCCTCCAACGACGAGCCTGGTAGATGGATGGTAAGTTACATTTAGCACATACATCAACATGTATACATGCTACTTAGACTTAATCGGGGGTTTGATTTCATCCGACTTCCTTGAAATCGGTCTTGGAAGATATACCGATGCCAATTTTTATGGCTTTCTGTCTTTCTCTGTCGCTCGCCCGACACCCATTCGGCATACGTCGCGAGTTCAGACCTCGTATGTCTTAGTCTTCACAACCCACACTTCATGTCGGTTGAAGTCGGACTCGATTAACTTGGCGAACGGGGTTTACGGAGACTCAGAGCTCTCATCACCGCGATTCACGGATCACGATATATGTGAATTTCACATGTTTGATGTATCACGACGATGGGATTGGCTAGCTGCTTTATCCCATATGTGAAAATACCATGCATGAGTTTGGGAACGAACGGCAGGCTTCGGCATTTCGTGCAGAGAATGTGGTGGGTTAATAGTATCACTTTCATCTACCATCACAACCACCCACACTCTCAACTCATCACCGCCACAGCCATGACGTCGTGCAACGCAACGGTCTCTGAGGATACCCCCGGATTCAGTTACATCGTGACTATACTGAACTGAGCGCTCTAAGCACTGACCTAGAGTAAGTACATGTATGTAGGTGTCTAGGTACTACGAGCGGAGCCCGGGTGTCTAGTATGCTTGGAGCAGGTGAGTAAGCAAGTTGGTGTTTCACTTCGCGAAAGGTGGCATTGCTTATATTGGAGCTACCCAGGTACTGCGGCCTATATTTTAATTGATGGAGGTGGGCCGCCTGATGGTGGCGTGCCTCGTGTTGTGTGACAACGGTAAGAGAAAAAAAAACGGGCGACCGAAAAGCGACATATTCTCTGATCCAGGTACATACATCTATTTCAGGCACTGTCTGTAGGGATTGTAAGTACTCATTAACACTCCTTTTGTGTCGTTATCTTATGCCAAGTCCCTTTGAGACACTACCTATGTTTAGAGGCAACCAATTCCCAACTTCGAATATCTCGTACGCAGCAAGCTACTGTATTATGTAGTCGCGGAGTTGCGTCGATGATGCATCCTGTGTCTTTCCTCACTATCGGCGCCCCTGCATATCAACTGCCGGTCGTGCTTTAGTATGCTGTGTGTAGCCTGTAGCATCTTTAGTGAGCTGCTCAGGTTCTGTGCCTTGGATTTGAACTGGTGGATCTCGGTCGGGTAAGGGATGTATGTAAGCGCATGGATGGTCCCGAGGGGCATCGTGATCCTGGCTAGCCGGATCGCGTTAAGACCGCTGCCTACCCGGTGGCTCAGCTGCCGTGCCCTCCCTCCCAGACTCCTCCCAGATCCCTCCCCTCTTCAATGTCGCTGCATCACCGGGGCATGGCAGGCTGGGCCACAGGAGGCGGACCGGGGGGCAGACGACGATGCAGGGTATCATGTCCTCTCCACTCCCATGTCCACTCCCCACCATGGCCAAAATCCCCCGTGACGCAGTGCTTCTTTGACGTCCAAGTGCCCACACACCGTCGCCGCTGCGCGCTCTGTGGTACGTACGCGCTGTCTCTCCGCTTGATGTGACATGTTTTCAATCCCACCCAGCTGTTGCTGCCTCTACTCCGTGCTGGGAATTCATGACTGCTCTGTCAAGTGAATCATCGAGGCTGGTGTCTCGTTTCTCTCGTGCCTCTGGCTTCTCCAGTCCCTCCAGACGCTCTAGTCTCTCCCGCTCGGCTCGTTTATTCACGGCCTATGGATCGCCCGCCTTTGCGCTCGTTCGAACACTCTCGTAGCCGTACATCCGGTTGATTAGATCACTACGCCTACCTTCGCCCTCTGTTATTAGACATACTGCCTTTGCATTACGACTCCGTGTCTTGGGCTTGCGCGCCTCCTCGCCTAGTCCCTGCGTCACAACGTTGCAACGCAGACCTGCTGGCTGTAGATCCTAGTTCGAATATAATAGTAGGGTGGCCACCTCGTAGATGGCTACCTATGGTCACGATATTGGCACCTGCTCCTTTAAATCCCCAAGACTGACGTGAACGCGAGAGCTAGGCCGTCTTGCGCTCTTCGCCCACAGATAAGCATGGTAGGCTCCGTCCCATGGCGACGTACACTCCTTTTAACTTCGTTTACTACATCGTCCGAACTACACCGACCATGTATCGGTAATATGCTAACAAGGACTTTGGTTCGACAGGGCTCGATCAACAAGCAGATCTCCCGCTACGAAGCCACCGCCGTCTATACTCATCCCGATGCCAAAGTAGACATCATCCTCGTACATGGCCTGAACGGGGAGCCGCAGAAGACGTGGACTGCTAAGAACGGCGTCTTCTGGCCCGCCGATCTCCTCCCCGCGTCTCTCAGAGACGCCCGTGCCAACGTCCTGGTCTACGGTTACAATGCCGACGTCTACTCGAAGAAACATGGCTCGAATCCCAGTGACAACTTCATATACATGCACGCGCAGACGTTGGTGACGTCGCTTACACACTATCGCAAGGACGAGTTAACGTCCTCCAATCCAATCATATGGGTCTGTCATAGCCTAGGAGGCATTCTCGTTAAGCGAGCGCTCTTGTACTCCAACGACTTACGAACGTCGCAACATGAAGACTACCGTTCTATCTATGTTTCAACCTATGGCCTTGTGTTTCTGGGTACACCACATACAGGCTCAGACATCGCAACGTGGGGTTCTGTTCTGCAAGCGATGTCCGATGCCGTCGTACCCAGATCCTTCTTCCAATCTGAGTCTGTGTTACTGAAAACACTTAAAAGAGACAATGAAACACTGCAAAACATTAACAGTCATTTTCTTGATGTTTACCAACGGTTCAAAATACTCATGGCCCATGAGAACCACAAGACAGACCTCAAAGGAACAAGGGCCCTCGTAGTAGATGCTAACTCGGCTAGCCCCCAGCTCCCGGGCGTCACATACTACGCGATTGAAGCAACACATTCAGGAATGTGCAAATTCGACAGCAAGAACGCACCGGGCTATAGAACAATTTCAAGTGCGATAAGAGAGTGGGTATTAGATGCGCCCGATGTTATAAGAACACGATGGAGAGTCGAAGAGGACGAGAAGCTAGCACGGGCGAAGCATGAGATTGAGGAAAGAATGAAGCCATGGGTATGAAAGATCCATGTCCCTCATGTGTTTTGCCGGAGGAACTAATGATATCTAGATTCAATCACAAAGACTTCAGACGAGTCAAGGAACAAGCAGTACGTCATCACCGTTGCACCTACTCGCACGTGCACAACATCATGAGAGACATAGCATTCATGGAGATACATTCCAAGACGTGTACTTCCCTTTTGAGATAGAGGAAGTTGATAGTCAACGGGCTTGATTAATATTGGAAATTGACGAGGAGTATTGGCTGATTTATCGTATTTGTAGCTCCGCAGCAAAATAATGAAAGTACTTTACCTCCTAGCCAAGAACATTCGAAGCTTCAGCATCACCCTAGAAATTTACTCACTGAGCCGGAAACCCCGATGACAACGGACGACGACGAAGAACTGTTTCCCTCCCAGCAGTCCAAATCGGAAATAGACGCAGCTGATGAGCCGATGTTTGTAATGCCTTCGGTATTCCGGCCGAATACGTATTTCAAGGGCCGCGAGAAGGAGCTGAAGCTCTTGCATAAGCTGCTATCGGATCGTAAAACACGGTCAATAGGTACCTCGTCCGTACTCATACAGAGTATGCCTGGGGGCGGTAAAAGTCACTTAGCACGGCAATACGTCTTCCAGCATAGATACGACTACCCTGGAGGTATCTTTTGGATCAGAGCAAAATCGTTACAAGAGTTGGAATATGGTTATCACGATATCGCAAAAGTTGCTGGTCTCAGTGAAGTATCCGCTTTAAGCCAAGACCAAACCAGCAACGCACTTGCAGTCGTGAAAGCTGTCCAAGATTGGCTCAGTAGCACCGAAAACTGGTTATTGATTTTTGATGGCATTCACTTCGACTTCGAGGGTCTTGAGCATTATATACCCTTCTCGAAAAACACTAGCATTATATACACATCAACTGAACGGACAACGGGAGAAGACTACCAATTTGACAATCCCCAGATCATGGCTTTGGACCCATTATCGAAACGGGAGGCTCAAGAGCTGCTTTTTGAGGAAATGGGAAAAAAGAAGCCTTATACCCAAGATGATCTTCAACGCGCTGAAGAGCTAGTTGAGCTTATGGATCGACTTCCCTTGATGATCCACGTGGCTGCCCTCCAACTCAAAGCGACTAGGGAGCCATTAGCTAAATACTTGAGATCGTTTAAGAGTCGACCGAAGGTCGGTAACTTGCCAGCGTATCGGGCAGTTCACGAGCAGTTGGAACATCGCGGTGCTGTTGCGGCCCTGAATTTGATGTCTATACTGGCTTTCTTCGGTACCCATATCCCGGTTGAAATGGTAGCCCTTGGTAAGCATTAGAAACCCCCCTCCGTCATGAACAGAGTGCTTACTTGACATCATAGGGGCAAAAGCGCTCGATAAGCGAACTCCCGTGAAAACAAAAGGACCTGAGTCCCGCAGAGGATCGCTAAATCTCACATTCAAAATCCTTATTGCATTTGCACTTATAGAAAGAAACGAATCCCGAGAAACTTCCACGGCGAGCACACGAAGCACTCGTAGTGTTGACATGGCCCAAGATACCTTAGATATCCTCAGGGTTCATGGGATAGTGCAGGCTTTCTTCGTGGATTACCTAAATGAGAAACATGAAGTAGACTTTTGGCTCGAGCGAGCAGTCCGTGTGTTCTGTGGCGCGTTCGATTCCAGCGTCCATAGAGTAGAGAAGGATCCACAGACGGGCATACCAGAAGACTACAGACGGCTTCTCATCCATGGTCGGCGCCTCCTTTCCCATCTAGATCGCTTCGAAAAGCGGTTTCCAGATCTCAAATCAGCTCGCGAGGATCTAGAAACGAAACTCGATTCAATTCAACATCGAATTGATCAACTCATCAAGAGGGTCAGTGAGGCTGCCAGCCAAGGTTCGGGTGACGTAATTGTCTCTGTATTCGAGCGTACCAACAGCCTCTCAGAGTCTGAGACTACGCCGAGCAGTCGCAGCGTGTACGATTTCTCTGTAGATGATGGAACAGAAACGATAGGATCCCCGTCTGTCTACAGCCCTACGGAACATGGTCCTTACCACTGGCATGTCCCTGTCGTCGATGACCCGCAGGGATTTCCACAGGGGTTTACTGATTGGGAAACATCGAGGACGGTGACACCACAGCTAGCGGCTACAGAAATCTTCGAGTCCATGTCAATGCTCGATGATGATGAAACGACAAGAAGGGTTTTTGGCCCAGAACATCGTACAATCAGAAAGCACTCTGTACGCCGATACCGTGATCACGCTGGTGCTTGGAGGGCACATCCCCAGATCCTTAGTGATCCCCGAGTCACACTTAGCCGCGAAACCGCAAGGGGGTTCAATCATTCTACGGCATCAAAGCCATATCAAGAATTCTCATCTAGCGACAGCGGCCCATCAGTCCAAAGTGAAGCTGAAATAAGCTTAAACCAGATCAAGAAAGGGTCGCCGAAGCCAGCAAGCATACTAGCCATGGCTATGAGTAATCTAGAAAGCCCACCACCCCGTCCACGACTCCTTGCTGGGCGGCCCTCGTATGCGAACGTCAGGACTGAGGAGGCTCGGTATGATGAATTTCCGGTAACCCCGACATTTTCCTACCCACCGCCATCGCCTAAAGATACTGCGGCTGCCATTATGAGACTTAAAGACACAGACCGGCCTGTTTCCCTTGATGGTCTCACACCAGTGAAAATTTCTAGTCCCTTATCGGCGACTCCAATTTCCTCAGAGGAATTACTGGCATCAAACTCCAATCCTATATTCGGTGCTCCTGAAGATGATGCAGCGGCGTCTTTGCAATCTTCAGTCCTCTTAGCTGGGCCATCGTCTAGGCCTCATTCAAGAGAACCATCGCGCCCTCCGTCGGTGCCATTGTCGCGGTCAGCTAGATCCTCGCCCGCTCAACCGGCAGGCCCGTTCTCGCCGCCACCCATTTCTATAGAAGTCAATCCCACTAGTAGCCTTCGCTCTGCTCCACCAGCTGGCTCACCCCAGATAAGCTCACATCGGCTCTCCACTCACTCACTAGGGGAATACAGTGAGTATCTACCTCCCGCGAGACCAGTGCTACCTCGTGATCTACCATATCCACAGACTATAGGCATACCTCCTGAGTCCTTCAGTATGCCCGAACCTCCTGCACCGTGGGTGGCCTCCTTGCCATCGAACCTACACCCTCAAGGTTATTCAAGTCAGCCAATGTCGCGCGATCCAAGCCATCAGTCAAACTCTAGCATCGGCTCCCGCCATTCAATCACCCTTGCGCGCGACGGTTCACCAAATTCCTCAAACCAAGCCCTGAGCTCCTCCCCCGCCTCGCAAATCATGCAAACGCCGCACGCCCGGCGTCCAAGCATCGTGGAGACCGAACCTAGTCCCCGTCTAAGACCGCTTGAGTTGGATCCAGTCGTCACAAGCTACCAGTTATACAGGGATCCTCGACATCACCACACATCAACGACATCAAAGCATCCTTTTCGCGGTCGCAAGCGTGGCGGCAGTATACCCGGCACAGCCGCGATTCATTCATCTAGCCCGGGATCCAAGCTATTATCCCGCATTCGCTCCATAAGCGAAAGTCGAAAGCAAAGACGTCGTGGATCTGCTGATATTAGCGCCGTTGATAATCATACTAGTGACAACGGTTCACATCGACAGACATTTACTAGACCAGCTAATGGCGGGGAGGAAATGGCGCGCTCTGGGTCTGGGGGCATTAGACTTGATAAAGACACCGTTGTTGAGTTCGGATCACCGCCTGCTCAGGCCGCTGCTGCGGTCGCAGAGGTCCGACGGAAGAGCCCGCGGATCGGGAGTAACAGCCCCCTTGCCGCCGCGCACCCGTTTAGCCCGCCGCCTAGGAACAAGAGCGCGAGCCCCCCTGAAAGTCCGCCTCGCGGGGTTGGGCTGGGGATACAGCATCGGGGTTCGTGAGATTTTTTTTTTTTGGGGGGGGGGGGGGGGGGGGGGGGTTTTGGTGGGGGGGGGGGGGGGGGTTAATATAAAAAGATGTTGGGTGAGGCGTAGTTAGCGAAATTTAAAAAGAAAAGGAGGGAGGGTGTTGGTTAA